GAGAGGGAGACATGAGGTGAAGAAGAGTGGTACAATGCTGGACAATGGGACATGCGCGGACCGAAGGACGCGGAGTAGCAATGAACATTAGACAACACTCACGCGAGAAGAACCTGCATCTCCCACACCTCCATACATTCCTGGAGCTGGAGTCCTTCCACCCATATTCATTCCAGAATGTGGCATAGGGGTTTTCCCACCTGCCAAATTCATTCCCATCGCAGGTGTTCTACCTCCATCTCCGAATCCTCTTGCAGGAGTTTTACCACCCGCTGCCCAACCTGGAGTCTTACCACCTGCCAGACCAGCCGCGGGGGTTCTTCCTCCTCCTGCCAGACCATACGCAGGAGTTCGACCACCACCATAAGGATTCCCTCCTGTAGCATAAGGATTTGGAGTTTCTCCAAACCTTGCGGCCGGCGTACGTCCTCCCACAGCATAACCAGGTGTCATTCCTCCGTTTGTAGGTGGAGCGTAAGGATTGACATCGTAGTTTCCTAAAGGACGACCGGCCGTACCAAAAGTACCACCACCGTATTCCAATGGATAAGTATTTCCTGTTTTTGGACTTAGTGTCAGTATGTATAACCTCAGATTGAACAGAGTCAACTCACTCTTTCCGTTTGATCGAAGCCAGATTGATAGTCAAAGTTTTGTTGTTTGTTTTTAATTCCACCCTAGCATTATCCCCTTGAACATCTTTGATAATCCCCATCAACCCTTTGCTTGTTCCTTTGACCACCACGACCAAAGTGTTCACTAATCGGTTCTTGTTGACTGTCGCCATAGGAGGAGGCATAAGACTAGCACCGCCAAAAGGTAATTGTGCATTAAGAGCAGGGTTCATCTTTGCTAAATCACTGGCGGAAGATTTTGGTGTGACGGAAAGTAAAGATTGAGCACGAGCGACAAAGACATGACCATTTTCGGCGTAATCACGATTGAAGAGAAAAACAAAGATGGATCTGAAAATATTGATGACTTCTCCTTGTCGATTCTGGATATCAGCGTGATCAATTTGATATCAGTTGAAGAAGACATACCTCTCCTTCCGTTTCTTTCATCAAATTCCCTACTCGCATTTCGTTCCCTTGGGCATCCGTCGCCACTGCATATTGCTTGTTGTCTCTTCGAAGTGCTACCTGTTGAGGACTGACGGTCCGTACAGTACCATTTTGATCCAAAACGCGAAGAACGTTTCCATCAATTTTGAAGATGACAGCTGCAGTCGTGGAATCAAGCATGATCATGTCGTGTAGATCATACACGCTGTTGCGTACTGTCGAATCACCAAGATCTGCAGCTCGACGAATATCCTTGGTAAAGACTTGTACCTAAGTATCAGCTCACTGCATGTGTATTCCTACCCGTATGAACATGCACTCACCTCTCGCTCATTTTGATCAGACATAAGAGTGACAATATCACCTTTAACTTCCACTACCATACCCGTCACATCTGCGTTTTTCCCATTCAACACTTTGACATGTTCACCAACATCAAATCTCTTTCGAACACTTTTCGCAGGCACTTCGATGGTTTGACCATGTAGATCTCCACCTTCCGCTCGTATTGAAATCGTATCCGGCAAAACACCAATGACTATACCCGTCAAACCTGCTTGTTCTCCTTCATGCACTTCAACCTTATCCCCAGGTACCAAAGCAGATGCTGAGACGTGTTTGTTGGCATCTGCAATGGCGGATAGATCAATTTTCGCTTCGTTCGTTTCGTCTCCTGAGAATTTGGATACTTCCTCCAAAGTAGGATGTACATCTTCCGTTTGTACGAGGTTGAGTTTAACATCTCGATAACAAAACCCATCAATATATTCGTCTCCTTCAAAGATATGTGATCCACCTTGTCCTCCACGAATACTGTTTTTCCCATATACCTTGCGTACTTCGTCATATTGGAATGGGGCGGCAGGTGGTCGATTGGTAGAACCTGCAGCTTTCCCATTGGTCGCATTCCTCTCTTTACGCTTTTCACGAGGGGTGAGATCGATACGAGGTAAAAACTTGATGGTGACTACTCCACTGGTGAGTTGATCGACATCGGCCACTTGAGCTAGATCTCCAGTATATTTCCCACGTTTCATCCGTACCCACATTCCCTGAGTCAATTCCACATCCTTCTTTTTGATTTTGAGTAAAGGTGCCATTTCTTCAGTCGGAACACGTTTGACACCTTTGCCGAGGAAGACACCGATGATACCTTTGATCGCCAGATTGACTGCGGATATATGTCGAGCTTCGAGGAAGATCATACCGTCTAATGAGTCGCGGAAGAAACATGATAATACCTCGATGGGTTGAGCGGAGAATTGATGAGTGAAGACTTTTCGAAAGATTGAAGAACATATTTGATATTCTCGTCCACTCTGAGTGGATCAGCAACATTTTTTCTTCTGGGCTGGGACGTGGGGATGGGAGAGTGAGGGTGAGCAGGGGAGGCTAGGAAAGAAAAGGGGAGACGATGCTGGGGAAGGAAAGGGGAGGTGAGACTAAGGAAGAGTGAAGGGGGAGAAAAGACATTTGACACACCTTCACTCGAACTTGCCATAAACTAGGATCATTGGCACCTGGTATTAAAAGTCTTTGTGAAACTTGATCACTTTCAGCATTATATCTAGCAGCGGCAGTCCGACCATGTCTTTCTTTCAACTGTTGAACGATCCTATCAACATCATCTTGTTCTGTTTCACCTAAAGCTTGATCTAATCTTCTATGAGCTCTGTCATCTTCTGTACCAGGTATTTCAGGTTGTTCATCGATAAACTCTGCGACTGATAATCAGCGAAAAAGACATTTCACAACAACAAAACAGAAAAGAAAAGAGAACTAACCATCTCCATAATCTTCACCTTCTTCATCTTCTTCATCTTCATCGTCTACTTCCGCTTCGAGTTCAAGGAATCGATTGACTTTATTCTTTCTTCGACGCTAATAATCAGCGTCTCATTACATATCCCAGTATATGTTCTGTCCGGAATGAACACCCGGACCACGAGATGGCCTTATACTGATTGAAGGACTTTCAAAGGTAGGACAGCCCAGTATGATCTATGAAAAATGTATGACCCAAACAAGTCTTCCATGATGTACTCCAGAAACATGACCCAGTTCAAATTACATGTCCAAGTCAGACTAACCTTTTTCTTTCTCCCTTCTGTTCGTCAGCATCTCCCTTTCACACTTTACTGCGTGACTCACCTTCCGGAGCCCGTTTTCCTTCCTCGTCATCATCTTCATCATCCTCGTCATCCTCTTCACCCTCTTCATCTTCCTCCTCTTCCTCATCTGGGTCATTATCATCACCACCATCGTCACCCTCCATATCTTTATTCCCATTTCCAGCCTACACGTCAATATGATCCTACTTCAGGTCGATTCATACTTACTCCTCTTTCATCTAGACATCAGCATCATCTTTACAACTAGGTGAATAGGGAGAGAAGGGGTTAAAGACATACCTGATTCATTCACCCTTGGCTGATTATCAGTAAAAGGAGTAGCAGGGATGAAAGACGGAGAGGAACTCACTCGTTTTCGACTTGGTCCATCTTCGTCATCTGTTCTCATACGGTCTAGATGTTCCGATGATGGAGAACGTTCGTTTTCTGACATTTTCACGTATGAATCAGAAGGAGAGGAGAAAGAAGTGAGCTGTGTATAGATAGGTTCTTGAGTTCTGGAGTTGTCTTTTGAGTGAGAGGCAACATGGAGAATGGGAGAAATTACAAAGAATTGTGAATAAATAAATGCATACACCCGACTGACTTTTGTCTTTGGCACCTCTATGATCTATGTTTTCCGGGTGACTTCTTTCTCGTAGATCTTAGAAAGAGTACTCGTACAGTACATTTACGGTATATGCGCGTGAAGGAGTATATCACGATGTGATAGTATGCAGTATCAAATCCATCATGATCATACTCTGACTGTGGAAAATACATGCATCAATTTAGTGTTTGTTTGAACATACTTGTCAATAATGATCAATCATCTCTTTCGTCTAATACCGTTCTTTTGTTCTCTCACTGTCACTCTTTAATCCCTCCATACTCAACATCTCACGTAACTGATCCACGTTGTACTCGTCTACTATCCTCAATCACATCTTTCTCCGTCCAGCTCTATCAAGCTCGATAAATCTTCTGATCGTAAAACATGCCAAAAATAACCATCCAATTTTGGATCACTTCCAAAGTCGACTTTCTTTCAATCACGTAGAAGGACAAGAACCACTTTTCCTCCACTCTATTCACTCACAAGAGATAACAAAGAAATCACTTGCTTTCCCCAAGATGAGTCAGAACCACTCTTCTTTTCTTCTTTGGTCCTTCTTCCGTCCCTGTCCCTTCTGACGGTCTCTTCGTCTCCTCATGGAACCCCAGTCCCAATCCTACAGTCGATGACCCACTTTCCGATCGTCTTGATCGACCCGTCATTCCTAAAGTGTACGTATCAGTCGTCTCGTCCGGCGTCCGAGGGACGGCTTCGGTACTCGATATGGAGCTGGGTGGAGGTGGTATGGAAGCTCCTACCATACCGTATGGTCTGGTTCGTTCGGCGGATGGGGGTAAAGCTATTGAACTGGCTGTAGAGCCCTCTCGTTCAGATCGAGGTGGGGCTGGGGATTGTCGCATACCCATGGTACTTACACGGGGAGAGTTGGGGACTGGGGTCGACGATGCGGAAAGGGAATGATGGTGTGGTAGATAAGAATGAGATTGAGCGATGGCTTGTAGTTGTCGATGATGTTGTTGAGTAGGATGGACGGTACCTAGTTCGGCAAGGTCGAATACTATGATTGAACAGTATCCATCGGATGAAGAGAGCATCAACGCTTGACCGTCTGGAGACCTGGGAATTAGTAAAGTACATCGAGTGTATCTGTTCCTTGGGGCCATTTGCGTGACCCCACCACAATGAGGTGTGTCAAAACCCTCCATGTACGATTACAAGATGGTGATGTGAAAGCGGTGGTGGAGGTGAGGATACAATAGAGGGAGTTTGAAAATGGGCAGGGAAAAATTGCTCACCAAGCACCATCCGTGAAACCTGCATAATGTAACCCCTTGAAAATCGCGATAGGTCCACTTTGCTGAGTGTCGTATAACAGCACTGAATCCTGACAGACCACGGCATATAATAATCTGTAAGGTAGAGCAAATATACTCCCGAGTGGTTTCTCCTTTTCCTTTTCTTTCTCGTCCCTTTCCTTCTCCTTACTCGGTGGTGGAGGAGGAGGCATTGACAGAGACACTTGTACGGGTGCAGGATCCGATCTATCCAATGTAATATTCTTTGGCTCTGATTGTGCTCCCGGTCCGGTGCGCAAATCGTAGAAGACAGGAGAGAATCGAATAGCGACACTAGAAGTTTTATGTCCTGGGAGATGAGCCACGGGAGCTTTAGCGAGATTGGCACGAGAGTAGATATAAACAGTAGGTTTGGTTTCGCCCACTTTGGGTCGTGGGACATCTGAAGGTGTTGGACCAGTCCCATCTTGAGACAAAGATCGAGAGATCAGCATAGGAGAGAACCGGTACACTTGATCTTCTATCTGTCCCGCAGGAGTGAGTAACAGACTTCCATCTGGAGAAAAGCTAAGTCGTCTGAAGAAACGAGTGGCACCTTCATCACCGTAAAGCCGCTGCATGGCAGCTTGGGCGGAAGTTGAAGGAGTGCGAATGGCAGGCAGGGGAGGGATAGGTGATGGAGATCGACCACGACCTTGGAAAGCGATAGCTGATAAAGATGGTGATGCCGCAGCTTGAGAACCGGAGAAAGACGATCTACGGGAGGTCGGTTTGGTAGGAGGTGGGTTCATAGCTGATAATGCCGCCGGAGCCCCTTGGGCTTGAGCTTGAGCCATGGGTGTCGACGGGACCGATGCGCTAGGAGTCAAGGGTGGGACCGAAGCCGAAGGATGATGAGGAAGGTCCGTCATTTCAGATGCCAGTGTGATCACGGAACCAGCCTCAGAAGTGGTCGAAGCCCTCCTGGTGAGATTTGGTCGAGGGGCAGAAGGGAAAGATGGAGTGCGAGAATGTCGTATTTCCATTCTTGTGGCACGTGAGACAGGATGAACGTCCGGGACGCCGTTACGGAACGCAAACGTGTTGACATGGACAGACCTACTAGTCAGCGTGGTCGCAGCGGTGACTGTACAATAAGCTGACCTGTCACTGCTCTGGGTGGCGATGTATTCGTTCAGAGGGTCCCAAGCGACACCTTGTACGTTGTGAGTATGCTCGCGAAGGGCGAACACACATTCACCTGACGAGTCAGCAATAAGCAGGAATACATGTCATTAATCACTTACCCGTCGCTGCTTTCCATATGGTGGCGGTGTTATCAGTGGCCCCAGCGATGAAAAATTCACCATCGGGGGACCAGGCGAGATCGTAAACGTGCTTGGTGGTGACCCTTGGGGTTAGCTTGACAAAAGGTGATCTTTTGCACGTACTGCAACAGTTTCTGCAGACGCCAGTGTTCCTTATCCGGCACATCGTCGGGAGTCTCTCCAAAAGTCGCGACAGGGCGGTCTGAAGGGACCCACAAAATGACATTACCGTCTGAAAGTCAGCATCATCCAGCTATTCCTGGTTGACCATGAGGTGCTGCATGTGAACAGGACAATGGGGCAGTTCTCAGAGAGAAGAGGAGGTGACAGAGTCAAGAGAACTGCTTCGCAAGGTGGTACCCGATATATGAATAGATGAGACGAGAATATGAGACTCACCATCACCAGCAGAGGCCAATATCTGACCATTTGGACTGAACCTGACAACGTTCACAGCTGCCGTGTGTTTGCTCAGGGTCGTGAGGTATTCAGCACGGGGTGGATGAAGTGTTACTTCTTGTCCAGTGAGAGCGGCGTGGGCATTGGGTGAAACAGCGGGAATATTGGGATGGATCATCCAGAGCTATCTGTCAGCGTTTTCCCCGTTCACAGTCTATCCCAACTGTCGGCCCAGGAGTTGATGCCTATCGTCATGGTATGGACTCGTCACAGACGATGAAAGTGCAGTCAATGTTCAGGGCACGAAGGGCTCAGAGGGTATAAATTCTCACGCGTGGAAGACAAGTGATTTGGACAGACGGGGATATCAGACGGAGATGATAGTGAATTACTCACCCGGACTTTACTATCACCTCCACTTGTCGCCAATCTATACTGCCTTGGTACCGGTATCGGAGCCCTGTCTTTATCTTTTTGATTTTCCCGCTCGACATCGGAATCGTCAGCAGGGGGTAGGAGCCGCTTGACTTGAGCAGGTGGAAGGGGTTGGAAGTCACATGAATATACGGCTTGAGTTTCGTGCCATCTGTAAATCAGCATGGAGGCTAGAACTGACCAGACAGTATGGACTCCATTTGTTGTGGGCAGGAAGTAAGGAGAGAGCTTCATTGGGCAAAGGACAAGGGAGGACATAGAGGAGTTGGTGGTTTTCACAAGGGAAGGCATTTTAGACACAGAGAATGGGAGAGAAGCAGGAAACAACTAGGATAGAGGACGGAGGTCTGATGGGTTGAGTTGCATATCGTTTTGACAGCAGCGAAGCGAGGGAAGACAAATGTAGGTAACCACTCACGCAATCTCCAAAACCTTGGGTCGCATATTGCTTGACTATCGTTCGTATGTCAGAAGCAGATTGTTGCACTGAGGTGATGCGATACTTGTCCTAGATATGATCTGTATTCTTCGTCCTAAGCTTGTGATCAAACTTCAAGACAGCGAACGATGGCACTTGTGATTCACAAGCGTCGAGTGGTCGGTGGGTGTGGAAAGATGACTGCAAACGGAGGCAGTCGGGGAAAATGTGAGAGGTAGAAGTGACGATGAAGAGAAATGAGTCACTAGTTGCAAATGATATATGAATCCAAATATCACTTTCAGTCTAGGCCAAAGTCAAACGTAGGATGCTGAGAGATATGCCGGCAGAGGCCTCAGAGGCCAAGGGCGGTATGTGAATTTCCCAAAAGTTGAAACTGGTTTGGTGTTGTCGCGGTGGGGGAAGTGTGGGAGATCTGGAACGTCTTGATGGTCGATTGTCAATCGTCAATCTTTGTTGTCTGTTTGAGATCTGATGATACTTGATGTCTCAAAGTTCTTAAATCCAGATCGAGTTAAAGTCTATACACTTCAATGTGACCAACTGAGAGGTAGTGGTTGAGTCGAAAATAGCGATTTCAAGCAATGGTTTGACTTGATGCTCTAATCGTGTAGTGACCGATGAAGTCTGGTAACGTAAATGTGGGGGTGAGATCATGAAACGATGAAAGATGTGTGACGATGACCGATGAAGTCTTTCAATTTCCGAATGACGGAGTGAAATGTTCGGAAATCCAATATGAGGTAATGAGCAAAGAAGGTGTTGTAAAAACCTCCACTGTCGTGCGTGTGCAAGGTGAGAGGAGAGCAGATTGTACGATGATCCGATGGCGCCGATGGACTATTTGGAATTTTGAGAAGCTAGCAGCTTTCGTCAGAACTGGATACACAGCCGAACTTGTAGTCAATGTGGGAAGGTGAGGAAATGTGTTCCAGAAGGAAGATAAATAAAGGGTGTTGTCTAAAGGTCAGATTTGTCTTCTTTCCCGTGTCAAAGTCAGAGGTCGAGGAATTGAAGATTGAGAATTCTATCCCCAGATGAATGGACTGGATGGGGTATTGTAAGAAAAGAAGATGACAGGGGATAATGGGTGATTGGACAAGTATGAGTGTAGGGGATGATAGACCTACGGACAACCGGCCTCACCTAATCCCAAAAGCCAGGAGGAAAGTGTGAAAGGAGAATAACGTTAAAGGGAGTCGTTGATCTGTTGATCAGTCGGTAGTCTTTACGTGTGATCTGAATAGGGAATAGCGATTCGGGATTCGGGATCCCGGAGTATAGGAGTAGAGATATGTAAAGAGGAATGACAAAGAACGCGAAAGGTGACGTGTTCTGTCCTCTATAAATGGGAAGATTGATGGTGGGATGAAAGATGCAAAGTGGGATGATGGAATGATTGATCAACTGATTTTGTGAGAGAATAAGGAGGGAAAGAAGTATGAAAGATGATTTTGGGTTTCTCACCTTGAGGAATATTGACAATTGGTTCTTTGAGTGATAAGGGATAGGGTTGAGAGGAAAGAGTAAAGAGAGGTTTAGTAGGGAGAAGTAGAGTTGGTTTACATATTCGAGGGGTTGGCTCGGACCGAACTACTAAGGGCTTGAACCCTAAACTTACCCAGAACTGACAAACGGTATTTACTTCTTTAGGTCTTTTGGTGTTTGAATTTGAATCTGAGGTAGGTCATTGGAGGAATGCAAAGTGAGAAGATTGCCTAAAATATGCCAAGACCATGGAGTTACTTCATAGACTGAACTAACTCATATACTCATATTGACATCCCCTAAACCATTCTCTTCCCTTCTTCTACCCTTAGTAGGTACACCAGCATATTTATCTCTCATCCTCTCATATCTCAATCTCTGTTCTCTCGAAACACTAGGTTTAGTCTTTTCAGCAGCCCGTTTGAATTCTTCAATACCAACTCTCACTCCATTCGTTCCTCTTCCTTCTCCAACATCTCCAAATTGATTACCACTTCCACCCACATCTAAATCAGTTTCGAATGCTCCCATACTTTCCAACGCTTTTCTTAAAGCTAAAGTAGCTGCTTCTCTTACTAAAGCGGCTAAATCAGCTCCTGAATATCCATCACATTGATCTCCAGTGACTAAAACCTCGATTTCTGACCAGGCGGAATCCGGTATAGGAGTACGTTTGGTATGAGTTTTCAAGATTTCCACACGTTCGGAAGGTGTTGGAAGATCAACATAGAGTAGTTTATCAAGACGACCTGGACGGACCATAGCTGGATCGATCATATCGGGTCGATTGGTAGCTCCTATCACATAGACTGATTTGCGCGAATTGAGTCCATCGAGTTCGGTGAGGAGGGTGTTGACTACTCGAGCTGATGATTCGGACTGAGTGTGAGTTGGGGACAAAGTGTGAAATGACAGTTTTAACCCACCATTGATTCATCACGACGTGGTACTAAAGCGTCCAATTCGTCAAAAAAGATGACACAGGGTGAACTAGCTCTTGCTCTTGCGAATACTTGTCTAACCGCTCTCTCACTCTCACCAACATACTAATCATTAGCCATCCGTCACTCAGTTCTTACTCTTAGAACGAAGCTCTTCTGCATGTTGCTGACCTATGTGGCAATTGAAGCTGAGGTATGTGGAGAGAAGTTGTCCAGCCGAATCACTTTGAGCAATTACACTCACCTTATTCAACAATTCTGGACCTTTGACACTGATGAAATTCGCTCTTGACTCATTCGCTACAGCCTTCGCCAATAAAGTTTTCCCGCATCCCGGTGGACCCCAAAGTAATACCCCAGAGGGTGCCTCAATACCCACTACAGCGAAAAGTTCCGGTCTTCTGATAGGTTGCACAATAGCCATATGTAATTCGTCCCTGACTTCTCCCAATGCACCGATATCCGACCAACTCACATCAGGGATAGTTGCGAATCCTTCACGTTTAGCTGAAGGTTGGACAATCTTTAATGCTTGGACAAAATCATCGGCGTGGATGGAGAGGACATCGAGGCTCTCAGGAGGTAGTGGGTAAGGATGAGTGAGCAGAAATCGAGCGATTGGAGTTTGACGAAGTTGAAGGGATAATGATGAGAGTGGACCATCGGAAGATATCTCGACATTTCGTAATGATTGTATAGGTGGGTCTATGTCGATATCACCATTGGAAATGGCAAACGATTGGTCATCGATATCGGTAGAAGGTGGTCGTGTGAAGGGGGTACTGGTGGAGAGAGGTTGGGAAGATAGATCTTCAAAAATACGTTTGACGGCGATGACCCCTGCTTCAGTTACCAAAGAGGTAAGATCGGCACCGACATACCCTGGTGTGGCTTTTGCCAACCATCGAAAATCTACATCACCTGTGAGTTTTAGAGGGGTGCAAAGCACTTTAAGAATTCTAGAGAGTCAGTATGATGGAATTGGGAAGAAAGATAAAGACTGACTGTTCTCGAGCTTCTACACCAGGAACACCCATTTCGATCTCATGATCAAATCTCCCTGCTCGGCGAAGGGCAGTGTCCAAAGAGTCAGGTCGGTTGGTTGCTCCTATGATGACTACGGGTTCTTCTGAACTTGCCATGTCTGTTCATCAGCTCTACTTCAATGCTTTTCGACCAATACAAGACGCAGTCCAGAAGTGACGCCGGTCGTGCGGAATATTATTGCAGCGTGCGAATGACAAGAGTCACAGTCCTTATCATGGGAGGACAGTGTATGGTGAAAGAATCTCAAACATACCATCCATACAAGTCAACAATTGAGCCACTATCCTCCTCTCCATCTCCCTCTGTGCAGTCTCTCTCTTAGGTGTAATAGCATCAACCTCATCCAAAAACAACAAACACGGTGCCAATTTCTTAGCTTCATCAAAAGTATCTCTCAAAGTTTTCTCAGATTCTCCAGACATACCAGAAACTATCGAAGGTGCTGAAACGGATATGAAAGGTAATCCCAATTCCTATCATTCAGCAAATCCCCGTTTACACACTGTTCTTTGAACTGGAAGAACACTCACACCTGCTAGACATTTGACTAATTGTGTTTTACCTCCTCCTGGAACACCATGTAATAAAACTCCTCGTGGTCTTGAAACACCGGTATGAGCGTATATCTCTGGATGTTGTAAAGGTAAAGCTACAATCTCGAGTAATTGAGTGATTTGAGTGTCTAACCCTCCCAACATTGACAGACGTAGATCTGGAGGACGATATTTTTCTGCTAGATTGACTGGATTGGGTCGAAGACGTTTAACACTCCGGGGTTTTTCTGTAGGTACTGGTGTGGAAGTTGGGTTCGAATTTGAGGTTGAGGTTGAAGCTTCATTTCCGTTGATAGAGGGAGGATCTGGGGGTAGGGAGTTAGGGTTAATTTGACGACGTATACGTTTGACACCTTCTGGTCGTGGAGATGATGAGGAGGTTTGCCAACCAGCTATGGCTTGTTTGTTAAGATCTATAGGGAAGATAGACATTTTGGTCGTTCTTGCAATAGTCGTAGTAGCTGTGCGAGTCGGTCTACAGTATCAAAGACTTGAGTGGGTGGACAAGCAGTATGGCTGGAGTGGACTGAAATTTGTGAGCCTGACAACTTGCTTCAAATTGGGGTCGGTGGTGAATTGTCAGACACGAGATTCCCCTAGCGTCACCCTTCCCCACCCCCTTCCCTTCTCCCTTCTTCCTTTGCTCTTCCTTCTCCATATATTTACTTTCTCTCTATATTCAACTCGCTCTCGTGCTTCATCAGGAGATTTTTATATACATTCTTGATATATCAGAATGTCTGGCAAACTTCAAGAAATCCTGATCGTCACTTCGGATGATGAAACATTTACCGTCAAAGTAGAGGTGATTCAGCGTAGTGCTATGATCAAGGCCATGTTGGAAGGTGAGTCCTGTGTTCTTTGTCATGTTCCCCTCTTTCTTTAAAACCTTCTATCATGACTTCATCAGCTACAATGATCAGATAACTTGTCATGGTGGCGAAACAACAACACTATCTGTCTACTCATGCATGATGCTATGTCATCTTTTTACCTATCTGCTTGACAATCATTTTTCCATTTTCACGAGGCTCCTTTTACCTCCTTGCGACATACAATTCGTGCTGCTTTCGAACGTATCTGTCTTTGTCTGTTTGACTTGCCGGAAAACCGAAGAGTGTCATGTACTAACCCCCAGACCTTGGCGAACAAGAAGGCCAGGTCATCCCCCTTCCCAACGTCTCTTCATCCGTCCTCACCAAAGTCCTCGAGTATTGCGAACATCACAAAAACGAGCCTCTCCCTGTGGCTGACGCGAACGACGTGGATGATGCAAGGAGGAGAACCAGTGAGATTGGTGATTGGGATGCTAAGTGAGTAGACGCTGTTTGGTCTTTCATAAAACATGGCTGATGCTAATGTGCATAGGTTCATTCAAGTATGTCTCGTGTAAAACCATTTGCTCAAGCTGATTTAGATAGGTGGACCAGGAAATGCTCTTTGAAATCATCCTCGCTGCCAAGTGAGTGTCACTGGATTCTGAGGAAATGTATGCTGATTTACCAGCTATCTCGATATCAAACCTCTTCTGTGAGTCGTCGTGACACCATGTGTTGTGATCCCAGTAAAGGGTCGAATGATACACGTCTGACGGACAGGGACGTGGGATGTAAGACGGTGGCCAATATGATCAAGGGGAAAACTCCCGAAGAAATTCGCAAGTTGTTCAACATCACAAACGAGTATGTCTATATTGACTTTCCCCTTCTTCTCCTCGTGACCTGACTGCATGGATCAGCATATGCCTTTTTGGGTCGGAGCTGACATGCAGCTTTACTCCTGAGGAGGAAGAACAAATCAGGAAAGAGAATGAGTGGGCTGAAGAGTGAGCAGCTTCTAAGTAACCGATATGTGAAGCTGACATGACAGTCGATGATTTGGTCTGTGGTAACTATGACATGCATGTGAAGCGTGGTATTATGGAAGATGGTACAGTCGAGTGGTGGATGGCTCTCTGTTTACAAATGAGAGATGGACGAGATGTATTTTATGCCTGCAAGTTGATTAACGTATGCACCGGTAGGATGTAGATTGGTTACATGAGGACGCATGCTGACTGACGCCATCGTCATGCTTCCTTCCCTACCTTACCCTGATGGACATCTTTCCTTCCTTCCGACCATTTCCTTGTCATTTGGCATACTTCCTTGTCCTCACTACCTGATCCCCATGTTCATCCACCCTGTAGAACCTACGATATCCTTGGGCCCTTATCACTTCACCTGAGACCAAATTGAAGAATCAAGAATTTCACACCTCGCTTTCGACTCGGGCCGGTCAGCTGTCAACTGATCACCCTCGGTCCTAGTCGCTACTCTTCCATTCATCTAAACCATCCTTACTCCCTTCTCTTGTCTATCCATACAACATCATCTACCAACAATCAACACCTACCAATCACCACTACGACCTTATCTCACTGCATCTCAGTTCAGTGCAATCAACTACCAACGGCATGTCGTTCAGTCATGACGGCAATGCCGAAGCTTCTTCCTCTCATTCTTCCACAAATGTTCATTCATCCTCAATAACTTCTCCAAATCCTTCTTCATCTATCTCACCTAACTCTCCTTCATCTAGCTCTGAAAACTCATCCTCCTCCTCATCATCAAAATCATCCTCACATACCCGTCGTACTCGTCCACATTCAAAAACAGTACATCACATCCCACCTCAATTTCACTCAATGGCAGCAGGAGCAGGAGCAGGATTAGTATCTTCTTTCGTGACTTGTCCATTAGACGTGATTAAAACACGTCTACAAGCTCAACATTTATCAAGGGATGCTGCGGAATATGAAGGTGTTAGAGAAACTGTTAAACGTATTTGGCGTCAAGCTGGTTTGAGAGGTTTTTATAGAGGTTTAGGACCTACTTTGGGTGGGTATTTACCTACTTGGGGTATATATTTTACTGTTTATGATATGGTTAAGGATCGTTTAGGAGGTTGGACAGAGGATCGTGAGTCTTTTCGGTTCTTTTTTTTTTGAATTCCATTCCTTGTATCAAAGTTTGATATCTCTCCACCAAATTGACTTCCTCTCTCATTCATCTAGAGTTCATCTCACATCTCTATGCCCCCTTCTGAAGTTTGGGCTTGGGTTTGGGAAGACATTTGTTTCTGGCGAAAGGATTAGACCCGGGAAAGACAAATACGAGTTGGCATATCGTAGGGTCGTAGGGACCATCCGTTTTGTATCATGGGGAACATATTGGGAAGCAAATGAAACTTTTCTGAAGGACTGCAAATACTACAGAATCGAAGTTAGGCAAGGAGGAGACTGATACCAATTCCATCAGACGTACTACTGGACGGGTATAGAACGGTATGTTGGGCGGTCAGAAGACTCGTCATGGACGCTCGAGAAGTTTGTCAATCAGGGAACAGACCCTTGACGATCAAAACGAAAAGAGGGGACAGCTGACGCCAGACGAAATGGAAGTTGGGACTTGGGTTCATGTCATAGCTGCCATGTCAGCAGGAGCTACAGGAACAATCATGACGAATCCTTTATGGGTTGTCAAGACTCGTTTTATGGTGAGTCGATCGTGTCATCTTCATCTCATGTCTCATCTCCCTATACCCATCCCTTTTTTTATGTCTTTTCTCTCCAGCATTCCTCCCTATTTTACTTCACATTCGGGGGAGGCGTTCCTCTCTATCTCTTCTCACATTCCTCCTTAGCTCTTCCCACGATCAAAGAAAGATCTTGTGTTGACTACAATTACCCACTAACTCTTCAGGCTCAAGCCGTTCTCCCTCCCTCCGCAGCTAGATACCGTAACACCCTCGACGCAGTCGTGACCATTCGTCGTACCGAAGGTCTCGGAGCCTTCTACAAAGGTCTTTTACCATCTTTACTCGGTATATCCCACGTAGCAGTTCAGTTTCCCCTATACGAAGCCGCAAAATCATATGCCGATTCACATTCTAATCGAAATGATTTAACTTCAAATCCGGATTATTCAAATTTACCTGCTTCGACAATATTAGCATGTTCAGCATTTTCGAAAATGGTAGCTTCTTTAGTAACTTATCCTCATGAAGTTTTACGTACAAGATTACAAATACGAAAATCTATTCCTTCCATTTCTTTATCTACATCATCTGGAGGAGGAGGAGTAAACAATGTCAGTAATATCGTTCGTATACCTATTTCAACACCTACACCTTTATACAGTCCTTTGATCAGTGCAGTAGGAGGTAATCCTCCTATACCTCTTGGACCTGGACCGGAATATACCAGAATAGCTGCACCTAAAGGTAGTAAATGGGAAAGAAGAGAAGGTGGTGTTATTGATACTTTTTTATCTATAAAGAAACAAGATGGTTGGAGAGGTTTTTATAGAGGTTTATCAATAAATTTAGTTAGGACGGTACCTAATAGTGCTGTGACTATGTTAACGTGAGTCCAAATTTGTCTTGTTTCTCTTCTTTTCTTCACACTCTTTGTTTGATACTCCTTCATGAGAAGCATAGAATAACTCGAGTCTCTATAATACGAGTCGATTTCACGTCAATAACACTAGTCACCTCATTTTGTCTCTGTTGTTACATGCCTGTCTCCCCTATCCTCCCCTGCGTGAAGATCTTTTATAAAAGGGAGAGTAATGGAATCAGGCTCAAGGGAATAGGAAAAGATATTTCGATGGACTGATAAAATAGATACGAACTCATCATGCGATATCTATCATAAATGGAACATGTAGGATTTCATTGTCAATCTTGTCATATTGGGTTCTTTTCACAAGTAAACAGAAAACAAAATGGCATGCATTTGTATCTCTTTAACCCTCAATCCTTCTAAATCTCAACGTCCGATCCATTTCATCCATCCATCCAAACCCAAATACCCAATGACCAACTCCTTCAACAAATGTATATATAACCTTCTCATTCACATTGATCATGCTACATGATTGAAGGTCACTCAATCTTTCATCCCACAAGCTTTTGCTAAACCTTCCACAACAGCCACACAAGCCATAGCACCAGGATCAGGTGGTTGAGGTTTCCCATCATCCCTTTCACCGACATAAGCAGCTCTACCTAATTTGGCTTTTAATTTCGTAGTGTTTTCCCCACCTTGTTTACATTTTTCAGCAGCTTTATTTAAATCACCTGTCGAAGCTAAAGTTTCGGCAAATGGTATCAAAGCGTCCATTACTGTTCTATGACCTACTCTGGCGGCAGTACGTTGTTTAAGTGTTTCTAATCCTTGTAAAGCAATTTTACCCATGTATTTAGCGTTGACTTTTGGTGGAGGGTTGGAAGAAGCTGATGAGATGAGAGCGTTGGTCATTCCTGCTAAGAAAATTGAAATGATTGCTCCTAATGTTCCTCCGCATGCATCTGGGAATTAGAACGTTACTAAACTTTCTCTTCTCCAATTCCTTTCTTCAGGTGAAGGCTTTGTTGGATGGGAAGTGGTTCGGAGTGAAAGAGGGTTCGTCGGAAGGCGAGTAGAGATGAGAAGGTACAGGAGTAGAAGTCGGAGGGTGGGGGGGGGGGAGAATCAAGAAGGGAAGTTGTGACATAGCATGAATTGATTGTGAGGCGAAGGAGGGATTGGGGAAATGGAGTAACTTAGGAAAAGAGAAACAAATTGACTTACCATCGATTATCTCGGTCAATTCTCGGAAAAGATTAACAACATCTCCATCTGATCCAACACCATCTTCAATAGCTTTCAAAACGGCATGAGCACCACTAGCACATGTTTCTCCGCAATCTCCATCACCCACGATCTACCATCAGCATGACTGTTGTCTCTTCAATAGTCCATCCATCGCTAGGATATCTGATTCGTTTTTTGAAATGAAAGATGGTGAATTGAAGTGAATTCGGTATGGAAGAAATACTAGTGAGGCATATTTGAAAGAAGGATGGTTGCAAGATGAAAGAGGGAGTATGGAGATGAGAACCCGACGAGAACTCACCGTATCCCATCGAGTCAATTGAGGTTCAAGAGAAATAACATCTTCAGCGGCTATACGCATACATTCCTGAATCGTTTTTGCCGAAGCTGTTCATCAGTTTTGATATCCTTGAACTTTCTTTTACTATAACTCTTTCCTGTCTCTCTCTTTCCTTCTCTCATTACTCATCATTTTCATTGAGAGCGTACCACAAGCGAGACGATATCAGAAAAGCAGGAAGGCTTTATGAGGCATGTAAAACTTGATGATATAGTAGATATTGAGACCTGAAAGCATCTTGCTCACCGATCAACTTTGGTCCCTTCGAAACCTCTTTTCTAGGCTCAGCATCCACCTCAGTAAAATGTTCTTCCCTCTTCCTCCTCGCTAAAAAATCCGGAACAGGATACATGTTCTGAGTCGCAGGCCATCCGGGACTATTATGAGGAGCATCGATTAATTCCAGTAATTCTTCGATGGAAAGTCCACATTCTTCTGAAACGTTTGTAAGGTTGAGAAGGGAGATAGACATTCCGGGCATGTTCATAGATCCCATAAATGGTCCGTTGAAAATACGAGCAGGGATTATTCCTCTTGATTCTGGATTGTCAACACTCTCTCAAATTTCATTACACAGCATTTAAACCGAAAGACATTATAGTAATCCGTACACGATGATGACTGTTACCGGTGATGAGCGTGTATAGTTGAACGGCATGTTGGGTTTTATGTGGTTTGACTTCAGAGGACAAACTAGAACTCACCAAGTTGATTCAATGTCTCATCGGCTACAGCTCCCATCTCTAACATACTCATACCTCCTTGATTGTTGATAAGCAATACTATCTGATCGTCCGGCTTGAATTTGACGAACGCTCTCTCAGGATCATCTTGATCCAAAATGAGATCAAGCATACGTTTGATAATTTCTTCCTCTGATGGTTGAGCGACGTTGAAAACTCCCTAAATGTCAACTGAACACGTCCAGGGAGCTTGCTATTTCCAAAAGCCTCAGTATTCCGAGTTGTATCCTCTTCCAATGAAAAGCAAGAACGTGGTACATATAGGAGGGTGTGAGTGTATGTCTTCAAGGATTACTTAGAACAGTGTGAGAAGGGAAAGATTCGGAAATAAAATGAAGACATCATAACTCACAGTCTCATTATGCAGTCCTAATCCTATCTCTATCCTTCCTTCTGGAATCTGCCATTCTCCAGTTCTACCAGGTACATGACAATGATCCAAAGCCATACATACTGAACCCATATTGGAACTTGATGATCTACCCAATTTTACCAAAGAGTCGAATGACATATCTTTTGTAGAACCCGCCCCGAGGATTTTACAAACTACTTTGTGAGTATCTTTCCTCATCATCACTCGCTTTGTGCAGAACAACATCCACTTCTGTCACTCGTATGGGGCGCCTTTGGACCGAGACGATGCTTTTCCACTCATAGAAGTAAATGGACAAGTGAAGTATGATGTGGAAAAGACAAACAGAGAGCAGTACTAATTGATCGAAGAAAGAAACTTACTCAGAATGATACCAGCTAAACAACGTCGACCGACCATGGAACCTCTAGATCGAGGGACAGAGACGTCATCCCCAACTACTACCAATTCGACATTTTCTATTCCCGCGGATTGAGCCATAAGTCTGGCCAGACCGAAATGAAGGTTATCTCCAGTATCTGATACATCAATTCTTGTCTTTTACTTGATTCATGATCTTCCTCCTCTTCCCTCTTCCCTCGAGCGAGGTCGATATAATGAAATCAAGATAGAACAACAGAGATATCACAACGGAACTAAAAATCCATACCGGGGTAGAAAACAAAATGAGATGTTAAAATTCCGTTTGGATCACAAATCAGGAAGAAACAACAAGACTTGGTTAGGAGCTAAAAACAAGGAGTCCATGAAACCCACAATTCGTAATGATCAATATAGTTCCCTTTTCACTAGGTACCTTCTTTATAGCTCCAAAAACTTGTTTAGCACTAGGACTAGCAAAAACGTCTCCGGCAACACCAGCATTAAGTAAACCAGCACCTACAAACCCAACTGTACCAGGTTCATGTCCGCTTCCTCCTCCACATATCAAAGAAACTTTTGAAGGATCATGATCTGCCCTATAGACGACTTTTAAACTTGGTATTAAGGATAAATAAGGATGAGACCCTACTAATCCTTTGAGTGAACGGACTACTAAGGTTGTATGATCGTTGAATATATGTCTGTCTGTCATGTTGTCTTGAGTCGAGATCCGCTTCTTGTTGTCTTGAGTCGGAATTCTCTTCTTGTTGCCTTGTGTCGAAATGTCAAAAAGTTAGAGAGAAGGGGAGGTTGGTGAATTCTCTGGTGTCAATCTCAGTGAAACAAAGATACGATTTGCGGCTATGCGGATGATAGGCTGAGCTTGTGAGTTTGTGTATGCGGCATTGACGAGCGGAGGGTGAGGATTGTAGACGTCTGGACTCTGGAGAGAGAAGGTTGAAGGCGGATACAGCCAGACCGGTCCGGAATGCCGGAGAGTTTAACCGGTCGCATTTACCAGCCTCGGACCGGAATTTTGAATTTGGTCACGGAATGATACGCAAGGCTATATATCCGGGTAGAGCAAACCCGTAGCCTACTCGTAGTCACATACAGCAGCTGTTGCAGGTCAGATATCCTCGTACTAGTACTGTTGTACATGCTATGAGAAAGCGGACGACTATACACCAACTATAAGAAATATTGCAAGATGTTAGAATGTTAAGCTTATACGCAATGACCATTAATTACCGATTTATACCATCCCCATATCCACCAGGAAGGTTACCCATGACTCTTCCATCGCCAGAGGATGATGAAGCACCCATTTGACCACCAGTAGCGAGAAGTCTCTCGAGATCGAATGAGTCAGCAGGTTGGAAAGACATATTTTCGACTGTGTAGCGGGACATGAGGTCCGCCAGCCAGTATGGGCCTGTTGGTCAGCTCTGTTTGTGAACTGATGGCATGTCTTGCTGTGCCGTGACAATCAATCTTCGATGGACCACCGCTATGTTGAGGTGCAACCGAGTGGCAGGTTCCAGAGAGGTCGTGCAGAGATCAGAGAAAGAGGAGCAGGTGCAGGGAGAAGAGAGGATCAGGGGGAGTTGCGATTCGATACTCACTAGGCCCACCGGCAGGGTTGGAAGATGATCGTCCAGATTTCGCGATCCATTCCCTTAATGAAGTTTCCGTCGCAGGAGCTACATTTGAAGGATGTTCTCGATCTATTTCTGTCAGCTTGTCGTCCTCGCAGACCGTCCAGCTCACCCGTTGTGAACCTCCGCAAAAGACCTTTGTCAGGAAGAGAGATGAAAGTCCGTTTAGATTTCGGCATGTTACGTTTGTATCCCGAGCCTGGTCGTCAGCGGTGCGGCTATTGCATACTTATGAAAATCATTTATGATAAAATAACAAACAGGAAAGATCGTCCAGGAAGATGACCCGACCTGTGCGAGAAATGATCGAATGAGACGGGTGATTAAGTAACAAGAGAGGAGAGGCGAAACTGAGGCGGAGGGTGTACAGTACTGGGAAGAGTGGTGAAGAGTGAAGAAACTTTGACCCACGTTTCTCCAAGATTGTAGAGACATAAGTCACTCCCGCCCAATATTGCTCAGTCTTCAAAATAGCACCCATAACAGCTGAGAAGTTTTGACGCGCGACTGAGAGGAGGAACATGTTTGTCGGGTTTGTACTGGCTATACCATTCTGATCCACAGCTACAGCTTCTGTCGCTCTCATTTCGTGTAGAAGGGCCATCCTGGGTGTCAGCGCGGGGTCAACCAGTGATAACGCACCGTCGATACTCTCTCAATGACTACGAGGCAAAAGAAGCAGATGGTAATAGAGTTTTGAAAGATATGAAACAAAGAGGGTATTCAGAACAGCTTATGGTGAAACATAAATCTACTCACGCAGCAACGTACAACGGTTGAACCAAATACGGCGAAGAAGTATATGCCGTTTGACTGACTAAATCGGAAAATACCATACACTCTACTATCTGTCGACTACTCGCTAATGCCAATTTGATAGATCGGTTCATGCTCTGATTCAAGGGAGTTTCTATCCCAGAGGGACTTTTGAGGAGATCGGGATGATAGACCAAAGCAAGAACTGCGTTGGCCCATAAATGTAACGCTAGGAATGTTCCCTGGGCATCAGCGTGCTACTATACGCACTGATTCCACGACTCCATATCTGTGAACCTACCCGATCGAATGACTACTTGTCGAGCGAATGGCCGGTCGATGAAAGGTAGCAAGAGGTGACCAGACGGCAGGAAGGAGAGGTGTAAAGGGGTTCGGAAGGGAAGGAGATGTAAAGAAGAGATACTGATGAACTTACCCCATGTCCTCTTGCTTCTTGATGTTTGAAATTATCTGCCGACCATTTCAAACTTTCCGGTAAAGTCGATACAAACCTAACTAACCTAACCTGTAATTCCGCCAATTGTTGAGCTAATGGTTCAGGAGTATTGACCAAAGTCCTAGCTCTTCCTCTTCTTCCATTGAGAACATTACTGATTCTTCCACAAATAATCATAAGTTTCACCAGTTGCACATAAGGTACAGGTTCAACTTGTTCCTGTGGATCTCCAGGTTTATTCCTAGCTGGATCAGGGAAAAAATCCGCATCTTCAGGTAAAGGTATTTCTATAATATCTTCCCTTATACTTGCAGGTCTACCAGTAGCAAAAGCAACAATTCTATCCGTTACGAATAAAGACCAAAATAATAATCTTGTCCTAACGACATGAGCAGGTGATTCGTATATTTCAGAATTTTCATGTATTCCTAAATCTTCAGACATACGTGCTGCCATACCTGAAAATTGCCATAAACCACTTTCGCTATTCTGTCCAAAGTTTGCCCAGGAAAGAAGAAGTAAACCTGTTGTAACGTCGTATGTCGGTAAATGAAGTAAGGGGATTATGAGTTCTTGTGCTTTCGCTATGAATGGAGCACAAGCGTCGATAGGAGCTTCTTTTGCTGATTCAGAAAATCTTGCACCTATGGCACAGATGCAGCATGCTTGGAATGCTGACATGGTACCAGTTTCGAATCTTTCATCCATACGTTGACGTGAGACGGAAGGGAAATGTTGAGAAGCGTGTTTGAAGAAAAGATCGAAGAGCGGTTTGTAGATGTGAGGATGAGGTAAACCTGATGAGTCGAATAGATCTTGAGCGGGAGGGGAGGGTAAGGGAGTGTCATCTGTACCTGGTTGAGGAGCGGCGGAAGAGGTATCTTGTCTTCGTTGTAATTTAAGAGAAATGCGGTTGATACCTGGGTGTATAGCTGTTGAGCCGGACTGAATGTCAGGCTTTTATTTTACTCTAATTCCAGTATATGTCCCCAGATGATACCCATTCCATGACGAAATTAGTACCCCAATCAGTAGCCCAGAAACTAAAGAGGGACATGGAGTACAAGAGCATGAGAAAGTGGGAGGATCACGAGGGAGGGAGAGAATTGGGGTGGAGTGGGGTGATAGAGAGAGAGAAGAGGAGGGGAGACTCACGAAACGGTAATAAAACAACTCCAAATCCCTATCTTCCGTAGGATCTCCTTCGATATACGCAGCACCACTTTCCAAAGCATTCATCAACCTCATATCTGCCGCTCCAGGTGATAAATATAAACTAGCATTTTGTTCTCCTAATTCAGGTAAAAGAGTCATAGTTTGTCCATCAGGTGTGAAACCAGTTGGCCAAACATAATTACTTGAAGAATTACTCATATCCCATCCCCAACCCATTCCTAATGAACCTGCCGTTTCATGATCTGAACCAGTGTTGACTGTACTGGCTGTTAATGGATCTAAAGATGATTGAGTAGGAATATGATTATGATGTTGACCATAAATTTCACCAGTCACATCGATAGCTGATGTTGATCCAACAGGTTGAGTAGGGATAGAATTTGAAAGATCTACAGATGGTTCACCAGCTGAAATTTCACCATCGGTAATGGTAGCTGTTGAACCTGCTGTCATACCTTTTGCAGCTTCTGCAGCACGTCGTGCTTCTTCCATTTCTTTACGAGTTCTTTTACGTCTTCTACCCATAGGCCATTGACAGCTTACGTTGGCTTTGATACATGCCTGTAATAGGGGTTAGCTTACTACCCTTCCCCATAGCGTATGTTATGGTGAGATGCCACAAGAAAGGACGATCCGGATAGGATGCGAGTCGTGATGGGTACAAGTCCCTGATGGCCAGGCTGGACATGCTGGAATAGCAGGCAGGACAGGGGGGTGGGGGAAGAAGGAGATGTCACATGAGAAACGAGGGAAGAACTTACCTCGCAAACAGGTTTCGTACCCGAACATCTTATTCTCTTTGTTCTACACCAAAAACAAGCCAATTGAACTCTTTGTACACCTTCTTCCCCAACACTAGACTTTCTTCTTTTCTTAACACTACTTCTACAAACGTCAGCTCAACCCTTCATATCTGATATATATACCTTCCTTTCCCCACTGGCCACTTCCAAGTATGTAAGGACTTCTCAGATGATCTGGTCAAATCCGATGGTGATGATCCACATGACAATCACTCACATGTCATGATCCTCTTCATGTCGATCTTCATCACGATTTACCAAACCAGGAACATTCCTTCTCACTGGGTTCACATTTGACCCCTCACTCAAAGTCATATAATCAACATAACCTCCTGTCGAGTTTCTCCCCGGAGGGTGCGAATCGTGAGACTCAGTGCCGCCTCCGGACGTAGAGACGGAAAGAGTTGTAGCCATCTGTGATTCATTCAAACTTTGCCGAAGGGGACGGAATGGATGCCGGGGTATACGGGATGGAGAGGAATGGTAGGTGAAAGTAGGAAGTATAACGGGATGAAAAGTGTGTAAGTTGAAACTTTTGTTGGATTGAGTATGAGTAGGTACAAGTGTAGCAATGACTGTATGTAGCGGTCAGTGACTGAGTGGGGCAGCCGGGGCAGTCGGGAAGACAACCGGGGGGAGAAGAGTCAAGAGTACGGAGGCGGGGTAGCAGTAGAGCGTGGGGTGTGAGGGCTAAAAGGTCAAAGTTGAAAGGGCCAAAGTGAAGAGAGTTGCTGTCTCAGGGCCTTCCAGCTTTCGGAGACGGTTAAGTAACCGGACACAAAACAGGGATATCCTCATCACGTTAAAACTCCGGACTGTGACTACCCTTACTCGTACTACTCTCTCCTCTCTCATACTACTCTACTCTCTCATTCAAATGTAATCTTCTCGTTCTGCGGCGCACCAACAACTATAGATACGTTCTCCCTTTTCGCCATAGCTAAAGCTGCTCCAGGACGCGGTCGACCAGCCGCTTCCCACTTTTTACCTCTCTTGTCAATCTTAGTCCTATTGGTCACACCTTCCCTCGCTTGATCTCTCCTTTCGTGAGACCTTTGAGGCGACTCGGCGGTCGTTTTGTCCTCCATCGGTATAGATTCTATTTCTCGTCTGGGCTTTTTGTTCCGAGACTCTACCTCGTCCTCTGATTTCTCATGCCCAGCTTCTCTCGACACAACCTTACGCTTCACCGCACCACCCCTTGCTTTTCCTTCGCTGGGATTCACCCGTCCTGTACCCGATCGTTTGGAAGCTTCCTCGGAGGCGTACTGTCATCAGTACTGGAAGAGGAGGATATATTAAGGCTCTCACCTCGAGTTGAAGCTTACGACCTGCCATAAACCGGTTCTTTTTGTTTAGTAGGGCTTTTGTTGCAAAAGCGGCAGTGTTGAAATCTAAGAAAGCGAAACTGGTCATCAGCATTGATCACCGTTCTCCCCATATCTCAAGTCCGTCCAATATTTTTTTCCTATGAACTCCGCCCGTAGTCGCCCTTGTGTGCTCGAAGATACGTTCTCTGAGGGGAGAGCTGGAGGGGAAGGGCAGTAAGATGACCTGATCGGATAGTACCACTCACCCTTTACATCTCCCTGTATCTTCAAAAGCTCCCAAACGAACTTTACGTAGCCCACTATTTTTTCCTCCCCTCCCTTGTTTCTCCCCTATGTCCTCGTCTTCATCTTCCTGGTTGTCTGTAGTAGCAGGATCAGGAATCAAAGCGTTGCCCTCGATCATATCCCGTAAACCCTCCTCCGTTGCGTCGAAAGGGAGGTTGCCGACGAACAGGGTGGCGCTCTCGGGGTTCGTTTGTTTGCCCAGACCAGGGATGACGAGAGGTTTGGGGGTACGAGCATTAGGATCGGCTTTGAAGTCATCACCTACAAATAAGCTTGACATCTTTCACGTTTTGAATTTGACATAACGAAGGAATTAATTCGATGCCGGATTCCAAGGAACACCCCATGGCGTTCAGCGAGGATGTAAATTGAGGAAGCACCCAAAGTACCTGATCAATCGAGTTGTATAGGTGAGGTGAGAGGAAGGGACTTGGATACATAAAGAGACGTACCAAGCTTGATCAAAACTTTTCTACCTTCCACCAATCTTTCCGTCAAACTTACAGCTAACGCTTGACTCTCGGGAGAAACAAAATCGACATACGCAAACCTATACATTAGCGTCTCTCCCCCTCATTCCACATACGTCCCTCCCTCGTGGTGCACTCCTGAGCTAGCTCAAGTGTATGAGAAAGTGAACAGTCGGACCAAACTCACCCCTTATTCTGAGCAAAAGCCCCATGGCCAGGTTTAGTAGGCATATTCACCCTGGTCACACTTTCCTCTGAGCCTCCCAATTCCTTCACACCCTTATTGAAAAATTCCTTCAATCTTTCCAACGTAGTGCGGAAAGACAAGTTCCCAATCCATACCGAATTTTGCTTCTTCAACTTGCCTCCTTCCTTGTCTGTATGCTTCTCATCTTTCCCTTCACCCACAATCTTGGATCTCTTCTTCTTGGATCCGTCATTCGCTGCTCCAGCCCCTTCTTCGTCGTTCGACCCATTGGCATGATGTTTGGCTTTTTTTCTAGCTGCCCGAAGCTCAGCTTTACTTTTTGGTTCTGGTGCTGTGAGGTCCACCTCTAGTAAGTCTGGAATTTCTGTCTGACGTTTCTTTTTTGGTATTTCGTCGTCCAATTGTTGCGCCTGCTCAGTACGTTCTTTCTTATGCCTTTTCCCCGTTTTGATGACCGAAGAAGAAGACCCCGCCTGAGTACTCAAATCCACTTCGTCCGCTGTTGACATCTTGTTGTTGAGATGTTACTCAAGTAAAAGAAGTGTTACTTTGGGACAAGGATGATATAACCTCAGCTTTTGAGAGAATTCGAAAATTTCTATTGAGGACGTCATAGGACGGAATCAAATCTCCTTCCACCTCACTCTCCCCTTCCACGCGTTTCGTCCATATCCATAGCTCTTGGCCTTCCAACTCCATCTTTAGACAAGAGAGCAGGATCAACTCAAACATGTCAGTTCCCCCTTACCTACCTTCTTCTCGATCCCCACCACCACTCCAACATCCGAAACCCACTCATCCAGCTTATCCACCACCTGAACCACCTGGCACCCCTGCTCTCTCCCCAGACTCATCACCTTATTCCCAACCACCACGTATATCACAAGACGGCGACTATGTCCGTTATTCCTCCCCTCCCGTGGGTGCTGTAGGTACTGTTACGCCTGATACCTCATCTTCCAGTAGTATGAATACGTATGGTGGACCAGGATTACAGAATAGACAGACGTTTGGAGGTGCCACACCTGTGGGTATCACAGGTGTACAGGGGTATCAAAGTATGGGAAATATGGGTAGTATGGGTACGACTGGAATGAACAATATGGGTATGGGTGGAGGAATGGCAAATATGGGAAATATGGGAAATGGTGGAATGGGATTTGGCTGGGGTGGAATGAATGATGCTACAGCTCAAATGGGTGTACAATTTGGTAAAAGTGCTGTTGCTGCGGGTCAAGATTATGTCGAGAAGAATGTGAGTTTTAGTGTTTGTACAATTGTTGACAACACTTTAACTCGATTGTTGACCCTATTCCACTATAAAGTCGTATAAGTAGGAGAAGGTTTGAGAGACAAAAGCTGATATTCAGTTCACTCGTTATTTACCTTTAACATTGATCAAGACTTCTTTCGCAGTGACCAACTCTTATGTGCTTAACAAACTTCGATTAATTCTCTTTCCATGGAGACATAAACCCTGGGCTAGACAAGTAAAACGATTATCAGAGAATGGAGCTGTGGATGGATGGCAAGCACCAAGAGATGATATAAACGCTCCTGATTTATATATACCTAGTGAGTAGACTCTCACTTATTTTGCCATTCCTACCCTTCTCTCTCTCCATAAGTACCGCTTGGATTGTCTGCTTGGCTTCCCAGATCTCCGTAAGGAAGACTTTTGGTTGTTGTAATTCACCGAGCGACGTCGTTTACCAGCTCACCTCAGCTATGGCACTGGTAACCTATACTTTACTCTCCGCCCTCGCTTCCGGCCTTCAAGCGCGGTTTCACCCAGAAGTTTTAGGATTGAGTTTCTCTAAAGCTCTCGCTGTTGTCATTGCGGAATTCTGCGCGATCAAGTTGGGTTGTTACCTACTTGATGTACGGGGTAGCGGGGCCAGTGGAGTTGAATTGATTGGGTATGGAGGTTACAAATTTGTCGGGTGAGTCGAATTGCACCGTACACACGAGCTACTCCATATCATCTCACACGTATTGCCATATCGCCAGCCAACAACCTCCCCTCCCCTGCCCTCTATGGTGATTGACACAGATTCGTCTGTTTCCTATCTTCACCTGCAACCTCATGGCATGCAGAGGAGGACCTGTTAGGGGATAACATGTGCAGGGATACAAAACTGATTATAGAATCATCATCACCGTCCTTGCCAGTATGTTAAACCTTGGAACTCTGACCACCGGAGCAGTCTTCATCTATCTATTCGGTGCAAACGCCTTCTTCCTCATCCGTTCCCTCCGATACGTTCTTTTACCCGATACTTCATCCGGTATCTCCCCGTCAACATCACATACCCTCTCTCACGCTCAGAGAGCACGAAGAGTACAATTTTTATTCATAATGGCTGTTTCTCAAATACTGTGGATGGGATGGTTATCACGTGTCTAGATTATATGCATGTGATTTGGGGGGTTCCTATACTTCTTTTTCCATCTCTTCACCGTTAGGGGATCCACGTCCAAGAATGGGTTGTGAACCGACGTGATGATTGATGGTATATAAGACTTGGAGATTTGAGGCTGTCATGGAGTGAGGAAAAGAGGAAGAGGGTTGAAAGTTATAATTTCGCTTTGGAGGGTAGGGGAACTTCGTGTTCCCCGTCAGAGGAAAAAGAAGTGGTAGGTATATTATTACCCATATGTTTGGTATGTGAACCAAAAGCTACTATCCTCTCTTGAGAATCCAAAAAGTTGATTCGTGTATATGCCATTGTTCGTCCTGAAATCAGTATGACGAATATTCTCACATCTGATCTTGGAGTACACTTTCCCAACTCCAACTCCAAGTACTCGTACTCGTACTCGTACATTCCTACTGAGACCTCACTTGATCATTGTCGTCAGATTGAAAAGATTGTAAATTCCATCTGCTTCATTCACATTATGTTTCCAAATCATCTCCATCCATCGCCAAATCATCTCCATCCATCGAACAAGAACATGAAAATCACTCGTATGCTCAACCGTAGTGATTCCATCTATGCAAAGGCTGATTGAAGTAAGTTATGAAAAGGCAAGAAGAACTAACCTAATCTGACAACTTCACTAGAACAAATAATAATATCACCTTCTTTCCCTGCGGGTCGAACGAATTCACAAGAAACATTAACGCTCACACCTGTCGGAGCGGGGATACCATGAGTTGATAAACAAAGTGAAGTTATCGTATCTGTTAACTTTTATACTCAGCTCAACATCTCTCCTTTTTTTTCCGATAACAAATATGTACTGTACTGTAGTGATTAGAAATGAAGACTAAGTGACTCATGATAATGATGATTTCGAAAAAGGAAACGTACGGATAGTAATACACCACCATGAACTGTCTGATTTATTTAGCATAGTATCATGATGATGACGAGGAAAGAATGACTTTATGATTATTCAAATGACGTTTTTCAACTAAAAGAGAAGCTTTCAGATAACCAGGACGAGCGGAAAGGATTTCAAGCTGATCATCAGTAACTGAGTAGGATGTACTTCGAATCTCTCGTATCTTAAGATCTTCTGAGAAATCCCGATGATTCTTTGTCTCAATTTCATTTGATGGCATGGTGGTTTCTTAAAAGATTTGGACAGCATGAGCAGCTAACACGGGGGAAAGAGACGAACGTTAGATAGGACATTATGATCCGCTCCGCCTTTCGAGATGGTATATTGCCAACACTATCTATCAGCTTGATTCGAGTTATACTGTATATCATCAAGAATGAACAGATGACATACAGTTTGGACAAACTTTCTACAAGCTGACATTTCGTCTATCGAGTTCGTACCATGTAATGATGTAATGTACTTAGGTCAGTTGCTTTGCTCACGGACGATGGTCACTATTATCCGACGTCATCACAATTTGTGACGTGGCATTGATCATATTGGACTATGCGTGCGTATTGAACATATATCGTACTCCTTCTTCGCCCAATTCATGTTTGAAGCATATAGTAGAGTAGAGTAGACTAGAGTAGCATGTAACATGTAACATAAAACACATCTAAATGACCAAATAACAGAATGAAAACACCCTCACGAAGCCTCGCTATCCCCCCAGAATCCAAGATCAGACCCCTCGATCCTAGATGTTTTCTCTCACATGAACCAAAGATAATGAGGATTCTTGTCTCCTAAAGAAGGATCATCCGGTGCTCCAGCAGCTATCATTTCACGTTTCTTTTTGTTCATATGACGAGCATAAAGAGCCTGTTTCATATCAGAAATTTGTATATTACAAAAGATATTGACTCACATTGGTACATGTGCAAAGGAAAGAAACGCATGTCATTCCTTTGTGATCAGACTTTATCAACAATATATGATAGCGGAAACTTACCGACGTCGAAATGAAGACCTTTAAGATAACGTGGGGCGGTTTGAGTTGTAAATATGAAACCGATGATAGCACCGGCAGTATCTAAATTCAGCCAAATGCTCAAGTCACAGTGGTTGAAGGATCCGGAAAGTGACAGAACTTTAGCGTGGAATTGATAACTGGATCAAGTGAGAATACGTGGGGCCAACAAGAGAGAAAAGATCACTCACTTCCGATAAATTGCATCATACCCATTGACAAAGCACGTTTGTAATGAGGACCAAAGTTGTCCGCACACCACATGTTGTTGAGAGTCCCTCCGGCATAGAGACCTATACAACCGATGAAACAACCCGCGTAACGAACCCCTACTCTATCCGAAGCAGCAAGCATGATGAATCCGATCAAGTTACAAATGTTACTAGCGAGGATGAAGGGACTTCGGATCTTGTATCGATCAGAAAAGAATCCAGCGATGGCGAAACCGACAGCGGCAATGACATAGACTGTGCATAAGTTAGAGTTAGCGATTGACCAACTGTGGAAAGACATACCTGGAACAGTTAGGAGTTGAGCTTGAACACGGGTCGTGAACCCTAAACCCGCCACGATGGATGGCATAAAAGTAGTTAAACTGTATACGGTACAGAGCATACCGAATTGAGAAATACACCTATCTCATCAGCTTCGAGTCATGATGATAAGCAAGGGCATCTCACATGAAATAAACTCGGAAATCTTTGACGGCGGCTAAGAGCGCTCCCCAGGTGAACTTATCCCTCTCATCGTAAATTCGTCTATTACGAATTCTTCGTTTTTCCATCGCTGCTCTTTCCGCTGGTTTGAGGAACCGACATTGGGTAGCCTCATTGGGGATCATGAACCAAGCGAGGGGGACGAGGCAGATTGAGATAAGACCTTCAACTAGATACCTCGGGATGTCAGCATGGATGATTCCAGCGATCAATCTCTTACATCCATTGCCAGCCATGCAACCCACTGGCGTGAATCTGACTGAGTCCGTACGCTAGTAGACCACCGAATGCTCCTGACATACAGTTGGCAAAGTAGATAAAAATCTGCCGAGTGACGTATCTGATAGAAATCAGCTGAAATAACGCTTCCGTGCGTCCGGTTCTCGACCACTCACTCGTCTCTGTTATAGGTCATAGATAAGAACAGATTGATCGTCGGAATCATCCCCGCCTCAAAGATCCCCAGAAGAATACGAACCTGTTGGTCAGCATGTATGAGAAAGATCGGAAGGGTAGGGGGGAGTAAGGGGGGAGGTGTGGAAAGGAAATCGACAGGGAAGTGGAAAGGAGATGACAGTGCGGGGAAGTGCAAAACTCACTGCCAATAGCTGATCGTAGTTTTTGATAAACGCACTTCCGATAGTGATAACAGCCCAAGCTAGAGTGCAGAAGGTGACTGAGAGGTGAGCAAATGGATCTGTCGATGAAGGAAAGTTGACTGACTCATGACCTTCGGCGTGACAATCTTGACCAGGACGGAAGCTGGAAGAACGGTCAGCAAACATCATATAGGTGCACAAGGGACCTACCAGTTGGTTCGAAGAAGACATAAGTCGAGTAGACCACAGAGACCGCAGCACCATATTGGTTGCCCACGAGACCGAGGTCGGTGCTGAAACCGGTCAAGTTGGCGTTACCGATGTTGGACCGATCTGCGTATGTCAGCCATAATCATTCAGTGACTCGAAATCGAACAGAAGAGGTCTATCCGAGTTCGACCTGTAGAGCAGGGCTAGAGTTCCAGGAGGATAAATGCAAGGGGATAGCAATTGTACATCGGAAGACTGGGGTGAGAAGGATAAGGGAGGCTGTAGCGGAAATACGAGACAGGTGTCCACCAGAAAAGAAAGAAGTACTGTGCTACGAAGGTGATATAGAGAGTGCTTGATGGAGTTCAATGAGTGAGATTGATAGGACTGCGTACCGAGGAAAGACATCATGTAGACGATCTAAGTGGTATCAGTGATCAGGTTCTCCGGTGTATGTGACAAGAACTCACAGCGAAGGTGACGATCACTGACAGATCCACACGTCTGAGACCTCTCTTTGCCAAAACTTCATCTTCTGCAGTCCAATCGTCTACCTCTAAGACCTCATGAGTGAGTTGTTTCTCGTGAGTCCCATACTCGTCTACCTTCTCGGAAGACTCTGTGGGGATGTGTTGAGAGAGAGACATTTCCAAGACGTTGCTAGATGATTTACCAAGGGGACGATCGTTACTTGATACATGGTCCAATGATAGTTGGACATTTATACGGAAGGATGTAGAATGGACGAATGGTGATAAGGTAGAAACGAAACCATTCACGGGATTTCGGGAGAGAGGACGGGTTCAAAGCCGACTCGAATGGTCAAACAGGAAGAGGCTTCAGAGCAGAGACAAAAGTCATAAGAACGAAGGAGAACGTCGTGTTCCTTCAGGCACCCCGCAATTGTTATCAATGAATCAAGGGTCTGAGATATTCGGCGTGAGAGAGATATAAACCGGTCGGGTGCATGGGAACATAATCATCTTATCGACTTTATACCTTGACTTGAAATACAACACTTGACATTGGTCGCAAAAGGAAGCAAAGGAATGACGGAACAACCCCCGGTGAAACGGCGCCGAACACAGAGGGCTTGCGATAACTGTCGACAACAACGTATACGGTATGTCATCGTCATGGGGTGTTGATTGTGTCCAAGTCGAGGCAGAAAGAAGTTGACTTTTGAAAGATGCGATTATGATGGTGTTAATCAAGTTTGTGTTCATTGTGCAACTTATGGAATCTCATGTGAGAGAAACGCACCTGCACCAAAGGTATTTTCATCAGCAACCTCATCACCATCACCATCGCCATCACCATCAATACCATACTCTCCGACTACCGGCGGCATGGCGATTTCAGTTTTGATTTCATAAATGAGAGATGATGATAGGACGCGGGACTTGGACACTTGTTACTGACATGGGTAGGATGACAGACCTCGGAAGGCCCGTAGACACACCACAGAAGAAGCAGAGGATCTAGCTCAAGGAGTGGAACCGGGTTATCTGGGTAAGAACATCAAGACGATCTATCAAATCCTTTCTTCCAACTGATATTTCTCAGGCCGATCAAGTTTGGTGAATCTCGTTTTCGCTCATTGTTATCAAAAATCATGGAAACGACGACTTTCAGAATTAGATCATGAACATGATTTATATCGTGATGCTTTCCGTGAGGGAGAACCAGAATCCGGTTGTCTGGTTGGACGTATGGTGCCTATCGATCCCGCCCATGGTGGTACTTCAGCTTGCACGTTTGGAAAAGCATCTGCGAAACTAGCAGATAAGATTGGGGCACAAACCATCTTGGACGATTGTAAGTTTTCCCCAATATTTTGTGTCCTCCTCCTTGTTGTCCATGTCGAGCTTACCATCTTTAGTGTTATTGAAAGGCCGACTGCATATCATTCCATTCTTCCCAGTAGTCACAGTTACCGAAAGGTAAGCTTTTACATAATCGTAATACAATCACTTACATATTGACATGTAGTCTTGGTCCACAAGGTCCTCAAGAAGATTACTTTCGAATTTGGTCCGTTCATAACCCTGATTCTGCACCACCTTCAGCTATACCTCGTGTTATCCGTCTTATCTTATGTGCTATACCTTCATTATCAAGAGATGTTCCTCCAAATATACGAAAGTCAGTCTTAAACACTGTCCAAGGTCTTTTGACAGGTCCGGAAATGAGTCGGATATCTTCTCCGACTTTGTCAAACGTTCAAGTTCTCATCTTGCTCAGTCTTGCGGATGAGCTGCACGCTTGGGATGCTCGAGGTGCGGAAAGTATGGCTTGGAGACGGATTGGAACGGGTTTACGTATGGCTTTAGAGCTGGTATGTGATCTTGAGTGGTAAGTAAGAGTGCCTCAAGACTGATATGACAGGGTCTACATCGTGCTGTATCCTCAAAAGTCGTTCCTAGACCTCAACGACATCGTCGTCAACGTGTATGGGGTGCATGTGTCTTTGCGGACCGATGGTGTGTTGTCTCTTATACTCTTCAAAAGGTCTTGCTGATTATCTCTTACAGGCTCTCACTCAGACTTGGCCAACCACACACTATCAATCTCGCCGATGCTGATGCTCCACCACCATTCCCATATCCTGATCATATTGACCCCGCTCAATCCTCCACGGTCGTCCCATCTTTCCAACTGTTCTGCGAGTTAACTCGGCTAAGCGAATTCCTAGGCAAAGCTTGTAAATTTATTCATCTTCCACTCAAGTCATCTAACTGAAATGAAAGGTAATTTGGTCTGTACCCCATCTTGGCTTGAAAGAGCAGACGACGTATCTCTTCTGTTATGGCAAAATAATTTCGAAACGTGGTTAGAAGCTTTACCAACTAATTGGCGATACGATCTTCGTTGTCTCACTGAAGCTTCTCAAGTCCTCAATGCTCTTGTTGTCACTGTCATGGTAAGAATACCTTCTTTCTGACGAGTGGAAATGAAAATGATATGATAGTTCACATTTTATCAATCGTTGATTTGGCCGATTAGACCAATACCCTCTCATATAACCTTTCGACCACCTCAGCGTCGAAAACAAGATCTCATCCGACGTTCTCAAGAGGTCATAATCTGGGCAGAAGGATCAGGTCAATTTTATATTGATACTTTGTCTTTTATACCTTACGCCGTAGGTGAGTAATCGTTTTTGATTTCCCTAAAAATGTATCGAAACGGTTATTTAGTCAGTGATTGACAGACAGCATGTTGCACTTTGATCCGAGTCAAGACTTATGACGAAACTGAATCTCTTTCGACTCTAGAATGGTTAGATAGAGGTATTGCTGTTCTTGCTTCTTGGGCAGATGTAGAAACTACCAATTCTCAATTCCGTCAAGGAAGACAAAATCTCGTAGAGATGTTGAAAGTTCTTCGTCCTGTCGATCCACCCGTGTTAAGTGATCCATTCGAGATTTTTGGTCCTGAGTTTCAACTAGAATAAGTGTGATAATACTGTTGTAATCCTCTAAGTATATATTAGATTTCCAAAAAGATATGTGGAATGTATTAGTTCTGTATCCAAGTGGAGAAGCTCAATACGGTGCATATTCAAAAGAAGAAGCTAAAATTCTATCTACACAGGGAGTAAAACTTTGACGCCGTGATACATCTGTTCAGACATCTCCACCCCGTTCACCAAGACAATCTTCATTTTGGGATTATCGGCGACTTGTCTAATACTGGCTATCTGACTCTCACGCCATTCCCTATTAGTGGGGACCTGTAGGTTAGCGAATGTCACAACCTGTACCAATGAACATACAGGGAAACCTTTATCCATTAAAGCTTTGAATTCTTTATATACTCCTTGTTCCTCGATACAACCTTCACGTTGGATCAAAGGAGATACTTAACAATTAGCATATTGTTCGTAATGTAATATGATGAAACATACCATAAGCAGGTTGGACACGCATATCACTTTCAGATGCGTTAAAAAGTACAAGAGAAAGACGTTCAAAAGTACGTTGATCTTCAGGAGGTTCAACGACCCTATGACGAGTAGCTTTAAAATGACCACCAGAAATGACTACATATGTCAGCTCCTCCTAATGTTAGGTATACCTAATTTGAATGGAATAAAATGTGTAAAAATATGAAAAAGGACGTCAACTCACTCTCGAGAGTTTCCCCAATATTAATGACCAAAGCTCCTGGGTTATATCCTACATAACGCCATTTATTATCCCTACCCCAAATCTGAAGTGAAGAAACAGGTACAGAAAATAATAATGTAGTAGTACCATAATCCGTATGACCGTTCATCCTTAAAGCACCACCACCAACAGATTTTATATCTTCTGTCAAAGGACGGAATAAAGCATGACGGAAATAACTATCAGCTACTATACCTCCTTTACTTTGAATGTTTTCGTATAACCAATCAGGAGGAAGTTCCAATACCAAAGAAAATAATTTGAGTAATCTACGATTGACGGAAGTCGTAAGGTATTGAACAAAAGCTGAGATTTCTTCCATGAAAGGATGAAGACATGAAGGGACGAGATTCAAATCGGCAAATTGTTGTTTGTAAAAGTTAAATTGTTCAATACCGTCTGGAGCTCCCTTTTCACGCTGACATGGATTAGCTCATGTTACACTGAAAGTATCGTATTCCTTTGTCGTAATCTTCTCCGAAATGTGAGGCATGATGAATTTATGTTGCAAGGGTAGTGATGGAATGCGAAGGAGGAGACGAAACATTTAGCTCACCCTCCATCCAAATGGAGCTTTGTATCCTGCATAAGATCCACCTTGAGGGTTCCATTTAAGTCTTTCTTTTTCTTCCTCGGTAATGTGATCATAGGTATATTGTCCGATTGAAAATTGTCGATGAAGCTATTACTTGTCAATCTCCATCCTTGATGATTCTTGATTGGACCAAAAAGGTTGACTCACTTGTTCCAAACTGACACCATAGTTAGTCAAATACAAAAACCCATCTTCCTTGATAGCGATTTTAGCTGTTTCGACGAGTTTTTGAACCACAGCTGGATCAGGATCTTCCAATAGGTTGAGCTCGATGGTATGAAGTTGAGCAAATTCTATTCCTTTTCCATCTGTTGGAGGTGGAGGGATCCAAGTTGGAACATGTGGTTGAGGTTCGGTAGGTGTAGGAGGAACGTATGGTTCAGCCATATTGATATCTGACTTGTTGAGTTAGAAAGAATTGTTGGTTTCTAGCAGGAACTTGCTTACGAGGAACGGACTGGTGTCCCATCTATATATCTTCTACTCTAGCCACGTTGGAAAACATTTCCTGTTACCCGAGTACGAAGCCGATGGATCTATGGGATCTGTAGTTCTCATTTGGGTTTGGCCGGGTTTAGAAGTCGAAAAGACGACTAAACGATCCCGGTACCCGAGTTCTGTGCGGGTCAAAGCGAGGTCGCGCATGATTCGAATGTCGACATTGAACCATTGAAAATTCATGAGTAGTTCTCTCTTATTGCCGGATGACGACCAATAGGATTTCATGAGATGTACGGGGGAGTCGGGTGATCGAAGTTGAATTTGTATGATAAGCTTTTCGTTCCTGTCCCTCGGGAACTCGGATTTGTATACTTGGTCGATGGTCAAGCTTCGTGGAAAGCGAGGAAACTTGGTTAAAACCTCAGGACGTCATTGAAGAAATGACTCAAGTCATCTCTTATTCTCACTTTCGTATTGACAATGACAAGCCAAATCGACGCGGTCTCTTCGAAAGAGTTTCCTCTTAAACCCCATAATTGTATGTCGAACATTGGTTTTTTGAGTAGGTGGAAAAGTTGACATTGAATAGCGCCGGCGGTCAAAGTTCCAGGTCTCATGTTCTGTAGTGGTCAGCTCGGTTTCGGTGAAATGGCAGATGCTACCGTGCGCAAAGGAACACCCCTTTGGTCGTCAAGATTCAACTGATGTGGTTTAGATCGAATCATTGACCAAACTCAAGAGCGTTCTCGAAATTGGCGGTTCGAGTTTGGAAAAGGTGGTAAAGTTCAATGGTTCGTATTTCCATCTCTTTCGTAAGGCTACATTATTGATCAAAAGTCCTCATAGGTGATATCGAAAAGTTTGATGGTGAGTCACTGATGTCATTCGTTGACGATCACATGCTGATGGATTCCCACAGAGTTCAACAACGCTTTCATGGCCGTGAGTTTTGTCACCTCGACTGATTGAACTATTGAATCGTAGCTGATCCAGAAGTTCACACCTACTCCTAAACCCGCACGTACTTGCACTCAGGCCGGTCGTCTTTGGGGCGGTGCTGCAATTGAGATCGAGTGCATTGCTCAGCTTTGAGTAGATCACATAGTAGTCGTAGATTGTTAAGTGATCATAGGCGAGATGAATTAGTTGCGAAAGTGTCTTCGATACATTACCGGAGTCATGGTTCCGTCTGTCAGGGTCTAACTATCCCGAACACCCGGCGTATCTGGTGCCTTTCCTTGGGCCGTCGTCTCTCAACCTGCGTAGTCGTAGTCGTATTCGTATAACACTACTGACGTTAAAGATGAGGAAATATTCATCCTCAACGACGTCTCCCAACAACGTGTCTACTACCTGAAAATTACCACCCCAACTTTCATAATCACCAAATCCAACAATGACCATCGAAATCAACACCCCTTCTTCTACCGCAACCCTTAAAAATCCAAAAGCACATCTTACCGGAGCTGAAGTTCGAAAACTCGCCAGAGCCAATTTGATCGGCGACACTGGAGGTCTCGGACATGGTTACGTTCAATGTAACTTACTCATCGTCCCCGCTCGTTATGCCGATGATTTCCGTCGTTTCTGTCAACGTAATCCTGTATCATGTCCTTTGGTAGCCGAAACAGCCCCAGGTGATCCTACTGTACCTTCCCATATCGCCGCGGATTGTGACATCCGTACCGACCTTTCCGGCTATTGCGTTTATAAAGACGGAGAGCTTGTAGCTACCAAAACGGATGTACTTGAAGAATGGGAAAAAGACACCTACGTCGCTTTTCTCATCGGTTGTTCTTACTCTTTCGAACACGCCCTTCTCGATGCTGGAATCACTATGCGTCATAGAGAACAGGGTACGGTAGTCTCCGTTTACAAAAGTAAGATACCATTGAATGCTGCGGGTCGTAAGTATCTTCTTTCACATCATAAAGACAACGTTGACGGTTAGCCTTCTCAGGAGCAATGGTAGTTTCCATGCGTCCTTTCAAAGCAGATAAAGTGAAACAGGTTCAGGAAATTACGAAAAAGTATACGTTGGCTCATGGTGAACCTATGCTTTGGGGTGATGAAGGTACCAAAGCTCTAGGGATCGATATCAACAAGACGGATTGGGGACAACCTACGAATATGGAAGATGATGATATTCCTGCTTATTGGGGATGCGGTATCTCTCCTCAAACGGCAGTTATGGATTCAAAGGTTGAAGGAACGTTCATGGCGCATCGAGGAGGATATATGCTAGTGACGGACTTGAGGGTGGAGGATGTCTGCGCTTGAATTTTGGCAAGGGTGGGATTATGGTAACGTTGTCGGACCGTCGATCTGTCCTATCGGTCGAATGTCTGATCCTATTATGTAGTTTTTGGGTATCTTGTCATGTCGATGCTGTTACACGGGTAGAGTCAGTACTGGTTGTAGATCGAGTATGCAGCCTCTTGCTTTCAACATCGAGGGCGATACGAGGCATACTGTATACTCATTTCCACGGTAACCTTGATACTACTTACTGGTAGATGCCACAGGGGATTGAGAATCACGTGACTTTCTTCCCACCCGCAACCTGCGCAGAAGTCCAGACTCGACCCACTCACTCTCCTCCACCTTCCTCCTCTTATCACACTCGGCAACACCTGAAACCGACTCATCCAGCCGAGCTACATACTGCAAGTAGGAAGGCAGTAGCCGACAGATCAAATGACTCCTAACTTATGATCCTCTGAGCGTCGAATCGCAGAGTGAATGACCAATGATCCACGTCCTCTCAACCTGAAACCCCTCCGACGTCAATCCCTTCCACCCCTCTGAAACGATCCCATCATTCTCTTAGACTTCTATCTTTCTCCCCATACAAATGGATCTCCAGTCAAATCCTGATGCTGGTCCATCCAGATGTACCCCACCCACCACCCCCAGTAATAAGCCAAAAAGACGGTCTTGGTTCTCTCTCACTCCTCCTGTCCACTTGACGACCAGTTCACCGACTGGATCCGGCATCTCCCGTCGACCCAGCATGGCCCAGGAAGAGGAACATGAAGAGCATGAGCTGGCCATCGTGGGACATGATGCTGAGGGTGAGCGCGTGGTAGAAAGCGGCCCCTCGGTCATCTCGGTCACCGAACCTGTCCGTACAGACATGGTCAGTGAAGATCATGGCGAGATGCTCAACATTAATGGCGAACCGGAAAAAGCTTCAAAACTTAAGAAGAAGCGCAAATCGAAGATCGATCCTGACGGGGAGGTATTGCGTTTGCAGGATTTACCTCACAAACCTCCTTTGCCTGAACCCATGCCGCCGCCCTCCGTGAGTTTGTACAAGTAGTCATCACCATGCAAAGCTGATCAGATAGGCCTTCACCTCCCGCACATTCACTCGCGCAGCTAGCGATAGACATCCGTTTCCCATCCCCGACTCACCCTGGATACCTGATTACCACCCACCTCGAAGCTCGTCACTCACTCATCCTACACCAACTTCAACATTTCCCAGACGATCTTTCGAAAAAGCCCACCCGCCCCTACTATATGACAGACCACTTCCTCCACTTCCGCCCAATAAATTATCGCTCGATGCGGTTAAGGGTGACGAAAATGCGACGCCCCCGCCCTTACCACGAGGAATCGTTGTCACTCCGAGCAGTCCGCACAAACCGACGGATTTCGAGGTTGTGAAGACTCAGATCTCTGGGCCATACAGACGCCGGAGCGGCTCTCTAGCTCGATCCAATACCCCCCTAGCGTCTCGCTCCAGTCCAGACAAAGTGCAAAAGAGCTCACCGATCGGTCTCGGTCTGCCTACTGCGGTACACCGACGATCTTCTCCAGAAAAGGACGTCAATAGGGTAGCGGTCTCATCGCCCTTACCCAATCGAAATCTCAGTCCTGGATCACGTATTTCATTTGTCGATGAGGGAGGAAGACCGAGTAGTAGTCGGGATTCGAGCAGGGAGCGAAGGGATACGAAGGCACAGCACGTCAAGCGTGTCCGCAGTATGTCAGGCATCTTGAGAATGGACGACGCACCAAATTCGAGTAGGATTAGTCTGGCCGGGCACAGTCACGATGGGATACCTGCAGACACAGGGGAGAGAAAATCATCGCGAGTACTTGAATGGCTTGGGGTGCGTAAAACTCCTCGTAGACCCAAATCAGTGGGGAAATTGAAGGCGGACGATACAGGAGAGGAGTTGCAGGATAGAGGACGAGCCGGCGCTCCTCAAAGTATCGGCTTTCATATGGATTCGCATCGCCTTCCAAGCCCCGTACCCAGCATCGCCAACTCCTCGCGCACTTCTTCTCCCGTGATGATGATAAGACCAGGACTTCCAGCAGCGCCCTCTACCACCACAGTCGTACCTTCTCCCGGCGGCAAGTTATCTGCCCTCTTCCACCGACGTGCGTCGGCCAAACAGGAGAGTTCTCCTGCCGGAACATCTACGTCTGAACTGCCGAACATCATCACCACCCCTCCCCTCCCTCATCGAAATGGCACTGCCATGTCATCACAGTCCTCTCTGGTCCTCCCTCCGATTCAATCTGTCTCCTCGCCCATTAACATATCTCACGTAATATCCGGAGTCGAAACTCCTCATGTCGGTTCGGAGACAGAAGAGCTTCTATACGCTGAAAGTTTGAGTCGTTGGGGTCCTGGGATCCGCCCGTGGATGGATGGCCTGGAAGGAGGCCAGCAGTCTTCCAGCTCCTCACTTCATACGCCATTGGAACCCCTTCCAGAAAGCAATCCCCTGGGCTTGGCATCTTCGACGGCGCCAAGACCATCTAAAGAGACTCGACCTCGGGCATGGTCCGATGCCCCAGCACCCTCTCCAGACGAGATAATCTTCCCAGCCTTACAGCCGGATCTGAACCATGGTTCATCGAACCCCACTCCGGTACGTCCCAGACTCGGTGCCAGGACCAATTCCAACAACTCGGCTATAATAGATCGTATGCGCAACGTCTTTACTCGTAGCAGCTCTCGTCAACGGAGTCAAACCGTCTCCCGCATTTCGGGTCGTGATCTGGACGAGTTTGGAGTGGTGAGACCTGGACGATTGGAAGATCGAACACGAGTGCCGTCATCTTCCTCGTCTTCCATGATTTCTCCCGCCTCTATCCCTGGCTTTCATCTTGACAGTCCACCTCTGCCGGTTTCGAATAGCGATCGGCTCATCTTACTAGACGAGCCTTTATCACGCTCGCCAAGAAATTCTTTCTCCGCATCCTCTCCTCTCGCCACCTCTGTGCAACCACCTTCCACGGCCGTATCCAAGCGGTTTGCCAGAGCTCGTGCTTCAACAGTCTCATCTGTCGGTCCGTCGTCAGCTTCCCTCCTGCCTCCTTCCCCAAACATCTACCCTATAGCGGCAACCCCACCTCGACGAAGACCGAGCGTCATCCATCGTATCTCGACCGGCCTTCTGGGAAGCTCACCAAAAGCGACAGGTCTCTTCCCTCTTCCCCCGAGATCAAGTGGTAGTGCTTCCTCCACTTTCACGAACGGTTTACCCAACAATGGTTCGTCGGTTGCCCTCAGCTTGACGACCTCCCCCAGACCGAGTACGAGTAGTGTCCCAGGCGCCACTGCAAAACATTCCGTCAACGTTCCAGCAATAGAGGCTGATGAATCGGCACAGGACTGGCTAGCTCGAGTAATGACCACTATTGGTAGAGTGGATATTGCTGGCGTTCTTGCAGCTCGTGCCGATCCCTTCCACGCTGAAGCCCTTCGACTGTATATGGGTCGGTTCGACTTTGTCCATCAGCCGCTGGACGTTGCTCTGCGTATGTTACTTTTGCAGATGTCTCTACCCAAAGAGACGCAGCAAATCGATCGCGTGATCGAAGCTTTCGCGACCCGATATGAGGAATGCGAACCCTTGTTGTTCGGTAAGACGGACAATACCTACGTTCTTGCCTTTTCCATGCTCATGCTCCATACCGATCACTTTAACGCTCACAACAAATCAAAGATGACCAAAGCCGACTATGTGCGGAATACGAGGTTAGAGGGAGTTCTTCCGATCGTTCTCGAAGTGTTCTACGATAATATAACGGCGGAGGAATTCATCTTTATGGACGATGATGAAGTGAGTCGACCGACCCTCAATCCAGGTCCGGGTGGGCGATCGCGGAGCCACACATTATCTGGTCTATCCGTCAACAGTTCTTCCACCGCAATGGCTCAGTCAAAACCTTCCTCAATTGACGTGTACGGTATGATCAACAATGCCCAGTTGCGCAATCTCGAGCACGAAGTACGACATCACTTTCCAATTGAAGATCACTTATCTGCAATGGGAACTCTTCCTGCTTTACATGTGGAGCGTCTACATCGAGCCTTCATCCGTGCCAAGATTGTCCCCTTACCGAGTCCATCTAAGCGGAAGCTGTCGTCGAAACTCAACAATAGTTCACGTCCAACATCACCTCTTACGCTTGCTGGACAAGGAACGACTTTACAAGTCGCCAAAATCGCTCGGGTTTTAGTGAGGAAACATGACAGTATCGATATAGCTGGGAAGAAAGCACGCAAGTGGCGACCGACGATAGTGGTACTTACACCTTCTCAAATGCTTCTGTACAAAGATTCAACTCCCAAAGTTGCCCCCGTGGAAGTAGTCGGAGGAGAGAGCGTGGAAGTGGCTTTTCCTTCCGGACAACCGGAAGAAATGCTCTCCCTCAAAGATGCCTTAGCGGTGTACGATAAACGGTCTAAGCATCATACCGGTCCATACACCTTCAGGTTCGTCATGCCATTAGGAAGACAATACGTCATACAACTTCTGCAAGAAGGGGAGATGAATGAGTGGATAGGTTTGATCAATTACGCAAGTGCGTTCAGGACGGCTGGCATTCGTATGCGAGCTGCGATGACGGAGAAGGAACCATTCTCATCTGCGACCATGCCAATATCGAGGGTATCAGCTGAGATGGGGAGGGATAATGAGAGAAAGGTATTTGGGGAACCCATGCAGAGAGGTGTATCAGACAGCGGTCAGAGATTACGGAGTCAGATGAAAGGTGATGATATGGAGAAGATCGACGATCGTAATTTTTCTTCAAATCCAAACGAGTCACATAATCCTTATCTGACCACCAACACCCACGCTCTTTCACTTCAAGCCGCCCAATCAGCACGCTGGCAGGCTATTGATGTGAGTCGTAATCTTACTTCTTATGAAGTAGGGACTGATGTAACAGGAAAAGATCCGCGCTTTGAGCGAAAAAGCCGATCAAGTTGACTCGTCCATCCAAACCTCTTTTCAACTCGCTCGAAACATCGCAATCCTCACTCCGTTCCTCAAATCGTCTAGGGATAGATTAGTCGCTGCTCTTCCTGGTTTAGCGCATCCGTTGAGGCAGGACAGACTGGAGAGTGCCAAGCTACGAATATGGATAATCATTCTGCGTAATCACATGGCGAGGGAGAAACGTGAAAGTGCGAGATTGCGAAGTTCGGTCATGGATAATATGGGTATCGGATTACGTGATGCGAAATCTCCTAGAGAAGTGGGAATGCGTTCAAGTAGAGGAGATAGCTCTCCAATGCCATCTCCATCGAATTCGCCTTTATCTCAATCTGGGGTATCGGATCTTCAAGTGGAATATGGAGAACAAGATGTATCCGGGATGACGACAAGTAAACCTACTACTTCTCGTGTCAAATCGGACGAAAAAGACCAAGACAATCACGTCCGGCCTGATGAAATTGCTGAGGGAAACGCAATGGATGATGATGATAATGAGGAAGATGACACTGCAGACGTTTTACCCGATGCTCGACGGAATAGTGAGGTTGAATCTATAGTGGACCCTCTGCATCGGAGCCAAAGTCAAACGTCGATTCACTCGGTCGAATCATTCCATTCGATCGGTTTGGGTGAGAAGGATGAGTTGGGAGATAGGCCAGGAGCGAGAAGATCAAAATCGGAGGATGTTTTACGTCGAGGAATCGAACAGATGGAGATTGAGATGGAAAATGGGAAGCGAGCCGAAGATCACAGGGTGGATACTTGGGTTAGATGATCGAATGACTCGGGTTGTCAATTTTGTCAGGTTGTATGGATCTTTTATGAGTGAGGAACATACGTTATTGACTTGCCTGAAGTAGCATCACCATCACTAGCAAATTGATCTTCATCACTTTTGAATGTATCTCTGATAATCACGGTTTGTCCTTCTTCTCATCATCCTCCACAGTAGAAGTTTATGAAGGCATCATGAGTATCTTCTCTGTGAGCACATTCCCCGTCTTCGTATATGGTGGCTAAATTGCAGTTGGCGACTATCATCGCTCGACCGAGTCACGAAGCATCTGTGAGAGAAGGTGGGTTTATGGGTGATACTTGACTTTTATCAGTGTGCTCGAGTACTCATGATAGCTCTGATCAAGGTGAATAAGAAGGTGAAAGAGACCGAGAAAGGTACAATACAATATCAGCTCACAGAGGATACGGACAAAGCGGGAGTGTTTTATATGTGGGAAGAGGTATGTATTCAGCTCTCACCATAACGCACAATAAAAACGACCATTTCCCTTTATCACTCTTGATCCGATCCGCTTGACTTCACGGCTACCCTTGCCCTCCGTCTTCCTTCTAGCTTTCTCGATGACATTTCATTCTCATCCTATAACTCCATCTACTTCCACTCTCAATCACTATCAACTCTCATCGGTTGAGCTATCCATCCCACTGGATACAAGGGAGTCTGGCTGATGGATAGTATGTCGACCAAAGCGCCTACGAAGGTTCGTCCTTTCTTTCCCTCCACGTGAAGAGGCTAAAATGTAGATCATGTGAATAGTGAAGCAGTCAAAAGTGTGTATAGGTATCGTCAGGTGAAGATCGTTGAGAGCTGATATATGATAGGTTTCCAAGAAGAAACGAGGGATAAGTTGGACGTGAAATTGATCATGATGAAGGGATGTTGAACGTATGTGTCATCATAGTGATGATCTTCAAGTTCAACTCGCTTCACGATGGATCCGGTCATTGAGGTCCAATTGTGCGCACGGAAGAGCGCTGCCATTGCTGCGAAGGAAGCGGGCGACCATCGAGGATGGTATGCACGATACAGAGGGTTCAGAAGAGTTTGTACTCGATAGTTGATGATGTATGAGGTTAAATGAGGAAATCAGGGTTATTCCGTTTTCGTTCCACTGCTCAGGGCTCTCTTGATGCCATCAGACACTAAAATACTCATTTGGTTCAACCCTGGTCGTCAACGTGTTACCCGACCAAAAGTCTACTCACATTCGATAGACTGACTACCTCAACTCTTCACCGTTAATACTCGTATTTGACTAGAGGGAATGGACCAGGAAATGACTGAAAGCGAGCTATCTGAAGACGAGACGTCCGAAGACGGATCAACCACTTCTTCCAAATCCAAGTCAGAAATACCCGAATACGACGACGAGAATGCCGATCTAATCCTGGTATCAAGTGATGAAACTCGATTCAAAGTACATTCCTATTATCTAAAAGCTGCCAGGTACGAATAATCCTTCTCTCTTTCACTAAACCTCTTTTTCTAACATTCAGCGTCATCTTCCGTAACATGCTTCAGAACCCTGACTCAATGGCTCAGTCAGGAGAACGACCGATGATACACTTGACCGACTCTACTATCGAGACAGCCAATATACTTCGCGCCGCTTTGGACGTCCTTTATGGCAAACAATTCCCAGACGATCATCGAAAGTATCATGCCAGATTACTCAAAGTTATCCGGTTCTTACAGAAATACGAATGCGAAGGATCGATCGATAAAATTCGTTTATTATTACATAGATGGATCACTTCACCTGATACTTCAGCCGCTTGGTCAGCATTCATCGTTTCGGCAGCTTTGGACGATATAGTGACTTGTTCTCGAGCCATAAGACGAGCGGGTAATTGGGGAATTAGAGCAACGGACGAGAAACAAGGTTCTCGTGATTCGTCTAGTGTGTTCGATTTGGGGAATCTTTCTTTGGAACAGTTTTCGCAGATACCAGTACCGATGTTATGGGCGATATTACGGGCGACCAAGAGTCAACGGACTTTGCCACAGAAGAATGATGGTTGGAGTAAAGTCGCTAGTAGGTTTTGCGAGTTACTTGGGGTAGAGGGTAAGTGCTGAGTGTTTTTTTGTCCGTTGAGTCACTTTCGGCTGATCCAAGTAGATTTGGCATCATGATATGGCAAGTAGTGTACAGTCGAAGCTGTGAAACTCGATAGGCTTCCGTAGCCCCCAAAAGTGATCAGATTTCACAATGTATCAGGTTTGAGAGGGGAGTTTGGCTGGGAAAATATCATTCGGTTCCAAAGAAATCAAATCGACTACCACAGCGTATCACGTTTGATGGCTATCGAGTTTGACAGCTTCGACTGTAGTAAAATCCCCTGAAGGAATATGAACTTCTGGTTTGAGACAGTCATGCAAGTGCATGTGAAACAGAGCTTATTCGGGACGAGAGGTTTTGATTTGAATTGTCGCGGAAGTAGTCAGATTGATGGTACCTGGTAGTCAAGTGATCATGCCATCAATTTCCATACATTTCACCTCTCTTCTCTTCTCTCCTTCACTCTCTTCCTACTGAAATCATGTCGCAAGTCGATCCCAAAGAAACGGACGTCAAGATCTCCGAGACCTACAATGCAGATGACGCCGACCTCGTACTTGTCTCCAGTGATGAAATCCATTTCAAAGTACATTCTTACTATCTAAAAGCAGCTAGGTGAGTAGTCTGACAACAACCTCTCGTCAGCCATACGTCGCTGACGAGCAGTGTCGTTTTCCGCGCCATGCTTGACAGTCCGAACCTAGACGCCAAGAAAGGGGACCGACCACTACCAACGATCTATCTGACGGACAATGACATCGAGACGGCAGAAGTACTCGAGGGCGCCCTGGGCATCATCTACGAAAGACCGTTTCCCCCAGACCCAGCAGAGTATCGGGACGAACTGCGTAAAATCATTCCTCTCTTGCGAAAATATGAGTGTGATGGAACAATAGCGAGAATTCGTTTGCTACTTCATAGCTGGATTACCTACAGCAATCATGGTGCCTGGTCGGCATTCCTCGTGTCGGTAGCCATGGACGATATCGTGACATGTGCTCGAGCGATGCGTCGCGCAGGAAAATGTGGCCTCTCGGGGTCTAGTGTACTGCAAGGTGCCCAAAAATCGACGACTGTGTTTGATCTAGGAAGCCTATCACTGACAACGTTCAGTAAGATACCAGGACCAACGGTATGGGCCATTCTTCGAGCGACAAAGAGCCAACCGACGAGCACTGAAGGCTGGAACGAGATTGCAGATCAATTCCTCAAGTTACTCGAAGTAAAAGGTAGGTGCATTCTATGTTCTGATCATATTCCTTTGGCTGACGCTTGACAGATGACCAGCCGTGAACGGACGAGACGATAATGGGGGTGTCCTGGGAATCGAAGGAGGAAATGATGGCGGGAGCGTATGATGATAGGTGATCTAGGTTGTCAGCATGAAACCGCATGTACATATTGAAATGCGCCCATACCGTCGTCAAGTCTCACAATCCCTTTACTGAGATTTGCGGTCCGCCATCTAAGACTCCGCTCTCTGCTTTTTACCGTTTCTCCATTACACCTCTTTGCTGCCTCCCCCTCACTTGGAAAGAATATGAGCGATAAAACGTCTTCCACCTATGCCGACGCCGATGCCGACGCCGATGCCGACGCCGACCTCACCCTCGTCTCAAGTGACGATATCCACTTCAAGGTTCACTCCTATCATCTCAAATCAGCCAGGTGAGTGATACGTCGGAATTTCTCGTCAGCCATAGACCGCTGACTTCGTCAGTGCTGTCTTTCGCGCTATGCTTGAAATGCCGGATACGAATGTCAAACGGCCGATTATCCACTTGACCGATAGAGAGATCGAAAGTGCCGAGGTGCTAGAGGGTGCCCTAAATATCCTATACAGCAAGACCTGGCCGACTGACACTGAGACTTATCGCTTCAAGCTGATCAAGATCAATCGGTTCCTTCTGAAATATGAGTGCGAAGGGGCAATCGATAAAGTTGTATCATTACTTCACCGGTGGATAGCATTCGAGCGGCAGTCTGCGTGGTATGCGTTCTTGGTATCGGCCGACCTCAATGACGTTGTCACCTGTTCTCGAGCAATGCGACGCGCAGGTCTATCCGCCATTGACGGGTCGCCGGGCACCCAGGGATCTGAGCCGACAAGCAGCCCATTCGATATTGCAGGGTTATCCCTCGAAAGATTCTCACAAATCCCGGCTCCTATATTATGGGCGATCTTGAGAGCGGCGCGACATCAAAACGGACTTCCGACAAGCGACGAAGGATGGGACAAGATGGCGACTCACTTTTGCGAACTCCTCAAAGTGAAAGGTGGGTCATTCGCCTCCCGCCCCATATACGGCTGACGACAGATGATAAACCATGAAGGAGTGGGCGTGTGTTGTGAGGTTTTGGAGGTGGTGGAGCAGGCACATACATCTGTCGATAGTTCAGCTAGTGCGCCCTCCAAAGCAATGACGATGTCACCATGGAAACAAAGACTCACAATCGCCAGACTGACCCCCGGCCCCTCTTTCTCCATTGGTGTTTACTTTCTGACCCGACTCAGTGTTCACTTCTTCACCACGTCCACAAACATGACCGACAAATTCTCCTCTGCTTACAACGATTCTGACGCCGACCTCATCCTCGTCTCAAGTGACAATGTCTATTTCAGGGTTTACTCGTACTATCTCAAAGCTTCCAGGTGAGAGTTTTCGTCAGCCATCATTGACCCTTACTGAGCATATCAGTCCCGTCTTCAGAGCAATGCTTGAAATTCCCGATCCCAGCGTTCAAGAGCAGAAAGTGCCGCGTATCGAGCTCGTCGACGAATCGTTGGAGACGGCCGACACTCTGACCGCAGCTCTGGATATCCTACATGGCAAGAATTTTCCGGACCAGATCGCCTCATACTTTTCTACGTTATCCGTGGTGGTACAATTCTTCCAGAAATATGAGTGTACCGGCGCATTACTCGATATTCGATTGTTGCTCCAGAGCTGGATCAGTGCGCCAGGAGGTGGACCAGCTTGGTTGGCCTTTTACCTAGGGGCGATACTTGACGACGTGATCGTATGTTCGCGAGCTATACGAAAAGCTTGGCCCCGATCTTTCACTGTGATCAAAGACGAATCAGCGGGCGCGTTGGCGAATAAGCAAGGGGTCGCTCAAGGATTTGTGCTTGACGTCGATCGCTGGGATCTGGACATGTACACAAAATCCTCTCCACGAATTACCTGGGCACTACTGCGGGCCAGGAGGAACCAAAAGACAGTCCCTCAAGATCAAGCCGGATGGGATTCGGTCGCAAGAGAGTTCTGCGACATTCTTGGGGTCGAAGGTGAGCTACTTAGATAACCATAAAGGCGTCGCTCAAACAAAGATAACGAGATGCTCTAGAGCCACGAGGGGTTGATAAGCCAAATCTTCTGTTGGGTCTGGGAAATATTGAATGACATGCAAAATGGTCTACAACTCACACATGTTGGCTCATCAACCTCTGTACACTCATGAGCGCATTGTACCGAACATCCGCATTCTCATGTGCCATCAACTCGATCAACCTGGTCTTTCCGTTCAAGTCGGAAATCGTTCTGCAGATCAGCTCAATCCGTCTTCTCTTTCCCTTCTTCCCTCCACCGATGACTGATCTCGACTTGATGAGGGGGAACGGCGTACGTACTGCTTCGCTTTGTCTCCTCCGTATTTGATGAACCTTCCGATATCGTGTGCCGCTATAGCCAGCACGATAGGTTCTGAGCTTTGATGCAGGATCTCGACTAGCCGTCTGGTAATTAGCCTTGAGGTACACCCGTCCAATTCTCTCCCGAGAGCGACTCGAGAACGCTGTGCGATCGAGTACAACTCACTTCACGATTTTCCCATTCCCCTCATGTGCTATCCGCAGACCGTTATCTCTCCAAAACTCCTCACTCTCATGAGCCGGACTCCACACAAGGTGACCACTCTCTATCTCTGATGCGTATTCGTCAAATGTTCTTGTTGTCAGCTTCCCATGGCTGATTGCCACGTTACATAATACTCACGTCAAACCATCCAGTCGACTGCGAAGCTCATCCCGAAGGTAATTGAGATCTTCCACAATCTCATCATCGGACCATTTTCGTTCTCTCAAAGAATTGACGAAAGGCAATAGCTTCACGACGAACATGGAGGGGAGGTTTTGACTAGGGGCGATGGTCAAGAGATTCTGCGATTCAGTGCTGTGCAGAGAAGGCAGGAAAGAACTCACTCTGAGAGTAGCAACGACCACTCGTGTGACCTTCTCTTTGACGGCGGCTTTGGCGATGTTGGTCAAGAGGGCTATGGCGTCATACTTCCTACATACGTCAGCAGACCTCCATTTGCGCAGGAAGAGACGGGAGAAGCGGACTACAGATCAGGATCTGGATTAACGGCAGTCTTCGGGTAAGGACATATGCGCTCTTCTTGAAAGTCATGCGCCGCCAGCAAATTGTCGAAACTCACTTGTCCATCCCCTCCGCCGCGATCGGCTCAAAGGATAACTGCCAAAGACAACATATAGCCCAGTACTGCGCCTGAGGACTGGGGTTCGTCTTGAGGGATTTCACCAACCTCATTGTCAGTGGATCTAGATAGTATGATGGAAGGAGATGGACTCACCCAGAGATGCATTCCCCCTGATCCCACACAGCCAGACGGAATTGTCTTGAGCCCAGGATAGCGTTCAGGACCTGAGCTGCGACTTCCCATAAAGGTATACGGGAGCCATTGAGAAGACCTGAGAGGCTGGAGAGGAGAATTTGGACTTGAAGTTCAGGGAATGGTTTGGGATCTGTTCTGATGGATCAACCGTCATCCAGAATACAAGTGACCATTTAAGCTTGCAGACGAATGAGCTGGAGGGCCATTCAGAAATTAGGGGGAGTGGAAGAAGCTCACGCTACAAGTATTCCTAATATTCTCAATGATCCTAAGATGGCAAACTCCTCTTCCATACCTAAGCACTTGACTATAGGTCCATACGGATCATCCGGATATTCTGACGAGGCGAGGGAGTGGAACAAAGGGATGGTGTTAGGATCAGAGAGCATGTCTCCTATGGCGACAACGACAGCTTGGACAGTATCGACTCTTTGAAGTTTACGTAGGAGGTCTATGTAAAGTTTGGCATATTGTTGACCTTGCGTAGCGTAGATTGTTGGACGTTGGGTAGGAGGCTATGGATCAGCTTTGGTCTTTCTTATATGCTCCATTGGGTATCACGTCTCCTGAGACAAAGACAAGCACCAAGGCGGTGAGGATGGGTGAGGATGAACTTACGAGCTTGTTTAGAGATTTTAGAAGAGCAAGTTCATCTGCTGAGAGAAGCTTGGCTCGTTGATAACCCTGTTTGATCAGCATGGGCTGAGAAGAGGAAGAGGAAGGCTCACTTCCCAAGGCACAGGCTTGGAATTGATCTTGTTACATTGATCGTCTAAGTAAGGAGAGTAGAAAGGTGGAGGGATGGGAGCTACTATGGCTGTCATATTTGTCTTTCTTCCCGGATAACGATAAGCCTGTCTACTTTCTGTCGGTTGTACTGTCGTACAAGTAGCTATTGAACATCAAGGTGGAAAGGTGGAAAGGTGGAACACTACCATACATGGGGACCGGGAAGGTGCATGGGTGGACCGTCATGCACCTGGCTAAAAGGGAGGGACCGAATAGTGATTCAACTTTGGAAGTTGAAATATCGCCACCAAAAGCCCTTCCATTTGCTCTCCTCACTCCTTGTTCAATACTACCCTCACACGGACGGATAGGCAAGATGACCACCCCCATCTCCTTCACCGTCCGTCCTCCTTCTACCGCCCCCTTCCGTCCCTCTCCTCTCGGAAATGGAGCTCGGCCATCTTCTCGGACCACTGGGCCACCCTCTCGGCGTTTGTTTGAATCTCATGGGGAAGATTCGGACGATGACGAGCGACATAATGGGTCATCTGGGCGAAGAAGGGAAAGAGAAGAACGGATAAATGGTCTGTCCAATGGACGCATTGTCGGGTGGGTCATATCCCTTAAAAAGAGAGGCTTGACTAATGGTAAAAGGGGAAACAAACCAGAGGAGCCTTTGGTTATTCCTACCTTACCGAACAAAGATTGGAGAGCTACCACTCGACGTGTTCCATCTTTCCGACCTCAATCACGGGTGGTACAGACTGATGAGACAGAGACGCGCGAGAGGATAGGGGACGAGGAACAGAAAGCTGGATTGAGGTTTGCCGTGAAGACGGAAGTGAAATCAGAGATGGGAATTAGCACGATAAAGACTGAACGTGTGGAGGAGATATCGTCGAATGGCGGGGGAGATGTTTCGACTACAACGACGACTTCCACAACGGCAGTGAAGAAAGAACCTCTCTCATTGGAGGAGCAAGCTTTGCAAGCTATCTTAGCGGGAGATGGACCTCAAGAGACGGCGGAACAGAAGTTGCAGAGGGAGTTGATCATTTCCATGGGTGGAAGTGGCGTATCAACTCCTTTGACGGAAGATGACGCTTATCGAAGGGACATCGAAGCTTTGCCAGAAGAGGTAGGTCTCAATACTCAACTCAATTCTCTCACAAACATTTCCTTCTCACCTTTTCCATCTTCTCCTATCAGTCCTTGGTCCATGGAGTCGAGGAAGGAATATGGGACATCGAGGCTTACTCCCGTGGAAGATGATGTGGTCGGGGAGAGACAACAGTCGGAGAGTAGCTTCACTGACACATCTCAGTCCACAGCGGATGACTATGCCGCCATCCCAGTCAGCGCCTTCGGATACGCCATGGCTCGAGGAATGGGTTGGGATCCGAAAGCCAACGACAACACTCCTATTCATGTACCCAAAACTCGACCTCAATTACTGGGGTTAGGTGCGACACCGTTAGATGTGGTCATCCCTTCTGAGAAGAAGTCAAATGGACAGAAGAAGAAAGTGGATCATTCTACTAAAGGAGGAAGAGGGTTCAATGCGGGGAGTTTGTTAGTGAAAAAGGATAAAGAAGGGGGATCGGAATATGATAGTGATTCGAGCAGACGAAGGAGAAGGGAGGAAGGGTATGATTCTGGTAGGGAGAGTAAGAGGGAAAGGAGTGATGGTGGATATAGGGAAAGAACCGACAGCGGCTATCGAGATGGAACTGATGGTGGATATAGGGATAGAAGTGAAGGGGGATATAAAGATAGAAGTGAAGGTGGTTATAGGGATAGAAGTGATGGTGATCGTAAGTACAGAAGAGATGAGACAGAGGAAGAAAGAGCTAGGAGAAAAGCAAAAGAGAGATCTCGACAAGACAATGAGAATCGTCGTGAGAGAGAAGATGATCGACCAAGAAATCGAGATAAAGAGAAAGAAAGGGATGATCGAGATCGTCCAAAAGATCGTGAGAGAAATTAGATTGTAGCATGTAGCATATTTCTTTCTTGACATTCTCATATTCTTCACCCTTGTTGCATTTTCTTTTATTAATATATCACTCTTCGTTCAATATATACATCTCTTTTTCCACCTTTTAGATCCTCTTTGATTTCATAAACTGCATGATTGAGTCTGCTTCATTTCCATAGTCATATAGACGTCAAATCGGACGGGTTATCTCTAAAAAGGGATAACTTGAGGGAATGTAACACTTTCCACTTGGTTACCTATGGATTCGACCAGTGCTAGATATCAACTGGTCTCCTTTCACAAGAATTAAAGATTCAAAAGTCGGAAGACGACCCAAGTGATATTTGGAATAAGAAAAGCAGAGTGGAAGTACTAACCTTTATAAGCTTGACTAGTTTGATGGACTAAAATATCAGTGATGATTCCAATCATCTTTCTTTCAACGTTTATGATCCTAAGAACCCATCCCTAACACCCTGATGAGTGATTAGTAAGGACATCGATGAAGAAGTAAGTAGTAGATGGGGATTGAAATTTGGGGGTATTCCCAGAGAGAATGAGATCAGATATCATAACACTTCTAAACTCACCTTTCAAAGCGTCCTCTGAAGCGTACCTTTCCCAGATATAGATAACATTAGGGTTGGTAGAATCTTGTGTAGTTTGATATTCCAAAGTACCTTCTTCGTTGTTCAAAGATTGGTCACGCAGAGCTTGAACGACTTTTCGAGTCAGTTTTCATGATCCTCCATGTCGATTAAGAATTGATGAAGGGCTTTCCCATCGTCTACTTCTGAATGTTCACGATGGGGTTTAAATCTGATGGAGTGATTTAGAAGGAAAAAGAGACGATGTCAAGACCGGTGAATTGGAGATATAGGGAGCAAATGTTTTGAAGATTCTATCCTCATGGAGATACTTGAGACATTTTTCAGGTCGGGAATTTCATCGATAGAATGAGCAGAAAGCCAGGTATGAAAGAGTCCCTTGGGTGATTCATACGACACTTACTTTTCTTGACAATCTCAATATGTCCAGGTTTGACGGTGATGGTTGCTAACTATTCTTTGTCAGACTCGTTACCTTGACTCCAGATTTTAAAGTGTAGGAATAGAAGAGTGAAGCGTATGAATTAGAATAATGAAATGTGTGGATAAAAACGGAAAAAGTATAACCCCAAACGATGAATTGGGTGAATGAATGGGGAAGAGTATAACTCACCCCTACGAAAGTCATCTTTTATAGTCGAATTATCAAGAGGTGTGAAGTGGAAGTGAAGTGAAGTTGGGTTTCCTTAAACTTATGGATGTTGAAGAAGAGAATGAGGACAGTCAATAGAGTGGAATGATGGGGACTAGATTAAGTATGGAGGAATGAAGGAACGTGGATCTGAATAAGAGTCTTTTTATAACTTCAACACTAAGTAGATCGGCCTAAAGCTATTCGGGATCGGCTTACTAATGGAATTGTACTGTAATGAAATCATGAATCAACCGAGTGACGAGTGGGAGTTACAGCATCAATCAATTGCGCTCAATACTCAATTGCCGACGTCATACCGAGCCAACTTATCTGTACATGTACAAAGTACTTCTCGTCTTATGCAAGCTTATGGTCAGACTTGAAGATAGTTGGTGGTGAAAGGTGGAGGTGGAGGTGACTACCGGCGACTGTATGACCCACGTACTCTATCCCTTGCAGATTTAGCATGATGGACGTTTTACCTGGGTCCGAGAACCGGGGACCGGGAAGCACAGGTTACAATATAAAGGCATGAAAGACGGACAAGACAAGTGTGAGATGCATGATGCATCGGTCCATATACAGTATGTACAACAGCGATGAGAGGATCAATTATTGGTAGATGTTTGATGACCGCATTTCAGACACTTATCCATTTAGCACGTTCATCAATGAGATTGACCATGGCGAGCAGCAACGATCATGAAATGACTTTCCAGAGGAAAGGTTGAGTGTGAAACCGAGCAGAGAGATGTAGCTAGTAGCTGGAGGGGGCGAGGAGGAGAAAGAAACGACTCACTTTATAAAAGATAGTACTACCTTCATCGGCGGAACGTAATTGCATCTCTTTATAGCTCAAACCAATATGACCACACTTTACGCATTTCTCTTGAGCCTGTACGTCAATTATGAACATTTCTCTCTGACCCCTTCCCCTCCCTTCGGTCGTTCCCTGCCCCTGAGGTACCCACTCATAGCTGTGAGAACATTGAAACTTACCCCAGATGTTCGAAGAGGGGATCTTCAAGGAGGTTTCAGGGCTAAAATAGGCATTGGAAAAGGATGTGGATGAATACCATGGAAAGGATTCATAACCCTGTAGAACGCTGGAAGAGAAGCGTGTGAAGCGGGAGAAGGAAGGAATACGAGTGAAATAAGGGCTGGATAGAAGAAAAAAAAGGTAGAGATCGCGACACTCACAATAGGATCCCTCCCTTTCGCAGCCTCTTGTCCAGAGATAGTATTCTGTACCAAAGCTCTCTTACTTCTTAACGGAGAAGGAAAAGCGTTCGGTCCTGAAAATGTTTTGGTGGGAAGGTTTTCATATGCTACAATTATTTAGCTTATAACACTTCTGTATCTCCATGTCTATGGTCCTTGATTTATCTCATTTGGTCGAACGAACTTGGTCCGACTTTGAGCTTCGAACAAGATGAAGGACAGTAGATGATCAGAGAGATAGATATACTGGTGAAAGAGATCACAGTGGTTGAGAAGGGTATGGTCTTGCGGTTCGGCATGATCACTTGGACCAATTGGCACCACGGGAGGTAAAAGTGGGAAAAGAAAGTAGATAGTGGAGAGCAGAGGAAGAATTGCGAGATTATAAGGGGTCAAAAGCGTGAAGAAGAAAGAAATTGATGATGGTTATAGGGAATAGCGGGAGTTCGAGACACGACCAAGGTGAAAGGGTCAAAATTTGTGAGGAAAAGAAACATGGTAGAAGAAGAACCACGAAATATAATCCACTCACAAGAAGCAGGTTCAGTACGTCCACATTGAGCACAAGCTATCTCATCTTGATCATCTCTAGGTAAATCTAACAATGTTCCGCAAGCTGGGCAGAAAAGGAGAGAACCGATACGATGGGCTTGTACTCGGGACATTGGTTTATGGCAGACGGCAACTTGGATAGTAGTATGGGGCTCGTTTTGCACCACGTGGATCCGTAGATGAGTTGAGGGCTACTAGGGAGATTTTTATGGGGTGCCAGTGGTTAGTGGACTGCCGAGAATGAGAAAAAGAGAGACCAGGAATGTATAAGCAATGTTGAGGAAGGCGGAAGTGGGAAACAGATCGAAGGAGCAGGGTGGAAGGCACGGAATTTCCCATGTTAAATTTCTCATCCGGCTAATGCCACATCGATCATCGATCATCTGGCTAACTTCAGCACACCAGCTCGGTCCGATCGGTCGCAGGTCAGCTGTCAATCGTTGACTACTGTATGTGTTTACTCCCTGAACAAAGCTCGCGAATCGCTCAGCTATTCTTTCAATCACCAAGCACATGCATCAAGCCGCGACCTTGCCCATAGACTCAGGTCGAACATGGAAAAAAGCTACTCATGTACACGCTAATAGTCGGGTGGAGGCGTAGTGCTGGACAGTGGACATGGGACATCCAGGCCTTCATGAGGTAAGTTGGAGAGGCGAAAAGGTGAGCGGGGAATACTCGTATTAAGGGAAGTCGAACGGGGAGAAAGTATATACACATGAAACAAGAGCCAGTCGTAAACAACAAAATCATCTAAGCCGCAGCGGAAACGACTGGGGCAGTTGGTGGAGCTGTGGATGACGGTTCGACTTTGGGCTGATTGTCAGTTAGTAAACCCAACCGGTTAAGACCGCAAATACTCACTTCCTCTTCCATCTTGATGGGCTCAGAGGGAGCGGGGGCCTCGATTTTGGGAGCTTCGGCCGGAACCGATGTCGTCTCCTCGGTCTGCTCGACTTCCTCCTTGGTCTTCTCCTCCTTTGGAGTGTTGTCCCGTCTGATACCTTTGAGGACATTGGTGATACGAGCGGACAGTCGGCGAGTAGTTTTGATTTTGGGCGGCTGCAGGTAAGTTGACTACGCTACCTAAATCGAAAGCTGCAACTCACGCCTTCCTTCTCGGGCGCAGGAATGGTCTCCTCGGTGGGCTTGGTCTCACCGGAAACCTCGGTGGCAGTGGGAGCGACGGTTTCACTGATAAATCAATCGCGTTGTGGATCCTGATGAATCTACTCACGTCTCCTTGACTGGTTCCTCAGCCTTTGCTTCAACAGGGACAGCGGCGGTGCTGGATTCAGCGATAGGAGCTTCTAGGACAGGTGGCGCGGTGGATTCGGCAGCGGCCTCAGCGGCCACAGGTGCGGCTTCCGCAGGCGCTTCGGCAGCAGGAGTTTCGGCGGAGGTAGCTACGGGGATGGGATCCGACTTCTCGTGCTAGGCGTCAGATGAATACTGATTTGTTGCCGACACATACCTTGGGCGTCTTCTTCTTTTCCTTCTTGGGTGACTTGTGACCGAAGAACCTGGCAAAGAAACCTTTTCCTTCTATTTTAATCTTTTCAGTTTTCTCCTGGATCGTCAACAACGCTCTGCCCCCCAAATGCGGTCCACATACCTTGGTGGTTGTCTTCTCCTCTTTGGTCTCTTCGACCGTCTTGTCAGCCTCGGCGACTTCGGCAGCCGGAGCCTCTTCCGCAGGAGTACCTTCGACCGGGGCTACGGGCTCCTCGGGAGCGTGGGAGGTACCTGCTTCTGCGTGTGTGGCGGTAGGCTGAACAGTGTCCTAGAAGATCAGCTGCTGCCTCGAGGCACTGACGCGTGACGGGATAAACACAGGCAATCTAGAGATGTTGTAGGAATACTGAGGAAGTTGATTGGCTGGTAGACATTACTCACCTTTTCCAAGGGGACTATGGTAGACGTCTTGGCCACATCCTCTGGCGCTGGAGCGGCAGGAGGTTCAGCGGTTTCGACAGGTTTGGGCTCCTCTGGAGCAGGAGTGCTTTCGACGGGGACAGTAGGCTCGGGGGTCTGTGCGATGATAGGAGTTCCGTGAAGAATGTCAAGAAGAGTCATTTTGGTGAACAGGTATTTAATCGACGTGAATTAGAGAGAGAGAAAATGTCAGCAGAGGTACTGGACAAAGAGTAGACGTTGCTAGCTTGAATGGAACTACCAAAGGAAGGTAAGGGAGCGAAAGTTGTATTGAGTAGATGAAGTGAAGGAAGAGAACGGTGACTTGGGATACTATATGAGCGTGAGAAGAAGGATCGAGCGATAGGATATAAACAATCTCGAGATAGTGATCGATGTCAGGTATAGTGAAATGAGGTAAGAGCTGTGAAGGGGTTTATTTTTTCTCTTTCTGAAACGTAGTAAACCCCGTTTTGCCACCCGTAAGAAGAATTATGCCGTTCTCCTCTCCAGGCAAATCTCCTACTGTGTACGTGAATGTATACACTGTACACCGGATGGATCATGTGCAGGAAAAGTGAACTGTCAAAACATCTCACAGAATCACGAGGATATAGGTGGCCACCGCTGACTGTGAAAAGATGGGAGAAGATGGGTAAACGAGTAGAAAGTAAACTCACCTGTTTGATTTCAGACATGTTGAATGATAAAGAATGACTTTATACTAAAGAGGAATGATAACTAATGATATATAGGCTACCTTAAGGTGGCGATAACGGCAAATGGAGAAGGAGATGGTATGGAAAGGTGAAAGTAGACAGAAGAAAGTAAGAGGGGAAGTGAAAGAAGTGTAAAGGGATAGTAGAGAGGAGAAGAAAGGGATGGGGGGGGAAGGAAGTAGGACAACTGCGCTCGGACCCCTTTGAACTCTCATGGACCATTTGCCATTTGGCCTTTGGGCCTTTAGACCCATCCCTCGGACCTCCGCCACTGTCGGATTGGGCACAAAGACATTCTCTCCCCGTGCCGTTTCAGCTTTGACACGGGGGCGTTCGTTCCAAAGCACAACCCATAAACCAAAAACAAAATTCTCACCCTAACCTGTTTCGCTAAAAGGCCCTTGCACTTGGCACCGTGCTCACCATATGCATTTCTGCCAAGGGCTCTTGGAGCAAAGACACAATGACGCGATGGAAGAGCATGAAGTATAACTTTTTGGTCTCTGTTTCTTATCCGACGCGCTTTCGACATTGGGTGGCAAAAAGCAAAAATGTCTTCGCCGCTTTGCCGCCGCCGCCGTCCACCCCTGGCGGCGTAACGTCACAGCCACATTGGCCAAGGAAAAGTAGCCTTGGACGAGATGCCTTCACGACAGAACCCTGAATGATGAACTAGGAACATACTAGTGTATAGTCCCTGAGGGTAGTCAGAGCGTCAGATCGCATCATCTTCGTTAGCGGTGGATGGTAAAATGGTGATGGTTGAGAAGCAAACGATATTGAGAAGGCTTTTGTATTTCTACAGTATCACTCACACTGCTTTCACTCAGAAATATCCAAGATGGGCAAACTTGGGTATGACAGACATAGACATTGAGATAAGTCCTTGGGAACAAGGGGAACATCGATACACCTAAGGGAATGACGACTCCCACATTGCTTATCTCCCCCATTCATTCATTCCTTACCTTTCGGCATGTCCGCACACCAAGTACGTGATCCCAAGTCTTTAGGCTGCTGGAATGTCATAATCTCAAAAACGTACAACATAAATTATCAAAAGACAAGATCTATCAACCCAACAGAAGTCTTAACATTTATCCCTTTCTCCCTTCTATCTCCAGGTCCTGGCATCCCCGGTGGTCGATGAGGTCTCCAACGTCGCCTGTTATCTCTTTCCTCCACATCTCGCCATTCCACCTCTCCGGTCCAAGCATTCGAACCGACCCTATCATCATGATTGACAGACACGATACGTGTCCTTCCCCTTTTCAAGGGATCAGGTATGTCCGCATGGGACACATCGACGTTGACGTCTCCCACGGACGAGTAAAGGGCGTAAGGGCCTTCGTACATTGGGTGGGGGTATACTGATTGTCAACGATGCTCAGCGGTGCAAGACTCGGGACCGTAGAAGATAGCAGTGGGACATCTGAGAGTGATATACGAGACATACCTGTGACGCTGCCGACGGCGGAAAAAATGTCTTGACTCAACGTACATCCCTCTTCCCAACCGGAATACCGAAGGACCACGTCGTTACTGGCTGCTTTGATCGTCACTTCCACAGGTGGAATCTCGTCACCGAGCACAGTTTTGTTGAGGAAAGGGGGATGGGTTAAAGATAGATCGAGTTTGATCTCCCCACTATATCATGAGCCACGTTGATCTTACTGAATGGGACATTCACGTACACTGGTACCTCCACGAATAACGACCCAGCAGTGGTCACGTTCCCAGTCACATTACCAGTCGCCTTCACAATCAAATCTTCGACCATCACGGACTCAAACATCACTTGTCCCATCCCGCTCTTCAACCTCAACTCTCCCAAGTCAGCCTGTTCCAGGTCTAAATGCAAGTCGCCCGCCGCCCCAGCAAGTTCAAACGAGTGAATGTGGGTAGTTGGAGGTCGTGGATGGACGAGATTGGCGATGTCGAATAATCCTTTGCTCACAGGGAATGATCGAGGGGAGGAATTGGGGAGGGCGATATGGACACGAAATGATAGTGGTGGATTTGTGGGGTCATCCTGATTACCACTGGGGATGGAAGTATAGACACCAACGCCGAGTCCTCGTTGAGGATGGGACAGACTCTTGGACCTTTTGGCGATGACATTGGGACGACTACGATCCATCAAGCAAATGCGAGAGGACATCAGCCAGTCCCATCCGGGAGCGTTGTTCACCGAGGATGGTTCGTCCGATGGAGTAGAGGGGAAAACATCGTATATGGCTTCTACGGTGATGTGAACATAACTGTCATCGTCTCCCTGCTGGTCGCTGATGGCAGTAGCTGGAGGGGTGAATGTAGAAGGGTCGTAAGTGGTGAAGAAGACGTCACTGGTCGCTGGGCCGAAGAGATGAGCGAAAAGTTCTGGTTCGAAGGTAGGTAATAGGAATGATACATTTGTTGAACGTCTATATCCATCTTGTTCACCCGGAGACGGTTGAGATTGTTGATCATCTGACGGTGGGAGCGTCGAGTAATCTGCAGGATCGAAAGAAGCGCATTTGATAGGTGTACCATCTAACGATTCGTCTTCCCCAGGAGGATCATACATCCCATTTCCAAATCGACCTCTCCATGGTCTATACCGTCTAAAGTGTCCGATGAAGTAAGATATGAGCAAGTAAGTCAGAGCGGCAGAAACGAGTGCTTTGATGATTTGTCGACGAGTGAGATGTCGGGACTTAGGAGGGGATTCTGCATGCTCGGAATAAGGTGGTGCGGGGCCTAATTCTATATCGTCGTCTGAGTAAAGTAATGGTCGAGTTAATTGAGAAGAAGGAGAGGAAGGTTCCGGGAAAGGGGAGTAAAGTAAAGTGGGGGAAAAGTGAAGATCTTCTTCATCCTCTAATATAGGAGGTTTAGTATCTTCGGGCAAAATCATTATAAATGAGTGTGATATAGGATGAGGAAATGAACTGTTGTGATACATAGATCATAGATCATGTCTAACCATATATGTGATATCTATGAAACGCTGCGGAGTGTAAAGGCCTGCGACCCCGCAGCACCTTTATTTCCTTTCGCAGCACAGTGATCCAGTGATACAGTGATCTGGACTTCGTGGAGCCGGTAATTCCGCCACAAACAGCTTTCCCCTAATAACTCCATTTGTGGTAAGGATATGTCGTTAGCCTTAGTTACTGTAGATACAGGGCTAGGGGCAGGTTCCCACTCGTACAGGACAATTGGTTACTCGTTTCTTTTGTAGCTCCCGCCACACCCGGCGTTATGCATGAAATAACGACCCTGAAGCACAATTTGATCAGGCACACTAAACTTGTTTGTGCTTCTGGTGGTCGCGCCCTTCTCTCTCCTTCCCTGCCCCTTCCTCCCCTTCCCCCCTATGTCGTTCTCCCCCGCATCTTAAACTCAAGTATGCCTACCCCGATCTTTAACTCTTTCGATCTCTTCACCCATTGACCTTTTCTAACCATCTAGACTTGCACAAGTACAGATTGTATCGTCCTTCACGACCTTTTTCATCTCGTGTGGAACAGTCTCGACTTTTTTTTTTCGGACCTGAGCGCGTGGTGTGGATCGCCATACGCCCAAGCTAGCACGGATCTCTTTTCTTCGGACTCTTCGGAAAGAAGCAAATCGTTGTTCTCCAATATCATATTCGATTTCGTACTCCCTTCTCTCCCATCGTATCGTTCCCTCACGCGAGCTATTTGACTCATTTCGCTATACTATATATCATATAAACACGCTTGAAGCCATTCGATCTTTTCGATAAATCCACCGCCAGTCATTCTTTTTTTACTCTAAAAATCCACTCGTAATACACCCACCACTTCGATACATCCTCGTGGCATCATTGGCTTGTACACACACAGTCCGACAGCTCGTATTGTCGTTTCAATCTTTATCCTTGAAATCAAATTCAAAGAGAAACTCCATTGCTGGAATACAATAAAGGTACCTCAGAGGTCTAGCCCTTGACTCACCAGTCCCAGTGAGTATTTCGTATCAATCCCTCAAAGTCCTTTACGCACTATATTGCTCCTCGCTCTTCCAAGTAGAGAGGAGACAGAGAATACGGGTCACTCCTTTCTTCCCTCAAACAATCTATGTCCTTTGCCGACTGCTCTGAGCCCCCGAAGGGGTCATCGGTGGTTCAATTCGCGTCTCTCTTTCATCTTCTCTGTCAAGCTGTCGGAAGAATTTGTCAAGTCAATCATTGACATCCATAGAAATGTCTCCTCAACCCCTCATTACCTCCATGCCACGCGAGGCATACCCAGATCCCAATCCTGATCCATCACCTACAATGGCGGATATGCTGGAAGATCGCGACGTTGTCACCGTATCCGTCGTCGCGTCTTCCGATCCTACAACTACTGCCGTGACGACAAAATCATCTTTCCCCGTAGCTATCGCCATACCAGCTTTGGTAGGCGGTATGGTACTAGCTGTCGCACTTTTTGGATTATGGTATTGGATTTCCAAACGTAGAAAAAGGGAACATCGGGTATGTGTATCTTCTTCATATTCAATTTACTTGGACTAATCTTCTCAGATGCGTTGGGAAGCAGCACAGAGACACAAAGCCCGTCAACGGGCTAACACGGCACCCACCCGTCCCTCCGCATCATCATCCCGCAAGCCATCCGGTCCCATTGCCAAAGCTCAATTCACAGAGAAAGAACACGCACCTCCAGTCCCAGTCTTAGCCAAAACATATGATCCTCAACCGAAAATGGAATATGGTTACGGTTACGCGCCTGAATTACCTCCTCAACAATCATACAATCCTTATCCAGTACAACCGACTATCGAACATGATCCATATGCTACATCCGCGGAATCATCTCCAACATCATCAGGTGGTCTTCAAGAACAACAAACTGATTTCTCTCCTAAACCTTCTAGACCATCTCGTTCCACGGCACGTATCGCAGCTGCTGAATCCGCCGCAGCTAGAGCCGTTGCCGATCCTCTCGCTCGACATAAACCTAATAAACCATCACCTCTGGCATTGAAAGCAGAACAAAAAGCTCCGAAATGGGGCGAAGGACCTTTCCGATCTCCTCCACCCGAATCGGACAATCAGGAACATCTCACTCCTGATAACCACCAAGATAATAATGTTCAACATGCGAATAGACAGGCCGCTTCGGGTGAATGGGGGGTGGCTTTGGGTTCACCTACTGGGGATGGATTCGGCACGGAGCAACATATGACAGCACCTGTGGAGAGTCATTATACAAACGATCCTTATCTATCCCATACGAATAATCGAGTCCCATCTGGACAATATTCGACGGATCCTTATGCGGTTTATCATGGTGAACCACCCGTGCCTGTACCTTCGAAGACTGGAGGGTGGGTATAGTTCATTGTCAGGTTTTCACGACATTGATCTCGGATCATATATGATGGACGGAAACATCTTGTACAACGTGTCAGCTACAGTGGGGAGAGGAATAATAGTTTATAGTCCTGATGTTTTTTTTTCTTCCAGTGTCACGAGATCTTAGCGGAAATGAAAGAAGTGTAGGGGTGAGGTAAGACAACGAGGACACTTTGTGATAGATTAGTTGGATATGCATTGGGAAAGTGGTCAGGGTCTATCAACGACCTCTGGCCACCTGACCAATTCAGTACACACCCTTACATCGCTGCAGGAGAGCACGCAGCTTCAATCATTGTCATATAGATGTTCAGTACGAATTCTACCCAGGCGGGGCCGCGCAGTGGTGGGTGTGGGTGGCGTTAATCATGCGTCATCGAATCGATCCAGGTGTCGGCTCTCTTTCTTAACTTCCCTGTTCTGCATCTGATCTCTACTCTCTATCCATTCATCTCGTCAACGGCAAGTCATGTCCACCATCGTGGACGCCCGGCCGAGAGGGACCTACATACCCGCGGACTGTCCACAGTGAGTCGGACCTCGTTTCTTACTCATGTGTTGGAGCATGGAAGTTGAATAAGCGGAGACTGATGATATGTAGATGTAAGACCCAGATGGAGTATATGGTTCCACCTACTTTTATTGGGAGTTTGAGAGTCAGATGTTCTTCGTGAGTGTCCTCAATCTCTTTCTCTATGCCTCTCTGCCTCGCACTCCTGGTCTAGCATCGCCTCTACCATATACTTATGACCATTCGTATCACCTGGTCTACTCCCACTTGTGACTATTCCTTGTGTCCTCCTCCTCATCCGCTTGTCAATGACTGTTACTCGTCTGCGATGGAGCATATCTCTCAGACATAGTAGTACTGAATATGAACGGGAGGAACAACACGTTGATGTCAGCTGTAAAACACTCTTCTCACACCCCCAACCTAAACCTTCCGCTCGCCCTACAACATCCGCGTCCTCAGGACCCTCCACCAGTAGACGTATGGGAACAGACAAATGTCCGATAGATATGGCTTACTATGACGTTTTAGGACTAGACAGTCAATGTACTACTGAAGAAGTCAAGAAGGCGTATAGAAGATTGGCTATAAAGTTACATCCTGATAAAGTGAGCATGTCGTTGAGAAACAAAAGAGTGACTGATCAAGTAGAATAGAGATGATCCCGACGCTGAGGAGAAGGTGAGCTTCCTGTCTTACCGCTCAGTGTCATTTTGCTGTCATTGTCGAAGTCGAGACTCCCCGTCCTCACCCTGTATTCTTAAGGTCTTACTCATCTGCTTCGCATAGCAAGATGTGATGGTCAAGTGATTGACCACTGACTCGCAGTTCAAACAGATCGCAATCGCCTACCAAGTCCTCTCGGACCCTGAACTTCGGCATAAGTATAACGAGTTCGGACAGAAGAATGGAGGGGGTAGTGCCGAGCCTGCTGGAGGATTTTCTGATCCTGAAGAGGTGTTTGGTAAGATGTTCGGGGGAGATCAATTTGAGGATCTCATTGGAGTCATCAGTATCGGTCAGTCCCTCCTTGTCGCTCTCTTTTCTGTCTCTCAACCTCGCCCTCTTCCCACCTAGATACTTGCACATCAAAGCCGTGCTCACTTGACTCTCCGAACGATCAGCCTAGCGACCGGCTCCATATCTGAACGAGGCAGCTCACTGACCCTCAGGGAAAGATATGAAAGATGCCTTCCAACAACAAGCAGATGAGACACAGCCCAGCGACTATGTTATGGGTCCCACTGGTCGACCCGTCATGACCCACGAAGCTATGCAGCGGAAAATCACTAGGGAGCGCGCCAAAGCTGAAGAGGTGGGTCGTTCCGCTGACCCCTTGCGGGTTCAGTAGGACTCTACTGTTTAGGACAGAAGCGCTGATACAGCCAGAAAGCGAAAATCCGTGCAACCAGAGTGGAGAAACTTTCCGTGAACCTCATCAACAAATTGTCCATATTTACCGAAGCTGCAAAGGGATCGCATGACCAACTAATGGCCACTTCATTCAAAGAGAAATGTCGGATAGAAGCGGAGTGAGAGCTTGCCGTGGGGTTTCCAGCACAAGCTGACACGTAGACAACTGAAAGAGGAAAATTATGGGGTGGAGTTGCTGCACGCTATCGGTAGAGCGTATCAGGTGAAAGCTTCACAGCATCAAGTGCGTTCCTCTTTCTACACAGGTTTAAATGTGCTGATGACAGGCATCTAGTCAATTCGCGCCATTAGGATGGTTTCATGGTGCAAAAAATACATTCAACGTTGCTGCTGATACGTGAGTCTGTCTGTTCACTCCCGTCGAGACTCTTCTCTTTTTCAAACAAAATGCAGCAGATCAGATGAGCGAGGGCTGAAATCTCAGAGTGTCCACTCTGCGATCCGCCATCGAACTCAAATCGGTATTTGACAGATTACAACAGGCCGAACAATCCGGTATGCCACCCGAGCAGCTGCGCAAGCTGGAAGAGCAAGCGGCAGAGCAGGGAATGAGGACCATGTGGAAGGGCGTGAAGTTGGAAGTGGAATCGATAGTGAGGGAGACGGCGGAAAAGGTGTTATCTGATCCAAGAGTGAGCAAGGAGAAACGAGAGATGAGAGCGGTAGCTTTGGAGCTCATGGCTGAAGTGAGTTGAGACGAGATTTTCATCACAATGTTACCCCTCTCTTTCTCCAGCCCTCGCTCAGAACTGAGAACTTTGCCTTGGCAGCAGACTCCTCTGCACCCTTCATCTGATCCGATATGACACATAAGCTTGCTGTAGACTTGTCAAGCTCACAGCGTGTGCGTTCCCCTGACTTACAGGCTTTCTTGAGCGTGCGAGAAGGTAAAGAAGAAGATTTTGTCAAAGTAGACACTCCCGCTTCAAAACAACGCGAATCCGCAGCGGCCAACGCGAATCGCCCACCTGCTCCAACCGTCCCACCTAGACCAGTCAACGAGACACCCGTACCTCCCACACCTGTACCTGCACCGGCGGTCCCTCCTCGTCCATCTGGTGAGACTTCCGCCGCTCAGTCTACGGAACAAAGTGCGGAAAAGCAAGACACTCTGAATGCGGCTTACAAAGCTTGTGCGTCTCTTCCGCCTTCCTCTCTTTCGACCATGTGATATGCGCATGGAAAGCTGATGAAACAGACGAGAGCAAGCGTAAACCCCCACCTTTAGAAGGTAATCCGCCATAAACCTTGTTTGTGATTACGCGTATCTTTTGAGTTCGTTCAGTTAGACGTGATGTGTGCAATGCATAACCCAACATGATTTTATACGTACTAACAAAGTCACTCTGCGTTGTTTGCTGAAGATTGATAATGTCACGAGGAAAGGACGGTTATCTCAGTCTCTGTCAAAAGATCTAAACTAATATGAAACCCTTCCCAAGTATCATCATCCGGATCGTTATCCGCCCACTCTTTCACCGCCTGAGCTAATCTTATCGCTTCCCTCTCGTCTTCCCCTTCATCCTCCATCTGTTCCGTCTTGACTGCTCGGGAAGGTGAGCGGGAAGTTGGTATATTTTCAGGTCTACGGGGATAATCGTCAGATGGAGAGAGGACATCAATGACTACGTCTTCTTCTGCATCTTTACGTCGTAATAAGTCGGATTCGTCTTCCTAACAAATCAGCTCAAGTCCTTTTGTCTCGGTCGATACATTTTGAGCTATTCGATATCATTCCCTAATTCCATCTCATCGACTCAAGACTGTGAGTTGTGCATCATGGAAATGTCCTTACTCAGAGTCCCGTCTTATGAGAAGACACAATGATGTGAAAGGTGTGACAAGACGAAACTATGTGACTCAGAGGCGCCATAAAAAGTGCTAGTAGACAAAGCCGATGTTATAGGAGGAACGAAAGCTAAGAATTCGGGAAGAAAAGAGAAGGAAGGATTGACTTACAATATCAAACTCATCTTCACGTTCGTCATATTCTACATTCTCTTCAAGCTCTTCGAAACCAGGTGCGAAAGCCGCCCAATTATCTGGTGACGAGGTTTGCCATAAATGGATTTCACCGAGGGTTGAAACTGAAGCTATGACGGGTCGAGTGGGATGCCACTGTCATTTAGTTCACTTTTCTGTGCAATCTTCTTTTCACTAGGTAAGTCTCACCGTATACCTGACATATGACCACTGATCATATCGAAGGGATCGCATCACGTACACTGGACGGGAGGGAATACCAGTAGATGAACGAACAAGTAACTTTCGAAATGATGTTTTAGGTGAAGAGAAGAGAAAGAGAGAGAGAGGAAAAAAACTAACATCACAATCTACCAAAGGCTCACGAGGACCTTCGAGAACTTTGACCAAACTTCCACTATCTCTATCCCATATGAAAACATTATGAGCCATTTTATGTCCTGCACCACCCATCACATATTCGGCGTCTCCAGAAAAAGCGATAGCATGCCAGGGTGTACGATTGATCAAATCTTGAAATCTATGAACGGGGGCGAGGGCACCGGTCCGAGCATCGACAGAAAGTGTGCGGAGGGCTCGGTCAGTGGAAGAGAGTATGATGTTGCTATTTATCAATTCAAATGCCCCAGTCGAAACATTGTGCCCACGGCTGTGCCTCTATGGGTTTAGGTCTTTGCTCAGGATGCATTCGTGAGATAAAAGGGGGCTAAGAGAGGGGAAGGAGGATGAGCGGGGGAAGACGACATACCGGCCCATTGCGTCGAATGTTAATTGCCTGATTCCTGAATTTGCAACCCGAATCCTATTCATGACGTACCGCGACAGTGGATCGATGACCAATAATAAACCACCTGTGGTCCCTGCGTAGATACGTGATCCGCAAGGTGACCAAGCAGCACATGTCAGAGCGGATCTTTTACATCAGCTTATCGTTTTATTGAAGGATGTAAGCGTGGATTTGGCCAGCGCTAGAATATGTGCCTTGGAGGGATGAGGAAGATTCGAGACTTTGTGTATGAGACATCATCTAAGTGGACGGGAAAGAGGTAAACGATAACTTACTTCTTCCCCTTTACCTCCGCACCATCGACCTCCATCTCACCTTCTCCTCCACCTTCCATCACATCGGACAATTTCCACCTACCCCCTCCTGACCTCAGATCGACTAATACCACCTCATTGCACGTCAAGGAAGCTAAGACGATTTTGCTATTCCGAGGATGGAACACGGCTTGAGCGACAGGGGCGTCGAATCGGATTGTTCTCACACGCTGAGAGGAGTTGGAAGAGGTGATTGGGGCTGTTTTCCCGGAGGTATACGGGGTGTAAGGTTGAAGAAGGGGATTGGGGAGGAAAGAGAGGTCCCATATGATGGCTGTTGAGTCGAGAGAGGATGTGAGGAGATATCGATTATTCCGTGACCAACTGTGAGTCAGTAGGTGTTCAACAGACAAGGAACAGACATGGGACTCACGCAACACCACCAACAGGTTTCACATGTCCCTCCAACGTCTTGATAACACCTTTCGTTTCCATATCCCATACCTCGACCGTGCCGTCCCCACATCCACAAGCGAGGTAATGTCCAGCATACGGACCATAGCGGTTGAACCGAACACTGGTGGCTTGGGTGGGAAGGGCAGTATCGGTATTTTCTGGATACTTCTGAGCAAAGGGGTCTGTTTGATCAGACTCGTTCTTTCGTCATTGATTGTTTGCATGGACTCACTCAACAGTTGTTGCATACTGTGGATATATACTTTGCCAGCATCACCAGAATTGGTTGTCTATTCGATTCCAAATGCATAAAGCCAGAAACGCGCGGATGACTTTCCATCCTCAGATAGGCGTCCATTCGGCAGTCCATAGCGAGCCTATTTTGCATTAATCACCCACAAACTCGTTATGCAACAGGCAACATGCAACATCACTTCTCCAGGCGCGAAGTCGGCCTGTGACCAGCTCATGCATCGACGCTAAACCTGTACGACTGAGGAAAGGATAATGAGGGCGAAGGAGTCACTTGAAGGTTCATCAGCACATATTGATATCGGAGCCACGTACAGAAGGTAGAGCAAAGGCTAACGAATCGATTTCTGTTCAAGGATCGCTTCTTACCTTACGAGTAATGCTGGTCCGCGAGTCATCGTGAGCATCCAGCATCTAGCATCTTTCACAAGATCCAGTCCGGTTCCGTCATTAGGCTCTGGATACAGGTGGAAGGATGGTCATTCGGCGCAATCAGTCGAAGAGTAAGTTACCCTTAGGGATGCTGTTCACGTTTGAACCTCGGTCCATTTCAGTTGTACCACGCACCATGCACCACTGACTCTTCAGCTGTCGGTGACAGCTCGGTGGTACGGTGAGAGCTTTGATCACCGTACGATGGGCAGAGCGGGCATCGGCAGCGAGAAGGCTGATAGAAGATCAATTAATGATACAAGTCGAAGTAGTCGTCCTCCGGCTCCGGGTCATCGGTGGTCCATAGCCCGGACTGGGGTCCCCACGTGGGTGATGTAACTTTCTCCCACCCATCTCTCCACTCTTCCTTTCACTTCTCGAACAAGTTTCTACATAGAGGAATCCCAATTCAATCAAGTCGGGCGCTAGAAGCATAGTTCAGATTATAAGAAGGAGGGCACTCTTCATTCCCTTCATCTCGTCCGATATATTACACACTCTATCACCTTTGTTCTCTCCTCTTTCGATATCTATATATTGGGACGACTCTTTGTCCATCTCACCCAACTCTCAGAATCTGACTACTTCGCAAGATGGCAGAACTTGATCTTGACTCTATCCTCGAATTCACCATTCAGCTTGCTAGAGAAGTACGATCAAGTCATACTCTCGTGTTGAGACATGCTGACATGCAGGCTGGGGCGATGATCAAGAATGGACAAGAGCGACGTTTCGCTTCCGGTGCTTCCGAAGATCAAAAGCTTAACTCGGTAGATGTGAGGACCCAATCGGAGTAGATTCATGACATACCTTACTGATGAGTAGCTCGTGACCGAAGTCGACAAAGATGTTGAGAAGTTCATTACCGAAAAGATCATGGCAGCATACCCAGGCCACAAATTGTGAGCTTTCTTATTTGATCCTCGAATCAAGCTCACGACCAGTATCGGCGAAGAGACTTATCATGGCCAAGAGCTGACGGATGACCCTACTTGGATTGGTAAATAAATCATTTGACTCGAAACAAAGCTAACCTAGTAGTGGAGTGAGCTGACCCGGTCCTGCATTAGCTTTCAGCTGACCTGCGTAGCCCTATCGATGGTACCACAAACTTTGTGAGCCGCTTTTTGGGTATGGCGGGCATCAACTGACAGACAGGTTCATGGCTTTCCGATGGTGTGCACTTCCATCGGTCTGGCTGTCAAAGGCATGCCGGTGGTTGGAGTTGTATACAATCCTTTCCTAGAGCAGCTGGTTCGTACTTCCAAATGTACTTGAACCTCGCTGACGTGTAGTTCTCGGCCGCCAAAGGCCGCGGGGCATGTTTGAATCAAGGTACCACTTTACCATGCACTGGAGATCGTCCTCTTGCTTCGCTTGGAGAAGCTCTGTACGTCAGATTCATTGACCAGACGACAGCTGATGTCGAAGGATCATAGCCGACTTCGGGTCTCGCCGTTCAAACCCTCAGTACAAGTCGAAGATGGATACAATGTACATTGTGGGTGCAACTCCGGAGATTGGGGGAAAGATGGCACATTCCGTCAGGATCTTGGGTAGTGCCGCTCTTAGCATCTGCTATGTAGCAGCAGGGATGTCGGACACGTGAGACTTCTACGATTTACTGTAGGGTCATGAGCTCACGAATCAGGTATTGGGAGATTGGCGTAAGTGTTTCAGAAATCCTTACAGCTTAGGATGCTGACATGTCAGTGCTGGCCTTGGGATGTCTGCGTGAGTCCATTTACTCATTATCTCATGAGGTGGGAATGCTGATTTCTGTCAGGCGGGAATTTGCATCCTGCACGAAGCTGGCGGCGCTGCTTTCGGAACCAAATCTCGCCCTCTTGACGGAACAGTTGACAAGGAAATGCTTAGTACGTGTATTGTCGTCATCATATCGATCTATGTTGACCTATTAGTGGGCAGAAAGTATTTTGTCATCCGCCACATTTCCCCGACTGAGGTAAATGATTACACTCGCCGTCCAGACGACTCAAGCTGACATGAAGACGGAAACCAACTTTGAGGCTCAGCAGCGACTTGCTAAGGAGTATTTGGACTGTACGGATGACTTCGATCCGTGATCAGTTGCTTCTGCCAGAACACGTGCAAGCACACTTTGAATATACTGTATAGAAGAGTCAAACGCATTATGCATTCGTGTCTGCTAAAATCTATGCGTGCATGTCGGCGGTTAAGCAAATGGGCATCGGCGATAAGCTACGCCACGTTCGGTGTTTTGTTTTCGCCGCTCCTGTCTGCTCTCGAGTTCAATGTCATCGCCGAGTTCCTTTTCGAACATCAACAAAAATGGTGAGTGCATTAGCTTCACCATCTTCACCATCCTACCTAGATAGCTCCTTAAGGACCTGTGGACTTCCTAGAGGTAGCTTAGACGATCTTTCGTGCCGCAAGATCATCTACAAATGAAATGGTGAACCGGTTGTTGAAGGACTTCACTAACGTCTTAGGGTCGTGGTCCTAAGAAGCATCTCAAGCGTCTTGCAGCTCCTTCATCATGGATGCTTGACAAGCTCGGCGGAACCTACGTGAGTGGCCCGTTGAAAAGTGGATAATTGTGATGCTGACATCGTGCCAGGCCCCCCGTCCTTCTCCTGGTCCCCACAAGCTCCGTGAATGTCTTCCTCTCACTGTCGTCCTCCGTAACCGTCTCAAGTATGCCCTTACCGGTAAAGAGGTGACCTCTATCGTCATGCAGAGGACGATCAAGGTGGATGGAAAAGTGAGAACCGACGAGACTTACCCTACTGGGTTCATGGGTTAGTTGGCAATATGTTGTCCGCCTTCACCCTCTCCCTTGTCCCTTTGGTCCAAAGCCCTTTTTCTCACAGGTCTCAAGCGTTCCTGCATGACTCTACTCGACTCTGCCTCGTACCCAAGAGAACATAACGTGCTGGCTTGGCCCACGTAGGAGAAGACTTGCTGACTCCTCAGATGTCATCACAATCGATCGCTCTGGTGAAAACTTCCGACTCCTATACGACGTTAAAGGTCGTTTCACTGTTCACCGTATTTCTCCCGAAGAAGCCACCTTCAAGCTATGCAAAGTCCGTAAACATCAACTCGGTCCTAAAGGTGTTCCCTACGTCGTGACCCACGACGGCCGAACCATCCGATACCCCGACCCCGCTATCAAAGTCAACGACACCATCAAATACGACTTCGTTCAAAACAAGGTCGTTGGAATCATCAAGTTTGAAGTCGGTAACGTTGTCATGGTCACTGGCGGTCGTAACATGGGACGATCGGGTGTCATCGTGCACAGGGAGAGACATTTGGGCGGGTTTGACATCGTCCACGTGAGGGATGTGTTGGATCGAACTTTTGCCACGCGGTGAGTGGACGTTCTGCATATCAGGCTTCGGGTCTGTGAATCCGTTAGAAGAGCCATGGCTGACGAGTCAGTCTGTCCAATATTTTCGTCATCGGTGAGGGATCCAAAGTGCAGGTGTCTCTGCCCAAGGGCAAGGGTGTTAAACTCTCCATCGCTGAGGAGCGTGACCAGAGGAGACGCGCTCGTGCTCAGGAGGCGTGAATGGTCTCGGACACGTAGGCATTGTACCGACTGCATGCAGCTCTTCGAACATCATTATGATTCATCAACAGTCTGACGTGTTCCTTCATTTCGTGCTACTTGTCAAGATGTTACGTGTCGTGCATGGTTGATCCTCTTCGTGTGACAGCCTCATTCTGACCAGATGTGTTTTCTACGAATCGACCTTGTACTTTGCCTCTCTGGCATCCATGATGTTTTGCAAAGCGCCGACTTTTTCTTCCTTGTTGGCATTGTACGCGACCTGTGCTTGGTTGAAAGCTGCGTGTCAGTGGTGCACCGCAAGTAAAGCGGAGTAGACAGAGTGACGTTACGATGTTACATGGAACTCACGATTCTCTGGAGCCTTTTGGAATTGTTTGAACAACATGTCTCTCATTTGATTTTGTCTCAATCCGGGATGCTGATTGTCAGCCACGAGAGACTTCTCTGTGCAGCTTACCTCTTCTTTAAGCTTGGGTAATTCTCTATCCAGATATTCGTTGAAAGCAGCTTTGAAACGACGCTGATTGTTAGTGATTATCGTTGAGGGGAATGGGATGGTTCACCTCGGGATGACGTTCTATCAATCCAGCCTGAACGTCAGTATTAGTATTTCCCGCCCTCGCCGGGCTCATTTCCTAGCTTCGCATTTTGTTCCAGCCCAAGTAGGTCGCCTGCGCCATATTTCTATCTCACGAGTCGAATGGAATCGATCTTTTGTTAAGGACGAAAGAATCCAGCATCTCAGATACTGTATGTCCCTCAAGCTAAAAGACGAGGGATGAACAAAAGTTGACCCGTATACACAATCAAGTGGATCTCAAAATGGAGCATATCGAAATCCAGTGACATGTTGAAAGATGAGTTCAAGTCGAACGGGAAAGAGAAAGAGAAAGAGAAAGAGAACGAGAAAGAGAAAGAGAAAGAGGAAGAGAAAGAAGAAGAAGAAGAAATGAACAAACCTTTGCACCCATCGCATCTTTATCCGTTTTAGCATTCACAACCTCTAAAGCTTCTAACATATCTTCTATACCCGTCGCGCTCAATTCAGTCACTTGTTCTTCTTCCACACCTTGCTTTCTTAAACCTAAAGGATCGGCGACGCTGAACCCAGCTAAACCAGTACCTGTAGCTTTCAAAGTATCTGAAGCAGGTTTCTTTTTGGATGATCCGGCTTTTGGAGCTGATTTAGGTTTAGATGATATGGAAGCTTCTTCTGCTGCTATGAGAGCTTCTTTTTCGGCTTTTTTACGTGCTGTGTGTTAGTATATCGCTCTTTTCAATTCTATCATGGAGTTAGTAAATCGCTCTTTTCAACCATATATCATGATGGAAGAACGAGATGATGATTTTGAATAAAATGAATGTTATATATCTGGGACCAAGAAGACAGCAGTAGTGATTGTTGGTTTGCGTTCATGATTGTATTCCACCGTAAGTGGATGGTCAGAGGGTGAGGACACCTGTACGACCAATAGAAACTTGAGGAGATGAGGGGAAAGAGTGAGAAGATAATTTGATTGCCTAATTCTAAAGTCAAGGATAAATGGAGTGTCACAAAGTCCAATCTGATCTTGAAACGATAAGGAGACATCATCACACCAAGCGTGTGACACTGTAGATATAAGAAAGAGGAGGAGAGGAGGGAGAAAGCCACTCGCCTTGTTCTGCAGCTTTCGCAGCTGCTACCTCTCCTTTAGATAATCCTTTGGCTATCAATCAGCTCCTAGCTCCTATCTTCCATATTCCCTCCTTATCTGTCCAAACCTCCCCAGATTCCCCAGTTGTCTTATCACCTTGACGATGACGAGTATGTATGTATCATCTTATCAAACTACCCGTAACTCCTTCATTGTCTCCTCACCATGATTCTATTCAGCTCGATCGTATGTCTCCGCGAAGTTTCGTCCATACCTTTGGGCCCGACGATCCGTCAAGGGACCAGAGAAACAACCTACCTCCCGATTTCCACTCTTCTGCTTCTTTGGCATCTTTAGCACGTTGTTCTTCCGCTTTCTTCTTTTCCTAATTCATCAGTCTTATCCCTATACTGCAAGGTATTCGTTATGAAGTCAAAGGGGTAGGTGTAATTGTGGCTTGGAGGTAGAAAGAAGGGAGAATTCACTTCGTTCTCCGCTTTCTTAGCTCTACCACTTTCTTTCTTCGCGTTTCCTCCCTTGGGTGGCATCACACAGCGAATTGAACCTTCTCACTAATTCGACAAGATGGACGAGGTTGTTGTGAGGGTTTGATCACTCAGTTGAAAAATTGAACAAGAACCTGTCAGGTGAAAAGTGAAAAATGATGGTGAGACGGAGTGATTGTTGGCAACAAGAAAGGATCACCAAAGTGGAGGTTTACTTCGGCCGAATTCCAACTGCTCGTACAGTACGAGTACTTTAGAATCTAGAGTAAGTCACTCGCCTGGATCAGACAACATTTGACGGTACGCTACATTGTACATACATACACGGTACAGCGGTACAGCTATGACAGAAAATATTTCTTCCTCCAAGATGTGCCTCTTCATTTATCCGTTTGCTTCACTTCTTTCTCTTGACCTTTCCGAATTCCTCATCGCTTAACCTTAGCAAATGTATTTACCAGCCTCTTTCTCTCTTCTTCCTCTTCATCTAATAACCCCAATACCAAATCATCTGGTCCTCCATCATCCTCTACAGCTCTCATATACTCGTCTTCCCATCCTCCCCATTCTTCATCTACCGAACTTCCCGTGTTGGTAGCTGGAAGGTCTGAGCTAGGCGGACTTGCATCTTCCACACCCTCCTCCAAATGTTCAGGCGCGGGAGGAAAGATTGTATCTTCTTCAAAAGACAATTTATTCGCTTGTGCTTCGGATACTCGTCGTTTGATACGTTTATGGTTCTGTCTTTTGTATTCCTGTGTTACACGATGAACACCTTCCCCTAAACCTTGGGCGACTTGACGGATTGGTATACTGGCCGCTCGCCAGGCCGGTCGAGCGGGATAACCATTAGGCAACCTGGGAAGCTGAGGATCAGGTGTGGCTTCCAGGGCCGAATGAAGAGCAGTGGACAGAGGTTCAGTGAAGGGGTATTCTTCAGGCGAACCAGGACGAGCTTCCACTTCGAATCGGAATATTAGACGTCGGGTACGAGCTTCGATATCCATAATTGAAAGAGGTGAATATTCGTCGATGGCACGAGCAGAGAAGAAATCTACTTGACGCCAAAGGTAGATGGATGAAGGGAGGACATGAGGATGGACCGAATGGGTTTGAATCTCGGCATGAGCTAGGTTGCTAGGATATCAGCTGACAGTCATGTATAGAAAGATGAACTTACTTGGGTTGCTCAGCCACTGACGGGGTTTGCCGCGAGAGAATCGACGAGGAAAGGAAAACGGATGAGTTGCCTTCCATATTATCGGGAAGCAGCCATCGAGCTTTGACGGAACTCGTGACGTGGAGTTCTGGAGGGGCAACGAGCCCAGCTCGAGATCGCATCATCTCAGTCAAACCACTGACTCGCCTCATCGGCGTCTCCTTAGTCGAAGGCGTATCCGTCAGCGAGGAGACAGCGGCATGAATGTCGAGTCTTGCCAATTCGATCAGACCCGCTCCCGTCCGAGAGATGTAAGTATCTACGATGGTATGACCCTTCAACAACGGATCGGCACGTGGCGTCATGAAGCCAAAATGAGTGTCCATAAGGGATGAGTTGCTGGCGCTAATTTCGGTCCTCGTGTTCTCCGCTAGATATGGCGACCGAAGACGTGCGTGTGGCGTAACGACTGTGGAGAGTGAGGGAAGCTGAGTACTGTTGATAACTTTTAGGGGTATGTGGGTCGAGACTGAAGGCATGCCTCCGTCAGGATTCAAGGGAAATATATCTGCAAACGCATCAACACAGACCGGAAAAAGAAACTTCAGCTGAAACTCACGGATCGTACCTCTGCCAGTTGCCACCCCTACCCAACGTCCGTCTCGCGACCACTCCACGTTGATGACAGTCGCTGCAGTGTTGCCTCTTCTCAACTCATATAAGTGCCACGCCAACCCCTTACACTCGCCAGGCATGTCCAACTTCTTCGCCCCCGCTGGTCGGATACCAAAAACATGACATGCTCGTCCATCGTCCTGGGCTGCTAATAACTTCGTGCCACATCTTGAGAAGGACAGATACGATATGGATAGACGCTGTCTGTACAGACGCTGGCTATCTATCGCAGAGTACAGGGTCGGCAGAGATGAACGAGAAGGTGGGAGGCAGAAGTGTGCCACTAATACGGGTACGGGTAGGATAGGCAAATTGGAAGAGCCAGAAGAATCACCCAGGGATGAAGGTAGATCTTGACGAGGCCCTAAATCAAAGACTTTGATCCATTGACTTTCCGTACGTCCATTCGATGTGGTTGTAAGGTCGTCGAACAGACTAGAATCACCGAGGGATTTCCGCTCGTCACAATGGTCTTCATCTTGATCGGCCAAGCCACCGCTGCTACCCTCAGGAGCACTTCGAGCCAGACGATTGTTCCGAGCTTGATTGGCGGCTTTGGCTCCTGCCCTTAGTCCTGCCCAGACACCACGGGCGACTCCTCCTCCAATTTCCATAGCAGAGGACAGGTAGTCTCGCTGACCGCTCCCAGTATCTCGCTTGAGTTGTGGGCGGGGACTCACGAGAGTTTGAGGTGACTGGACGGAGGATAACGATACAACAGATCCGAGTTGATCAACACCGAGTGATTGGGGTGGCTCCGAGGTAGTGATGGAGAGCAATCGACCAGATAGAGCAAATATAGGTAGACAGGTGGTAGGGGATAAGGGTAGATCGGTGATAGGCAGGCACAAAAGTCGAAAGCTTGATGGGTGTATGCAGTAAATTTTAGGCGTGGGATGTGACAAAGCCTATAAGAACATCAGCTACTGCCCAATAAAGCGATCATGACGTACTACAACGATAGCGCGAGTAGATGCGGTGAATGAAGCCGAAGCTCCGATCCCAACATGTATTCTCTTGATCGCTACCCCATTTTTCAGGTCGATGATAACGAGTGCGATGTAGTGATGACCATGAGTGTTGCGTCTGATCTCTGTCGATGTTCTGTTTGTGAATCAGTCACTGGTCCCTCGAAGCCAAGGGACACTCACAAAAGAGCTGCCAAAGGGGGTGTGTTGGGATGATCGCCAGGCTGACGGGAGAGGATGCTTGCTTGTAGAACCTTCTCCTTGTTGCTGGTTTTATGCTCGAATGGGCCTGAAAGAGAGGAGTATTGTGTGGTGTGGTCGTACCCAATCTTGCGGATACAACATACCTCCTCTGGGGTAGGAAATGTCTCCTTTACATGCTCGTCGGTAGGAAGGCGACTGAGTTTTACTCTCCACAGCTGTAAAGCGTTTTCCTTTGACGAGATGACTAGAACGGTGCTGATCGTAAGCAGGATTATAATACTATCTGGTGTGAACACTGACTTAGGGTCAGCGCCATCACCCAGGTCGATTGTCTGCCATGAGACCTGATCACGATCCTTTGCCTCTGCTTGACTGGAGTGGTCGACGGACGGCGAGGAGGGAATGAAGCTTTTGAATGATGGTATGCCGTTGAGAGAGAATCGGGATAAAAGTGGGCTCAACAAGGACGGTCCTCCCTCACTGTTCACGTCAGAATGTTTGATCATGGAATGTGAGAAGAGAGCTCACTCTACGTCCACAGCTAGGATAAGTCAGCACAGACTCTGAATGTTTACGGACATTATACTCACCTATAGCCTGCCTGTATCTATTCCTGGCTTCTGTCTTTGGGGACCGTGGTGATGCGGATGAGGATGGACGTAGATGCTTTTGCTTGACGTTCGAGTCGACATGATCTGATGCTGGCATATAGCAGCTGGGGCGATGCTGCGAGAATGACGCCTCGCAGCGTCAAACGGGGAGATGGTATGGCGTAATCACCGAAGCTGATGAATAGTTAACACAACTCGAAAGAGGATCAGACGGCTGGGGATGGAATGGAGATGAGCGAGTGGAGGCTGTGATCAAGGGCTGAAGAGAAGGATCCATAGAGAGACTCACAAAGACGACGATCAATGGGTGAAGAAAGGAGCCACGTGGTAAAAGTGAGGAATCACGAGTCGATGAATCTGACAATGAGGATAAAAAGAGCCTTTGTGGCTGGAGGAATGGAGATGGGCGGAGGGGGGGGACTGACTAGGTGGCAAGGACGAGGAAGATGACGCGAGGAAGCCAACCCCAAAGCGTCCTGTTCAAGTATCGATGACGCTAAGACAATATGAAAGGAGGTTTCCGATACAACTAATCCGGAGAGGATCTGCTACAACTATCAAACGCAACGACGTAGAAGAGGCCAGGTATGGTGAGTTGTACAAGGATGATGTTGAGAAAGACGTCAAAGTCGTTGTGCCCAACAACAACGCGGGATACGACTTCTCAGCCGGCCTCTTCGTCTCCATCCCCGGGTTTGCCTCATTCGGCAAGCACGCAAGTAAGCGATACGATCTGGGGACAAGATACCACTCGACGATGCGATATGATGCATGCGAAGAAGAAACTGTTCAAACATCATGTGACTATTGCTGAACCCTGTCCTCACAGTCCGTGGATGAATTGGCAGGGACAGCCAGGCTAGCGGCCCTCCTTCTCTTTCTCCTCCCTCTGGGTTTGCTGCCCGCGCTGCCCTGCATCTCTTCCACTAGGCGGTCAATAGTTGGAACAATTCGACTTTCGAGCCAGTCTGCAGCTTGTTCGAGCTGCTTCCGGGCTTCCCCGTAGTTGAGAGGGGCTGTCGCCGCTACACCTGTGAGACCAGGAAAGCTGTTGCTTGTTTCTGCCCAGTCGTCCTTGAACAAGTCATCTCCCATGCGCCGCCCGAGCAACCGCTGTACTTGCAGATGGAGGCGAGCCACGGTTGCATAGGCTTCTTTCAACGACCGCTCCACTTGATCAGACTCGTTGACATCGTCGTGATCTGTTGCGCATTCCCCCGAAACTGCTTCCGCATCCTTGCCATTGTTTGACTTGATCAAAGTGCGGACATCGAAGTCACAATTCTCCGCCACGAACAATTCTGTGATAGCATCGATGAGCTTCTGATCCTCCCTTGACACTTCCTTCTCTGACGCATCGTCCACTGACATACTCACCACTGACACGCCCTCCGCTGACTCCCCCTCCACTGTCTCCCCCTCCACTGTCTCACCCCCCACTGACCGATCCTCCTCAGGCCCACCCTCCATCGACCCATCATTCGTTGCCCCGTCCTTCATTGCCCCATCCGCCACTGACTGATCCTTCACTGACTTAGTTGGCACTGAGGCCAAGTTAGAAAGGTCCTCCGATAACCCAGTTATCTGCGAGCGAATATAATGAAGCACTATTAGACACATTGCCGCAGCTGACCGAGCCTCTTCTCGATGTGGGCTGTCGCGTTCGTGAAGGACTGGAGTGTAAGGCCGAGTGGGAGGGATGACGCCAACATGAGGAGGGTCGGGCTCGTCTGGAAGCAACGTGAGCGAGCATGAGGCGACGGATTTTGCATCAGATAAGTTCGAGCTGGCGGTCGGGTCGCCGACGAGGGTATCGAGGGTATCGAGGGAGTCATTTGAAATCGGAGTACGAGAGCGATAGCCGAACAATGCGGTAGAAATTCTTGAGCCAGGGGACCGTGATCTGCTTCTGGGTCGCGACATGATGAATTCACTCAGAGCAGAATGAAGAAAAGGGTGTATGTGTGTAAGAGGATACGTTCGCCACTCACCAGTAAGCCATATAATATCTCTCTATCTCTCTACAGACTCTATGGTCGGTGTGAAGGTCGTCATAAAGGAAGGAAAACCCCGCAGCACCGCTCCGTATGAAAGCGATGCGACCCGTGAGAGATTTCCTTGATTGTTATTCAGCGTACCGCCTTGTGGGTGTGAGAATTGTGAGTGGTTCGGCTGAAATCGAAATGTCCTGTGCGAGATGAAGATCCGATGATATTTCCCACGTTGATACAGGATGAAAGCTGTGTATAAAGGAGATGAGTACGAGTACTCGTAGTGTGGAGAAGAAAGAGTGAAGAAGAGAACATGGTGAAGATGGTGAATCCTAAGTTGACGATCGACGGTCCAAGCTTTGGAAATCCGCTTATTTCGTATTACCGGACGTCCACTACGGAGTGATCCATACAGTGCGATTACTCCATACTCTACGAGTACATGGTATACATGGAGTGCTCCAGATCAACCTGAGATGATGATTTTTTCACGAGTAGTTCTCCAAGGGTTCGTTTTGACACTCGGTCGGGTTTACAGAAATCAATTGTCCTCATTCAATGTCACTTACAAACATCACTCAGCGGTCGTCTTATCGAATAACAGGAATATCGTTTTGGCTAATCATCTTGTGAGCAGCTACATGATCTCGAGTCTAAGCGTTCATAACGCTGAGATCCCTGATCTCCTCTCATCCATTTCCTTCTCTCCTGTCCTTGCTGACTCCTCTTCCTCCACTTCCCCAACCCCGTCCGTTACAGATAACCCCCACGGAAACTTTCGATGTAAGGTGATCAAACATACGATACTTCTCAAATTCCTTACTGTTGAGTTCCATTCTTCCGGCTTGTTGAGCTTTCGAGCCATTTCAGCCACCTCCACATCTCTTGACATCTGGTTCCACAAGATTATCATATTTTCAGGGTTCACTTTCTGACTATTCGAGTCTCGCAGGGCTCTTAGGGCATTGGCGTAGAATGTTAGACGTGTGAGCGGCTTCGAAAAGTTATTCCAGACTGAGATACGACTTGCTCCTGATGCCCCTGTAGTTGAACTACCGGATTGCCCAAGAGGGCGAATCTTACTTGGAGTCCTGTTCAACCTTCGATTATCAAGAGATGAATCGGAACGTCCACTCCGTAGAGTCTCATCGAATCCATGGGTGATGACTATCTCGGGAGTAGTCCTCGATAATTCGGAAAACTTGCCGGTCTCCGGATCGTATACCATTATTTCCTCTGGAGGCCACGCTTCGATCTCGTCCTCGTTCGGATCTACTATTGGGAAGTACAATGTGATGTCTCCAAACTGACCGTGTTCAAGCCGGTGGGTGTACCAGACCAGCGCAGATATTGTCTCATCATCCATATCTATCGAGCTATCCAAGCCACTCGCGGGATACGGGTCCATGGTGAGCGAGATAGACGATCAAGATCCGTATTCCGAGAGGGAGCCGAAGACGCAATGTTAGTGGTCAAATAATATGGATGAGGTTGGAAGCATCCCACAAACATGATGAGAAAGCTGAAGTAAACTGGTTGAATTCAATGTCCGCTCAAAGGTTGATTTGTCAAAAGAGGATCCTGGAGGCTATGAAGTTTTTATAACCTAAAGGATTTCAATTACAGGCCAGATCCGAAGGGAGTGACACCACGGCGCGGCAGGCGAGGTGTGCATGATGAGGGTATGGAAGGGGTAATAAGAGTCAGATAGAAGATGGGTGGGTGGTGGAGTCGGATCGTCGTTCGTGGTCGAAAGACAACATCATCGAGTCTCGAGGAGTGTATAAGAATCGATCGTACGATTTTCCGATAACCTGATCTTGAAGTCAGCTACCCTATGGGTGCTTCAGATCGTCAGCTGTTAAACAGGTTAGAGTAAATGGAGTCAGTCATCACATTGCATAAAAGCCCTACGTATCAAAATTGCAAAACATGAATCATGAAGGCAGATCACTTCCATTGGTCGATCAGTATGACAGTTTGCCTAACCGCTGCTAGTGTTGGAAGCATTATTCATCCCATTGGCCAGGGAGGTATCGATCCGGAGTGGACGTCTGGTCGCATTTGTTCTCCTGAGATCAGGACTAGACCGCGGAGGACGAAGGGTGGCCCTGGGGTGATAGGATGATGACTTGTTACTTGCAGTCTCCAGGATGTTATCGGAGGATCCGATATAGAAGTCGGCGGAGTACGGATGATTCCCAATGAAGGGCGGTGAAAATGGTGGCAAGGCATTGTCTCTGTATGCATCTTGATCAGAAAGATACACCGAGCTTGCAGGAACCCGCCGTAGATATGGAGTCATCCTCCCGGACGTAGGCGACTCTGGGAAGTCTGCCCTATTTACTCGGGTGTCGGAACTAATAAAACTGCTAGTCGACAAGTGCGAAGCTGAGTGCTGATGGAGAGCTGTGCCCAGTGTCGGACGGGCGGGTGAGGATCGAGACGACGGAGAAGACCTCAAGATTGCCGGACTGTTTTTACGGAAGGGGTCAAAAGCATTATCTGACAAGTCTAGGAAGCTGTCATAGTCTGGACCAGCCGGTGACGGATCATGATTATTCGTCGTGCCGGAAGTACTGATAGAGGGGAGGGATCGTTCGTTTCTGCCAAAGGAGGTACGAGTGGGGGAGAGTGCGGCTAGAAAGTTTCTCAGACCCATGATCGATGATCGAAGAGGGTTGGAAACATTCGTCTCCTTATATATCTGTTCGTCGCTGCCCGTCGGACAACTATGACCTGCAAACTTAATTTAAGTTGAGATCCACGATGAAAGGATGATGACCTACCGATTTCAAAAACCGCCGAGAGATTCCCTCCGAATCCACCTCGAAAGCACAAAATCACTTTAACTTTCGCCTTCAAAACCTACGTCAGAAGGAAGGTCCTAGAATCGTCGTCAGATTTCGGATCATTTGAGAAGGATGAATATGACATAATCTCGAGCTGAATGATGGAAGAATGATGTCATGGTAAGAAATGTCTTCTTGAGTCTAGACCTTCGAATAATGATGTTGAAGGAGGACATTGAAGTACCGCTTTGATTTTGAACGCTTTCCCAATTGAGACTTATCACCCACCCATCCCCTATGTTCCCCGACATTTTCACAATTCGGGACTTTGACTGCTTGCTGGGTTGAGGAGGGATATAAGGGTCTCCAGGTAATCTTCGTTACGACTGGTTTTGGAGGACAAGAGATTTGGGGCGGAATGATGAAATCGCTGCGCGCTGCGAGGGCTCTGCATGGTGACGTACGGAGGAATGGTGTTAGAGTAGGGGATTGAATTCATTCGCGTGAGTGAAGGCAATCTAGGGAGGCGGGGACATGACTCGGCATGCTCCGAGGGATGATGCGTCTCAGCGTCCGATATGGGCGGTGTGGTGGGTTTGCGGATTGTCTCACTGTCTCCGTCGTCCGTCTTCGCATTGACATGCTGGGATGGAGGAGTGGTCTTTTATGTCAGCTATCCTATGGGAAGGTGTCGATGTGCGATACGTACGCTTACAGCTGGTTCATAGAGCACCCATGGCCCTCGCGGTACCGTTAGTGGACCAGTATTCCCGAATGAAGAAGTGGTAGAATCAGATTCATCGGATCCTGCGTCGTCAATAGATGGCTTTGTATTGACGGGACATTCTTACCTCCAGCAGGGGCCAGACCGAAGTGGCCGAACAATGGTAAACGGTCGCCAAGACGGTCAAGGCTAAAGCGACGTGGCTCACTACGAAGGTCAGGGGCGACACTGCTGATCGAGTGTCTTCGGAACGCTGACGAGATGGATGGCAAGCCTGTGGAGTGTCTTTCGTAAGTTGGAGTCACGTCTGTATGGTGGTGCTCCCACTTTGCGCGCAGACGATTTACTCCGGCAGAGAGGAACGCGAAGTTTCCAGTAACATTCTGGGGGTCTTTCTTCGCCAGCGTAAAGTGCCTCATCTGAGAAGTGACTGAGTAGCTTCAGTGTATGTGGATGAGGAGCTGACGAGTTGAGATGAATGAATAGCTCGGGTCATTTCTCACGAGAGCGGAGTAGTGCTACGCCTACAAAGGTTGTCCGTCAACTGCGTATTGCCGGTCCGCGATGATACCTGGCATTGTGTGGCACATCTCTTCACTGTATGTTAGCTCGAGGGATGCAAAACATAGAATTAGACTCACTGTACATAGCCGTCCGCTGATCGGTGATGTCAGCGATATACCGATCAGTGAGTTCATACACAAGTCGTAACATGCGATTCAAGGTATGATACAACACTACCTACAGACTCGCGTTCGATACCTAATTCGTATCCATCCCCATACTCATTCCACCCCCTTGTGCAGGTATGAGTCTGCTCTCTCGCTCTTTTCTTTTCCCCGCCCCCGCTTTGATCTGTTGCGTCGCCATAGCTTTCTTTCCGGCCGCACGAACTTTGATCTTTTCCTTGATCTTCTCCCTCTCCTCTGGGGCGGTGACTCGTCGAGGTTGTACCAGCTCCATGTGTCGTTCCACTTCGACAGCTTGGGCGTGGGTATCCCTGGCAGGATTGCCGGCCATCCTAGAATGTCAGCACTGCTGATTGCTTTTGACTGCCACTTCGCACGACGGTGGTATACGAAAAGTACGAGCCCGACACTTTGTAGAGGAAAGGTAGAGAAGAGGGAAGTCATATGACGCACCTGTTCTTCCAGAATGCCTTTTCACGTTTCTGTTTGATCTCCTGTACTCTCTCCATAGCTTTGATAGTAGTCGCCACCAACTCGCGATCGTAGCGTACCGGCACATGACGGCGTTTCTCGAACTCGAAAGTAGAGTCCTACATGTCAGCTAGAGCTCACGTGACATGTACATCGGAGACGTAGATGAAAAAGGACACTCACGACGACCATATCCTTCCCGTTGGCTCTTCTGAACGCTTTGGTCCATCGCACTTTCCTCGGGTTTCGTTTCATCTTGAAGTTTTTGTTGCATTTACTGGAACAAAAGCGGAACGTCTTGGCATCATTCCGGACGAACATGGTACCATGCCCTGGGTAGACGCTGGCGGAGCAGAAATAGCATTTTTCGATTCTCATTGTGGACTGGAGGAGAGTAGTTTGGGGAGGAGGGATCCAAGGGTGAACATTCAGAAATCTTTGGAGAAAAGATGAAGAAATGAGATTATAATAATAATAATGATGCCACGTGTGGATTGTTCGGTTGCAACTTTGGGTTCAGGGCGCGCGCAGTAACCTCACTACTACTACTGCTGTACGAGTACTGCTACTTACTGAACGTGTCAAACCCATCTCTTACTTTCTCTCCTCATTCCTATTACCCTTTCCTTCCTTGCTTCGTTCATTTTACCTCTTCTTTGGGCACTCTCTTATCCTTCTTGGTGCTCATCTCTTCTTTGTGTGCAAAATGAAGATAGGTTCCCTTTCTCACAGACATCATTCCCCCAGCTGACCTCTGGGCACGCTTTGATCCTTGTTGGAGGTTTCGGTACACGTCTGAGGCCCCTAACTGTGAGTATCCTCTCAGCTGTCACCTCATGTTTCCCCATGTCAAACAGTGACCATGTGGTATATATCGCTGACTGCGTCAGCTGTCATGGCCCAAACCCTTGGTAGAGTTTTGCAACAAGGTGAGTCCTCGGTTCAAATTTTGAGGTAGTAACGCGCTGATGGGGCATTCCAGGCCATCATGTCAGTTCTTTTTCCCTCACATTCTCACATATCGAGAAATACCTTGAAAGTTTACACCAACACGTTCTCAGCTGACATTCCTCCAGATTGCATCAGATCGAAGCTCTGGTCAAGGTAAGTCGCTTCTGTCAACCGATCCACGTTCAAACCACTAACGACGCCCTCAGGCGGGTGTCAAGGATATCGTGCTGGCAGTCAATTACCGACCCGAAATCATGGTCTCCGTACTGAAGAAGACTGAAGAAGAGCTGGGTATCTCAATCACGTTCTCTGTCGAGACAGAACCTTTAGGAACTGGTGAGGAATATCATCATCTGTTACCCATTCCACGTCGATTCTACGCCCTTAAAATCGTGCATATTGAGTGATGAATGCTAATCATCAGCTGGACCTCTAGCATTAGCACGTGAAATTCTTGGAAAAGACGATTCACCCTTCTTCGTACTCAATGCCGATGTGACCTGCACATACCCATTCGAAGCGTTTAGGGATTTCCACTTAGCGCATGGTTGTGAAGGTTCCATCATGGTGCGGCATATCATCACTCTACAACTGTTGAAAACTTATTAATCAGGTGACTAAAGTCGCTGAGCCTAGCAACTTCGGTGTGGTGGTGACCAAACCCAACTCCACTGTGATCGATCGATTCGTTGAAAAACCCGTAGAGTTTGTGGGGAACAGAGTCAACGCAGGTATATACCTTTTCAACCCTTCGATTCTTGATCGTATAGAGGTGAGTTCAGTTGTTATCTGGACCTTATTTCGACTCATGTATAGTTACGTCCCACTTCTATCGAAAAAGAAATCTTCCCTGCTATCGCTGCCGACCACCAATTGCATTCCTTTGACATGGCGGGTTTCTGGATGGACGTCGGTCAACCCAAAGACTACCTCACGGGTATGTACCGATTGAAATATGCTCATGCACTTGGAATTGCTGACAGTCAGGTACTTGCCTTTACCTCTCCCATCTCACAAGTCAACACTCGCCCCTTTTGGCCGACCCAAAGCAACACAAATGGGTGTATGGAGGAAACGTTCTCGTCGATCCTGTACGTCTCAACCTGTTTCATGACCATCATACCCCTTCCGACGCTCGATTGATAGCTGATCCACAGACGGCCGAAGTCGACCCTTCTTCTGTCATCGGTCCCAACGTCGTTCTCGGTGCCGGAGTGAAGATTGGTAAAGGCGTCAGGCTACAACGATGTGTCGTCCTGTCCAACGCTGTTATAAGGGATCATGCATGGGTCGCTAACTCTATCGTCGGCTGGAACTCGAACGTTGGTCGCTGGGTGAGTCACTTTGACCATACCTGTAATTTCAATTTGGTACACCGAAATTAGCTCACAACACAGACTCGCGTGGAGAACATCACAGTCCTGGGTGATGATGTGACCATCAAAGATGAGCTCTACGTTAACGGCGCTTCCGTGTTGCCGCACAAGAGTGTGAGTGATCTCCTTGTCGACTTTCCTTTTTAGGAATGCCGGATGGATGCAATAGCTGATAACAAGATCTCTACCAGCATCACCGAACCTCGGATCGTCATGTGTAAGCTTGAGCTTTACTTCCATCGTTGACCCTTAAACTGACGTTCAGAGGACAATTTGAATACTCTACAAATTCTCAACCTGGTCAAACAAGCTATAAGCTACTCATATTCGGTAGCCTACCAAGAAACATACTTTGGCCATACAATTTGCCTCAATACCATCGTCTGACATGCATCGGGTCATAGAGCGTGATTTGCATGGCATGTATAGCACAGTTTCTATTCCTCCCTAGATTTCTAACTCGGTCAGTGTGGAGTATGTACTCATACACAAGGTCAGATACGGCGACATGGACATGGCGCCACTATGTACAGTAGATTACGAGTCCTTTACATGTCAAATGACCAGACGAAGAGTTTCAATCGTTTAGGTCACGTAATTTTCGAGACCAGACTGCGACTTTTTGATGGGCCATAACCTTTCACGTCAGCGTCCTTCAGGGCCAACAGCGAGAAGTTTACCTTGCTAGCGTTGAAGCCGATTACTTCAAGTCCTTCTAAAGATGTTGCTCGAGACAAAGCGACGTATGCTGATTTATCAGGAAATTGTATATCGGAATCGTAAAAGACACTGACCTTGACCTTTCTCGAAAACTTTACCTAGGTTCACTTTGACTCGATCCAATGCTATCTATCAGCCATTCACGTTCCATCACCGAAAGTTGAAAACTCACTCTGTCCTTGACTTTTATGTATACTCATCGCCCAAGCTAAGATCAATGGTAATTGAGTCCTACTAGCTTGTACTTCACCATTTGGTAATTCCACTTTGAATTGATCCATTTCTACCAAAACATCCCTCATCCCACCACCAGGAACTTTAAATTGTACCACTGGATTTGGCGCTCCTGCAATTTTACTCTCTACGAGTTTCCTAGTTTTCTCCAACTTTTCTCGTATGGTTTCGTCCATATCATCACCATCTGGTCCATCTGGTAACCATCTCCCTGCTGTATCTGTGAAATAAAGTTGTTTATGACAAAAACCAATGACTTTACCCATACTGCCATTGACTAATGTTTCATCCATATTTTTAATCAACATGACTTGAGCGTCAACTCGAAGGGAAAGTTGTTCCACGGCTAGGAAATTGGATAAGACTTTTTGTCGTTGAATTGGGTCGGTAATTGTTCCAGTGTCGGAAGCGGCATAGGTGTATCCGTCAGTTAGAAGAGCCTCTAGACGATGTGCGTTGGATCTATCGACATCTTCTCGACGAGGAAAGAGTTCAGTAGGTTCGATACCGTCGTCGTATTTTACTTGTCTGGAGAGGGATTGGAAAGCTTTGATGGATTCAGGTGTGAGACGACCAAACCGCATTTCGTTAAGCATGTCAACGAAGCCTAAAGGTGTCAGTTTATTCTCTTCTAGGTATGTTGCACCTTGCCACGGGCTAAGCTGACAAGGCGAAAGTTTGAAGAAAGCGATCATGTGAAGTGAGACAGGATGGTCAAGGAAGGAGTGAAGGGATACAAGGTATAACAACTCACGTTGATCTTTCTGTCTAAACACTTTGGTCAGGTTCACAGACATGCTAATGGTCTCATCCCAAGTGACAGCTTCGAAACAAAACTTTGGTTGTTGGTTGTTCTTCGTCACTGGGGGTAATTGGAAGAAATCGCCAGTTACAATAATCTGTATTCCTCCCCAAGGTTTTTGATTCTTCCGTATCATTTGACCCAATTTACAAAACCTGTCAAATAAATCACCGTCCACCATCGAGACTGAGAATTAGCATTTTGACCGGACCAATCATTTGTTCAGCTTGACTGACTTTCATCCACGATCAACACTTTCGTCCGTTGCCATCTAGCTGCAGCCTTTTTATTCATTCGTAATTTCTGTAAAAGAACATCAGGCTTGTCAACAGCAAGCCCGACCCCACCGAAAGAGTGAAGAGTGACGCCTCCGATGTTACAAGCTGCTATACCGGTGGATGCTGCGATAGCCACGGCGTCTGGGGTGGTGACGTATTTTTTGCGAAGAGATTTGATTATCTCGCGGAGAAGGACGGACTTCCCAGTACCTTATTGTCAGCTGGAGTTCATATATAATCAGCTACCAGTCTATGGAGGTTCTGATAGGAGAAGGGGAAATGGAGTGATCATAGAATATAAGATGATTGCCTACCAGCACTTCCAGTGAAAAAGATGTTCTTCCCTTCCGCCACTACCAAACTGAGCACTTTCTGCTGTTCCGTGCTCAACACTATCTTCTGTCTGATATCCATCACTCCTCCAGATTTCGTTGATTTATTTGAATTTGATCTTGCGCTATTTCTAGAATTCGGTCTTTGCAACATCGCCTTCTTCGTCGTCCTTGCTATCAGCCCCACACGGTCAACTAATCGTCTACTCACGATTGGTCTTCTTCCCATGGCATAGCCCTCTTCTTCAGATCTGATCCCAGAGATGACACTGATGATCCATTGAGAAGAGAAGGTCTTGATGATGACGCAGATGGTAAAGAAGGTAATTGTTGAACAGGCGGTTCTTTCAATAACGATTTGGAAGACGTTGATCCTGAAGGTGGAGAAGTGTTGGGACTCATGGCGGCCAATATAGCCTTTCTTCGTCTATCGGCCGCAGACTCTACTGTCACCGTTGAAGGCATCTTAGGTTTGTCTCTGAGACTATGAGCACTATGCCTCTGCGTATATAGGGAGAATCTGCGAAGAGAAGAGAAGGACTCACTGAGGACTGTCAGTCCATTGAAATTCCACAGGTGAAGCTTTCAGACTACTGGCGGCAGGTTCAGGCTCGGACCAGTCACGTTTGAGACTGTTCACTCGTGAGAATGACCTTGATTGATTTTCGGCCCCTGCTGAGGCTGACGAAGTGGAGAATAGAGATGGCATGGTTGGGGGGGAGAGGGGTGGATGTTGTGGGGGTGAAAGTAAGGTGACGCGACTGACTTTGAGCTCGAACCTCTTTTCGTCGGATTACCTATGATTACGTAAGACTCTGCAGAGCGCATCAATTTTATTTTTTCCACGTCGTCCTCCACTGCACTGGCGGTAGATAGTGACTGGATAGAGTCAAAGGGCAAGGAATCTGAGCATCCACATCATGGCACCCGATAAGAAAATACAAAATGCTATGAAAAGGTCGGATGTTCATCGTAAGAGCAAGAGGGAAAAGGAACAGGCCAAGCTCAAGCGAAGGTTGGAGGTGAGAAGTTTTCCAGAGTCGAAGCTCATGACGCTGACAACGTCCAGATCAAGAAAGCTGAGAAGGGTAAAGACGGAGAGGAGCTGAGAAAGGTCAGTAGTACGATACTCAGAGAATACATGGCTCATAATGTAGCAACGACTAGCTACCAATATCCCAAACACCCTCGACAATACAAGAATATTCGATTCGAGTTCTTACCTCACAACCGATCCCAAAATTTTACAAGCGGCCGCTGAGAAAGCTGCAGCTGCTTCTCGATCCATCAATGGTCCTTCTCCTGATGCGACAGATGATGAAGATGAGGACCGAGAGTCAGAAGCTGGTCCCTCCACGGTTCCAGCTTCTGTCCCAGCTCATGAAGATGGTGGAGATGTACCAGATGAGGATGAGGAAATGTCTGAGGAGGCAAAGGCAGATGAGGAAGAGGAAGGTCAACAACGTACAGAGCCTGTATATGGACCTCCGCCAAAAATCTTGATCACCACCTCCCCCTCTCCCGGAAAATCCACTTATCGGTTCTGCGACGATCTCAAGAATGTTTTCCCAGGTGGGGAATTCTTCAAACGACCAAAAGGCAAAGGCTTCGAACTTGGCCGTGTGGCGAGATGGGGTATCAAGAGAGACTTCGTGGCGGTCATCATCGTCAATGAAGATCACAAAGAACCTAGTGAGCTTTGTACACGTCAAGGAGGTTATGCTTATGACAGATGCCATCACTCTCATCAAACTGCCCGAAGGCCCAACAGCTTACTTCAGGCTTACAAGTATTCAACTTGGTTCAGAGATCTACGTAAGACATTTTCACAGGTCTTGCTCGTCAAGCTGACCCATAGGGACATGCCAAACCTTCCCCTCATTCCCGTGAGTCATCTCGTTAAGCGAATAGATTTACAGTTGAACATTCAGCCGAGCTCATCTTGAACAACTTCACTACCCTTCTGGGCAATTCCGTAGGTCGGCTATTCGGCTCTCTCTTCCCTCCACTTCCGCAATTTAGAGGACGTCAAGTTGTCACTCTTCATAATCAACGAGACTTCCTTTTCTTCCGTCGACATCGTTATATGTTTTCCTCACCCACTCGTGCCCGATTGCAAGAGATTGGACCTCGCTTCACACTCAAGTTACGATGGCTACGCAAAGGTCTCCCGGCAGTTACGGCTGCGGACGGTAGAGTGCCCGGTGGAGGAGATGCCGAGGAAGAGGAGATCTCGAGACAAGAAAAGATGGATGAGGATGAAGCAGCTGCGGAAATGGGAAAGGAATCCACGGAGGTAAAGGGAAAGCCTGTCATACCGTCCCTGGACGAGGAACAGGAATACGAATGGAAATGGAAGGTGAGTCATCTCATGGCATCGCCGAGTATGCAGGAATCAGGCTAATCATTTCAGCCGAAAATGGAGGTATCCAGAAGAACTTTCTTCTTGTGAACATATTATCCCACGCTCGTAAGCCATGTACGCGCGCAACCATGTTCGGGAGCATTATCATTGTGACTGACGCCATCGCGACTCACCTAGCCACAGGTCAGCTGGACATGGCATGAAGAACCCAGAGCACATGCAAAGATGTCTAGAACAACTGACGTTGACATCTCATAAGGTCCGGCCGTCCCACCGACGCCGTCCCTGCGACTCCACGGCTCTTGGAAGGCGTTGCTTGTCCAAAGTCAAAACATTGGAATCTCACTGGGCCATCGTCATGTTGCTCAGTCGCAACGTACGCAATGGAAATCGCCAAGAGATCCTGGTATCACATGATTCGAGGGTGGTCGCGATCAGGCCAGGGGCGTCAGCTCGGCCCTCTATCCTTTGATTTCGGCTGCTGGTTCTGACGACCAAAGGAATGCATCAATCGTAAAGGCAGGTCGAAGGCAAAGTAACGATTAGCGATGCCCGACATCTCCTTTTTATGCTTCTCCTCCCTTCCACGTCATTTTATCGTTTGTCACAAGCATCAAGCAGTCACCCACTTTTCATATATATACCTCGCACAAGTAGTCGGTTCTCATCGGTGGGTATCCTTTTTAAACCCTTCTGATGGTGTGATCCAGGTATCAGGTGTTGATGATCGCCTGGTGTTCTGCTTCTAATCTCACACAGATCGTCCAACTCACATCGTCCCTCGCAATATCTCGTCGCCACCATGCCCTTATTCAAAGAAACCAATAAACCCTTACCTTCACCTCCTGTCCCACCTCATGATCTACAATCCTCGCCACCTCCCCCCTCCGATGAAATTTCTCCTGCATCGCCGGGTTCAAGCTCGGGTTTCCGCAAACGCGCCTCTTCCTTCGTAGGTAAACCCGACAAGGTTGACTCCGATGACAAGTCTATCGCCTCAAACAAAATCAAGGACTTCATCAAGTCCCTCGGGCCAAAGAAGGGAAGCTCGGATTCACTAGCATCGGCAAGCGGCTCGTCATCTACTGAAAAGGCACCTTCTATCACTTCTACCATCGATACCGGTACTCACGGATTGATTCCCGGCGGAGGTGTCATATCCAAGAGACCGAGCAACTTGTCCACGGCTACATTCCCTCCGGCAAATCCCAAACCGAAATCACCTCCCTTCAAATCACCACCCCTCTCACCTCCCCCCAAACCCTCCTCGGCGCCTCCTCCTCCTTACACATCTATCCCAAATTCGCCTGCTTCTTTGGGCAAAGTACCAATCTTACCAAAGAGACCCGAGAATGGTGCTCCTGGGACAGTGTCATCTGCTCCAGCACAATATAAACCTCCCCCACCACCCTCCGTTCCTCCAGTCCCTCGCGCGACAGACGAAGCGTTCCATAATCAAGTTGTCAGTGCTCAAAAGCAGGTGGACAGACTTAACATGGTGTACACAGCTTTGACAGCACTGGCCACTGGTCTGTCACTGGGTGCAGGGTGGTTGCCTGGTGTTGCAGAGGGGACTATGTTGGTGGCGGAGATGCTGGCGCAGGCCAAGGAGACAAGCATGCATAAAGTCGCTGCTTTGCGTTTGGTGAGTATCGCAGTTCATCTTCTTGACCTCATTCTGACACAAGGTCGAGCGAAGTGCCACTATACTCGCCGGGGTCCAACAGGGTATTGTCGATAATAAAGGCCAAGTTTCACCAATCACGAAGAGCAACATTGAACGTCTCCTCAAGTAAGTAACGTCTACAATATCCATCTTAGCTGACTTCCAGACATTTACAAGACATCGCATATCTCCTTACCAAACTGGCCAGCAGATCTTTTCTAAAATTGTACCTCAGTGCAAAGGACACCGCTCAGCAGATCGAGCAGCTTAATGAGGATTTGGAGGATTATGTCAATGTGTTTCATGTGCGTCTGAATCTTCTTCTTCTTTCAAGCTGAATTGACTCATAGTTGCAAACTGAGATCTCCACTGCAGCATGGCAAGAACAGTCTCGAGCCGATCATGAGAGAGACATGGCAACTTTGATCGAGAAGCTGGATATGGCCAGTCAATCGGATCAAGCAATGTTGGCGGCATTGCAGATGAAGACGGAAGAACAGCAAGAAGCCATCAAGACGTTGCAAAGAACTCTGGATGCGCTTCTTTCGCTCCAGAAAAGAGAATTTGATGAACACCATCCCGGATCACCACTACCTTCCCCAGAACTGCGACACGATAAAGCATCTGACGGCTTCCAATTAGATTCCGCGGCCATTTCGCAGACTCAGGTGACGAAAGGGATGATCAAGACCACAAGGGCCAATGTGGAGGATGTGAAGATCACTTCAGATCGGCAATATGCAGCTCCGAACCTTGTCAGGGGGAGTAGAGTCGCTTCTCCGGCTTTGTCGATAGCCACGACTGTGATGACCACGGCATCGGAAAGTCATCGAGATTTCTGTGAGAAAGCTTTGGACGTGAGTATCTCACGAGGATCTGGAGACTGGCTGAACTGTAGGTCTTACGACGTCATAGTACAAGTAACGATGTCACTGTTCCAGATGTAAGTGGATTCTCACAATATGAGTCGCGTGGCTGACAATCGAAGTGGACGATAACGAGCCTGGAGGTCACACATGAGGAGCGCATCGCGTGAGTGGGAGTCATCATGATATTCAACGTGGACCGACGCTGAGAACAGATCTGGTCCTTTTGCCGTCATATGGAGAGGCAGGTGGCAAGGTCGTACAGTAGCCATCAAAGAACTCAACGAACATGCCGATAGAGATGTGAGCGACAGCGTATGTTGCGTCGCCCGGACTAACCATATCAGCTATTCATCAAGGAGGTTGACGTATGGAGAAGACTGAGGAGTACCTTCATCCTCGACTTCCTCGGTGCATCCAGTACGACCGGACCTGCACCTTGGTTCCTAGTCAGCCCATTTAGTGAGCTCTTGTCTTTCGAAAATTACTTCGTTGACCTGTGACAGTGAAGAACGGCAACGTCCTCCAATATCTACGTACCGACTTGGGAAAGCAAGCGAACAAGCTCGCTTTGATCCATCAGATTTCGCAGGGGTTAGAATATCTGCACTCTCGATATATCCTTCACGGGGACGTGAAGGTGAGTGATCTCTTGTGGGACAACATTGTTCATGTGCTTATCGACAGGCTTCAAACGTTCTTATCGGTGATGATGGTCAAGCACTCCTGTGCGACTTTGGTCTTAGTCGACTGAAGATGGATATGAGCACAAAGTCTCAGAGAGATTCGACCAAACCCGCCCTTCCTGTGGCCGGGACGATGCGGTGGCAGAGTCCTGAACGACTTGCTGGTGGTCAAGTGACATGGCAATGTGACGTATATTCCTTCGGTATGGCGATATACGAGGTATGTCCTTGATCATTGATCATTTGTTGTCTGAGCTGATAGTTACTATAGATCGCCACAAATGGTCAAATTCCATATGGATATGTGGATGACTTGTATGTTAGAAAAGACATTCAGAGTGAGAGGTCTCAGTACATTGTGATCCCCCAAGAACTGACAGAGTAGAGGGAAAGCGACCGCCTCGACCTGCTGGTCTGACGGATGGGCTTTGGGCGCTCATGAACCTTTGTTGGGCTCAAGAACCCGATAAACGTCCAAGCTTCGTGATGATCAGTCAAGAACTCTCAAAGATGTATTCAATTCCTAAGGAACAAGAACGTAAGGATACCGTAGCCACCGGTAAGTACTTGCTATCATTTGTAGTAGTCATTTGAACTGACGATCAGTAACCAGTCAATCAAGTGAAGAATCTTTTGTCACGGCTAGTGAAGGTGTAGTACCAGAAGAACAAATGCTCGTTTGGTCATCCGTTCCCTCGCCTGCCACTGATGAGCAGAGCTATCTCCCCAGAATCAATGACACAACCTCTGTTAGAAGTCGAAGAACAAGGATCTTCTTCCTCGGGATCGATCCATTCCACAGCGCCTCAATTGGAGAACCAACTATCGTTTGATTCCACTCGTATAGAAAGACATTATAGACATTATCTTCAACATAACTTTGATGATCGATTAACATTACCTTTGTGGTTTCCTTCCGTGGTCACTTTAGGTAGTGTCGGATATGTTTTTCATGGACAATTCATCAAGTTATTAGATGCCAATAGACCTCCACTTGATACTCAAGATTTACCTCCGCAAGTTTCTTTAAGCACATTTTCCGCTCTGCAGACTATCAAATCACCTGTCAACGTACGTAATGTAGCTGAGAAAGGATTGGATTTAGTGACTTCTTTCATCACTTCTTCAGGTCGTTCAACACAGTATGTCAAATTATCAGATTGAAAATGATCAGAGCTGATGATAAAAAAGATGTGCCATCAGTAGAAGGATATCAATCAACTTGAAACCTGGAATGAAGCAGGCGTCTTTGATCATTGACGATGGACAATTTGAGATTTATACGTCCTTGGCGGAGGCGAGAGCATATTTGAAAAACAATATTGATTGGATAATGAGTCATTATGGAGGAGTACATCCGATCAATAAAGAAGATGTTATCATAGTATGTTTTTTGTCGACGCTTTTTTTCTATCTTCTCCTCTCCCTATCAACGATTATTGATCTATCAAACCGGTCACTCATTGTGTTATCGAATGAGTCTTGAGTGAAAAGATAGAGAATAGGACTAACAAATAGGTAGTAGGAACTCTGTCAGCTCGTAATTACACAACCCTCGTTTCTAACTTTGCACCACGTACAACCCTCACATTCAACGTTCACGCAACTAGACCTCAAGGAGAACCATGGGGAACATGGACGGTAAATCGTGATGCTCCTGCTTCTTTTTCAAAATCTTCCAAGTCATTGCAAGATAATCCACAACGAGGTTCGACCAAGAACGTATCATCGAAGAGAATGTCGACGGATGATCATGATATCAAGTTTGCTTGTAGGGTTAGTAAAGTTGGACTTCCAAATGAACCAATGTGAGTTTTATCTTTCTTCTTACTACTTCATCTCTTCGAATCACTCGTGATCACCTTAACACTGGTCTGCGTCTAGTTAGAGTGACTCGTACTTCATGCTGAAGTTGTATGAGACGCGGTGATAGTGCGATGGATGGTGTTTGATGGGTGGATTCAGAGTTGTAGCTGATTTCAGGGACACTGTGTTACTTGCCAAACTTCGATTCCCACCTGGTGGTGGAGATCCCGCTTTGTATCCATAAACAAACCTGTCAATACATGAAATGCTTCAAAGATATACAATGCATAGGATATGGACTTATGGGTGTGGTACATTTTCTTATGCACCGGCTCTACTGGCAGGGAAGATTTAACCTTGAGGCTGGAATTAGTATGGTTCAGCAAGTCATTATGCATTTACTGGAAGTTGAAACGACAAGACTCTTCGTTGAAATCTATATATAGCTCAGTCAAGCTTCAGATCTTAATCTTTGATCTGTCCTCCCCTCTTAGTTTCCATAGGCCATCATAGGCCATAGGAATATGGGCAGACAGACGGACAATTACTTTCCAAAAGTGCCACTTGCTAGCATCCTACACCGAATCGCCACTATCCAACCTGTCACTCGCCCGCTTCCCCTGCCCCCTGCCTCCTGCGGTCCTGCTTCCATCCCCATCTATAATCCGCATCGCGAGTCATTCACTGTATCATACATCGCTACTCTACATTCTCATCTTTCAAATACTTCCTTCAGGGCTTCAAAAAACATTTCTATTTGGACCTATCTTTTACACTCTTAGACGAACAATCACAAAAGTCGGAGTTATAAAATCACCATGTCCGACGTTCGTCTTTCCCCATAAACGTCACATCACTAAATAGCTGATATACAGATGACATACGTTCAATCTTTGTTACCTCGTATAAGACATATTCTTTCTTCTTCAGATCTTTCCACAGTGTGAGTAATTCCCCTCTAACTGTTTTCCCCGATCTTTAGAATGTTGGACGGAGTGATCTTCCTGTCAAAGGGGAATATTGATTGATTCCGGATTACAGGGAATTTAAACTGATTAACATAGATCGGCTAAAGCTGTGAGGAAAGAACTTATTAGACAAGGAGAAGATGAGAGAAAGATTAAAGCTTCACGTGAAGAGCTTGATGAGCAGGTAAGTTTTATCAGATCTTTCAATCACAACCACCTTTTGAGAAACACTCGAGTGTCACTTGAGTGTTCAATCGTCCCGGTCTGGTGGTCTTCTGATCCTGAAGTATGATCAGTGCTGAAGAACACTGTATGTTGGGAAATCGTATAGTTATGGGAATTGGTTTCGTTCATGACGGATCTGCGAGACCCAGTTGAGACACGAGTTCATCCCAGATCGGAGAAATATACGAACAATTAATCTCTCCACCTGACGATACCTCATCCGAAGATATCCCTCTCAATTCTACTTCTACCCCTACAATCCCATTATCTTCACAACCCGAACCTTTAAGTCGGAAAATCAAAAAAGAAGAACCACCCTCTCCTGAGCGTAAACCTAAAATAGAACGCGAACCTGTCATGGCTTCAGGAAGTAGAGAGACGGACGAACAGATGGCTATGCGATTACAGAGGGAGTTCGATATGGCCGCTGGGGGTAGGGCAAGACCAAGTAGGAGCACTGCTACTCCAGCGAGGAAGAAAAAGACCATAAAGAGGAAATCGAGAGCGAGGGTGGGATCGGGAGATGAGGGAGAGGAGAGGGGTAAGAAGAGAAGAAATAAGAATAGTGTATTTAATAAGGAGATGATTTTGAGGTGAGTGAAATTTCATGTTTTGTTCCGCTTGAGTTGCCTTCATCCTTCCACTATGTGTTCTCTTTTGTTGTCAGACGAGATATGTTCATTATCGTTCATTTTGTTTGTTTTTTCGCCGAAGAGTCGTTGGTAATGAACTCTTCAGAATCTAACTTGAATTGGCATGGATGATAATGTGATGAGATGAAGAGAGTGAAGGAAAATACTCATGTCAGCGACTCGCTAGCAGCATTCATCGGTGAACCTAGTCTCTCCCGACCCCAAACAGTCAAACGGATATGGGATTATGTCAAAGAAAACGATCTTCAAGATCAAGGTGATAAGCGTTATATATTATGTGACGATCGTCTAAAATCGGTCTTTCATACGGATCGTTTACACATGTTTACGTGAGTTTATCAATCACTTTTACTCCTATTTCCCTGACTCATCTTCTCTGTCATATATCGAGCTCATGGATCAGAATGAACAAGTTGTTAGTACCACACTTTCGCGATTCGGATGATATCATTTACAAGACCGAACCTCGACCTCCTTCACCCGATGTCAAACCGAAAGTGGAGACATCGGAACAAAAACCTAAGATCGAGTCTAGTCAAGTGGATGAGAGTGAGGAGGAATATGATTCGGAGGACGCTTATTTATATTCGTGATCGTCAAAAATAAAACGAGAGATTGACGAATGAAGGTATGGGGATCTGGGGGATGTACTTTCAATTGGGTGATAATGCATTGCGTTGTATGGGTTTTTCTAATGTCCAACTCCCTTCTCTTCCCTGCTCTCCATCGATGGCTTCTTACCTCTTTCTCTCACTGTATTGCCGTCCGTCCCCCAAGCTCTCTCCTGCCCAATCATCGATAGAAATCCGTCAATCCCTCCGTATCATGCTTCCCGCTGCGTTTCCCCATAGATAAATAGAGCATTTGGTCCCCATCCCTGTCCCTCCATTCTTCTGATACATCTCCTGATCCTCCTCCTATTCTCTCTACTTCGGTGCATCTATCATCCATCCCACACTCCCAAATACCTATTAGCGTGTGGGAAATCACCCTCTACCCCCAACCCCAACCCCAACCTATTTCTTCTTCTTACCCGGTTGTGCACCCGCTTTCTCCGACACTTGCTCCGGTACTACCCCCTCTGACATCCATTCCATATCCTCTAATCCATATCCACCAACTCCTTCCCCCTTTTCACCATTCTCATCCATAGAAACTTCCTTCCCGAACCTTTTATTAAACCTCCCTAATCTCGTATCCTCACCACCGTCAGATCCCCTGACATCGCTCCCAGGAGCCCAGAGAGGGTTGTTCGTCACATCCCTAGTCAATCTTACAGTCGAAGGAGAAGGGGCGGTGGTATATGATGTAAACGTAGATCCGTCCGATAAGATGATTCGTTGTGGATAAATGGCCGGCATGGGGGGAGGGATGGAAGGTGGGGGACGGAGATGAGTTTTGGATGGCCAGAGAGAGTAAGATACGTGTCGTGGTTTTGAAAGTGAATACGAAGGAGGAAGAAATGGAGTACTTGGGATTCGGAGGAGAAGGAATGGGGTACGTAGATGGAGAGTAGGGGACATGTTGGGTTGTTCGACTTTTGCTATGAAGTACTCGCTAAATTTGAGTTTGTCCATCCCAGAAGTCTAGAAGTGAGGGTTGGGGGAGGGAAGTTTTGGTCACCGTGGGAAAGTTGCACTTGCACCCAATGTGCTCGTAGAGTCACTAGCAAAGGGATAAGGGATAATGGAGTCCCAAGGGGTACACTCTCATGCAAGGTTAGTGCGAGAGAGAGCTCTCAGACGAGGATAGGCAGTGGTCACAATCAGACAGAAAGTGACAAATGCATCGTTCGGCTTCGCTGACAACAAAGACCCAAATGTATGAATGCATCATCATCCTTATCATCATATAAAATGTCCCACCATACCGTTCACCCGAAAACCACACAGTCTCCCGCGTTGATCTCCCTTTGCCGACTAAAACAAAGTGGTAGACCTGGCACAGTGGGAAAGAAGTAAATCTAGCCCCTCTTTCCCCGTCCGAGCGCTAACGGATTGAGCGTCGGACGTGAATAAAGGGGCTTGGCGTATTGTTTGTGAACTTTGGCGGAGGGTTTCTTGAGAGTAAAGAAGTAGTGCGCGTCATAAATCAGCGATAAGAATGAGAAGTATGGGGAAGAGGAGGAGCCTCGTGTTGAACTGCGGTCAGTTGGATCAAATATATACGAGTGAGATGGGTCAACGCGGCTAGTGAATGGGACATGGGATATCATCGTAGGAGCGTCACTTGTTCTTTTGACGGATAAAATGTCGAGTAGCATATGATTCGTAGACCCGGATGGTATGTAGGTGCCAGGCTAATAGACCCATGCAGCATGCAGCATGGCGATATGATGAACAAGAACAAGTGGTGGAAGGATGATGAGAGAGTTTCGACTTTTTGGGGGTTGATTGTGAAAGGTTGAAATTGCCACGTGGGATGACGTCTTGGCGTATTTGGACAACCGGCAGTCGCCAGCTCGGTGCGGTCGGGGATCTGGGCGATGCAACTTGCTTGTCACCCACATTCCTCTCTTCTTCTCTAACTCTATCTTTTACCTTTTACCCTCCTCGTCACCTCACCCTCCTCTATACCTCTCACCATCCTCTGCCTTCTGCCCTACCTCACTTTCAGGAATCAGAAGACAAGTTTAGCACACTCACCCTACCGACCTCTGTCGGTCCTTCCAAAAATAACTGGTATCTGGCCATCCTCCCACTCACAGCCTTCAGGCCAACCAGCATGTCCACCGTGAAAGCTGTAGACCATGCCCTCGTCAACGGTGCCTCGTCTCCTGCCTCTGCGTCCGCTGCCAGTCCAGGGGGTATGACGAATGATGAAAAGGTCGCTGTAGGCGGGATGATCGCCAGGGATGAGAGAAAGGGTGCCAACGTCCACGTGGGTGACTCTCTTATCACACCCAACATGTACTTCTCCCAAATATCATTGTAACAACTATCTAGTCAAGATGCACCACGGATACCATAGATTGCTGATGACCAAGGCTTTCGACCCCGATGCTTCACCAGCACAAAAAGCAGCAGCGGCAGGACAAGCAAAAGCGCAGTTGGGAATACCTAGTCCATCTTCTATCAAGAATCACGGTGTGGGGAGTAGAGGTGAGCTAGAAATTTTTAGGTAGAGAAAGAGCTTAGCTGATGACCTAGCCGTTGCTATAGATACCTCTAACAAAGCCAATGTGCCCAGACCGACGGTCACTCTTGACGATGTTGACAAAACGTCCCGAGCAGAGGGGGAGGAAGTGGGAGCGGTAAGCTATCAACAATCTTGACGTCTCAGCTGACTTTTAGGCTGCAATGCCAGGCGCTGTACCAGCGGGAGCCGCGCCGTCCGTTCCGACTTGGGTGAGGACCGTATCGATGCCTCTGATGGATACTGACTGGACAGGTTCTGGCAGGTTGGCAACGGGTGGCTAATGCGGATTTAGGAAGTGGGGATGCTAAAACGCAAGAGCAGCTGGGTGTCCTCGCCGACTATCTGTAAGTCTGTTTACATGAGGGAGAGACGATGCTGATAAAAAGGTCGGAGCAAACGTACGGGGCATGGTACCATAACGCCGCGGTCGTGAGTTGTTCTCCCTCACGAGCGAGTCCCACCTAACAAGCAGATACTCTTCGCCGTACTTGCAACTCGGTTCATGACTGCCATTCATCTTGGCTGGGGATGGATCATACTCATTTTTGCCTTCTGTTCTTCATATTACACTCTGTCTATCGCTCGTACCAGACACCGAGCAAGAGACGATATTCAACGAGAGCTTGTCAAGACCCGCCTTGTTACAGAGACGGAGAGTGCGGATTGGATGAACTCTTTCCTAGAACGCTTCTGGCTCATGTGGGTTTTTCGATGCTCATGGGATAAATTGCTGACCAGTAGTTATGAGCCTGTGCTTAGTCAGACCATCGTAGCCAGTGTAGACGCGGTTCTAGAAGCGAACACCCCGAGCTTCTTGGAGAGTATAAGGATGACGACCTTCACTCGTCAGTGGTTCCTGGCATACCATCCAAAGCTGACGTAACAGTCGGTACAAAAGCTCCTAGGATAGACTATGTCAGGACATTCCCAAAGACGTGAGAGCGCCTCACACGTGTGGCCACGCTAACGTTCAGTCCCGAAGACGTGGTCATCATGGACTGGGCTCTCTCCTTCACTCCCAATGACCTGATGGATATCACTCCACGTCAAGCACAAAATCGTGTAAACCCAAAGGTCGTTTTATCGATCCGAGTCGGCAAAGGCCCAGTCTCGAAATCACTGCCCATCCTGCTCGAGGACATGTCATTCACCGGCCGCATGAGGATCAAGCTGAAGCTTATGACCAACTTTCCTCATATCCAAACGGTCGATCTGTCCTTCATCGAGAAGCCCACATTTGATTACGTCCTCAAGCCGATCGGAGGTGACTTTGGCTTTGACATCAACAACATTCCGGGCTTGGCCCCCTTCATCCGTGACCAAGTACACGCCAATCTCGGTCCGATGATGTACGATCCCAACGTCTTCACCATCGACCTGCAAGCGTTGCTCTCTGGGACCCCGTTAGATTCCGCTATTGGGGTCCTTCGTGTGCATATCATCAATGCAAGGGGACTCAAAGCAGTCAAGTTGGGTGGAGGGGCTCCTGATCCTTATGTATCCATCGCTCTTGGGTCCAAACCAGCAATCGCGAAGACCAAGACTATATCGTCCAGCTCGAACCCGACGTTCAGTGAGACACACTTCGTCCTTTTGAACAACCTCGCTGAGGTGCTCGCTCTACAACTATACGACTACAACGAGCACCGACCAGACAATCTGCTTGGTACCGCAACTCAAGAACTTCAGACGCTTCAGGAAGACAATGAACAAGAAGGACTCGTGGGCAAGATCATCGGTGGAGGTAAAGATCGTGGAGAACTACGATATGACATTGCTTGGTACCCGGTTTTGAAGCCAGCCAAAAATCCCGACGGTACGTTCGAAGCACTGCCCGATACTCAAACAGGCATCGTGCGGCTCACGCTCCACCAAGCGAAAGATCTGGACATCTCGCGCAAGCACGGGAATTTGAACACCTACGCAAGGGTCTTCTTAGGAGGGAGCAAAGAGGAAGCTTATAGGACAAAAACGATGAAACATTCCAACCAACCTATATGGGAGAGCGCCTTCGAATTTCTCGTTCCTGAGAAGAACAACTCGGTCATCACTCTACAAGTGGTTGATGTACAAGAGTTTGCGACCGATCCAACTCTAGGAGTTATGACAATCCGTCTTACAGATCTGTTGGAAGCTCACGAACGGCAACAAGACTGGTTCCCTCTGCGCAACAGTCGAGCTGGGAAGATACGATTGACAGCTGAATGGAAGCCTGTCTCCATGCCTGGATCCATGAATGCGTCTTCAGCATACGTTCCCCCAATTGGAATCTTGAGAATCTGGCTCAAACGAGCGGTGGACGTGAAGAATGTCGAAGCTGCTTTAGGAGGAAAGTCTGATCCGTACGTCCGTGTGATGGGCAATAACAAGGTTCTCGCTCGAACGGAAGTGGTCAACAACAACTTGAATCCCGAGTGGGACCAGATTGTCTATGTGCCAGTTCACAGTCTGAGAGAACACATCTTTCTGGAACTCATGGACTATCAGAACATCGGTAAAGATCGTTCACTCGGCTCTGTAGAAGTGCGCGTGGATGAATTTGCTCAAGCGAACAACGATCAGAAGTTCCCGTACATCTCGAAAGGTCCCCAGGGCAGGAATGATAGAATCAAACTCGACAAGGCGAATGCGTACAAGGGACAGTTGGTGTATGAAGTCGACTTTAAACCGGCCGTCTCTTTACGGGGAGGGGTAAGCTTTGATCCTGAGAAGAATCCGATCGAAACAGCGATAGAAGAAGAGCAGACAAACCCCGATGGTTCAGTCATCGAAAGTGCTGTAGCTTCTCCAATCACCCCAGCGTCAACGAGTCTTGCAAACGGTCCTGGTGTCAATGGCTCGATGAATGGTAGACACCGACCATCACAGTCTATCGGAGGGCAGTCGGTCATGTCGCAAGCGTCAAAGATCTCAAAGAATTCAGTTTTGACCACTGCTACTGCTCAAACGAGCGAGAGTAAGGGTGGAGGGGAACAAACGGCCAGTGAGGATCCTGAGAAAGGGGTGGAGATGTCCGTTGAGGAGATCATGTCTTGTCGTGAGTTTCTTAACTCGTAATTCATCAAAGTTTCAATCTGTTTTCTCACTTTCGGGCTGGGTCTTTGTTGGGCTCCTGATTCTGGACATGAGCTAGCATCGAGAGACTGACTGACGTGACAGAAAGTGGAGTGTTGGTCTTCCAGGTTATTTCCGGACAATTGGCCAGGAGAGGCTCGTTGGAGGTCATGTTCGACGACGGCTACTGGCCTGCGTATACCAGTGCCAGGGCTCGAAGCACTCATCCGACATGGGACCAGGTGAGCGGTACATTTTCGCACATACTGCCCTCACTTATATCGTGGCTCGTGAAGCATCATGAGCCCAGTTAGACGGAGCGATGAATACACGAAGACGTCACATTGACTTCGAGGCACGATGCCGGACTTCTGCTTGACAGTGAGGTGTAGTAGGCTGACAACCAGGTCGGTGAAGGCTTCGTCCGAGAACTTGATTTCTCCAGGATTTGGCTGCGTATCAACGCTGCGGATGATAGCGACAAAGATGATATCGTGGCCGAGTTCAAATGCGACACGAAAGATTTCCTGGAGCAATGTATCCAACGTCCAGCCGACTTTTTACTCTCACAAGCGGACGGGTCTAATCGGTCATTAATCAGGATGAGTGCGAGGTACGTGCCGGTGGATATCAAGCTTGAGCCCAGGGAGAGTATCAACAGTAAGTCTCTCGTCAGTCCTCTATACTCATTTGTCAACACCGGTTCTCTTGGCCTCCATGGATGAATCATTGTCCAACTTGTCCTACGGTATGGGAAGCTGAGGATATCGCACTGGACTCCCACTCACGCACAGATATGGGCGTGCTCCGTGTGGACGTGCTTCATGCCAAAAACCTCATGGCCGCGGACAGAAGTGGTAAATCAGACGTGAGTTGTATTCTTATTCGAAGGGTCATTACTGAGAAGTAGCCATATGTTGTATTCACTCTAAATGGTCAAAGAGTTTTCAAATCAGAGACTAAGAAAAAGTGACTATCCCTTACCGCTAGATCGTGCAGCATAAAGCTGATGGTGCAGAAACCTTTCTCCCGTCTGGGATGAATCCTTCGAAGTTATGGTTCCATCCCGTGTGAGCGCCAAGTTCGCCTTTGAGATCAATGACTGGGATCGAGTAGGAACTTCCACATCCCTCGGTGGAGGCGCCATCGATCTGGCTAATTTGGAACCATTCGAATCCACCGAAGTGACCCTCCCCGTCGTGCATGAAAAAGGCGATAGGGGAACCTTTTCCATCCGCTTGCTCTTCCAACCAGAGATCATTGCTCGATCACGGCAAAAGACCTCGACCTTCTCGACTGCAGGACGGGCCATCACTACCGTCGGTGGTGCTGGTGTGGGCGTTGGTAAAGGCGTCTTTCATGGAGGCGAGGCCGTAGCCATGGGCCTCGGTAAAGGCGTGGGGGCTATCGGAGGGATAGCAGGGAGAAGAGTAGGATTGGTGAAACGGAAAGACAGAGCGGGGAAAGAAGTTCTGGTACCTGCTGAATCTGACGATATTTCGATTTCAGATGGATTCGACGTCACTTCGTCTCCCGCCAGAGGTACTTCGGCAGATGGGCTGGCACCCCCACTTCACGAGCCTGCCAGTCCGTCCATCGGTGGCAGTTTTGTTGGTGGGTCTGGTGGGTCGGGAGGGGAGACGGGAACTCTCATGGTCACTGTTCTAGGTGTGAAAGATTTGAAGGGAGGAGAGAAAGGTAGTCCAAAACCTTATGTTCAGTTGAAGATGGGAGGAAAGAGTCATAAGACTGATCACGTCAAGGGGAGCGAGGCGGATTGGTGAGTAAATAATTTATGTTATCAATCATTCACCCCTTAGCGCTGAACTTTTACATTCGAGAATCCGTCAGTAATGAATCGTGTATGCTCTGCGAGATGGTGAAGGGGGAAGTAGGTGATGGTATCACGACAAGAGTGCTGATGATTAGGAATGAAACATTCTCATTCCATGTCACTCCCGGGTCGGGCACATTCAACGTGACCGTCTTTGGCAAGTCCGACTTTTTCCTTGCATCGAAATTGATCTGACGCGGTAGATCATCATAGCTTTGGACGTGATCCAGAATTAGGCGAAGCGGAAGTTGATGCAAGTCAAATCTATGTATCCCAATTGAACCAGGCTGACAAGTAGATATGGAGACATCTCAAACCTCCCTCGTTACAATCGACAGATATATCAATAGAACTGGAAAATGGTTCTGGACTCTTGCGCCTACGACTCGAGTGGACTCCCGGAAGTAACAACCCTTCCAAACTTACCGTCAGAGGTCGCGCGGGGAGTATAACCAGTATGCGAGATTCACCCGGACGATTCAGTGTGAAAAGTTTGAAAAAGGACAAGAGTAAAGTGGACGAGTCGTAAATGTTATCGCTCCAAGAATTCTTGATCCATCTAGAACATTGATTCTTCGATATCTGGATAAATTGTCAGTATCAAAAGCCACGGATCGTCGTTCATTGTATACAGGAAGTTGGGAGTTGGGTCGATGTAAATTGCAGTTTGATGACATGGATGAGAGATTGATATATATATACGAATACGAATACGATGCAATAATTTGATGTTTCCCCCCATCTCCATGTCGTTTTCCACAACACACTACTAATGAGATTCCTCTTACATCTGATTTCATACAACAGGTAAAACCCCAAAATCGAGGTATCTAACATAATCATTCAAATTCCATCTTTGTTTTCCCTCTTCTTTTTCTTTCGGAGTATCAAAATCTACCATGATAACATCCTGTCCATTTTTGTCCTTATCCTCATTCTTATCACCATGATCCTCATCTTCATCTTCTTCAGGTCGGATCCTCAAACCCCAATCAACATCTTCAGCTCTTTTATCAATTTCTTCTAATACTGCCAAAACTCTCTGTTTACTTCTCATTTCTCTTCTTTTCAAATCTTCCAAAACCCCATCTAAATCTCTTCTTCCCATATTCCTCAATTCAGCTCTTCTTACTTCTTCCTTTTTCTTCTCTCCCAACCTTTCTATTCCCACATCTCGCGTCGGGTCATCAGCCTCAGGGTTGTGAGTTTGAGAGAAAGTTGAAGGGATGATAGGTTGAGTGGAAAGTACCATAAAGAAAGTTTCGGCTGTTAAAGCATCCAAAGAGGTTTTAGGTAGAGGTTGAAGAGGATGAAGGAAATAACCTTCTGTTTTTAATTTCGTCTCTTCTTTCTGAGAAAGTGGATGATCAATTTTAGAAGGTACGTATTTGGAAGAGGTAGAGGAAGGAAGGGAGATGTATTGTTGTAAAGAAGATAAACGACCTAAAAGCATTCCATATCGTTGTAATATTATATCCCTAAAAAATGAGCTTTCAAATCAATTGAAAACTATGTCGTTTCCTCCATCTAGACCTACTCCATCACCGGGAATGAATGATTATGATTAGTATCAAAATTCCCATCGAGAAATGAGGAGTTTTTGAGAGTGGGATAGGTAAAGATATGATGGTCGACTCACCAGTTAGGCATGATATTATCTTGCGCACCATGTTCTAAAAGGGAACGAAAAGAATCGATATCGTTAATGGTTGAAGTCAATCTAGGGATGAGGGATTGTAAGATTTGTATTGGGATTTGAGGTTGTAAAGGGGGTTGGATCGGTGTTGGTGTTGGTGTTGAAACTGTAGGTCGGATTGGTTGCATGGTTTCTTCTCTCTGACAATCGTCGTTACGTGTTGATAACTAAGGTAACCTCCTCCTTCCGTGTCAAGTCGTGATGTGAAAGATGATGTTGAGGATAGAGGACAAGTTGAGTTATCGAAGGTTAGAAGTCGATTGGACCGAAGCCGAAGCCGGTCCGGTCGAAATTCATCATCGGTAACCAATCCATCATCATCCTTCTTGTATCCTCCATTCCTCACTTGTGCTGTGTCGGTTCATCCTTGTGATCTCCTCTCCCGTCGTGTTATCTTTCCTCTCATCCCCTCTCATCCAGTGTGAAAGCTTCTTGACCCCAAGCTCCACGTTGCCTCGTCTGATCCCACACCGGGAGGAAGAAATCACATCGTACCCCGGTCATAGCCGTGGAAAAGTCGTGTCTTCCTCAAATCTGAAATACACACCTAGTCCATCGAACTTACTTGAACGAAGAACGAGAATTATATGAAAGATTCACAATGGCCGGAAATCAACTACCCATACCTACGACAACAACTCCTTCGATCATTCCAACACCTACGAAAATAGTGCAAGCACCTCTAAACTTACTCGAGTCGTTCATGTGCGGAGGTCTTGCAGGATGTGCAGCAGTTACAGTTTGTGAGTTATCCCCAAGTACAATCTTGACTTTGACTTCACAATACACCAAGTCCAAAATTGTACATAGCAGACCTATCATGGTGATACCCAAACTCTTCTGCGTCATGATGTGTTTTAATAGACTCACTGGGGAATATGATCCGGGGTAGATTAGCTGACCAAAAAGCAAACATGCCAGAAGTATGTAAAACCCGACTTCAACTCCAAGGAGAACTCCAAAGAGCCGATTCGAACGCTCCTAGAGTATACAAAAACGTATTTGATGTGTTTGTAAAGACATGGAAACATGAAGGTATAAGAGGTTTACAAAGAGGTCTCGTTCCTGCAGTAAGCAATTTCATTTCTCTTCGTTATCTTCTGTTGATAGGTAGTATGGATATCAAATCTTATTGAATGGTTCACGTTTAGGTCAGCTTTCCTCCTCTCAATATATGGACATCAGCTGATTGAAAGGTTTCTATGAACCTATACGTAGGATGTTGAATACTGCCATAGGAAGAGATCCGGCAGAAGGACTCATTTCAACCGCTTTGACCGCAGGTGCTTTGACTGGATGTATAGGAGGTGTGTCAATTCTTATTTCTGCTTTATCTTTCTCCCGTATCTCTGTCCCATCCTTGACATTCGGCTACGAACTCACCTCGATGACTCGTAGTAGGTATGACGTGGGGAGTTTGTGGAGTGTTTGCAGAGGTTTAACCAATAGCCGCACTTGGCTCTCCACTATTCTTGGTAAAAGCTAGAATACAAGCTTTCTCACCTGCTTTACCCGTCGGCGCACAACATTATTACAAAGGTTCATATGATGCTCTCAGAACGATACTAAAAACGGACGGAGTTTTAGGATTATGGAGAGGGGTTAACGCCGCTCTCTTACGGACTGCCATGGCAAGTTGTACTCTCCCAAACTTCTTACCTATTCAAAGTATCCTTCACTCCATGATACCTCGCCCTCTCAATATATTATCTACAACTCGTCTTATACCATTATCTCGTCAAGGTTCAACTATGAGACCGGATCGCTGATGATACAGGGTTCATCAGTCCAACTTCCCTCATATAATCTGGGTAAATCCATCTTGGTCAAAAACGGATGGGACGACAAATCTTTTTTCACCTTCCTCACAGCTTCTTCCATTTCTGGTGTTTGTGTGGTATGTCCTTTCTCTCCACTTGCTGAAAGCTGATGTCTAGTGCGCTGCCATGCAGTGAGTCTTCACATCACTATACTTAAAACTCTCCCCTTGCTAATATGATTCCCTACAGACCAGCAGATACTGTGAGTGCTTGTCATGGGAAATAGATCGTAGCTGACAGACAGGTCTTGACTAGGATGTACAATCGTGAGCTAGCCTCTTCAAGAATGAGACGAGCTCATATCGTAGAAAACACGATCAAAGACCCAATCACCGGTCGAGTCAGAGGAGCACTGTACACCAACCCCATAGATTGTTTGTGGAAAACTTTCAAAACAGAGGGAATAGCGGGTTGGTACAAAGGTACCACGGCGCATTTCCTCCGCATAGCCCCTCATACCGTCGTCACTCTAGTGGCCAACGAGGTAAGCAGTCCGATAGGTGTCAGTCTCGCTCTTACTGATGGACAGTTGATCATGACGCAGTACAAAAACATGAGAGAAAAGCGGTCATAAAGTCACAAATGGGAAGATCTTGCATGGACATTTACCATCATTGACCGTGCGTGCGGCCTTCGTTGAGAAGCCCATAGCCCAAGCAGAACGATCGTATCGACGAGTCGTCTCCGTGGCGTAGCCGACTTTTTTGGTATCGTGTCTCTGGACAACTTCAAGGTTGATGCTGGTCGCTGGTCGATGATACCATCGTCAAATGCGGAGCGTTTCAACCGCATGAGATGTGATCATCCAGCGCACGTAGTCGATAAGACAGTTCAGAATTCCGTATAGCCAGCTTGACTAGGTGCCACGCTCCTCTCGTCGTCTTCTCCCGTTTTGTAAGCATAGTTGTACATGCTTGCCGTCGGTGCGTCACTGGGAGCCATACTCCCTATGCTCAACCTTCTCTTCGGTCCCCCAGGTACCGGTACTGGCCCTGTTGGCAGGCGATCGAATTGCGAGCTACCGACCCTGTTTCCTATCCCGTTGAGCGGAGCGCCAGCAGCGCCGTTGAGCATGCTAGCTGTGTCATCGGGAAGCTGTTGAGAGACGATCGATGCGGCGTATCCGGTGTAGGACTTCTTGCCTCCTGGGAAAACGGGGAAGGAGGTGAGAGCTTGAGAGATGACCGATTGGGCATCGGGGGCAGGAGGGACAGATAGACCGGACAGAGCTAAAGGGTCGTGGGTTCGGTAATAACCCGCATCGAATCTACCGGCAGAAGGACTAGCCACGAGTCCTGAAAATTAGCCATAGTCATAGTGAGGTTTTTTTGAGACGTGACATACCTCTGTTGAGATACTCGTTTGCGGACACTTCTCTTCGTCGGAAAGGATCCATAGCGCTAGCCAGAGATTTCTTCGGTTTGCTGAACTGGATCATACTCGGTTGGAGATTGCTTAATGGACCTTCGACGAAACAACCTTTCTCCTTGAAGTGCGTCAGAAGGTAAAGCCAAAGAGGGTGCTATATGTCAGCTGCCGCATTGGAAAGGGCTATGAGCTGACCTTCGAAAGCACCTTAGGATTACCGAGAATGACCACTCCATATTTTGCACGAGTCAAAGCGACATTCAATCTTCTCGGGTCATTCAAAAACCCAATACCCTGATGTTCGTTACTTCTCACACAAGAAAGTATGATATAATCCTTCTCCCTTCCCTGGAAAGCATCCACACTTGCCACTTCCACCTCTTTGTACGATTCTTTCTTCGCCGTTCCATGAGTTTGCATGTAGGCAGCAACATAACTCCTCTGACCTTCATAAGGTGTGATCACACCGATTTGAGCGGGACTGACGCCAGAACGGAAGAATCGAGTGACCATCTTTTCCACATTACTCGCTTCGATCCTGTTGAGGAATGATGTTCCTGAAGACGAAATTTCTTCAGTGCCGAGGTTCTGATGAAAGATCATAGGAGTGTCAGGTACAGGCCATGGGAAATCCACAGATTTGCGAAGTCGTTCTGGTGCCGTGACACCGTTTTGTAGGGAACCTTCATAGAACATGTTACTGGGGAATTCGGATAAGCACGGGTGCATACGATATTGGACCTGAAGTCGGATTGGTCTGTTACCGAGGATGACAAGACGTTCAAAGAGAGATTGTTGTAAACCTGCACGAGCCGCTTTCTTATTCATGATGACGGGTCCGAGTTGTTGATGATCTCCAACGAGAACAGCTTGTTTACAACCCATGACCAGTGGGATCATGCATTCCGGCTCGGCAGATTGTGTAGCTTCGTCGATTAGAACAGTACGGAATTTGATCCTGTTGATACGAGGATCACCAGCACCCACGCAGGTGGTACAAATCACGTCGGCAGTCGCAAGGATATCTTTCTCGCATGCTCGGACCAGAGACTTGTATTTGCGTTCATCGGACTGGGACAATTCTCCCTGATCGTTTCTCAATTGTATGAGCTTCTGCAATTCGGGATGAGTGTCGGCTTTGGCGACTTGGTTATGCAGTGCGAGAAAGTCGATACCGGACGCCAAAGCTTCGCGCGATTTGGCTGCGAGACGGACGACTTTAAGACCAGTCTGATGAATTTTCTCGCACAGATGATCGACGGCGACGTTGGAAGGGGCGCACACTAAGACTTGACCTGGGTTCATTTTGGCGAGGTGATATACGATCGAAGCGGATGTGACCGTTTTACCAGTACCGGGTGGGCCTTGGATGAGAGACAGAGGTTTTTGCAGTACGGCCTTGACAGCCGCCACCTGGGAGTGGTTGAGCTCGGGAAGGTTGGGTGCGGAGTATCGTTTTGGCATCTACAAGATCAGTTGAGAGAGCAGGGATAAATTACTTGGGACTTACAGTGGTACGCAACGTCTGTGGCTCGACTTCATGTCCGAGAAGTTTGTGATACTGAGATCAGTTACATGCCTGAGGGATCAGGGCGACTCACGATATAGCCGCTAACACTCTTCTCATCCACTGCAAAAGTCTTCATAGACATTTGCATCCTGTCGAAGCTAGTGGCTTTCCATATGAAATCCACCGAGAAACCGTGAGTACAGTCGATAGGTACCCCATCGCTTCGGCGTAGCTCCAGACAGATTTCATCAGATACATCTAGGCGTTAGCTCCACTCGAAGGCTGACCACGTTCTATCGCCGATCTGTCCCACTCACTGTTGGGTGTCTTTATGACACTTCCCACGCCCTCCCAAAGAAGTTCCTGGCTACCCCATCCGTTCTTTGACAAAGCTTGTAAGCCCTTCATGCCACCAGCACCGATCGTGGCCCCGGAAAATTTGATCTTCAATTCATCACCGACGGCCAAACGTACCTCCCCACTTTCAAGCTTTGGCATGCTGAACCAGGCGAGACGTTTCTGATTGAGACCCATATCCCACCTGACGGTGATGTCGTTTTCCGTCTGAGATTCCTTCATTTTACGATCGTAGTCGGCTTCGATCTTGACTAGCGGGCCGAATATATTCTGATACTGATATGCATCTTCGTACCTGTCTGATCAGCTCCTTGACAGGGTAAAGGGCCGGGGATAGCTGACCTCGTGAGGATGGGCTGCATCTCCTCCTCGCTCGCCTGCGCTTCTGCGTCTTCTAATCCAGCATTGGGATTTTCTCGCCACAAATCCTCCAACTTGGCTATTTGAGCCATGGAAATTTGTCTGGCTCGAAGTTGTTCAGCTTCGGAGGGGACACGCATGATCCAAGAGAGAAATTGTCGATCGTCAATGATAGATGACCACTGTGAGGTATCCCAGTTGATATCTTTTGAACTGGTCAAAGAAGCGCATGGGTGTCTATCATGAGCTTCTCTCAAGGTCAGATATGGGAAGCTCACCTGCAGAGAAGGATGACGACTGATTCCGTCTTGGCTGGAATGAAACCTAGCATGAAGACGTTCCTGTTGCCACAATGGTAGCCTTTGAAGTCAGCTTGATACCCTTCGCTGCGTGAAGACGTACAGTCCAATATCTGTTCTCCCATCTGACCATCTTTGTGAAGTATAATTTCTTTGTGCTTGGCCTTGACGAGGTGATTGACAATGTGAGATGCTGAAGTGTTGCCACGAGAATTGCAAAACCACTTGTTGCAGGTCAAGCACTGTACGATCAGTCATATATCCGGACTTGCAGCTTGTTGACTCACCTTGGCAACGCATTGAGGATTGTGTATACCGCAATAGCTGTATTGTCAGATCAAAATTACACAGATCGGTTCACTTACCTGCAGGCATGTTCAACACCATATCCCAAAGGCTGTTGTTCACGAGCTTCATCTAAGACCTGTTCCAGCTCACTATCGTCCTGATCTGCCGTAGCGTTGAGACTGAGAGTATCAAAGTGTCCGCCAAGATTTGAAACTGATTGACCATGAGGATGAGAGGAGAAAGGTCCTTGGGAAGGTGGACCAGAAGGCGCAGCTGGATAGAGAGAAGACGTGTCGTCTTGATCGATACCGTACTGTTTGGTGAGCGGCAAGATCTGTGCAGGGGGAGGGCATGACTGACCTGAGAAGCACCTTCAAAGTTGGAGAACGGATCCATAGTGGAACGCAACAAGATATAGAAGGATAGAAGGGAGGTGAGTTATAGAGAAGAGGAAAAAGGGAAGATGGCAAAGACAAGAGACGGAGAGAGAGAGAGATGAGAAACCGAAACTTAAAGGAGTGAAATTTCGTTCACTTTTTATTCTTTCCCTTCAGTTTCAATCTCCTTAAGTCACCTCTAAGGTCATTTACCTCTCACAAACCCAAAATGAGGACTTTTTGCACGTTCTGTAATCCAGTCAGAGTCAGTGTGACTCTTCGAAACCCAGTTCAAAGAATTACTCCTCGACGATGGACCTCGAGCACCGTCGCTCATCTTGCAAAAGTCAACCCGGGTCCAGTGTTGAGTCAGACGAACCGTCGGTCTCACATCTTCACCCCGAACCCCGAACAGCAAGCTGACCTTGATAGGCGCAGAGATCACCCTTCGTAGGTTCTGGAAGACAGTAAACATACATTCCGAACCCAATGGTAAATTGCATTCACGTCTATTCTGTAGCCCTGATGTCTAGGTCACTACCTCATCGCATTGGATCATCGTCATCTCAAAACTCCGGCTGGAACCAAACTCGTCATTCCAAAAGAGCGGAGATTACTGGCAGTACTTATTGCGAATGAATGGGAGAATCAAGATGAGGTCTTAAAGCAACACGCCCTACCCGTGGTATGTCATCACTCCTAAATGTTCTCTCTGCGCTCACAATCAAGACTTCACTAGCTTCCCGGGCCATTGACGGATTACGAGACGATAAAATCCGAGTGGAGGTTATCGATGCTCTCATGAAGTATCTGGAGACTGATACTGTATTGTGCTTCTTTTCTCTCGGAATTCAGACAACGCTGACAATGAGATTTCCACAGGACGAACCCCCAGCGTTAGTACGCATGCAGCAAGAACATTGGCAACCCTTGTTCGACTGGCTCAGAAACGAACTTGGTGTGCACGTGCAAGCGACAGAAGGTTTGATACCTGCTCGACAAAGTTACGAGACACTGGCTAGATTACGGAGGATAGTGGAGGAAATGGATACATGGGAACTTGCAGGTGAGTGAAGTCGCAATATTCTGCTACAATCTGCTGATACTACAGCATTTGAGAGAGCGGCGTATGCTTCGAAGAGCTTCATAATCGCCTTGGCGTTGTGCAAAGGTCGTCTGACGGCTGATCAGGCCGCTGATGCTAGCCATGTAGAGGTTCGCAGTCAGATAGAACGGTGGGGAGAGGTCGAAGACAGTGAGTCGATCTGGCATGAGTGCGGGTTTGTTGCTGACGTCCGAGCGCATGACGTCGACTATCAAGACATCCGAAGAGCTTTAGGAAGTGCGGCTTGCATGGTGTCGAGATCTTGAGTCGATGACGGGGCAGGTATGCAAATATGATGCTCTATGATCGTGTCCACTTCGTCGGGGGTGTGGAAGTTCTCGTGCCGTCCGTCCATAATCTGTGTGTCGGTCAAGCTTGTCGTCGGACTTGATGACTTCGGCAAGATCATTGGATGTTCTCTCCTCACAGGTTCGCCACCCTCGCTACGAGATCTATAGCCCCTTCCCCCAATCCGACCTGATCGTGTCCGCCCACCAACCCCTCAAACCATATCACATCTCCTTTCCCATCTCTAGGAAAGGATCGAACGAGGCCCCAGCCGTCGTAGACAGTCTCCTTCACTCTATCCCTCACATCTTTCGTCTGGGACAGTAGATATGAGAATAGACGTGAGGAATGCGAGTGAGGTATGACTGGGTCGTCTCGAGCATGAATGAGGAGAATGGGCGCGTCAGTTTTCTGAAAGTAAGCAAGTGCACATAACAAGTTTCTGCCGAGAGGGACATCAGCTCACCGGTAAAGCCGATGCAGAGTCGAATGAGAAGACAAGAAAGCTCTTCAGAAAGTCTGTGTCTGATAAGTTCTATCCTTGACCTCCAAGCATCACTCACCAAATAAGGGAGGTATGATCCTGAAAGGAGAGAGTATAGGAATGAATTGTGCAAGCCAGTAACTATCATCGTCAGTCATTACAACATATATAGACGCTTCCTCACTTTGACAATATATCCGTTAGACTTGTGAACGGCGCTACCAACACTATGGCTCTTGGATGAATTCCTCATCCGTCAGTTATTTTCTCTCAAAAAGAGAAAGACTCACCTTCCTCAGCCAACTGTCTAGATAGACCAGCTACTACGCCTGTACCGAGACTTTGGCCGATCAAAATGATCTCTTTCTCCGCTCTGACTTTTTCGCTGAACGACCATCCGTGTTGACGATGAGCTCCAATTTTACTAGAAACGAAATTCCAAGCTGCTCGAGCGTCGGTAATCAGTCCGAACTCCGATGGCATTCCAGAAGAATCCCCGAATCCTCTGTAGTCTATTGCTAAGACGTTACTAGCGGTCAGCTTGCGGAGGAGTACTAAAAGCTGGAGGAGAGAGGTACCAATCAAAGATGTCCGAATAGACCATATAGTTTCTCACCCGATGCTTGACAGCTCGTGTCCCTGCCTATGATATCAACGCTCATTTTGGATATCTTCAAGCATCTTCGTTGACTAACAGCGAGGTGGTGATATCTTGTCAGAGTTGAAACTGTGGGGAGAAATGAAGGGAGGGACTCACATTGCCATGCATATATAAGACTGTAGGTCTCTCCCCGAAAGCTTTGTCGAATATCTCATCGTTTAATTTGCGTTTCGGAATGCCCTTTTCAACGGAGAGATAGTGTTTCCTAGGACTATATCGTCAGCTGCGAGTTGGCAAAGGGACAGAATAAACCGAACAGTCTCACAGGATATGCCAGGCTCCTATACGTTCCCCATCGGAAGCGTTGAGGTACAAATTACGAGTTTTGAAGGCTGGTGTTCAGTCCACCTGTTAACAAACAAATATGCAAACATGACTCACGTGCCAAGCCATACCTTTCTGGAGCGTCAAACTGAGCATTGGGAGGCCAATGGATGCGATTGAGGAAGATTAGTCTGTCCGTTAGTATCTAGGGTCTATGCGCGGAGAGCTGAGAAGGGAGCGTCGTTATGGTAGAGGAGCAACACACTCTCGCTGTAAAGCCGGCGTCAGTAGAGACAGCAGGAAGATCAGCCAAGCACCAAACAGTATCCCCACAAGATGAGCAGGATATGAAAGCTTGAGAGTCATTGTTAAAGAAAAGATGCAGTTGATGATGGTACACGAGTGGTTAGTGAGGGGCTCCGTTGATATGCAACCAAGTGGCGGTGGTGATCAGTGTGGCAATCCCACTCACTCTTCTCTTACCTTGCGGGCCTATGACAGGCAGCCTTAGAAAGTAAACAAACCATGACGCATCGTTCTATTGACAACCTATTCATCCACCTCATTCATAAATCATCACAACTTTGCTTACTTCTTTCGTTCAGAACAATGTACCAATAATCTTCTGCCAAGTGCTCTCCGGCTTGTATTTGACTTGGTCCCGCGCCTGCATCTCATCGAGTTCACGACGGCCCGACAAGAAATCGATCTCAGCCAATGGGATGATATGTGTCCTTTTAACTACTTTCCAACCCACATAAGCGATGACGAAGATTGGGATTGCTGTAACGTTAGATATTCTTTCTGAGGAGAGAGACGACAAGAGGACTTACTGATATAAGCCGCAAAGAAGGTACTGGTATTCCAGTTTCCTCGAAGGAAAACGGTGAAGCCGTTGAAGAAGATAATGACGGAGAAGAAGGCAAACTAGTGAGTTCTCAGCGATTGACACAAAGTTGGTGGACAGACACTTACACCTATATAACTCAACCATGGTTGCCAGGGCGCTTTGTAAGGTAAATCATCTCGAGACAAGCCCTGTTTCTTCATACCATGATAGAAGCGAATATAGCTTAAGAGGATTGTCCTGAAAGTACATTAGCATCGATGCGTTGGTAATCCGGGAAACAGAGGGAAGAGAGGAGACGTACCACCACGTAATTATACCGGTTATTGAACTGATCGAGTAGAGCCAGTTGAATGCAGTAACAGCTCCTTCTCCACCTGTGTTCATATAGGCAAGGACCCCAAGACAACAAGTAGTGATCACCGAAACCCACGGAAGACCTTTCTTGGTGCAGCGCGCGAAAAGCTTTGGCATGAACCCCAATTTCGCCATTCCATAAAGTGTCCTGGACGATGCGTACACGTCGGCGTTACCTGCGGACCATGCGGAGAGTAAGAAACAAGCATTGGCGATGGATGGAAGGGTTTTGATACCGGCTTGTTGGATCGCAATGACCCAAGGGGAGGCGGTCGCGGTACCTATCTCGATCAGCAACGAAGATGACACGTGGCAAACATACTGCAGAACGGCGGGTGAGAGTACTTCACTCAGGTCTTTGAATGGGGGAGAGTTTGGAAAGACGGACAGGATGGGAAAAGAGATGAGAGAACTCGACTTACCTGAGCCATTGAGAAGGTCGGGGTCGTTGGGGGAGACAATATTTGACATGATAAGGATACCTATAGATCAGCACCAAATTGTCTCTCCACGAAGCTATTACTTACCGATCACGTAGAAGAAAAGAAGTCGCATGTAGACACGCTTGATGGCTTTCTTTACAGATCTAAACATCAGCATTTTCACCGTATGCCGAGAAAACACCAAAGACACTCACGATCGTGCGTTTGCCGCCTCACCCACGGTCGTTGCGATCTAATGGTTAGTTGTCCATCTCATAGCTTTTCGAGAAGCTGCATACAATCTCAGTCCCGAGACTAAATAATTAGCACAACTCCATGAGCGTAGCATGTGGAAAAAACTGACAAAGAAAAGGCAGCTTGAACGAATGCCGACCAGAAAGCAAGGAACCTTCCCCAACTACCACCAATAACGGCGTCACCACCCTCGATAGAGATCTGTTGGAAAGGGATCGTCCTCCAATAATGAAACCCGAGGGCGTGACCCTCAGGACCGCCGCCGGCCATGATGACAATTCCACAGATGATAAGTCCAACAATTGTCAGGACCTCATCCATCAGCAGCTTTCCGACTAAACAGAAGTATGAGTCTCACCTTGAGGGAGGAAAACCAGAATTCCGCTTCACCGTATGCTCGAGTCCCCCACAGGTTGAGAGCCCAAACTAATACCAACATGACTGTGATGTACGCGGCAGCCGGTGTGTGCTTGTCCCAGTAACTGATAAGAATCTGAGCGGCCACAATTTCCGTCTATCGGTCAGCGTCAAATACAACCAAGGAATCGAGATAACATACAGGACAAGTAATGGCATAAGAATACCCTGTAGTAAATGTAAGTATTTGTCTTTCTCAAGCCAAAATCAAGAAAACAACGACTCACAGTAGTTGATACCCAAGGCGAATCCCAAACTCTCATCTACGAATCTTGCGGCATAAGTCACAAAGTTACCAGTGACAGGATACGTTGTGGCCATCTGCTTTTTAGAACCTCCCTTAACCTTTTTGTAACATGGACATCTTTACGAATATCCGCCTTTTTATCTCAAAGAACCCGAAAAAAACTCACCTCGCCCAAAGCAATCATCATCGTCCAAACCATGCCGGCCATCAGAGCGTATGCAAGCCAGACTCCAACACTACCCGCTTGATAGGCTTAGTCAAGAACTGACTCCAAGAAAGGGAAACTCACCCGACGCTAGTGCACCGCCGGAACCGATGAAGAGACCAGTTCCAATAGCTCCTCCGATAGCGATCATTGCCAAATGCCGTTGTTGGAGAGTTCTATGCACAGCACCATCTGGTCGCTCATCGGCTGAGAGCTCATTAGCCCCTCTCTTCGAAAAGGAAAAGATCCGAGGAACCCACCATCTTCGGCGAGAACCACGGTGTGATCATGACCCTTTTCCGCATCATAAGCTGGGGGTGCACCCACAACAACCTCTCCCCTATCCTTCTCCTTATGTTCGTAGCCCTTGGCGGCCCCATTGTTCGTCGTGTTATCAATGTCTGACATGTCGAAGAACTTTTGGCTTTTCTATGACAGATTCGAAAAGAAAATGCTCGACGAGCGAGAAATTAGTAAAACGGGAAGTTGTGATCAACCAGGGGGAGTTCTTGTACTTTGAGGTCCACCTGTAACAGGTCACAAGACGTCAGACCTTGGTAGCGTCAAGAACGGAAAAACCCGCTGACCAATCAATGGAAGGGGAAAACGTGAGAAGTGAGACGTCATGCGGCTGTCAGTCCCTGTGCTCCACACATATGGGCGTTTTCTCATGTCCTGCACTGGTCCGCCATGGTTTGTCGCTTATCTGAGACTAACCATTTGATCGGCTGCCTCATGTCCGAGTAAGACTGCAGAACCACGGGAAGGGAAAGGAGTATGACGCACGCGAGTTAAGCTTATTCGATTCCTTATCAGTCGAATTCCAAAAGACTGTGGCTCATGTCAGCTAAGATATACTCTGTACCTCGCATGGTCACCAGCTTGCTCCACGCGGTTGCTCATCACTATCGGTTGCTTGTAAAGATACGAGATGGGTGAACATGCGGAGCCGATACCGAAAAGCCGGGGAAAACGGGAAACTGCACTAAAATTGCTTGTAAAAAGGCACGTCACGTGGCAGTGATCGGGCGTCCAGAGATACGGCGGTCGCCGGTGGCTGAGTACCGAAGCCTCGAGCTTTTTGACACGGGGTTTTGAGCTTGATCGTTGACATGCTCGAGCTCGGCGGGAGAACTTTGGCCGTCCCTGGCCGGTACAGGAGCTGCCATCTCGTGGTCTTCGGAGTGGCTGAACATTGTATCGATATTCCCGGTGAAGTTCACTTGGGGGAGGGGGGAGGGGGGAGGGGGGAGGGGGGAGGGGGAAGGGGGAATGGGAGACACAACACGTATCACTCGTAAACGATCGCATAGGTAGCAGCGAGCTGCATAGTCATGTCGACTGTACTTGAGGTAACCATTCCCGAGGAAATCCTCGAACCCCTCCAACGACCTCCATCTTCGCTCGTCGAGAGACATTTTCCTTGTTTTGCTTGGCAAGTACATGCCTCGTATCGAGAGGAATAGAAGTGGAAAGAGGGGAATTGGGATCCTGAGAGATCAGCGTTTACAACTCCACGGCTGCATCCAAGCCAGGACGGTGAGGCGTTTTGATGGTAATTGGACTCACGTTGGCGGCGTCCACCAGTTTTTCAAGCATATCCAACGTACTCTTCCTATTCATATTGATACTCTCAAACCTATCCTCGCTGATCTTGATCCATCCCTCCTTCCCTTCCACTTCATCATTACCCTCACTTGGTATCTCGTTTCCTGGTCTGTGCGGTGTCCATCTGGGTCCAGCGATCAGTTTCAGTCGATGAGTAGCTTCCGAGCCCTTCAGAGGTAGTCCATCAACGGGTACCATGAGAACTTGACGCATATGTCGAGAAGAGTCTGGTTCAGATAGATCGATTGTGGTAGTGAGACGGATGGCGCCTTTTGGAGGAGGGATGAACGGTCTACTCTGCGCTGTGGAGAGTAGTCAGTTATTGACCGAGAAGACCAACATTGACCTACCTCTCAACGCTTCCCGGTCGACTTCCATCTTCCGAAATAACTCTTGAGCCTCTCGTATTTTGAACAACCTCAGCCATCCTAATGAGGTTGCATCATCAAATTTGTATTCCACAAAGGAATCTTGCAATTTCGAGTCGAGTTTGTTCCATTGCCAGCGACGTATTCGGGGAGCAGGTCGTGATGATGAGGTTGAGAATGTTCTGCGGCCTATAATGCCTACTCTGGAGGTGCTGGTGGAGGCCATGGTTTGGGATTTTACACACTCGAAAATGTTGGTGGACGGAGGAACGAGATTTCGAAGGGTGGCCTCAGTTAGGCACGTACAGCACAGCCAAGGCCAAATCAGCACGCCTAACCAAGAGCGATCGATCGAGTCGCATCTATCGAAACCATGGCATGCTTGTGTGAATATTCACTCTACTTCTTCAACCATACCAAAGAGGCTCGGTCAGCTGCAGTAATATGTCCCCACAATGGACCCCTTCTTCTTGGAGGGATAAGCCCATCGCTCAGGTGTGCTGTCTCTCCCATACAAATGCTCTCCCGGCTCATCTCACAGGACGTCGTCTACGAAGACAAAGAGCACCTTGAGAAGGTGTTGACCAAGCTGCGCAGATTACCTCCTCTGGTCACCCCTGTAGAGGTATGTTTCTTTTTACATATTCGTTATTCTGAGTGACCTGTTCCCATGTTCATGCTGACTGGAAGATTGACCGCTTGAGGTCCGAGCTTGCAGATGTGGCTGTGGGCAAGGCCTTTCTTCTGCAAGGGGGGGACTGCGCAGAGCTCTTCGATGACTGTTCTCAAGATCCCATCGAGCATAAATTGTCGTTGTGGGTATCTATTTCGACATTAAAAGACCGTCTAAAACCCTCAGGATTCTTCTCATGTCTCTCATCATTCTTCATGGATCTCGACTTCCCGTTGTTCGTATAGCGCGTATCGCAGGACAATATGCAAAACCTCGGAGCAAGCCCACAGAGGTGGTGTCTGTCGATGTCAAGCATGTAAGCTCTAATGGATCCACGACGATCAGTAAAGAGAAAAAGGAGGTTTTGAGCTTTCGTGGGGATAACGTCAATGGCTATGATCCTTCTGATCGAAATCCCGATCCTGAAAGACTCCTTGGGTGAGTCCATTTAATGAATGAAAGAGATGTACTTATTTCCAAGTGCATACTTTCACTCCACTGCCACTCTCAACTACATCCGTGCTCTTCTCTCTTCAGGTTTTGCCAACTTGCATAAACCTCTCGACTGGTCTTTCTCCCACGTGCGTTCCCCACAATTACAAGCAGCTTTCAGTGGAGTCATCGAAAGCCTGCAAGACAGCTTGGATTTTATGAAGGTTGCCACGGGTGGTAGCGGGGGCTTGGAGAGAGGTGGTGCCGAGACGGTCTCGCTATACACGAGGTACGTCGATCGGTTTAATTTATGATAATCGGCTTACGAACTTCACAGTCATGAAGCTTTATTACTGGAGTATGAAGAAGCATTCACTCGTGAACATGGTATCACATCCTTCCAGTCGTTCTCCTCACCTCCCACTCGAGGTCACAGCCCTCCGATGTCCAGATCTAGTTCACATGCTCGAGTCGGTGCGGCGAGCAGTCTCCCTCATTCTCCTGCGAGAACGGTTCGTATACCAAAATCACCGGGATTGTCGGACAGCGTTTCTAGCCTGTCCATGCATGTTCAAAATGGACAAAAACGACCAGATGGAGAGGTAAAATACTACAACATGTCTTCACATTTCATCTGGATTGGAGATCGAACACGTCAGCTCGATGGAGCGCATGTGGAGTATTTCAGGGGGATCGCTAATCCGATGTGAGCGAATCGTCCGTCTTCATGATATATTGAATGCTGATCGGCAGTGGGATCAAAGTAGGACCAACTATGAAGGCTGACGAATTGGTGAGAGTTTTGAACGGTGAGCACTCATTTTCATCCTCGATACACCCCACTGATCGACAGTGATCAACCCAGATAGAATTCCTGGCAAAGTGACTGTCATTGGAAGGTACGGAGCGGATAAAGTGGCCGAATTTCTGCCAGGGCACATTGACTCTGTAAAGTCGACTGATCATGTCGTGGTATGGCAATGTGATGCGATGCACGGCAAGTGAGTCTGTCACTGCGACCCCTTTCTCTCGCTCCTCCTGGGAAACGTACTCGTAGGTGACCAAAAACCCTAGTTCGGACGTCCGGATGGCTAGTTTTAGTCATCAGTGATTGACGTCACAGTACTAAATCGTCCAAGACCGATCCCACATTGAAAACCCGTCATTTCGTCGATGTCATCCATGAAATCACCGAATCCATGCGGATTCATCGTGAAAAAGGTACTATACTCGGTGGGGTGCATCTCGAATTGACGGGTGAGGTGAATGAGCAAGGGTTTTCAGTGGTCAGTTGATTCTCCACTGCTCTTCGCTATCTCAGCTGATAACTCAGACCGAATGCATCGGAGGATCTATGGAGTTGGAAGATGAAGATCTTTCTTTCAACTATCGCACACATTGTGATCCGAGACTCAACTATGAACAATCCCTCGACGTCGCTTTCCTCATTGCGGATCATCTGAAAGCGAAGAGGAAAGGGGAACGACCTCGGGATATCCTCCTATCTGGTTTAAGGGGCAGAGTGGGGAAGGATTGAACATTCATGTCCATTCTCTCATCTCGTCTCATTTCAAGAACTCATTGCTCATCTTATCATCCATACATGATACAATTGTGAATGCATTGCATGGACTACCCGCAGGCCTCAATGAGATCAATGGCGCAAGAATGTGGTGCCCCACTCACTTGGTACCTCCACTTTACTTCGGTCACCGGTGTCTCTCTATGAGGGACGTTCTCTCAATCACAAGGTCACTATCTTTTTTCAAAGACCAGCTCGTGTTCATTAGCACTTGTATTCTATTAAGCCCCCTCTTTCACGATCGAAATGTCTTATCAACATATCGGTACGTAACTCATTACCCACATCTTCAATCCTTGTGTTACTTCATCTTTCCATCGGGTCATTCCATCCCCGCAATCGTACCAACATATACTTGTTGCGTCCCGTGGTCCGTGGACTGTGGGGAGAGATGCTGACAGAAAGTCGCGTTCAAACTAGCTTCTGAAGATCTTCTCTCTTCCTTTGTGGAGAAATTCAAAACTTTATCACAGAATTGTTTGGACAAAAATGGACAGAGATATATCAAGTCAATTAGAGGTGGGAAACAGATAAGTCCAGAGGGAATGGACGGTGGTATGCAAGTTGTTTTTATTGTGGAGTTCGACGTGAGTAAATTTTATTCCTCATAATCTTCTTTGTTCTGTCCGTTACCTCTCACCCCTCTTCATGTTTTCGCTCTCCATTCATTGCTATTTACCTCTCTACATAAATCATCCTTCCACTCTCTTTCTATTCGTATGTGTCGAGTTACGTTCTATATGTCGCCTATCTTCCTATACTTACCTTGGCATGCCTGGGCTGTACTTCCCTTACCTCTGCATAGTCAACGTCAACGGATTACCATCTTCACATTCCCTCCCATGACGTCGGTGGCATTTTCCCCCTCCCCCTCCCCTTCAAGGTCCATACTTTAGGGTTCACGAGTCTTGTACTGTTTCGTTATGTTCGGTGCTAAAATTTAGGACAAAGAGCACGCCGATTACTACCTTGACCATGACTCCGCCCATGCCGATTTCAAAAAATTAGCAAGAGCCAAATACCAAGTCAACGGAGTTTTCTGCCTTGATTTCGTAGAAGGACAATTCTGAGATTATGATGAATTTCTTCTCATCTTGGTGATTGGGGATGAATCGAATGACGGGACGAGTTATGCATATAATATCCCACAGTAGGTATAGAGATCACGCAAAGAAGTAATGTAAATAGACCGTAACAAGTCGTGAGATCGTCATATCTTACACATCCTCCCACTCTTGACATTGTCCTCCACTTCCCTCCTCCTCACCTCCTCCGACGCTTTCATTTACGCTTGAAGAGATTTCCCAAGTTTAACCCGGACGACGTTCCCCGAGTCTGATTACCTTCCGCTACCCCGTTCGTCCCTTTGGCCGAATTTGTAGGTGACATACTTGAAGTCCCTTTAGCGGTGGCAGGAGCTGGAGTACCCGGTGCCCAAGGTGTTGTCGCTTGAGCCGCGGAGGAAGGTGGACTTTTCACCGTTCCAGTTTTTTTCGTAGGTGAGACGGAAACGGTTTGTTCACCATCCATGGCCATACCAGAACCAGGTTTGAACACTCCTTTTACATCTGCTGGATTGGCACCCAGAGGTACACCTCCATTCTCCACTGCTGAAGGTCCTTGTGCCAAAGAGGCGAGATATTCCTGACCTCGAATGACGAGGAAAGCTTCGACACTATACATGTTAGCGATACCACGCGGTCGACAACTTAGACGTACAGATGAGCATTACGGGAGTTGGCTCTGAAAGCCGCCAGACCGATGTCACCGATTACGGGGATAAACCTGATTGTCAGTCGTGTCACATGAGCTAGGGATGAAGTTTTCAACTGTCGAGAGTGAAAGGACTAAGGGTGAGGCGGGCAGGATGAAGGGGGAGAGGTGACATACCCTAGACCGGCAGAGATAGCATTGTTGACCAACATATGTTGAAGGAGAGAATCAGGTATATCCAATTGTTTCGCGGGTTTGACCACAAGTGTGTAATTGAGCAACGCGTCGGTGATATCTCCAACGAAGGGAACGAAGCCTGCCTCGTCAGCCTTGTCTTCTCAAGTCGTAATACATGATTAATCAGGAAGCTTTAGAACACTCACCGATCCAGAAGGTCCAGCCTACTCGAAAACCACATAGGTTCATACCCTGCTCATCAGCATAATCCTTTGTAGCCACCTCTTTTCTGTCACAGACGACGGACGACTGACCTTGTCAAGATAATGAGCTCTCTTTCGAATCTTCTTTAACAGTCTTTGATCCCTTTTCGATAAACCAGGTGGGATTGCTCTCTACCTTGGTCAGCCATACCATCAACTATGTGTGTAGATTTGGGTTTTTTTGGGAGAGAGGAGGAGGGATAATCGACTGACCTTGACTTTCTTCTTCCCTCCACGACCATCGTCGACTTCTTCATAGTATGGATCCACCGGCTGATACTGCTCTGCTTTACTCTTGAGCATTTTCTGAAGGGTCAGTTTCATGTTTCACACAACGCCGTGCTCATGTACGGGTGTAGCATATGAGAATGCCAAACGTGACCGCACTGCAGGCTGATGAACTTACCGTGGCGGCTTTCTGAGCGATGCTGTTCATCTTAGAAGTAGATGATTGGTGATGAAAAACTAAAAAGTAGTCAAGTCTTCTGAGAGAGTCCTGTGACAATAAACACGCCTTGTTTCTGTCTTGTATGAGGGGTTGACGGAGTTGAAACAAAGCACCGCCGGTTGATGCATTGGGGGTGGCGAGAATGATGTCATCGCCTCAATGCTTTGTGGCATGTGGCACATTCAAAAGTTTTGCTACAAGTCCAATGCGAGTACTTACCACTGGCCGCTGAGGAAACGACGTGTAACCTAAAGTAGTCGAGGATACAAGACTACCAACAGAGCTTACTGAAGGTGAGGAACGCAAGAGAGTCAACTCATGCCTCTTTGGAATATCATCCGATCATGATTGCATGCTTGAGAGTCTAATAGATTCTGATGAGAGATATACCTTGTGGGCACTCACTCCGCCGAGCGGTCAATGACATGCAAGTCGAGATCAGCAGGGTCGGAAGGAACGCTGGAAATCAGTATGGTTCGTAGGATAGGACAAAACACTCACGAGATGATACGAAGGGTGTTCGTGTGACCGAGTCCACCACGCCAACCTTGAACAGCCATGACGGTTGCTTCAGGCTCAACAATACCTAGCTGCAGGGCACAGCGAAGTCCGAACCTAGTCTATCAGCTTGGTCTATTATCTGTCAAGGGAAACTGACCGGATACGGTTATCCACATCCAACTGCCATTGGCCTTGGGGAACACCACGAGGCTCGGGGTACCAAATAGGGTAAACGCCACGAGACAGATGGAGCTGACGAGACGTCTGGGCATTACGGGTAACACAGATGATGGGACACTGTGGGCGGTACTTGGAGATCAGACGAGCCGACTCGCCCGACGTGGACAGGACGATGATGGCACCTGCATTCTGCTCCATGGCTGCGGCAACGGCGGAAAGAGCAAGGGTCTCAGGGGTGCTGGTGGGTCGGGGGGTAAGTTGACGTAACTGGTCGAAGAGAGGGGGGTAAGCGATCGCGGATTCAGCCAAAAAGGCGGTTTCGGCCATCATGCGGACTGGTTATCAGGACAATAGGTAAGACTATATCAGACCACTTACCAGCCTCCAAAGGATATTTGCCTTTGGCGGTTTCACCAGACAGCATGACACAGTCGGCACCGTCGAGGATGGCATTGGCCACATCGGACACTTCGGCACGAGTGGGACGGGGGTTGTACTTTCGAGGTCAGCTCATCCGACTGACGTGAAACCGGACTCACAGTCATCGATTCCAGCATCTGAGTGGCACAGATGACGGGTTTACCAGCGACGTTACACTTGGCAATCATCATCTTCTGAGCCAGGAAGACTTGACTGGCAGGAATTTCAATACCGAGATCACCACGAGCAACCATGACACCATCGGTCTCCTTGAGAATCTCATCAAAGTTGACGACACCTTGTTCGTTTTCGATCTTGACAATGATCTTAATCGCTGCTCCTTCCGCACCGAGAACCTTGCGGATCTCACGTACATCGTCAGGAGATCTGATGAACGAAGCAAAGATCATGTCAACGCCGTTCTTAACACCAAAGGCAAGATCTGCTTTGTCTTTTTCGGAAAGAGCGGGGAGGTCGACAGCAGTCTTGGGAAGGTTGACACCCTTTCGGGAGGAGAGAACACCGGCGTTGACAGCCCGGACACGGACATTGACACCATCGATGGAGAGGACCTGCAGAGAGAGGATACCTGAGGGTTAATGAGATCGATCATAGAGGAAGTGACTCACCATCGTCTACATATATGAGCTTTCCAGGGGAGGTAACCTTAACGAGGTTGGCCTGAGATAAGTTCCATTGCAAGAAACACATCTGAGGAATACTCACGTAGTCCATGAATAGATATTCAGCGGTACAGGCCTCGGCATATTGTTTATCGGTTGTCACCCAGAATTCGTGTCCTGCGGGGATGGGTACCTCAAGATCAATTGTAATCGACAATGCAGGAGACGTAAACATGCACTCACATCTGTATCATCCTTCATCAGACCCGTCCTGATTTCAGGACCTTTGGTGTCCAGAGCGATTGCCAACGGACGACCATTGGTCACCAAAGCCGCTGCCGCACGTGCGTTATCAACGACCGATTGGTGGTATTCGTAAGACCCATGGGAGAAGTTCATTCTGACTGTCTTATCAGCTCGTCATCCTTAGTCAAGGAGAATGGAACAACTGACCAATGTTCATCCCTGCATTTTGAAGAGCTACGAGCATGTCAACATTGTTAGTCTTTGGTCCGATAGTAGCGATGATAGAGCTCTATCTCATCAGCCTTCGCCTCGCGAATAGTCACTACAAGTTGGGATCATGTGAAGAAGACGACTCACCTTGCGGAGGAACTTTTGTTCGGGGGAAAAGTCGTTGAACCCTGTGCTAAGAGAAGATAGCCAGGCGAGTTGAGAAGCTGGTGCTCCTATCAAAGCTGACGCTCCAGCCATTTTGACTTCAGGTATGACTATTCGTTGAACAGAATCGACAAGGGATTGAGGTATACTTGAGGTAGGTGTAGCGGTACGAGATGGAGGAAACCAACCGAGTGGAAAAGGTTTACGTAGTTGAGCGAGGTCGTCAAAACCGTTGAGAAAGGTGTGTGAAAGTGGGGCGTTGAACATACACGATGACGTCGATTGTGAGATATGAAGAAGAAAAGGAAAAGAGATAACGGATGAGAAAGAGAAAGGATCAGCGTCACACTCAAGAGAGAAAACTATGGTAAAGTGACGTGGGAGAATAAAACTCACACGTTTATCAAAGCAAAGACCGTCAAAGCGTTCAAAGAGTGAATGGGGTTTTTGGATAGAAAGGATATGTCAGAACAAAGGGTCTCACTCTTCACTGTGTCAACACGTCTAAGATGACTTGAAACACCTCTTTCACAAGTGTTGGACAAGGAGAAGAAGTGAAGGAAAGTCGAGGTGGAATGCAGTCAAAAGCTCTTCCCCACAAAGATTTCATCGTGACGACGTTGCCGACTTATCAGGTTCAAATTTAAGATTACATAAGCAAAGATTCTTTGCCGGAATTTCGCCATGTCCGATGATGAAGGTTGGGTCACCGAACCATCTATCACTACTGAACCTATCTCGACTGAATCACCGCAGGAACAACCAATTCGTTCGGAAAGAAAGAGCAAGAGGGATAGACATAAGAAGAAAGAGAAGAAGAACGAGTTGGAGGTTTATTTTGCCGAACAGAAGAAATTGTTCGATCACCTTGAAAGACGGTTTGAGAGGTTTAATAAACGTTGGCAAGAAGAACATAATCACGCTAAAGCGGAAAGACAGAAGAACAAGGTGACACCCGTACCAGTAGAACCTGCTCAGAAACAACAACCTCAAAAGCAACCTCAACAACAGCAGCAACAACCACAGCAAGTTCAAGCTCAGAAAGCGGAGTCTAAACCTGCCAAACCTCCCAAGCAGTCCAAATCGAAGAAAAGGAACGATAACACAGCAAATCAGACCATGATACCACAACTCGCCAAAGGGGCGACAAATGTTGCTCAGACAGCTGGGAGGATGGTAAGCTCGAGATGATGACATACCTGCGAGCTAATGGCGTAGGCCCGTCCGGCTGCTTCACTCATTCCAGCCAAGCAGACAGCAAGCACCTCACGAGGAATATCCACCACCACATCACGTCCAGCCCCAGGTCGTACGACGTCTTCCAAGAAGAAGAAGGCGGTCGTCAATCCCGATGCTATGTCGACTTCTGATGCTGCCCGCATACTCAGAGTAAGTCTTCACTATCCCATTACCCCTCTTCTCACATATGTATAACATGAGAGTTAACCTCAACTAGGCTATGGAAATATCCAACCCATCAGCTGCCTACTCCGTTACCATCAACACTCGTATATCTAAATCATCCCTCCTCCTCCGTGGTAGGGTATCCCTACCTACCGACGCACGTAAAGCCCCAGAAGTCATCGTCGTATTTGCCGATCCCGACTCTCCTTCCGCTACCGTAGCTCGAGCCGCAGGAGCTCAATACGTAGGGGGTGCAGATCTCTTCCCTTTGATACTGAACGGAACTATCACACCTACCAAATGTCTCAGTACACCGGGGATGTTACCAGAAGTCTCGAAGGCGCTGGCCAGGTATTTAGGTCCGAGAGGTCTCATGCCTGTTGCTAAACGTGGTGGAGTGGGAGAAGGGGAGGAGCTTGGGGAGAGAATCAGAGAAGCTGGTGGAGCGATGGATTGGAAGGCGGATAAATTGGGAGTGGTCAGAGCTCGTGAGTCCATCATTGATACCTCATACTCGCAATCAAAGACATATGGAGAGAACCAAACTTAGGGAGGAGGTGATCGTGACAAGGAAGCTTATTGAGGACATCGCTGATGTATAGCCGTGGCGAGAATGGACTTTGATCTCCCTGCTGTGGAAAATAATGTCAAAGCTATGATACAGACTGTTCGTGAGGCGTCTATCAAGAACGCTCAGACGGACAATCTGACAGCTTCAAAGGGAAAACGAGGTAAGTCACGTACACTTGTACAATGAAATGAGATTGACATTCAGTATCGGGTATCATCAGTGCCAGACTAGAGACGACACATGGACCATCGATTGAATTGAACGATGTCTAACATTGCTACGAAAACATGATTCTCATACAATATGCATGGATGATCTTTCTAGAGCGTAGCTGTGAATGAGCTGCACTTGTGAGGAGAGATACAGGTGCTACAAACATGACGACCCCTCGGAAATGTATTGTTCGAAGTGCAACAGGGAATCTTCCCCAGACCTAGGTGGTTCAGATATCATCCGCAATGGAGAGTTGAACCTTTTCGCCTGGTTTAAATGGCGGCAAGCCTGTCAAAGTTAGCCCGCTCCCAAATTTTGAGATGGCTTTTACTTTTGAGATCAAGGAAAATAACGACCGAACTTACCCAGATAAGGACAACTAGAGCATCTGAACGCATCTCCTAGATAACAGCTTCCACAACTACTAGTCTTCTTCGCTTCCGCCCTTTTCTCCTGTGGCCAAATCCCTTCCATTCCTTCAGTAGCGACTTTTATACTGTCGGGAATATCATCATCCCCTTCCAAGAAAAACGCCTTTTGAGCCTCACGCACAGCCGCTGACGCTTTGGCCTCTTCTTCAGCTTCCAGCTCTGCCAAACCACAAGTACAATCTTTACATGCTCTCCTTCTCTTCAAAGGTTTTCCATCGGCCGCGGGGAACACACATATAGGTCTCTGTTTATCTTCAGGAGTGAGAAGAGATCTTCCGCCGTCGGCCAGGAGAGGTGAGTCTAATGCCCAAATGGCAGCTTTCTTCGTACGGTCTGAGGACCTCTTGAGACTGATCGGTTTGGCGAGAGGAGCTGGAATGGAGGTTATTTGAGGTAGGGAGGGGGTAGAAGGAGACGTGTAAGCTAAGATATCGGTTGAAGGGGTAGGAAGAAGGGGAATGAAAGATCGGCTAGCAAGTGAAGAATGGAGAGTGGATAATTCTTTCTCTGTAGGTACGGGATGAGGTAGGTGAATAAAGACTTGAGTGGAGGGTGGTATGACGGGTAAGAGAGACGGAGGCAGGGGGAAAGGGAGGACTAAGTGGATAGTCAGGGGCGGAGAGGGTAAAGAAGTCGCTGATGAGTCAGCAGATATCTACATGTAGTTCTTCTTTTCAGGCAGTAGATTGATGTTGGGAAATAGCTATGTCTGAAGGAGGGTTGACAGTGAAAAGGTTTGACTCACCATTATCAAGCACACGGTCAACCATCTCACCCCTCACATGACCCCCTGACTCTTTGAGAGACGTGAGAAGAGTTTGATATTCATCCGCCCTTTCCATAGATCCCAGAACCACCTGCACCGTCCCGGCACCATTTCCATTTGCTATTGCCATTGTGAATACAAATAAGTCGCGAGATTCAGAGGGAAAGGAGAAACCACGAGTGTCCAGATCGGAGTGGAGTGGAGGAGAGTCGAAAATTGACCAACCGCGGGAAAGGTTTGGTCAGCCAAGCATTTACTTCTTACGTAATCTATCACTTCCCCAAACCCCCTCCTGTCACGTTGTGTGGCGCCATCTGGCGCGACCCGGTCGGATCAGGGCTTCGAGCAATGCAATACAGAGATGGTTACTGGCTGAACGAACACTCCTACAAATACCTGCATACGGGTAACAGGGACAAAGCAGATGTCTACAGGTACGCCGTGAGTCGTCCGGTTCGTAGAGCGTTGAGGAAGGATGAGAGAGGAAAAAGCAACGTTTCGTCCCCATGCACCCGAATTTTACAGAACAACAGCCCCAAGAGACTCAGGGTCAACTCGGAACAACCGAGAAAAGTTTGTCCCATGACTTCCACGCTTCCACGCTCTTCCCACGCTCTCTCATGCCCATGCTAATCCCCTTCCCCGTCCCCGTCCATCCCGGACTGACTTTACAAAACTACAAATTCATTCTTCAAAGGCGTGAGATGATCCGATTCTGGTGCGTCGCCCGAGCTTTCCCCAAAGGGTTAACAACTGCTTGGATGCTTGGGGTATAAAGAACAAAGGGTGGGTCTGTTGTCTTCCCATCGTCTCACACTCCGACGTACGACATATTGTAAAACAACCTCAACTACTTTTCAACACTTACCTCCTGCTTATTTACTTTTCCTCCAAAGTACATCTCAAAACATCCTTCATACGACTCATCTCCCTTTCAGCGACAACTACCACCACATCTTTGAAACCTATCTTGATTTATCGATGGAATCTCGCCCAAACGAATCAACCATGCCTCTTTCTATCCCCGCTCGTCAAACTCAACAACAACAACAACCTGCTTCTCCTCCCATGCACGGGATCTCACTGTCCACTTCTCCTTCGCCTTCCGGTTCATCACCCATGTCCCGATCCGGCTCTTTCGACGTCAACCCTTTGCCACATCACCGTCTCCTCACCACTCCCGCTCAACATCCGTGTCCACACCTGAAGGAATTATCGATGGCATTGAAGAGGGCTTGGAGTATGGGGAACTAGTAGGATTTGGGCAGATTGGACACTATGCGAAGATACGAAGAAAGAGGAGGAAGAGGTGTATATAATAAGAAAGCGCTGGGTTCGGATTCGTTAGAAACATTTTTGCCACAACCCCATTCCCCTCCCCATTATTCGAATCGCCACCATCATCGCAAGTCATTCCTTCATATACCACTTTCACTGCATGCCCCCCCTTCACTCCACCATTCAATATATCATCTTCCCCATTCCGTCTTTCCGAACCATTATCGACGTCTTCGGTCTTCCGGCAACCAACGACCACCGTCACTCACGAGTTTTCCGACATCAAACATAAATTCTTGCCACATCACTCGACGGAGGTTATTGTGAGTGGGAGGAGGGAGACAGACGGATGTGGGACTTTTCAAGGTTTATTTTCCTGTTGTTTCAATATGCATCTTTCGTCTCACTTACAAAAGCTGACACAGTCGAATAAACGTTTTTTGATGGCATCACTAGATCACTAAAAGCAGGGCATCAAACAGACACAGGATGATTGTGGCTGGCGGCATTTTATACATGCACCCGGCTCGCGGCTCGGTCCGCCTGTCTCAGCTCGACAACGACTGACAAGAACGAAAGACACAGGGCCGCCCAGGTGTTCCTCGACGACGATCAATCCGTTGCATAGTCAATACGCCATTCCTACGCGACGCATGGTGTCAGATAACATGGGGGATATGAGGAGAGGCATAGGAGGAGAGAGCAGAGTTGGAACGCGTCGCAATGATGGGACCTCGCAGCCTCAGACCGATTTACCGAGCCGCTCTGGCCGGACAAAGCTGCATCATCGAGTCATCAAATGGGGAACAGAGATAGAGGGGGGAGGAGAGAGGCGAAGAGCGTGGGATGAACGACGTCAAGATCGCGTCGTGGGGACTGTGGGGAACGGTCACGAGGCTAAAGAAGGATTCAATCATTTTCGAAGCAAAAAGAGAAAGAAAAACTTCTCCTCTGAGACCGACCTACGCCCGCCTTGGCCATTCAACTTGAACATCTAGGCCGAGCGACCGGTTAACTAGTCGAGTTTGGGGGTAGCCGCCGGCGCAGACACCGCTTTTGTCGTCATACATTCCACCCTCTCCACCCTGATCGCTCATCATCCATCACATTCCTCGACAACTACTCTTCTTTCTCAATTTCGCTTCTCCCACCGTCGTCCTCTCTCACCAGTTCGTGATACCAGACTCTTCCAGCACAACATCTTGTTCGCTCTTATCCCACCTCCCTGAACCCGCGTGGACGCGCCACCATCATAAGCATTGTGGTGGCCTTTAAAGGACCCAGGCATTCCGAGATCAGCACCGTGGACTATACCTACCACCTTCAAAGGCGTCGCAGAAGATCGTCCATTCCTTTCGATTCATCTCAGGTGAGCACTCTTCAGTCTTCTTGACATCCCCTACGATGAAATTGACATGGCGAGGACGAGTGTATTGATGGTGTGGACGAGGGCTGACGCGTTGATCAGAAGGGCACGGACGGCAAAGAAAATTTTTCCCCTCCCTCGACGCGATCGGTATACACAACAAACGTCCTTTCAGAGGACAGCTTGGGTGGATCGTATACTCTCTCTCCACAAGCATCCTCTACCGTCGGCAAGGGAAGCAACACGGAAAGATAATCTATCAGACAAACCGCGACGGCACACAACGTTGGTTGAACCATCTTCCTTGAGCGACAAGGACCGTCTGACCGGTGTTGACATTTTTCCAGAGCTCATAAGTCTGACTTGACCCATTGCAACTCTTAGTCGCTTGTCATCTCAATCTCGTCTGAGCTCATCTCGTGAACGGTTTCGAGGCCTCGACTTTGTACACTGGATCTACCTCCAAATTATTCACAAAGGTGAGCCCTTCATCCTCTCCCCTCACACCTGTCCGCTCAATCTTACTCCCATGCCTTTTGGGGAGACGAGATGAAACCCCTCTCTCGTATCTTCGACAGCCTTCCAGGTCCTCCTTCAACAAATACCTCTCAAAGGGGTCCCTTCTCGCCATATCTCATAACTCTCTCTCCAATCTTTCAATGTCAAACCAAAACTCAGAGCTGACGGAAGGACCATCCTTATCTTACATCCTTCCCAAACGACCCCACTCGCCTTCTCTCTTTCCCCACGGTGTCACCGCTCCCGGTCAATCTTCCACCCGGTCTCCCTTCGACGGCGTCCTTACCGACCATCCCACCGATCCTCTTCTCACTGTGGCACTGCTCACTTCGACTTTTTGGCGTGGCACCCAGCGACCTTCCTCTGTGCTGTTACCCCTTGACCCCACCGCATCCGTCGTCGTCACCGTCTTCCATACCGTCGTGGGCGCGCTCCTTTCTTCTCTACAGCCTTTATTTCGTCTCTGCTCTCGCGCCGCTTTACGCGCTTTGTCAGAGGCCTTCTCTCGCGTGAGTGAAACCCTCCAACATGTACGCTAGTGTCAGAAGGGGGAGGCTGCGCAGATGGAGCTGGAGGAGCCCGGGCGATGGAGTTCATGACTAAGAGCTGACGAGGTAGAATATCAACCCCTCTCAAGTCCTTTTAACGGACACTCGACACCCCTTGCCTTTTTTTTCTCCCAGGCCTTTACAGTCATCTTCAACAGTCTCATTTATCCTTTCATAGCTATTACTCGTCCTTGCTCACCACGAGCCTTCTGTGTTGTCTTTGGACACCATTCACCTCCCTTCAATCCCACCATTGTGTCCACCAGTGGTAAGATGACTTCTGTCATGAGCAACTTTGACGGACCCCGTCCACAATCCCAACACGGCATCCACTCGTCTCCTCACGAATCTCCTCGTATTCCCCGTCCTGCTTCTCAAGCATCCCTTCATCTCCCTCCTGGGGCCTATCATGCTCCGTCGCCCAATGAGGGACATCCTCTGACCGCTTTTCCAGGTGGCGGTCACTCGCAACCTTACAAGTATCAACAACCTCCTGGTCTGTCCCTTCCCCTTCCTAACCAGGGGTACATGGGAGGTTATCCCAATACCGCTCCTCTCTTCCCTGGTTCTGCTCCGATTTACGATGCTCGTTCTCAACCCATGATGCGGACTATCTCTCAAGCTCACCCAATGAATTCAGCGTCGGAACATATGTCATCGAGATATTCCGCCTCGCCACACTCTGCTACCGGTAATTTGAACCACGACAGTCCCCCTTCTGCGTCGTTGCCGAATGGACAGTTCATCCCCGGTCTTCATGTGAGCCACGACAATCGACATGTCAACCCTGCTTTGTTCAGTGGCAACATGCCTGGATTTTCCAGCTCCATGTCTCGCTCCACTTCCGGCGCCAGCGAAGTTGGACCTGATGGACGTCTCCTCACGCCACACTACGACGCTCTTAGTCCTGGCGAACACGAATTGCGCAAGGTATCAGACTCGCTCGGACGAAACCGTCCTTACCAACACGGTTATCCCGGCTTCGAGTTCCAGCATCACGGAGTTAATCTCGGCCCTCACCCTCAGCCCGATGCCGTCTACTACACTAGAGGTTATCCCGGTGACAATTATGTCATGTCGGATGAACGAGGTATGAAACCAGAACTGGCGACCATCGGAGAGACGGACTATGAGCGTGAGCGTCAAGTCAATATCATCAACAACAAAAAGCTACTTGATGACGTCGGTCTTGGTGGAGGTCAGAATCCCGTGCGTCGCATCACTTCATGAGGTAACCGTGATACTGACGCATAGTTTGTTCGCTCTCGCGAAGCTAACGGAATGTCTCCGAGTCGAAATCGCAAGGCGTCGACTCCTAGTAAGAACAGGGCTCTGCATGGGGCGGGTAAGTCTCCTATCGATCGGTGTCAATGACTCATGCTGATCCTAAGTGCGTGCATCTCCTCGCATCGCATCGCTTCATCGCAACGTATCTTATGCCGATCCCGATGGTGGCCCAGTGTCTGATGATGATTCTGGTGGCGAAGATGCATATGGAAGCGACAATGCGGAAGAAGAAGACGACTTTAGACCTATGAAGCGTACCAAAGGGGTTAGAAACTCTTATACTCATCAAGTTTCTTATGTCCCTGCTCGCAAGGTAAGTGATTTTCTTCCCGTAACAAGACAAAGCTCATGTGTAGACCACGCGAAAGCCTGATCTATCCCTTTGGGGTTTACTTCAGGTGTACGGAGAGATCCCACACAAATATCCGTTGTTCTACTACACCTTGAACAATGATCTCACCATCAACTCTGACTCTGTACCTCTTATCGGCTCGATCCCGTCCACTTGCACTCCGCTCGAGAAAGCAGAAACTCTTCGCGCATTCTTCCAGCGTGGTCGACGTGTTCTCGCTCAGCTAGACGCCTTCACTGCTCGTTGTGACAGGAAATACGAAGGTCCTGAAGAACGTTGGACAGAGTTGGAATATCACACACGTATCGCTATTCGTGATGTTCGACGAAAGGTTGTTGAACGTTGTGAAAACTACAAATACACTCGACGTGATTTATTAGACAAGTGAGTTTATCATTCCTTCATTTTATGTCCATTACTGACATTTCAGGATGTTGGGTAAAGGTAAATGGCAATCTATCGAACAAGGTATGGTCGAATGGCGCGAATCGATGCACCCAAACAACGATCCCGCCAATGATCTCGCCAATGTAACGTTGACCATGCCAACACCTCCACCTTCGGTCTATGCCAATCAACATCAAGAACAACAACGTGCCGCTTATCCTGGACGAATGATTAAACCTTTCCCTGCTCGTTCTCGTCCTGCGTCAGTCAACAGAGTTATGAGTGTCAACATGGATTATAACCCAAATATGATGTACTCTTATCCTCATACCGCCCCACCTGCTCCTGGTCAAGCTATGTATGGAGAAGATCAAGTTCCCATGACTGTTCAAATGCCACCTGCTTCAGCTGGTGCGGGACCGAGTGGAGATCATATGAACGGTACTCTCGCTCCTCAATGGGAAGGATATGAACGGAATCAACATGAGAATCAAGAGAATAGAGGAGAGAAACGTCAGAGGGAGGAAGAACAGAAAGGGGAGAATCTCAATTGGGGTGGGGAAACTTATACCGCTTGATTCGATCAAATCTGTTCAAATCAAAGTCAAAGTCACCATTGTAAAGGACGTTGCTGAGGACGAGGATTTTAATATATATATATCTGTTAGGGGAGAGTGAGGCTGAGGCTCGATCTTATTTGTACTATATAGTTAGTATTTGATTTTTCTCACCTCTCTTTTCGTGTTGGATTACCACGCATGTGAAGGGATCTTCTCGATTGTTTTTTGATACCATAGATGCTGTGATGCTGGTATATAACCCCTTGGAACTAGTGTGAATAATGTAAGATATGGTTTTGGGAAATGTCAACATGCATCTCGTTTTGAATATACAGTCTTGAAGACGATATGGAATGCGATCGTAATGCACAGGTATTCGTGGAAAGATTCATTTATGGACATGACATCATTATTGACATATATATTCTTGACAGGTATGTGGTTTGACAATTATATACAGATGTGAAACGGTTGTGTGAGGAACAAGATGGACAGGATGAGGAACATGATCGTTTTGATTGGACCGTTAAAGATGTTGAGTTTCCGAAGATTGGAGAGGGGGGCCAAAGAAAGGGTGGTGGAAACGAGGTAAAAGAAGGTGGTGGATTTATCGAGGAGGTAATCGATTGATATCACCATGACCATTCGAATATTGAGTTATATTTGTCGTAGGTGTCCAATTTAACCAAGCCATAATATCTCCTAATCCACTACCATCATCCGTTCCTACACCGACACCAACTCCAACACCAACGCCAATATCTTCTCTTTCTCTTCCACGAGTAACAAATTGATTCGGATTGGAACTTGGTGTATGTGTATTCGTAGTCAGAGAAGAGGGTGAAATCTTAGGTTGTAATGGTGTCGTGGTTGAATTTGGTGAAGGTCCAACACTCCCATTCCCACTTCCACTACCACTTCCATTTGAACTACCATTTTGACTTTTACCTGGATATCCACGTCGACGATCATTACTTTCTTGCCAAGTGAGTCTATGTTGACGTACAAACTTTACTAACATTCCATCTGGATGAGCCATAGGTACACCACATACCTCTGTCAAGTTTTCTTCTCTCGTTTCATCTTGATCGATTGGTTGGATCGGATTATTTATATTGGGATATGAATGTTGGTTAGGATCTTGATTTGGATTTTGTGTGGGGTTTAGGTTTTGATTTTGATTTTGATTTGAATCTCGATTTTGATACTGAGATTGATTTTGAGGTTGTTGTTGTTGTTGTTGTTGTGTGACATGTGGATTTGGATAGAGTCTTGAAAGAAGAACGGATTGTAAACTCATTGAAGGTGATGAATTTGTTTTAGAACGGAACCAAGGCCATGAAGTATAACTTGGTGTATAAGGAAGTTGACAATCGGCATGAAGATGAATGAGCATTTGTTCTAACATTCCTACGTGACGTGCACCCAATGCGAATCGAGTACCGAAAGCTATCAGAGCGGATCTGGAATCAGCATTGTGTCAAGTTAGCGTAGACTCTGTCCAAAGGAAAGGATGAGGGTAAGATGAGAGGAATGGGGAGAGGGGCGACATTTTAAGAGAGACACGAGCTTTGAGATAAACTTTGTTAGAAGTCAAATAACGAGACAAAGAAGAGTGGGGAAAGGAAAGAATAAAAGAATTGAAGGATGAATAGAGAGGTGAAGGTTTACTCACTTGAAAGCATCAATCTCACCCGCCAACATCGTAGCCACTCCCATATCACCAAATTTCAAAGCTCTTTGATAAAATGGCATCAGAGATCTAGCGGCGATGTACATGAACCTGTATATCAGTTGTGAATCTCGCATGATCGACCTTCCCCCTTTCACCCGACAGGATCACATCTCATGCCGCTTTCGATTGGAAACTAGGCTCCTTGAGAAGTGACGTGAAAATTCCAACCATCTGGTCGTCTGGTCGTAGGGGTTGTCATGGAAAGACGAGGATGACGAAAGACGAAAGATAAAGAACATACACTGAGAATCAGCTATCAGACACAAACTATCAGACAAAAGATCAACTGACAAGTAGTCATAGGAATCAAGAAAAAAGATAATTCCGTACTACTACTCGTGATTAAATAAATAAGACCAAGTGACGACCGAGCTGCGATCAATAATTTTACAGCTGATTCATCTTGCGGATCGTCCATATTAGCGAATAGATCATGTAGATGAATGCTCGCAATGTTACAGACTAGCTGTGCGCTCTGTATCACATTAATAATGCAATCATCTTCTTATGTGGATGAAGGACTTACGAACGAGTCCACGTCTACGCGTTTACCTTCTCTGTGTCTTAGTGGGTCCCGAAGTTGATGAGGAAATGTCGTGCTGTTTGTCAGGCCTATCACCAAATCATTCGACAGAGGGTGAAGACATTAGGATGTTATGGATGTTAGACGATCAGAGGGGGCATGAAGTTGAAGAGAGCACGTACTGAAAATCATTGATAGCTTTTTCGTACCATCTAAACTCTGGGGATTGTCTCTGCATGGCTCTCTCTTCATTCGAAAGTAATTTGACACGACGAATATACGTGCTGACTTTGTTCAAAAGTAACATGCCTTTCATGTGCATGACAAAACTATCCTGTACTGGATGACTGCATGTCAGACAGATATCCCAAATCAAGTATGGAAACTTACTTGCTGAAGATGTCGGTAGAACGATATGTCTGAGTATTTTCCGGAATAGCATACTGTCAATCAATATGGCACAGTATATTTTGTCGGAAAGTGATGCTTACTCCTCGATCGAAATCTTTCGCTGCGGCGGGTAATCTTGTAGTCTACGGGTTGAGTAGTTTCAATGTGGAAGAGTGAGGAGGACTAACCACTTCGTCGAGACAGATTTGAGCAGGCCAACCTGAAGAGCATGAAGCCAAAGTATCATGAGCGAAAGCAATCGCCATGAGAACTCTACGTTCTTCTCGATCCCAATCTTCCGTTGGAGGAGGAAGTACAGCGGTGATTATTCTTGATTCCTGAAAGTCGTCGATATGATCATGTTGAAGACCTAATGGGACGGTCGCACGACCAACTACACTAAACAATGTCCATCCGTCCACCCATTTAGCATTCTGTTGACAGTATAGACTTAATAGTGTCTGTTCATAAGTATCTCTCTTCGCTTTTATCAATCAACACCATTAACCTGCAGGAGGATTGAACCGAATCAACATACCTGAGCTTGAACAATCTCCATGACTTTTCTTCCAGATTGCTTATGCGCATCTTTGGCCATAGCCGCAAATGCAAATTTTGAATGTCTTTCACCGAAACATGGATCCCTAGCAATTTCCTGCACCGTCTCATGAGATGATGGTCCCCTTGCCAACGCCGACATGCCTTCGTTATTGACCCTCTCGATCATCTCCGCTACTGAGCAAACTTTAACAGCGGCAGTATATCTTGCAGCTACAGCGCAGATGGCGTGTAAAAGAGCTGGGTGAGGGAAGTCAGGGTGGGTAGGCGGAAGAGTCAGTCGGGCTTGAAATCGTTGTCTATGAAGTAATCGAGGAGTAGAGGGAACGACAGAAAAGAATGTGTTGACCCTGTATGATCAGATATTTTCGCTCCTTGTATAGCAACAAAGAGACACGCCATGAAAGAATAAACGAAATGTAAACTCACATATGATCCACCATGGTCGGTGTTGGCAATTGTGGAGGCCAACCTGGCCAAAGTATATCAAGATAAGGTCCACCCAGTCTACCCGCATCTGCGTCCGCATCGACAGGCGCTCTTGTAGTCGTATCAAACTGTTCTTCTTCCTCCTCCCCATCGTCAATCGAGGTAACATGGACGGAAGACTTTGTATGTGGGGTTGATACAAGACCGACTGTCGCCTTCTGCTTCACTGGCCCATTCCCAAAATCTCCTTTTGACGCATAATCTTGTTTCACATCTGGTGTATATTGTAACGGAAGAGAGAAAGATGACCAAGGATGAACGTTCAATCCTGGATCACCAGGTAAAGGAGCGTATACAGCTTCAGTCATGTCCAGTCGACCCGTGGGGATATCTTGGTTTTCATTGGGAGAAGTGAGGGAAGCTAACCTATTTTGTAGTTGGGCTATATCATCAGTCCCCTCACGTTAAATGATTGGAGATGAAAAAGAAGAGCAAGTCCCACGAGTTTGTTGAATGAAAGAACAACTCACCAACTCTAGCTTCCAATCGTCTCACAGCTTCTCTAGGATCTTCCCCTTCCCCCTCCCCTTCCCTCTGCTTCCCATTAGGTCCGAAATCTTCTTCATCCCCTTCATCATAATAACATTGAACACCAGCTTCATCCCTCTCTTTATCCGGTTGTGTCCTTGAGAGAAACCGAAAGTTCCTCAGGCAACTTGAACAATGAGGTTTGGCAGCATCACATTTGATCCTACGTCTTCTACATGGTATGCAAGCTGCATTCCTCTTCAATTGAGGTAGCGTCCGATTGAGCTTTCGTTGTCTATGAGAAGAGGATGAATAGTCTCTAGAAGTAGAGGCATCGCCTGATTGCTGTAGTCGATCAGGCGGCATGAGGTGAACATGAACCGAAAGGGATTGAGTATGGGTGGTTTTTGACCTTGAAGCTGAATGGGTTTTTGGTTGGAAGGCACCGATCGAGGTTGGGTGGAGTGAATTCGAAGGCTATTCCAGCTGAAGTACTACTTGCTCTAAATCGCTTACTGCTGACTTTTATGACATAATCAGCATGAACAGAGCTGATGACAAAACGCATCCCTTCATCATTCTCATCGTCGTCGTCGCTGTCGATTTGAGGGTTCAAGTTGGATGCTTCCGTTCTCTCTCTTCTGCAAGCCCGATGCCCGACGGCCGACGGCCTCAACGATCGACGGCTCAAATTTGATGCCGTCTCACTGAAATACTTCGACCCTTGCTACCCTGCAGCCCATACTGGCTACTCTACACAACCCACCCTTCCCACTGCAGCACGCATATACCACTTGCGGTCCTATCCCCCTTCATAGCCTTGAGAACGCTGGGAATATTGATGACAAATGACACGAGGAAGCTTTCTTTTTAACCGCTTTCGGCCATGTCAAATCCACTTTCATGCCGGACCCGTAAGTACGCGATCATATCGTTAAATTTCGCCCAACATGGTACACCCTTTCAATGTCATTCCTCACGCTCTACACCCTCATGTCGATATGTCGATCAAATTTCACAAGTCACGAGGTTTGTCTTACGCTGAGTACGGAAAGTCTCTCCTCTTCATATCGACTAATTGCGCAAATAATGATCATCTTTCGAAAAACGTCACGGATCGCTCATTCAAATGATCAACAAAGTACTGACCGTCTTGACTCTAGTCTGTTTGTGAGGCGCATAATGAATGAAAGATCCTCATGAACACTATATGGCTGTGAACCGAGCAGTTATATATATAAACCGCAGAAGCATGTTGAACTTCCCATCAAAACCGATTGTCCCTTGTCTTCCTCCCGCCCTGGGGATCTCCCACATTCTTTATCAAGACCCGAACTACGACATCACTCCCGCCACCTGTCCACCTACCTCTTCAGTCACAAGTGACGAATTCGCTCCGCTGTTTTTACTCAATCTCTTCCCGTTTTGTTTTTCGATTTCGACTTGGTGGTTCACTCCTATCATACACCAGTGAGTACAATCGATAATTGGTCAAAGTTTCAAGACTGACCCGAAGATCTTCTCAATATGCCCCACGTCGACATGTCGTTACGATTGGACACCTCTCTCTTGACCAGCTTTACCCTCGCTCGTAAAGACTCACATCAGAGTGATCTGACTGACACTTCATTCACCTCTTTCTCCACTTCATCCGACTCCCTAAGCAGCTATTCCACCTCTCCATCTTCCTGCGATGTCAGCTGCGTCTCCACTCCAATCGACGAGGATTTCAAATGTCTCTCTTTACCGACATCCAACCAGGACGCACTCATCCCCCTTTTCTGCACTCCATGTGGCGTGGACCTCCCCAGAGAATCACCGGAAACACCGCATGTAGAATGTCTCGAACCTAAAATGCTTCCTATCACAAAGGGTATCAACGAATGGATCAAAGCCCGCACCGCCGACTGGGATCGTCCGTTGAAGGTCGTAGGACTTCTGGCTACTACCGACGAAGGATGTGCCATCTACTCGAACCAGACCAGAAAAGCATGCGAGAAAGTGAATGTGGGATTCGAGATACGTACTCTGGAGCATGACTTTGAGATTGTCAAAAGTGCTATCGAGCAAGTCAACCATGACTATGAGGTGGATGGTCTGATCATTTACTTCCCTCTATTCGGTCCTGATAAGGTAAGTCGAGTCCTCGCTCATCACATGACGACAGAGGTTGATGTGAAGGATAACGAACTTCGAGCACTCATCTCCCCCCGGATCGACATCGAAGCCATCTCGCCTTCCTCGCTTGCCAAAGTTTACACCTCCACCCCTGGCACTCTCGCTGAGATGGGAATCGGTTTTCCCTCTCACTCTGTCTTCCCTTGTACCCCATTGGCGGTGGTCAGAGTCCTGCAAAGTCTCAAAACGATGTACGACCACCTTCGCCCTTCCGGACAACGTCTTTCTGGTAAAGTCATCAGCGTCATCAACCGATCGGAAACGGTAGGACGACCGCTCGCCGCCATGCTGGCTAACGAAGGCGCTTTAATATTTTCTATCGACATTGATTCGATCCATATTTATCACCGCCACTCAGCCGCCGACCACTACTGCGTCACCCCTTTACCGAAAACAGTAGAAACGAATGATTGTCTCAGATTGTCAGACGTGGTCGTCTCTGCCGTTCCGTCCGCAAAGTACAAGGTGGACACTGCGGTGTTGAAAACGGGATGCGTCTGTGTGAACATCGCCACGGACAATAACTTTGCAGAGGACGTCAAGGATAGAGCTGGAGTTTGGGTACAGAGGGTTGGAAGTGTTACGATCGCGAATTTGATCAGCAACGCTGTAATCCTTCGTCTGGCAAGTGAGTGTGCATGAAATCTGTTGTTGGACTGTGATATAGAGTAAAAGAGGTTGTCGATGAACACTTGTATGAACGTAGATGTAAGGATGATATGAAAATCTGTAGAGGCATACAATCACAAGTAGAGAGTAGAGTATGACGCAGCATGCCGAATGCGCAGTGGTGGCACAGAGAGCGGCAAAAGTGCCACAGTGATCGCTCCGGACCGATCGGATTGAAATCCCGGCCGATGGGGCCGGCCGGCCGAGATTCGGTGCCTGACTCTGGTCGCTGAATAAAACCCCCTCAAGTCATTACTTTTCGTCTTGACAACAACCTCTACCACTAAGTTGAGTAGTACTGAAAGTACTCTACCATCACCTTATTGTCTTCGCCTTCCTCTTCCTTGATTAGGCCTTCTGAACATTATAGTGGATTATATATATCTGCAGTCCGATACAAAGGATCCTTAATATCATCGCTTGTCAGCTATACTCTACTCGAACATATATTCATCGGGCTCTTCATTTCCACCCACCACTCTGACCAAATCTCACACAGCCTCGACGATGCTACCACAACGTTCTCCATCGCCAATCCCTACTCACCGTATTTCCCTTCCTCCTGGTCATTTTCTTTCCCTCCCTCCATCTTACGCCGATCAGACTCCTTCATACCCATCTGGCATTCCATCCACATCCGCTCATACTTCTCAAGGTCTCGCACCTAACGTCGCATCTCTCGCTTCGGCCGATTTCGAAGTTGACGTTCGTACGGGTTTCTTACCAGCCGAGAGGAATGTGGATCGCTTGCCCGTCGAATGGGATTTGTGGGAGGAAGCTTTGAGGGCTGCTAGGGGTGAAGGTGTTGGTGATGGGTTGCGATTGGGAGGTGGTAGAGAGAGGGAAGCGCTGTGGCGAAAGGGTATTGAAAGTGTGAGTTTGCATTATCTCTCATCCATACCCGCTCCCCTTCTCTTCCTGCTCAACATCTCGATTAAACTTTACAATTTCGATCCTTGTTCTGAGATGTGATCTCTTGCGGAGGCGATGGTGACTATGACGATGATCGTCGACACTGATCAGACGTTGATCGATAGATGCCGATATTGTCCACTACCAACCTTCGAATTTCTCTTCCACTTCTTCGCCGAGCACATGTCGTACTCGCTTTCCTACTCCACTTCTACGTTCACACATTTCCTTCTCCCACTCCACGACAGACTCCCCTACCCATTCCGGCGTCCATCTCAAACCCTCTTCTCACAGTTTCCTCACTCGTTGGTCTTCCACCCATTCTCACTTATGCAGATACGGTGCTCTACAACTTCCACTCCCTCGACCCTTCTCTGCCCCCTGCGCTGCCCTCAAACCCACCCAAGACAGCCTTGGCGTCTTTCACCAACACCCGATCCGAAGAACAATTTTACATCATCTCTGCGCTATGTGAGATTGCCGGGGCGGAAGCTCTAAGACTTATGCGACAATCTCTCGACGAGCTCTTCTTGGCCGATGAACTGGCGTTGAGAAGGTTGACAGTCTACCTGCGTAAATTAGCTCGTCAGATCGATCGAATAGCCGATGTGACATCGAGTATGATCGGCGAGATCGTTCCAGAGGAATTTTATCATCTCATCAGACCTTGGTTCAGGGGTGGGGATGCCGATGGACCAGATAGCCAAGGATGGCTGTTCGGTTCGAGTGATCAAGACCTTATAACCTGGGAAGCGGAAAATAAGGCGGGAAGAGGCAAGAAAGGAAAATTGTTCTCGGGTCCGAGTGCTGGACAAAGTAGTCTGATACACGCTATCGATATTTTCCTCACTGTTGATCATCGACAACGATCATCTCCTCGAGGTCCTCAACCTGACGTCCAACATACAGATGAAATTTCGACCTCAAGCACGGAAACAAACGGCGATTCCCCTGCTGCGATGAGAATCACTCTAGATCATACACCAATATCGGACGCGAAATCTCAACCTACAGAAGCAACCTTTGTCGAACGTATGCTTCAGTATATGCCATTACAACACCGCACATTCCTTCTTCATCTCTCTACCAACCCCACACCACTTCGATCTGTCGTTGTTGCACATGCAGAGTCGCACCCTCAACTGGCAGATGCGTACGATACGGCTTTGGAAGCTCTTAAAGGATTCAGAGAGAGACATATGAGAGTGGTTTCGGTGTTTATCGTACAACAAGCCAGGAGGACTCCTAGTGAACGTGTGAGGCGATTGTTGGGACAGATGGACTCAATCTCGGAATATGACCCAAGTAGCGTCATCGACAACAAGCTGAACGTAAGTCAGGAATTGGTAAGGGGGGAGATCAAAGAAGACGGGGAATTGAGAGGGACGGGCGGAACGGCTTTGTTTAAATTTTTGAAAATGTGTAGAGACGATACAACCCGAGCTATGGTGTCACGCTCAGCTGGGAAATTATACGATTTAGAGAAGGGGGAGTGAGTAGAGAGTACGCCACGGATTATCAAATGGATCTTAAGATGGTACATATTGCATAGATAGGTAGAAAGTGATATGAAATATAATTTCTCGTCATCATCTTTCACATCAACACTGACACTATCATTTAATATGAAACAAGCAATTTTCCACCATATTCGATACACACTTCACAATTCAACGTACAGATATGTAACTCAATCATATACAATATTTCGTATGTGATGATCTATGAAGAAGAGATTGAATGATAGATATCATAAATCACCCCTAATTGTGCTGGTTGTTGTACTAACATACCTCTCCATTCTCTCATTGAATCCACAGTGAACGCCACGACATCTTCTCGTATGTCCGAAGGTAATGGACCCAGGGGAGAAAAGACGGGTTTTGAGGGAGCTGAAGAGGAAGGAGGAGAAAATAAAGAAGAGAGGACGATAAAAGTACCTGTTCTACCTACTCCTGCGGAACTGCATCCTCAGCTTTTTTTTCACGCATATCAAGTGACTTTGCAACTTCAACTTTTCACTCATCATAAATGACTTTCATCCCCATGACCAATTTACCATTCTATCTGTTTCCCTTCTATATCATATGAGATAAAATGATGGGATGAGAGAAACGATTATACGGACGATTGGGTATCACGAAACTAACGAATGAAATTTCCACTGAAGAAAAAAGTGATATGAGCGTATATGAACTTAGTCAAAGGGGTAATGAACAATTGTAGGAATAGAAATGTGATTTATACTTGTGGAGAAAAAGGAATTAAAAACATACCAATGTACCCATACTTCACATTTATCTCCACCTAATTGTAATCTTTTCTCTCTGACAGTTTGGATCAACTTGACCAGAGATTTCACCCCTTGACCAGAAGGTATCCCATGATCTGGCCAACCATGAAAATGATAGTGCCATATTAAAATTTCTTCGACCTTCTTCCCGGTTGTCGATGTTGTAGTGGGTGATCTGATTTCTTCTCCCATTCCAAACGTGGATGATGATGTTGATATTCCAGTTTGTTCACCTTCTTTGTCATTTGACGTGAGAGTGGACAGTCCATTCTTCGCACCCAATTTATCTGTTGATGTGGATATCGATCGTCCGTTTGTCTCGCCCACTTTATCGTTGGATATTGATGATGATGAAATAGGGGAAATGGGTCGGAGAGAAAGTAAAGATATGTCCGTTGATAATTCTTTCGAAGATTCTACGGATTCTCTACGAAGGGCTAGACGAGGGAGATGAGACGATTTAGGGGGTTTAAAGATAATTGGAGATGTACTCGTTTCCCTAACATCAATTATTGTCTTCAAAGACTGGGGCTTGGATATTCTAGTCAAGTGTGAGTGAGTGTTGACCGGTGGAATAGTCGAGATGATGAGAAACTTACGGAAGATAAGGATCAGCTTTTGGTCGACCATTTTCCTCCCATCCCGTCAATTGGACAATGATGGCTGATTTATGTTTCCCCTTCTTCTCCACCTGTATATGTGGGATTGCTTGGAGTAAAGAAGGTTGTTTTGAAGCTGATTGGGAATAGATAGCGTAGAAAAATGAATGTTGCGATTCTGGTGGAGGAGCCTAAACATCAGTATTTTGTTCGTTCCCCTCCGCTCTCAATATGCTCATGGAATCACCATCATTCCTACCCAAGATCAACTATCGTCCTTGTTTGACAACCACTATTACCATACCAATCTCCTTTAGTAATGTTAACCACGAAACATGTACATGTCGAATGAGATGATGAACGAAATTACTCACCTGAGCTGCAACCCACCAACCTCCCTTGGAATCACAAACCACATTGGCATTTAAATACCCATCATCATGCACCACTACTGCCGTCCTGTCATAAGCCAAGATATTAGAATATCGATTATGTTTCTTATTACGAAGAGAATTCATAACCGAATAGAAGATTTGTTCTGGGGCTCGATGAGACCTAGGAGCCGAGATGGTCATTCGAGCTTGTTCACGTTCTTGTAGGATTTTCCATACTTTACGGATATGTTCAGGTGTGGGTGTGGTCATATTTGATTATGTGATCCAGTAAGGTCTGATGTTTCTATGATCCGTAGCTAGAAGTCGAGAAGAATTCAGACGAGTGGTTTTGTGTGACATGCAACTTGGAGATATGTATGCCTGAGGTTGAAGGAGAAGGGAGGGAGGACGTTCTTTTCATCAACGCTCCGTTTGTCTCATAGCCTAAGTTACTAATCGGGTATGTGCGACTCTGTGTGAGCTGGTGCTACTTGAGAATGAAGAGATGAGTGAGGCAAGATGCAAGATGCAATATGCAACACAAATGCATGTGATGGAAACGATATTAAGTACAGTAGAGGTAAAGGATAGGTGAAAGAAGGGACCAATCGGACGCAGTTGATATGAGAAAATCCGAACTTTCCGAAGATCAAGAGGCGTAAAGAGGACGTTGTGACTTTTCTTTCCTTACTTTCATTGTCACTGTCACTTTGTCCCCATTATATGACCTCGTTCTCGCCGCTCTTGCGGCATTCTCTATCTCGTCTGAAACCCATAATACCTCCTCGACTCACTCTACGTTCACTTACCACTTTTTCCGCCCGACCTCCAACCCCCTCAAACCCCTTGGTGAGGTTCTTCGATCGTTCACATCCCGTTCAAAAAATAGGAACAGAGTTTTTCTATCCTTCTTCACAATGTCGATTTTATCGGTATCATTCACGTTCACTTCATACCTCTGTTACTTCTCATAATCTTTCTCCCTCACTCCATTCAGCTTCGCTTGCTTCTTTAACATCATCGACAATATCATCCACTTCCCCATCACTTTCATCGACACATCTCCCACAACCTGACTTCTCTCATACCGATCGGACGATCCCCTCCTCCCTCCCCACATGGTTACTAGGATGTTCCGCTCTAGTCTTCGGTATAGTGGTCATCGGTGGTCTCACTCGTCTTACCGAGTCAGGTTTAAGTATAACCGAATGGCAACCTATCACAGGTATACTCCCTCCTATAGGTGAAGATCAATGGGAAGCGGAATGGGAAAAATATAGAGTATCACCAGAGGGAATATTGTATAATTCTCAGATTGATATGGGAGAATTTAAAAAGATATTTTATATGGAATGGGGGCATAGACTGGCTGGTCGTGTACTCGGTATTGCGTGAGTTTTGTCTCTCACACGATCGGCCTTGGGCAGTTCGTACCCCTCGACCCTCCCGGAACTCAAGGAAAATCATTGCCACAGCTGACATCTAGTTTCATCGTACCTACCCTATACTATCTCTCTCGCTATCGTCTCCCCCGTTCTCTTCAGACAAAACTCCTCGCTATCGGTCTCGGTATAGGTTTTCAAGGAGCACTAGGATGGTACATGGTTCAATCCGGTCTCAAACCCGAAATCATCGAGGATAAAGCTCCAGCTCGTGTATCACAATATCGTCTAGCTGCTCATTTCGGTGCTGCCCTAGCTCTCTATATCGGCATGCTACAAACTGCTTTAGGATTACGACAAGATGTGAAACTTCAACGTCAACTCGACAATATCCCTAAAATCATGTCGATGTTGAAAATACCTCAAGTGAAAAGATATAAAATGCTCGTTCATTCTTCTCTCGGACTAGTCCTCTTGACTGCCATAAGTGGAGCTTTCGTCGCTGGTTTAGATGCGGGTTTGGTATACAACGAATTTCCGATGATGGGTGAAGGGTTAGCACCTCCCTTGGATGAATTGTTAGATAAAAGATACTCGAGAAGAGAAGATGGTGGGGATAGATGGTGGAGGAACATGTTGGAGAATCCCGTAACCGCTCAATTCGATCATAGAGTTTTGGTAAGTCAATCAGATCTCCTGTTGTACAACTCAGCTGACGATTAGGCAACGACAACATTTGGTCTCTTACTATCTCTTCCTCTGATGGCCCGACGGGGTACATTATCGACCATACTGTCAAAATCAACAAGACGAATGGCCATGTTGACCGCTGCGGCAGCCATCACCCAGGTCACGTTAGGAATCACCACACTCTTATACCTCGTCCCTGTTCCTCTGGCGGCGTCTCATCAAGCAGGTAGTGTGGTGCTGGTAACGTGTCTGGTGGGATTGGCTAGCACCTTGCGAAGACCGAGTAGAGCTTTGAGAGCTCTGATGACTGTCAGAATCGTCAAACCAAACTAGCATTGATTACACGAAGAAACTTTAGCATCACTCCTCATGCATTCCATAGAAGGCGATCTCGCTATCACATCTGCGCCAATGGCAAGCTTCGATTGTATGCCGAACGTCTCAAACAGTCAACGATACAACATCCTGTCTGACCTTGGCAATACTAGTCCCACCACCCCTCTAAAAATCTCGCCATTCCTTTCAAAGCCCGTGAGAGACTACTATCGGCGAATATATGAACTTCATTCACACTAAATTCGGTTGGGCCGTGTTGCGGATGCTGTGACTGTCCCAGAAGTCCCTGTAGGCTCTTGGCCGATGCGGCATCCAATACGGACAGAGTCTCGATGTCTGTAGCAGTCCCCGTGATCTCTGTACTTGAAGTGGCTGGCTCTGTCAGAACATGCTTCTCGATCGTTCCCGTCCGTAGGGGCTCCTGGTCGTTTACAACAGAATTCGACTCTGACCGGGGCCGAGTGATGAACTTTATATCGGGGGAATGGGTGACCTGCTCTTGATTCACATCAACATCCCATGTGACAATATGTAGCTTGATAATGTCTCCAGTATCCTCCCGTCGAATATCGACTGTGCCGTGGAAATCTTTAGAGGCATCTGTGATGTCGGCTTCATGGTCTGGTAAGTCGATCCTCCTTCTGTCAGAAGTTTCTACTGCATCACGGTCAGCCTCAGAGGGACTGGACAAGGGGCGGTGGAGAATAACGGTAAACCTCAAGGTCTTGGGGTCATCAGCTTGGAATCCTCATCGGTAAGGCTGACAGAGCAAGTCTGATCATAAAAAACTCACCGCAGTCTGTTCGATTGTAGAGATCGTCCTGCGGACAATCCGGATAGTTGCTGTCGGCGACGGGGTAACGGAAGTAGGGGAGACCTGTGACACGGATTCGTGATTAGTTTAGAGACTCGAGTCAAAATGTGTCAATGTGAATTGTTGAGTCGCGGATGAGTGAAGTACTTCTCTTATAGAGTATGAAGAGTGATGAGAAAGTGTGAGCCTCTAGCACAGCCTCGAAGTCGATACAACGGTACGACGTGAAATGTGCTTCGAGGGAGTTGGTTGAATGAAAGGGTCTCTTCCCTTCTATATCCCTCACCTTCATAATGGATGTTGAGAATCTTCGGTTATTGTCCTTGAGGATATTCACCGCCCCTTCTCTAACCCCAAAGGCCAGAGGCCGTTTTTCGGATGTTGAAAGCCAAAACGAAAGTCAACGAGGTCATCGACGTTGAGGACGTCGATGGGGCGATGGCACCAGAAGGGAGGAAATACCACGTCAGGACAACTTTCATCAGGCGACATTGATGGTCAATAGTTGCTTGGAAACGACGACTTGAATTTGACATCACACCTTTGGCCTTTGGAGTTCCGGAGGCGGGAGGTTGTCGGATTAGTCGGGGTCGTCAAGGAATTTCTCGTATCCCACAATCCAGAATCGCCTCATGCGACCATGGACTGCATGCTGCAGGATCCTCAGCCTCTTGGGCCTGATATCTATGCAAGTCTGATGGATATCAAGTCTGTCAAAACGGACCGGCTCTGAGCTTCATCAGACCATCAGCAGCACCTCTCATGCATTCCATACTATGTGATCTCGCTATCACATCTGCGCCAAAGTAGTCACCCCATAACGCGCGGTCCTCCGTTGTTATCAGACAAATCCGGTGAAAAGGATCGAGGGTACAGTACTCTACGAGTACTGTGTTAGGATGTGTCGGGTCCCTGAGTATAGTCAGCAGATACGTGCTCAAAAATAGCGGGATCGGGGGACCACGAAGCTCGTCCGAGCATCGGGACAGTACAAGTAGCATATCCGAATCTCCTGAGAAGCCATTCGAGGTTATTCCACGCCTTTTGCGAGACGCTGTTCGCTTCCTGGCAGACAGGGCCATCTGAAGGTACATTAAGCTGTTCCACCGAAATGTCAATGATGTAGTGCGGGGGGTGCTGTGACTTCCCCAGGAGAGTCTCGAGACTCCGAACGGAATTGGGGTCCAAGATATATTCGGAGTGGTTTGAGGCAAATCCATGTGTGTTTAACATAGTGGGCTTCTGAGTGATTCCCCTCCAGAACTCCGCATCATTTGTCAAAGCCGTTGTGTTTTCCATTTTGGCCTTGAAACTCAACAAATCATCAGGGGCCTCCCACGCTCTTGTCGCTTGAGCATCTGTAACTGTTGACGCGATGATACGAAGTGCCGTGATCTCTCCATTCTGCTGTCGGATCTTGATTGTGCCGAGACTCTTCGCTCCACCAATCTGGAAGCCAACCGTATCGACGGCCGTAGCATCCTGTAAGTCGATTTTGCTCGACTCATAAGGCTTCACTGCATCATTATCGGACGAGTCGTTGGAATGCGGCTCCAAGTGATCAAGAACAACGGTGAAGGTTACTTCCTTGAACACATCAGCTTGGTAAGCTCTCTGACATAGTAGTGACAAGATGGAAAGTAGATCAAATCATCAGACACTCACCACAGTCGTCACATTCCACACGTGTTCCGATTTATTTTCATGACCTACAGAGCCATTCCGTTCGTCATTGCTTAAAAGGTGGAACGTCCTGCGAACGACTTTGATAGTTGCTGTGGGCGATAATGGAGCAGTAGTAGGGAGGACCAATGACATGAAAGCTTTGAGTTAGCCTGGAAGCAAGAAGTAAGATGAGTCAATGTGGATTTTCAGTGGCAAATGAGTACAGCAGTCCCCTTACATAAACAATCAAGGGTGATGGGAAGATGTGATTCTCTAGCACAGCCTCAAATTCGGCCCAATGGAACGACGGTCAACGGGCTATCGAAATCCTCTCGATGGGAAAAGTTGTTCATGAAAGGGACGTCTCCATTGAGGCTATATATCACTTTCTCACTAGAGATTCACAATCGTCGCTCCATTGTGTCGTTGGGGGTATCCACGCTGGCGCTGCATCTCCTGTCCCCGAGGCCGAGAAAGCGCTTGTCGGATTGTCAAAAGACGAGGTAAAGTAGAACGTGGTGTAGGTTGCGAGCCAAGAAGTGTGGCATGAGCCGGTGCCACCCTTCGGAGATTCTCGGCGATTTCGATCAGGTGGTGGGATTCTTTGTCTGAAATCTGCTCATAGCTTGTTACTAGGTGCTCATACAGCCATACAGCTAGCTACAGCTGCGACAAGCTTCTCCAGAGCAGTCATGACAAACGAGATGGAGTCAGAGGCGTCAACTTCCAACGCCGCCATGGCGGAATACGACCTCACTCAAGTGAGTTTTTCGTTCTGTCCACCCCTCTCCGATCAAGTCGCACAGACGGAGGGTTGGCCAAGAAAGATATCGGCTGACATATAGAAACTCATCCCACATCTGGATAGACATCTCGCCATTCCTCTTCTCAATCATCTGGTAGACGCTGGTATCTTCCCACAGGAGAAGTTGGCAAAGGCGCAGTATGACCTGGTGAAGGGTACCAACATGGTGGATTATGTTTCTCAACTGTATGATTTGGTCAAGGATCAGTCTCCCGCCCCTGAGGCTCGTGGTGAGTCGTGATGCCCTGTCTCTTCACTCTGCTCAACATACATCACTCACACGCTCCTCTTCTTCTTTTTCTTTCATGGAGGACAACGTCAGGACTCGGCGTTGGGTGCAACGGAAGTGAGGCGTATGTGTGCCCTTCGATTCCCGTGGGCGATAGAAGCAAAGGGTTTTGATGTAGTGAAGGTGTGGATCAGCTAACCTGGCCCAGACTTCGAAGCTCTTCGTAGTCAAGCGACACAACGATATCAAGACCTTCAGGAAAGAGTACAACCTGTGATGAAAGTGATTGAAGATCCTGACGCCGTCGCCAAATTACGTTCCGGTCTTGATAAAGAGAAAAACCTCGAATTACTAAGTAACGATTATGACATCTCCCTTGATCAAATCAATCAACTGTATCATTTCGGTCAATATCAATATTCTGTTGGACAATATTCCGACGCTGCCAGTTTCTTATATCACTTTCTCATCTTTTCCCCGAATCACGAACTCAACATTTCCGCTCATTGGGGTAAACTCGCTTGCAACATCCTAGGAGGAGAATTTGAAGCTGCCGCTAGTGAAGTGAAAGATTTACGTGATATCATCGATAATCCTCATGGAACTAAATTGGCGAAACCATTGAATCAACTTCAAGCTAGGACATGGTTACTTCATTGGAGTTTGTTCGTATTTTTCAACCTCGAAGGTGATGGAACGGGTTGTCAAGCTCTCCTCGATATGTTTTTAGCTCCTGCTTATTTGAACACTATACAAACTTCTTGTCCTCATCTTTTGAGGTATTTAGTGGCGGCCGCTATAATCTCTCGAAGAGCTCCAAAACCCGTTGGGGTGAAAGGGAATAGAGATCATGTGAGGGAATTGACGAAAATCGTTCAGATGGAGGAATATCAATATACCGATCCAGTCACTAGATTCCTCAAAGATTTATTCACGGATTTCGACTTCGCCAAAGCTCAGGATAGGTTGACAATAGCGGAGAATGTTGTGAGGGCGGATTTCTTCTTGAGTGGATTTGCGGATGATTTCGTTGAGAATGCTAGATGGTTGGTCAGTGAAGTGTTTTGCAGGGTACATCAGAGAATTGATATTGGTGATTTGAGTAGGACGTTGAATATGTCAAATGAGGAAGGTGAAAGATGGATCGTGAATCTCATCAGGGATTCGAGAATCGGCGTTGAGGCGAAGATTGATTTGAAATCGGTCAGTCAAACTCCTTACTCAACGTTGATTCTTCACCTATTCATCTCTCATTATTCTGAGTGAACGTGAAAGAGCTGACCGGAAGAACATGCTCCACATAAGTCGACCATACACCACCCCCACCGCCTATTTGATCGAAACCACCAGGGGATTGACATTCCGGTCTCAAGCTATCAACATGGCCATGGCCAGTCCTGATCAACAACGGTCTGGAGAAAGAGGTGAGAGAGGAAATCGGGGTGGTAGATCTGGACGTGGAGGGACCAGGACAGGGGGTGGAGTAGGGGTCAGACCCGCGGTCACGGCCACGACGGCGGCGACGGAGACGGAAGTTGCGGCGTAGATTATGTCGGAGAAGATATCTCGAGAATGCGTGGTGGGTTCGGTCATCTCAAATTTGACTTAGGTTGCATCTGTCTTTTGATAGACCTAGCACGCACATATGTATACATTGCATCAGGTCTGCATGGGGTCAAAGTCCCGCTTCTCTCATGCGTGATGACGTTTGAGACATGGCTAGTTTGTGATTCGTTGAGGGAACCAGTGGGAGGACAGGGTTATGAATCCAAACATTCGATGCATGATGCGAATAGAAAGCTTAACATGTCTGATCTTGTTTGTGGGTAGACTACAGAAGAGGGAGAGATTTTGATCTTGTATCAAAGTTGGTATCAAACCACATGACATGGTGTATTCACTTTGCCTGCTGTGCCCACTTACGTCGACCAGCTACTAAAGCGGCTTGTTCTATAGTCCAAACGACAGCTTTGATCCAATTGAATAATTCTTTAACTGCTTCTTCCTACTTGATCAGCTCTTCCTCTCTCTCACAAACACTTTCCCTTCCTTTATCTCGCCATCTTTCAACTGCTCACAACCACCATCATCATCTTGAAATTTCTTATCATGAGATCCGGATAGGTATATCTGAGAAAATGAAAAGAAATAAACTTACTAATCTCTCCGGATCTTCTGATAATGGTTTCATCTTTACTTCCAACTTTTCCTCGTTCAAATTATCTTTTCCTTTTTCCAACTCTCTCAAAACAGCCATTTTACCTAATACATCATTGAACAACTTTGTTTGTTCTTGTTCGTTACTCTTAACTTTACTTCTATACCTAGTCTCTTGTTTTCCATTCCATAAATCTAATGAAGTGGAATATGTATAATCATATTTATCACTACCACCGTCAAACCTTGCAGCTTCTGCCATTGCTTCTGAATCTAATAAAATAGCTTGATCTTCGTCCATTTCCTCTTCATCATCATCATCATCTTCTTCCTCTTCTTCGTCGACATATTCTAAAGATGCATGATGAGAACATGGTTCGTGGATTGGATGAATGTGAGCTGAAGAATGAGAATGAGGGTGAGAATGATTTTGGATTTCGTGACAGTTACACATGCAATCACCTGAACATTCTTCGTCGGAATATTCATAGTATTCATCTTCGGAATCGTAATGACTGAAGTCAGTAAACCACTATGCTCCCACTTGTTGTCTGAAAGAATTATCATTACGAGTGACAGAACTTCGTACTGTTCGGGAGAGACTCGAAAGAAGTTACAGCTTATAGAAAATAGTGAGCCGTAGACGTCGGTAGGGCAAGGACAGGCAAGAAGAGGGCGGTGATGAAGAAGACCAGAAAGGAAAGGCGGGTTAGGGAGACATGATAAAATAGCAAGGGACATGTCGAAAGAAAACTTGAGGCGGGACAAAAGGGAAAGAGGTAAGAAGATCAAGTGGAAAGAAAGAGGAACATGTATCATGACTCACTGTTCTTGTCCACAAGTACATAAATAAGATGCTCTAACCGATCCACTACCACTCCCACTTCCACTAGCCTCTCCATTGGTCTTCGTCATACTAGCCACATCCTCTTTATAACCTTTCAACTCCTTCTGCATCTTTACCAATTTAGCTTTTTCCCTATCCAAAGTTAATTTCGCTTCGAATAACGCAGCAAGACTAGAAGGTAAATCTATCGATCCTCCAGCCGCCACAGAATCAGTCATACCAGGTACAGTCTGACCGTTCATGGCAGCTGCTAAACCTGGATGATCTAAAACACTAGGATCGAGACCTGCGGCAGCACTGGCAATAGCTTCAAGTTGAGCTTGTGGTGGAAACATTTCAGAAAGACGATCGACTTTGTTTAACGCTCTGGCAGTTCGATCATGTACAGCTTGGGCGTATTTACCTAGAGATGCTAATGTTGCGTGAGATACGTTGGTGCTTGATCCTGCTTGAGTGGGGGGATGAACATGTGAGTTTGTATGATCATGATTATGATTATGGGTATGTGTATGTGAATGTGAGTGATTATGAGGATGGGAATGAGAATGTGAATGTGAATGAGAATGAGAGTGGGGATTTGGATTTGCATCTGGATTTGGATGATGAGATTCAGATTGAGGGGTGATGCTAGGAGCGAGGTAGGGTAAATTCGTTTGATCGGTCCATGGTTGTAACGGTTGTGTTGTCTGTGAAGATTGAGTCGGACGACGAGGAGGTGGTCTACGATCTTTCCGTAGTTTTTGACGACCCATTTTGTATGACTCTAGATGATGTATAAAGTCGATAAGAGAGATATAGTGGAAGGATATCACAGTAGTTTATAGCGAGTTGTTAGAAACCTCTCCGATCCCACGTCACTTTAAATTTCTTTCGTATCACTCTCACTTTCAACTTTCCTGTGACTTTTTTTCAAAAATTACACTAATGTCATGCATCAATACAAACAAGAATAAGTATCAAACATAACGAGAAGAAGATGACAAGTTCGAAAGAAATTGTATTACCTGTGAAAAGAGAGAAAAGGATAACAGTTCTCATTTCTGGTTCTGGTAAGTTGACTTCTAACCTTCTACCCTTCCTACCTCATCCTATCTTTTTGAACTTTATTTTCTCGTCCTATATTCTTCCTTCCCTTCAAACCACATGACCGTTCATCCCTAATTCTCTCTCTCACCCCACAACGTATGTCATGAAACATTCTTAAAATGACGGTGTATACGGAAAGTGTATAACATTCCCAATAGAGACATTTCTAACGAATAGGAACAAACCTTCAAGCTCTTCTCGATGCTTCCAACTCTTCCATTCTACCAGGTCGTATCACTCACGTCATATCATCCCGATCTAAAGCTTATGGGCTTATTCGAGCATCTTCTCAAAATCCCCCAATCCCAACTACCATCATTGCCCTCAAAACGTTTTTATCCCGAAACCCCGGTTCTACGAGAGAAGATTATGACGTCGAAGTCGCTCGTTTGGTTCTTACCAACAAACCCGATCTGGTCGTTTTGGCAGGTTGGATGCATATACTCTCCGACTCGTTTCTTGACATTTTGAATGGTGTACGAGAAGCTCCTTCTGCTCCGACATCATCATCACCTAAACCGGAAAGTTCAAATACACAAACTGAACCTATACCTTCTGTCTTTGATGGGGAAACGGATACGACTTTTTCTTTCAATCAAGAGACTGAAATAGGAACATTACCCTTATCTTCTCTAGGAGAAGATATCATCGATTCTCTTTCTAGAAGAGCGACTATCGCAATGGCGTCAAAGAGGGAGAAAGAGGAGATTGAGAATTATCAAGGAGAAATTTATTTTCCAATACCTATCATCAACCTTCATCCTGCTTTACCTGGTGCTTTCGATGGAGCTAATGCTATCGGAAGAGCATACGAAGCTTTTCAAAAAGGGGAAATAAATAAAACGGGTGTGATGGTACATAGAGTGGTCAGGGAAGTTGATAGGGGAGAACCTTTAGTAGTTAGGGAAATAGAAATGAGAGTGGGGGAAAGTCAAGAAGAATTAGAAAAGAGGATACATGAGGTTGAACATGAGATTATCGTGGAAGGTGCGAAGAAGGTATTGGAGGGGTTAACTTAAAACCCATCAGTACGAGTGGGAGTAGTAGACTATACGAGTGCTGTGCTATGCTTCTGGGTAACTTACTTGATCTGGAATGATCAGCGGAAATGAATTACATACTACTCTTCATGCATAGTTCGGAGGCAACTTCTTTTCATCTTTCAAAAGATATTCCACTCGTAGATTTAGTCTCTCGTTGCCTTATTCGGTCACTCGGCCTTGAGGTCAGCACGACTACGGATATCCTTTCCTGGAAAGGATGAGAAAACGATATAAACCCCTTTCTTTCGACTATCAAGCTCTGACATCTTCATAACTTACATCTCCCTTCTAAAACTACTTGATACTTTTAGGCCTACTACTACTATTTCTAACCCTAAAAGCAGGATCCCACGACCTAAATAAACGTTCAAAATGTCACAAGTACCTTATCCCTACCCAACCTCGAATTCAGAACTCATCAAACTTCTCAATCTGATCCCTCTTTTCGAAGGAGGTTTCTTTTCTCAAACCGTATACCTCGATACGGCACCTTCGACCGATACGAAAACCAAAGAGATTTCCTGGGGTCCAGCGGTGGACATATTGGCTGATACGAAAACCCAAGGGGAATTTCTTCAAGGTGATAGAGTTCCAGCGGCCACACAGATTTTTTATCTTTTGACTTCTGAGCAATATAGAGGTAAGATGCATATGAACGAACATGCCGTGAGTGATTTCTTAAAATCAAGCTTAAGTATTCATTTCAATCCATCCATAAATTGTCATATGTAATCATCAAATAAACTTTTCTTTCTTTCTTTTTCGATCCACGAAGAATGTTTTAATCACATCACATATTTCACGAACTATAAGTAAAGCTTACAAGTTATTTGATTTTTTGATCTTTTGTCATGTTTATGCATGAAAGTCGACGGAACACTGACTGCTAAAGACGTTTCATACACATCATCAAGGTCGTTCACTTTACACACTCATTCAACCTCCTTCTTCAACCGAAGAAAAACCTAAGATTCACAGAGTTATCGTAGGTCCTGATATCCAAGCTGGTGAATTACTTCAATTATACGTTCCTGGACATTGGTGGAAAGCTTCTGAAATACCTGAAGAAGATTTATTATTGTTAGATTCACCTACGGCTGAGAAAGAGGGATTGAAAGATAAGATAGGTTGTTTGATTTCTGAAGTCGTCGTTCCTGGTTGGACCATGGGACAACATCAATTTTTAGATATTGAAAAGGTGAGTTCGAACTGCCAATCATTCACTACATCTTCTCTTGCAAATGAGTAAAATCACAATGAATTTTCATAGGGTTACTCGTCATGTATTCCACTTGCTTCTCTCTTCTTCGCCTCTTCTCTTCTCCACGTACCTTTGCTCTCAATGTTCAGTCCCGATATTGACACACCTCCACCTTTTGTGGTGAATAATCAAAGACGGGTTATGACAGGTGTCGTTGGAATGGGCGAGAACGGAATTTGATCCGAAGAACTTGAAGAACTATCATGCTAATTCCCAGCTCAAAGCATTATGGAACGGTCAACCCGATTGGGAAGAATTCGAAAAATACACTCGTGCACCTGAAGGAGTAGCAATTCCAGATAAAGAATGATCGTTTCAATCTCAAAAAGTGTCGGATTATCTATGTCAAAGGTAAAAGGAAGAAAATGTCAGAAATCTAGCTGTATTCGTGCTTGTTCTTATATAGCAATGTCGCAATGAATGTTCTTCATATTTCCCCTAACATGACAATATCTGACCTTTTTACCACAAAATTTAACGTCCTTTCATCCAAAGTTCCACTTGTTCTTGTGATACACCATCTAAACGATGTAAGAGATAATCCACTTCGACATCTTTAGTCAAAGGGATGACATAATCCCTGTACATACTTACCACCTGTTCCATGTCAATCTTACCTTTACGATCAGAAGATTCTACCACTCTTCCATCCGCGTCCATTTCACCTCCGTACACTCTAGCTTTGTTGGCTAATCGGACGAGGAGTTTCGCTTCGACGGCGGGTTTGGTGATTAAATCCGCAAGGGCTTGGGTGTTAGGTGGAGTGGAGAGGATGTGAGGGATGAAATCGTGTGGCGCGTCAAGGAATTTAGATTCGGATACGAACATTCCTATGGGTGAGTATCTCTACCTCACACGATGTTCACACTCAACACATTGAGGTTCAGGACTGTTACAACCCATCGACTTATCGAAGGCCGAGCCGAAGCTGAGTGGTACGTTTTCCTGCAGGCCATGTGTCAGAGGTCATAAAATGGCAATGAGTTTAGGAAATAGAGCGGGGAAAGCGAGTAAGCAGGGAACAGGGAACAGGGCTGAGGAGAGAGGGGAGAAACACATACCAAAATGTATCCTCCTACTCAAAGCCTGTAGCACCTCAACATCCCTAGTAGCTGCACTCCCATAATTCCCATCATCACCAGGAGCACAAATCCCGGGTGAAATTTTATTCACGTAAAATTCCAAAATACGGGAATTGACATTGACGCTCGGATGAGTAGCCGCTGGTCGGTGTAGTAAAGAAGGGTATGATTGAGGAGCTATTATAGGTTTTGGTAGAAAGTTGAGAGGTGTGAAAGGGTGTTCGTCGGGACTAAGGGATCAGTTTATAGTGGAGATGTTCAGTCATATTCATCCCTCATATCCTACAGTGACAACCGTATCTGGCCTGTATGGAGGATGCGAGCAGACGATCCGTCGACTCTCGACTCCATGAAGTGAGCGAGCGAGACGAAGGTCATTCTTGTCGGCGGAATGGATGAACGGTTGGGGACACAGAAGGAGGAAGTAAAGGGTGGAGAGACGAACCTGGTGTATCTCCTAGCTTTGGCTAAAAGATCAGCGTCAATTCATAGATCGACCATACCACATCGAGAAGTGGGTCCCCACTCTATCTCAGCCCCTCACCAGGGATCACCAGATAAGTTGCAATCAATAATCCAAGATCTGCCGAATAACAATGCCATAAGATAGATCACCTCATCTTTGATCCACCACTCCGGCACCCAGATAGTTCGCAGGTATCATCTCATGTTTGAAGCACCATGTAACCGCAACATATGGCTTAAACCTTTAGGATTGAGCGCTGCTTGGGCTTTAGGGGCGTTAGGGGTTGAAAATGATCATATAGTGAGAAACATAGAGTGTGCGAAAAACAACCTTGAATGACTCACCGTGAAAACTCTCAATCTCAAATAAAAACCATTGCAACCAACTACCGTCAAATTCTAATTCAGGTCGGAATGCACCCGGTTTATAGATTTTTTCATTATGAGCGAATTGAGCTCTTTCAATGAGGACTTGAATGGAATTAGTTTCGAGACCTCCTTCAAGCGTTACAAGTCAAGAAGAAAAGTTTTGATGCGGGATGATGAAGAAGAGGACGATGTGGTTGGAGTTCACGAAATTTTGTTCATTGTCTTCAAAAGATGGAAGACAGGAAGGTAGAAGAGTCACAGAAGTTGAAGAAAGAGGAAGATGGAGAAGGAGAATGAGGAGGAGTAAAGAAAAGAAAAGAGAAAACTAACGGAATATGATAGTATCTTCAAGTCTTATAAGTTGATTTCGAATATGATCCAATGATAATAATTCAGAAACAGGTGCACCTGTTGTAAAGTTCATTTTCTTCGTTATTTTACTCTTTTATCGGTTTTAACAAGCTTTTTCACTTTTGTTATAGTACTATATGACTATGTATATTGAAGTTCGAACTAGAGATGAGCAAGGTCAGATGTGAAAGAGAGACTTGTGCAACTGCCAGAGTTGCAGAGTTCCAACTCAGGGTCAGGCTCCTTTCCGTTTTAGCCGCGCCAACCACACACCTCCTAACTTTACTAGTGACCGCTTTCATCGCCGAGACCACTGGGTACTGGCCAGAGGGTTATCGTGCAGTAACATTACCCAGGGCTAGGGTACGAGACATGAGATCTACTTTGCAAATGACCAATCTCAACATGCATATATAATAAGTCTGACCGAGTTACCCAAATATCCCTCATGTACCTTTTAGTAGTACAATTCCTTATCCTTGTCTTCGATAGCAATCCGAAACCCTCTCCGCGCTCTCACCCATCTTTAACACTGACCTGATTCTTCAACTGATAGTCAATGGAACAAGAAAACTGATTCATTTCCGGTCCACTGGTGGACCCATGATGTTCGCTACCATATCTTTATTCCATTTACCCGGATTATTCTGAACCCCTTTTTCCTTTTCTTTCTCCTTGTCCTTCTTGCCCCCTGTAGACTTTTCATTCTCTTTATCCTTGTCCTTATCTTTATCTCTGGATCTCAGCATACTCTTACTCGCCATCGACATGGATCTCCCAAATCCTCCTAATTTCGATTTATGAGGACTTATCTCGGTCTCTGGTATTCCCGGAATCGGAATCTGAGCAGAGATTGACCTATTACCAGTCGGGATGGGTTGAGTTAGATATTGTTGTTTTTCTGGTGGTTGAGGTGGAGTCGAGTCAGTTGGACGTGTAAAGTTGACTGGATTGGGGGGTAATCTACCTCCGGATGGATGAGCCGTATGAGGTTGATCGACCAGGGAAGAAGATCTTATATGAGGATTTTGAACAGACATTCCTCTCATTTCTCCTTCACCTCTGACTTGACTATAATTCTCATCCCAAGGAACTTGTGAAGGTCTTGGAGGTCTTGCAGGACTAGGACTAGTTTTGACTTCAGTTGGGAATTGTCGTCGTGTAGGGGTACTTGTGCCTGTTTTTGATGGAGTGGGAGGACCGGGATGAAGGTTCATGGGTGAATCAACAATGTCCATTTGAGAAATACCAGTCAATACTTGATAAGCGCTTGAGAATGATGGTGAAGCAGGTTCGGCGCCAGGTGGTAGTGATAAATCAATCATCTGAGATTGAGATAAATTAGAGTGTCCACTGGAACCTCTTTGATGACTTTTGACCGAAGTGGAGATAGGTGGAGGAGGACTAAAAAGGTCTTTCTGACTGTGAAACTGATTCCATGGTGCAGATTGATCCTGCTCGACAGCAGAGACGATATCCCACCATCCGGCAGATACAGAGGTAGAGAGTTCACTTTGCTCATTGGTATCGACGCCAGTGGTCGAGGTCTGAACGTGGGAGCTCGGAAGGGTTTGCGTTTGAAGAGGAGGTATTGCCATTGGAGATGGAAGAGGTGACAGTCTTGCAGGTTGTAATGTCGGAGTCGCCTGTCGTGGGGGAGGGACGATACTTGCCCGAGACTCGATACCGATATCTGAATCTGACGACGAGTCAGAGCCCGAATCTTCATATGTTCCTTTACGCATGGGGAGCGAAGCAGATCGATTATGTTGCAGTTTTCCCAGTGAAGGTGGCATGGCAAGCATAGCAGTATCGCCATTGTCGGGTCGGGGAGAGCTAGATACCTCTGTATGAGATTGAGCTCGTCGATGAACGGACGGAGTTTTAGAGATACCTGATGGAGTGGGAGTGAGATAATGTGATGAGGATGGGGCTGGACGAGTGATTTGTTCTCTGACAGCGGCGAAAAGGCTGGCGTAAGACCCATCGGGAAACTACGTCTATCAGTCAAGTTCATCAACGGTCAAGAAACTGACGAACCCTTTTAGCCACACTGTCTAGCAGATTTGCAGTCCATTTGGTTGTTTCCTCTAGGGAAGCACCTTCGTTCTCTAATTTTTCCTTCTCATTCTCTATCAACTCTTCAAGTACCTCCAACGCAGCAGCATCGTCCAATCTGGGATTGACATATAAAGCCGCGGTCGTCGATTGAACCGTGGGTTCCCGGAAAGGCACTTCATCTGGATCTGGCGGAGCGGGTAGTATGTCAAGGTATGATTCGATAATACGAGATGGCAGAGGGGATGGCGGAAGTACGAACGACCTTCTCAGAATCAAGAAAACCGGTATGAGTGTTTGGGCTAGAGATGATGTCGTTTGTTTCCCAGAAAGACAGAAAGTAGCCTCTATATCTCCCAAATCTTTCCCTAACTGATCCCGTCCCGATTTAACCCATTTGGTTTTGAGAATGTATTCGCGCTTCTCTCTGGTAAGATACTCTGAAACAAGCTCCATGGCGTAATTGGCGATAGGATTGGGATCCGGTGGAACGGCTTGCATTTGTGAAGGAGGATTGAACAAGGGTGGTAAGGCAGACATGGGAGTGACGGGGGATGACATATTGGTCGATGTGGACATGGGGCTAGATTGTCCACGACGGGAGAAATATGATTTGTCGCCTGGTGAGAAGTTGCCGTGAGTGGGAGTGAGGGGTTGACCTGAAGATACGTGAGACGAAGCAGCGACTGCTCCGCCCACTTCTACGTCTCGGATGAATGTGTGTAGCAGTTTGATGCAGGCCGATTTGGAAGGAGCGGGAAGAGGGATCTGGTAATAAGGTCTAGCTGGAAGGGATGTGCGTGCTTTGGCTGATCTGAAAGCTGGTCGGAGAGCTCTTCTGGATAACATTGTCTGTCGGTCAATACTTTATCTACTATTCGGTTTGTAGATCGATCCGACATGGCCGAGACAACATCCGAGACAGCATTTTTATCCCACCTTATCAGAAGGCAGACTTACTAAATTCTCCACATACTCCAATTCTTTCCCCACTCCCCATCTTCCTTCTCCAGACACTCTCCTCCTAATGTGTTGTACCAACATCCTCTCTGCATCGGCCACCGTCAATTCCTTCAACTGATCCGCCATTTCCTGCAAGGTAAAATAGCTCAAACTCATCCGCAGTGACAGAATCAACATCAACCCCAACTTCCTCGGTTCATCCAGTTCGTCAAGCTCGCTCCTCCTTCTCACAGTCTTCGGACTGACACCCGCTCTCAAACCATCTTCAATCTCCCCCAAACGTTTTGATATTTCCTCAAAACTGTCTCTTCCCAAAGTACCCTTCCCACCTTTCCCAGGTCTCTTATCTTTTAACTTGCCCTCGCGCATGAGGACATATTCCAATATCACTTCTCTTGAGTGTTCTATCGATGGTGTGGGAACTGACAACAGATGATGAAGGACAGTAGCTGGTGAAGCTGAACGAGCAAGAGGGAACGGACCCATAGGTGGAGTCAAGTCAGAAGGTTGGGGTACATTGGTGACATATCGTGCGCGGTCAAATGCTCCGCTAAGCCGAGGAGGAGCCTTACGACGTCAGCATGAGGTGTACGTGACTTTTGGAAGCGAGGTAGTGGGAATCTTTAGATATGTGGGGCTCGAAACTGAAGGGCGTAGGGAATGAATGGGCGGTGTGTGTGGGGGAGGGGGGGGGATATGAAGAGTAAGACAAATATACGTACTCGATCTTCTAATTCGGCGAGTCCGACCGATACGTCGAACAATGTGTCCCCTTTAGATCGACGATGAAGGATCCATTCTTCTATCCCGTCGACAGCTTGTTCACTCGAAGTCTGGGAAGACCCTATTAGGGCTACGAGGTGGGGAGGTAGCGTAGAGGGTGGCATATCGGGAATGGTCAAGTGATGTAATAATGACTATCGTGTATGTCTATCTTTTCAAGAATATGCGTTTCGGGTTATCAATGGAATGGAATGTGGGGGTCAGAGAAGGAATGTGACATGATCATGTGGTTGTTCTTTTTGAGAGAAGCGGGGGGCGATGACGGTTACACCAGCCGAGAGATCAAGAAAAACGTAATCACAATGTTTTAAAGCTGTTTCTGATTCAGACGGATTTGTTTTAAAGGTGAAATTGATTCGAACAGATCAAACCAAGTCTCGGTGAGGGGCTGACTGGAGAGTTTGGGGAGGAAAAGCATAGGAAGTACGGCGGTACGGCGGTTGGCCGGTTGGCGGTTGGGGGGTGGGTGGGAAAGGTCAAAGGGGGGTCAAGTCCGATATTGTCAGGCACGGTACAAGTAATCTTTCCCAATGTGGCACTGTGGCACTCACCCCCCAACTGCCACCATGCCACTGCCACTTTTTGCACACACACAATCGCGTTGGTCTATTCCTCTACGCACATCTTCAACCAAGTCACTGAAACAATACACTCACAAAATATATAATCAACATGACCACTTTCGTACCTTCTCCAAGACGTACCAGAAGTCAGGTAGCTTCCTTGAAATCCGCAAATCCTTCAACTACCATGAACACCATCACTCCCACACCTACCACCAGCAGCTCAATACCGCGTTTGAAATCCAGTGCTTCACTTCGAATTCCCAAACCTACTCCTACCGCCTCCACCACAACGTCCATCCTTCCCACTGAGAAGATCACTCCAAGCGCTTCTATCAATAATGGAAAACTTCTGAGGAAGTCTAGTGTTCGGTCGATACGAGCCGCACCAAGACCTGTTTCCTCTGTTGGGGACGTCAATCCCCCAAGTCGTTTAGGTCGAACTATGAGCCGAATACGGCGAGATGTAGATCCATCTCCTCAAACCATTACCACTTCGTTGAAGACTTCAGATAGAACTCCTGGTTTTAAAGAGGAGAAGTCAATAAACCGAGATGAACGGGTGAAAGACCCGGGAAAGACAGAGGAGAAAAGAGTTGCGAGAGGTCAAGCGACGAACGAGGAGAAGGAGGAAATAGACAAGTCACTCCAAAGAATCCCATCATCACTAAAAATATCTTCCAAACCTTCTCAAACGTCTCTAAGATCTCCTTCTAAACAAGCACTCTCAACCGCTCGGACCGTATCCTCCTCTTCACTCCTCACGTCTACCTCGACTTTACGAAACATTCACGTACCCGCTCCTTCCCCTTCACCCACACCTTCCATCGGTACTCCATCAAGAATCACACCTTGTCCTCCTAGGAGGACGTTCGTTCGTCCGAAACTTCCTACGAAGGGAAAAGGATCACCTTTCAAACCTCTCAAACCCAATATTGTTGATGATAAATCACAGTCCACTTCCCTCGCCGAATCACCAGTGTCTCCTGTTTCGAGAGTGAAGGTGGGAAGAAAGATTTCATCAGAAAGTAAACGAAACTCGTCATCCGCAGAAGGGACAAACGGTATCTCTAGAACGATCACTGGAACTCCTATCTTCCCTCGATCAGACAACATGACCAATACATGTATACGTATAGTCAACAGGGACATCCCTCTTTCCCTCAGACCGGGACACATCGATACTCCTCTCGTATCTAGAACCCCGACGCCCAATACAATCATCGATCACTGCATCCAGCCTGGATTATCGACCACTTTGAGGGATACAGATATGTTCGACACTCCAGGAAGACTATCAGATCTTTTCTCTCCTTGCAAAACTTCCCCTGCTCCACCACTTCCCTTTCCAAGCACCACCTCATCGTTTCAACCTGTTCTACCTTCCATCCTCCTCGAGACGGATTACAACGGCGATGCTTCCCAATCTATCGATTCCCTCTTGTCTATCCCCCAACCTCAAAGTCTGTCGACCTCAGGCACAGCATTGGAATCGAAGACGAATGTCTCTGGTTCATCGGATATTCCAAACGACCACCTCGCAGAAGTGGAGAATACTGAAAAGGATCTCCCCCTCATAGACAAGATGGACCATGTTGAACAATCACTCCATCTCAGAAACCAAGTCAAAGCTGTATTGGAAGAAAGAGCTGTCTTAAAGTCGGACCTACAATCTCTCCAAGTAACACTCCGAGACAAGATTCAAACATCTTCTCTATTGAGCGAAGAGCTCCATCGGGAGCGTGCAAGCTGGGAAGGACTTTTATCTGGTGAGAGGGAAACATGGGAGGGACGTCTTACACGAGAGAGAGAAACTTTTCGGCAAACGTTAGAATATGAAAGACGATCATGGGACGAAAAGTTGGAAAGGGAGAAGAATACATGGGAACAAAGAGTAGATGAGGAGATGAAGGTATGGAAGGAGGATTTAGATAAGGAGAAGGAAAAGCTTGAGATGGTGAGGTTGGAAAAGGAGGAATGGGAAGAAGGGAATCGGATGAGGGATCAAGTGGAAAAAGAGAATAAAATGCTCAAAATGCGTTTGGTCAAATTTCAAATAGATTCTGTGGTGAAATCTATAGAAGAAGAGATACAGGATAATTATCGGTATCGTGAGGTATTGGATGTTGTCAGAAGTATGATGTGATGTTTTTTATTGGTTTCCACTTTGTTGTCGCATTTTCATATCACATATGAATTGATGGAGTGCATTTGATAGATGTACAAAATTACAACGGAACACCCAAAAATTGACTTCAGCCGGGATATTTAGAGTGTCGATTGAGAAGTTTGGAATAAGAAGTAGACCTTTGAGATGTTGCAAGTGAAGAAACAAAATAGGGTGGAAAATCAAGAACTGAGAAGAGCTTGAACTATATGATTCACTCGTAATTGACGTAAATCCGTATAAGTTTGGCCGCAACCTACGAACAAGATAGGTTGACCTGTGACGTACGTCATTGATAATGCAGCTCCGACTTTATCGTCCTGTTCATTAGTCTTTGGCATACCCAGTCATATGCAAGTCATTTGCATCCAAACGAGGTTTCCAGATGAACAATCATAGAAAGGAGAGAACCAGTGCCATCGTTTAAAACCCTCGGATCAAGAAGAGAGGGATCGAGTGATTTCGAAGGAGGGGCTTGGCTAAACGGAAAGGGCGGAAAAAGGAGAAGAGGTGAAGGATTGATATAGAGAAAAAAGAATAATTACTCACGATCGTATCGAACTTTGTCAAAATTATCCCATCTATCCCTCTCTTCCTCTGTGTTCCACCTATCCCAGCAGCGGAAAAATCTTTCAATGCACGATCAAATTTCGTCAATTGATCCACTGCTTCGTTCCCCACCAAAGCCTCGCCTACGAAGATGATCTTATCCGGGTCATTGACACTGACGAGCTGGACGTAAGTATGTTGTCTATATATGTTTTGAGGTTTTCAAAGGTGCAACGTTGGATGAAAATGAAGTATGAGTAAGCGGGGAAGACGAGAGGAAGTATTTTGACATACCTTTGCTAATGCTCTCATGAGAGGTTCGTTGTCTTGCATACGACCAGCAGTGTCAATTAAAACTACGTCGAAACCTTGTTCTTTGGCTACATATTAGTCTATTTCAATTGCCCGCTTGCTTACATCTCTCTCAGACGGCTACAGTGAGTTTCCACTCAAATGAAGTGACCTGTGTCGAGGAAGGAAAAGAGAGGCGAGGAAAGAGCTGTGAGGGGCCACTGCAATCGATCATATGAGATGGAAGTAGTGAAGAGACCATGAAAGAACCCACCATACGAAATAGCATCTTTCGCTATCCCAGCAGCATCTTTCCCATATCCTCTCTCAAATAACTCTACCTTCTTTCCACCTTCCCCAGCTAAACCCATCTCATCACCTAATGCACCAAGATTACGTACATGCACCCTCAGTTGTTCCACCGCACCACTCCGAAACGTATCGCAAGCAGCTATGAGTACCCTGAGACCGTTCTGCAACAGCCAGAAACAGACTTTAGACAGATTGGTTGATTTACCAACCCCGTTAACGCCGACGAAGGTGAGAGTGTAGGGTCCTGGGGAGGTAGAGAGGGAAGTGAGGGCAGACCGTTTTCTTTGAATTTCAAGGAGGATATCGGTAGATGTTCGAGGAGTGAGAACCCGGGTGAGTGAATCCGAGAGGGATGATTGGACTTGAGATTTGATGCCTGTCATGTCAATTTCCGATCCCTCTTAAGAGTATATTCGAACCATTGAATGAAGTCAGAGAAATTTCAGTGGCTATATGCAAGGAGGTGAATGGTTGACGTCAAAATGAGGATGCGGAAAGTTTTAATCGGAAGAAAACCCACTGGTCAACCCTGCTAACCTTTTACCAACCAAAGCAGCCCCAACACCTTCACACATCTTCTCAGCTATATCTTTCGCAACATTCTTCCCCATCAAATGTTTTTCCATTTCTCTCAACACAGGTCTCAGATCTTCTTCCGTCAAAATCTTTTTCCCAGTTAAACGATTCAACATATCACCCCATCCCACCTTCTTTTCCACCTTATCGGTTATCTTCAATTCACCTGTCACTCTAGCCAATATCTCTTCTTCAGTTGGCAATTCCGATCTCCCTAAATCCCAATCGGCTACCTCATATGTCCCTTGTTTGTTCCTTGTACCCATCGCAGCAGTCGAGATCAGGTCATCTGTCTTCACTGCTGGAGCATCAGAATGACCATTGGTCGTTGGAGCCGGAGCGGAATAATCAAATGAAGCCATATCTTCTGCTGAAACGACAGAATCTCCCCATTTACGCATAAGCTTTGCACCTGCGCTCGAGGGTGTTTTACGGGAAGGAGAAGAGGATACGGCCGATTCTCTCCCTCCTCTCGGTTTACGAGCTTTGAGTTTTGATTTGATAGCTTGAACGTTTTTTGAAATTTCTTCTGCTGTGACGGGTGTGGAACTTTCATCCGATAGACCCGGACCTGATCATTTAGCAACAATATCAAGAATTTCGACAAAATAGGCTTACTGGAAGTTTCCGAAACAGCTGCTTGTGTCCCTTTGAATGAGGTGGTATGTGTTCGTAAAGTACGTTTCGACTACAGAGTCAGAAAGACAAGACGAATGAGTTGACCGAAGAGTGTGGTAGGAAAAACCTACAGTATCTTGACTCTCACAATCTTTCAAACACCTATCAAAGATTCTGCCCCATTGTTGTATTTCGAGTTGTGTTTGTAACAACCGCAAGGCACTCTGAGAGATATGTTCAACAATGGCAGAACCAGAGTTGAGGGAACCGATCAAACCTTGGAGATATGTTTGAAAAAGGGACAGAAAGAGCTGTTTCGTTCTTGCTAACAGTTGAGGGATGTATGCCAAAGGTAGAAGAGCCGGGAAGACGACCTGAGTTCAGTGATGACTTCATAACGATACAGCAAATCCGGAACGTCTTCATCTAGTTTGTATGATCATACAACGAGTTTGAGTCTCTCCTAGTCTCCCATCAAGCCTTGATAAAAGCATATTATGACGTTTTTGTATACCGAGACGTCCAGTAACAGATTGTGATGATGTTCACATGCCCAGGGGGAGGGGGGTTTCCAGCGAAACTTCTCAAGCTCTGAGACTCAAAAGAGTAAGAGAGTAAGAGAGTAAGAGAAAGATATAGATGTTGAAAAGAAAAACACCAAGGGACTCACAACGAAAACTAGCCCTAATCCATTCTCCATAGTCCATCTCACACTATACCCATCTTTTTCATAACCTGTTTCCTCCGTTAAACGATTTTCGATAAACCCTTCCCTTACCAAAGCGTTGATGGGTGATGCGGTAGATGTCACCAAAGTGGAAAAAGCAGGAGTGAAAGATTTTGACCAAAGTACCAAACCGCCTGTAGAATCTATTAGCTTTTGATTTATCTCCACGATGAGAAGAGGGATATACTTTGATGAGAGATGGAAATATGATCTAGCATCGTTCAGACTTTCAACTCGATAACTACTACTAATTGCCTTGAAGCCGGACTTGATTACTCTGACACTTGTATTGCGAGCCACTCTGTGGTTGACCTGAGTATATGGTGATGGTAATGGTAATGGTAATGAGTGAGCCAAGATTGTAAATATTGGATTGACAGAGATAAGAAGAGTGCGGAAGGATGTGTAGAAAGAGAAAGAACTTTTGTCTTGTTCGTTTCTCATCTTTGCCATATCTTTCTTCCTCACTTTGACTTTACTCGTATCATCATATCATCATGTTACTAAATCCGAAACATATACATCAAGACCTTCTTTCTACTCTTTCCTTTGATAAAAGACAGAAAGACGATACACCTCATACTGCTTTACTCATAGGACCTCAAGGACAATTAGTTTGTTGGACAACTAACAAAAATCAACCCTTCTCCCATGATCCTCAAATTGAAGGCGAGCAACAGCACGAACGAAATGAAGATATCACACATGATGGTGCTGTAGCGAATGGGGAAGAGGATGGTCAAAATGAGGATAGAGTGCATGAGGAAGAAAAACAATATGTGGACGAGGAAGAAGAAGAACCTTATTTGGAAGATCCGGAAAGATTAAGATTGATACTTGGTTTAGCTTCACAATGGGAAGAAGATGCTTCTCCTCGTGTTGAATGTGAGGTGAGTAGATATCTTTTACACCCTTCATGACCAATAAGGTTGGATACCCGATGAAAGACACAAGAGAGGGAATGATGATGTTGATCACCACGAGTCATCCGTCGAGAGGATCATGATGAATCTATGAAAGTACACTTGAACTCGGCTGGTGGCTATGTTAGATAGCTTAAGACCAAGACTATATGAAGAGATCCAACCGGATAACACGATAAGAAGCTAAGATCCAGCTCGGTCGTGTTTTGTTACATCCCATACCCCTCCCTCCACCTGAAATCCCAGCTTCAGGAGTTCCAACCCCCACAGTCCGAACCACCCTCCCATCTTTTTTCGTACTCGTTCTCAATGGTTCCTCACGGACGCCATGGACAACACTCAATGCAAAGGTATGTTTTCTTCTCAATCGTCCATTTCACAACGGCTCATGTCCAGGCGGACGAATTTCGGGAACGATGGAAGGTTCATGCGGGGATATGACAACAATTCACGATGATATATCACTTTACGACATTGGTCATGTATATGCATAACGTAAGACCACAGCGGTGATTTAATTCTACCACAAGGCGCTCCCAGACTGTATCATCAGTCATGGTCCATTGCATTGTCTGACATATTTGCCTTAGATGGTGGGTGAGTGAAGAGAGAGAGAGAGAGACGGAAAAAGACTGACCGACTGAGGCGCTTGTTTCTTCTTCCCCGTGGTTTCTTTAGCTGCTTGACGATCCGCTTCCGTTTCGTTTTCGTATCCTCCGAACACTTTTCATCAGCTTACCATCCATGCAGAGAGAGAGAGGACATGACTTACAAGCTTCACCCATGCTTGACTTACCACCCGGAGCTGACGTGAGTGGTGGTCACAACGATCAGAAACACTCACCTTCACGGACTTTACGACTCGGCTTGAAACCAGGGGGAGGGTTCGAGATAGGTTTGTCCCGTCTGATATCAGTCTCTCATTATGTTTCGGCATCCCTTTTATAAGAGCTAGTACTTCTCCCAGATCAACAGCTCATCGAAGGGTATGGATAGACGAAGGCCATCGGGCATGTCGGAGGAATAACAGGGATAGGGAAAACTGAGACAACCCACGGCTCATCCTCAATCTTAGCTCCACCATCAATCTCAGGTTCCACATGCAATTTCACCCTTTCCAACCTTTCTATCTCCACATCGACCCCATTGCCTTCACGCGGGGGAGCCAAAGACAAAGCATCCGTCTCTTCGTATTCTTCGCCGTATATACGAATACTTTGTTTACCCCCCGGAGGATCAACGACTTTTCGCGAAGGACGTGGTACTGTGGCTTTATTTCCAGGGATAGGAGAATCATGTGTCGGGTCTGCTATTTCGGCCTGTATGTCAATAGTGTTTTTTCAATAGTATGCAAACGACCAAAGATGTTCAATGAGATCGAAACCGCCGGTTGATCCTTTCTCTACTCAGAGCGCACACACTGATACAGAGCATAGATACTGGTGTTCGTCTAGTCTGAAGATAGGTCAAAGGAAGCCTGGATTATGCAACCAGGGGGGGCCAGATCTCTTATGTGATTCAAAAGGATAACAACAAATGATAGACATTAACAGACGATGAGGAATGACTGAGGGAAAACACCCACCTCGACGAGATCAGCAACAGCAGCATCCGTAGCGGCTTGATCAAACTTTCCAAAAGTTGCGTATTCTACCTTATTAGTTACTTCCCCTTCCAAATGAACAAAATCTCACTTGGTAGTTTTGAAATCTCTCCGAAATTCGTATTGACGGTCAACTGACAAGACCTATCATAGTCAGCTGTCTTCACCCCCCTGATCAGGATTGAAGCTCGGACCTTCACTTCGGACCGGCGCTGAATGAGACGATACAATGCTGTCTCGCCATCCATTATCCGACACACAGTAGGATTCATCACTTGAAGAAGAAGAGTGAACAAGGAGGTACGAAAGTGAAAGAAGGAGGGAAAAGGTTATGAACATACTTGAGAAATTCCAATAAAGATCGTTTGGAAAAGACAATCTTATCACTTTCAATTTAGCTACCTTCCCACTTTTACTCAGTCCATGCAGCTCACTTATCCCAATGCATCATCCCTTCTTATTAGTCATGATACCGAGTATCTATCGCTAAAAACTCACCGATGGTAGCTCCCCTAAATCGTCAGCAGACATCATCTCAACGAAGTAAAAACCTCACCATGATCTGGGATCCTCCATGTCGAACGGATGTATGGGTGTGAACGTGGAAGGAGCACTGCATGTCAGCCAGAGGGGAAGATGTGAGATGGAGAAGACTCGCTCTTCCTTCTGAGATGACATGTTGCTTGTCAAGTTATGGAATGTGAGGTTGAATGCAGTATGAGCTTGGTCCAAGTACGACGTGGACGCGTCGGTGAAAACATCAGTGGCACCGTGGATGCTTCTACAAGTATCACCTGAGCACCTGAGTGATCCATGAGCTGAAGAGGGACTGTGATACTACGCTTACTAGACCAGCCAGCCATGGGCTGACAGAGAGGCCAGGTTGACAGCTGAACCGCTAGCCGCTTGTACATGACAACATCAGCCAGACATCACACAAAGCCCAATAACATCAGCAATCTAGATACAACACCTATCTCCAAACTTTAGCCCCTTTCACTGCCGATTGAGCCATTCCGATAGATTTGGTCAGATCGATTTTCCTCTGTGAGACCCCCAACTGTCCAGTTACTTTCCCTCTAACCTTGCCCGCCTTGTCATCGGAACTGACACTACTCCCATTGGAAGCCTTCCTCACTCCACTTTTAACGTTCGAACTCCCAGACACCATTCTCCTCTCCATGTCCACATTAGCTCTTCTTCCTCCTTCTCCCAACACGGCCGCATCTTTTCCTTTGTTCCTTACCGCTTTCTCCAACACCAATCTTGACAATGGAGTCTTGACAGATTTTCGGCGCGCAGCGTGAAGGTGATGTTTCTGCTTCGGTGTTCGATGAACATGATGAGGTGAGAGAGGGGAAGGGGAAATTGGACGATGATCATCATGAAATGAACCGCCGATGGGTGATGAGGTAGATTGCATAGGAAGTGGAGGTTTGATACCTTCCTCAGGAGTCGCGGGTAAGTACGCTCTCATGGCAGCTAGATCCGCTTGTCTTTGTTCTTCCACAAATGCCTGCCTTTCCAACTGCCACAGTCAGCTTCACCATACGACCGAATTCCAAGCTTACCTCAAGTTTCCGCTTCTCAGCAGCTAAGATATATCTCTCCTGAGCAAAGCGTTTCCTTTCTTGTTCAAAAGAATCTTGTTGTTTCGCTAATTCTCTCTGCCCTCTGACCTCCTCTATCTCCTCCGCCAGGTCGTCTATTGGCTTCGTTGATATCCTGAACTTTCAGCTGACGCGCCTAAAAATCAACAGAGACCACTCACCCAGCTTTCATCTTCTCTCGGGCGGCTTCTGTCAGAAGACGACTAGCCTCTTCCTCTCTCGCCTTGGCACATGACACCTCCATCTGCAAATCTTTCAGGCGATCTTCGAGATCCTGTATAACTCGTAATTGCTCTCTTTCCATCTTCTCCCTCTCAGCCACATCCACCTCTACGTCCGGATCGACGGAATCTAATCTCGACGCTGGAGGTTGACCGCTCAAAAGTTGTTCCCGGATCTCCGAGATAAGTGTTTGCAGTCTTGCATTTGCCAGCGTAGGATGAGAGGTGGACGAAGAGGATTGAGAAGTATGTGTCGAGGATGAGGATAGATGACGACTAGAGGAAGCTGTGAGAGGTGCAAAGAATTGCACATGTCCAAAACGAGGAGGCATCTGTCTGTCAGTCCGAGTGTAGACAGGAATCATGTAGGAGATGATTCTGACCTCTTCGCCTTTGTATGCTGCAATCGCTTCCCGTAGGCCATTTCCTGCTGAGATGACCACATGTCGGAACGCTTCCGTCTCCTCTTGCAGAGACTCTCGAATCTCAGCCAAGTCTCTAAGGGCTTGTTCGATCATCGGCTGTTGCATGGGCTGTATGTCAGCTGGTTTATTGGCTCGTGACCGCTGAACTCACATGTGTAGGTATGTTCCGATTACTAGGTATTGGATTAAGTATTGTCACTCCATGCGGTCTGGAGAGAAGAGTGGCATCGTTATTGAATCTGGCAATCTGAGTAAGAGCTTTGTCAAGTTTGATCTGCGTTTTCTTGCTTTGATGCTACTTGTCAGCTTAGACTCAAGTGTTATTAAAGACTTACATTCGCCGCAACACGGACCGATTCCAAGGCCTTCTTACCTCTCCCCACTTCCTCTCGCAACTCTTTCGTCTTTGCTTCTTCTAGTACCAGACGCCGTTCCAGTTCGTTGCAACGTGATTTCCAGCCCTGAGTTTCTCCTTCAAGTCGGGCAATAGCGAGGGCTCTGGAATGATGTGATTTTGTCAGACGTTCATGTTCGTATGACAATGTTCGATGTTTGGCAAGGATACTATCCAGAGTCTCGAGATTAGTCTGTGAGTGTCAGAGATGCTTCCGGTAATTCATGATACACTTACTACACTCGATCCTAATAGCTCAAAGAGGACTCCGACGACATCTTCATAGTCCTTCCCAGTTAAAGCATCGAGGTTGAGAGGACGTTTGGCCCAACCGTGAGAGAGTAACTGAGCGTTGATCGATGAGAGAGGGGAGTAGCTACTAGATTGGCTGTCGAGTCAGCTTGACGTCGTGAGTACAATCATCGCCGACCTTTGGAATGATAGCTCCTCTCTGCCAGGGGAGTCTTCCGAGTCCGGCATACTGTACTTGAAAGTCCCTTGTTGAACGTTGAGATGTTGGAAGAAAGAATGTAAAATCAGTCGCGTGTTGTTGCGTCGGCGATATGTTTTCGATGTGCGGGACGTAATGTGGCACTGCCACTAGGTCGACGTGGAGAGTGGAGATTGCTGCGTCATGCTCCTTCCTTCCCTTTCTTCCCCATCTCCCCATCTCCCATGATACCACTTTCCTCTCTCTAACCTCTTAATCATCTTATCATGCAGTCTGATCTACCTCGAGCAGATGATCCTTCATCTATCCCGACACCCTCGTCACCTACGATCAGCTCCATTCGACATCATGCCACTCCCACCGTTCAGGACCCCGATCTTCCCCTCTCCCGTCCATCTTCCTCCAGTCTCAGGCGCCGTCTTCCTTCTCCGTCCTCGCAGGACAACCCTCTTCTGAGAATATGTCTCATGTCGCCTTTTGGTGAACATGGCTCGAGTATGCGGAGAGAACGTTCTTGTTCTCCTTCAATGAAGGTCAACGAGCTCAAGGATCAGGTGGGTGAAGAGGGGGAATGGGATAGAGAAGGGATGCGACTCATATGGCGAGGGAGATTATTGAAGGATGAGGAGATCCTGGGTGATATTTTGAATACTGTGCGTTCTTCAGCCTATATCTTCAAGATATTGAACTGATGAAGTAGAGAGATATCAGTCAAGTCCAGACGTTACATATAGTGGCAAGAGCTTCAACAAAATCTCGAGCTTCATTTGCCGGGAATATCCCACTGCCCCGACCTTCTCCAATATTGAACGCTCCCTCGCCAAATCCTCGAACAAGCGGAACGACACAATGGCAAAGTGTTGCGGAAGTTGCTTTGACAGAAAGTATACATTATCTCCTGTTCATGGCTCGACATCATCTCTGTCATTTGATGAATACGAAACCTCTCAGATGGCAAGAAACGATTCCTTCTCCATTAGTCTCACAAGAGGCCGCAAGACTGGGCGTCATGTCTGTCATTCGGGGATTTGCCAGTCATCATCAGTCTCGGCAAGAAGGGTGGGATAATTGGGAAGGCGTATTTTTGGGTGAATCCGAATCTGGTCTGAAGGGTGTATGGGAAAGAGGGCGGGAGGTGATCCAAAAGGAAATCAAAGATCTATGGGCAGGTCATATGGGCAAAACAATGAGTGATGATCCAGAGGGTAATATCATCTCCATCGAATATGAGTGAGCCATCTCCCTCTTCTGCTTCTCTCAACCTTTGACTAATGAGCAGTGGGAATCCATATACCCTTTGTCTTCCTCCACTTGATCTGATGACACCGCGACAATTATCCCATTTACTCCTCTATCTCCGAATCACGACTTTCACACCACTCCTTTATCCTATTCTTGAACAGGTCAATCGTCCCCCACCTCCCATCCCGACCCCTACCGTCCCTTTACCCCAAACGACCAGAGTGATCTATCGTCGTACTTTCCGCATTAACTTACCTGCCATTCCTCGAAATGTGCTGGTTCACATGTTTTTCTCACTTCTCAAGCTCAACGCGATGTTATGGATGTTGACCCGAGGTATGGGATGGGATGATCCTCGTTTTTGGGTTATTGGTGGTGCTGCAGCAGGATGGTGGGTAGGAGATGGATTGAATCGATATCGTATTGAAATGCGTCAACGTCGTCGAACTCAAATTCAACCAACTCCTCTACCCAATCAAATCCCACAGAATCAACAAAATGGACAAAACGGTCAGAATCAAGCTCCAAACATAGGTCTGGGAATTCAAGCAGGTAGAGAAGGTAGAGCAGTTCAAAATGGTAGAAATCCAAATGGTCGATCACGAAGAAGAAGAAATTTCAATCCTCTTAATTTTTTCGCTTATGTTCATTTAAATACAGATCGTCGTCAACTTCATCTTTCTCGTTCTACTTCAGAACCACGTTTACGTGATAGAAGAAGAGTACAACCATCTTGGTTTCAAACTCAATTATTGTTACCTGTTTCCTTATGGTTTATCACACTTGTTCCTTCTTGGGAATCAGCAAGAGGAAGAAGGATCAGACAAAGAGAAAGAGCTATGAGAGTTGTGGTTGGTGAAAGATCAACATTGACCTCACCTGTCACTCCTGCAATTGGGATGAACGGATTCGGTGGTGGTGAAAGTTCTTCAGATTCCCTTAATCCAGGTGAACTAGGTGGTGTGGACAGATCAAGTGTATCTGATTCAAATTTAGGTTTAGGTATATCGGGTTCAGGGATGAGAAGACATGTTTTACCTGATGGATTAGGTGAAGCGGCTAAAAGATATTACGAAAGAGTTCTTCAGCGTGGTGAAGGTATAGATTGGGAAGAAGAAAGAGAAGCTCAAAGAGCTTTAGGAGTAGGTGATGAAGAAGATAGAAATGGGGAAGGAGCAGGGATGGGTTTAGGTTTGTTTTGATTCCTGATCATTATATAGATACTGTAGAAATCGAATTTTTAGTTGTATATCTTCATCAAGATGTGCATGAGAAATGTATCTATAAACCACAAAACCGGAATTACAGACAAAGAGAAGAGTATGAGTAAAATACTTGGTTTTTTTCAATGGTTTTTCGTTTCCTCGCCCCTCTACATAGAACACTGGTAAACGTACAAACATCCCTCAACCCCTCTCCTGGATAATGGTGAACACTTGACACTAGTATTGGACTTGCGGTGATCGTTGAATATGCACATCTTCTTGTGTAAGGTATAGACAGGTTGGGGATAAGGGTTTTAAACATTTTCGACTGGTTTGTCAGCTGACTGTGGATGTAAATTGCAATTTAGATGTAATCGCGGCTGAAAAGAAGGACCGAAGCACAGGGTAGATGAGACGAGGGTTTGAGGAGCTACTCACCTTTACCACCTTCATAAGAAGCGATATACATATCGGCCTGTTTATGCTCATCCCAAATCGCTTCTTCTCTGTTCTTCCCTATGGTAGTTTTACCCAGCATCTCCTCGAGGGAGTAAGCTTCTTTCGGTGTGACAGGATAGGCGCTTTCGGAAGTGGCAGTGCCTGTGGAAGTGAAAGGTGATTTTTTGGTTCCTGCTGATGTTCTGATCGTCAGTACTGTGCCCATCACCGAGGTGCGCAGAGAGAATGACGAAACAAGAGATTAGCAGTGGAGACAAGAAAGGTTCAGATAGGATGAGAGGTCGACTCACGAAGCGTCCCATGAACCGAGTTTGCGGGATCCACTTTGAGGGGATTCTTTGATGCAGAAGACACGACGGAAGAGATTGTTCCAGAACTTTTTGGTCTCGGTGCCTCATTGTCAGTTCACGTACTCAGTTGTCAGAGATGAGACACTGCAAGGAAAGGAGGGAACGAGAATGTTATGAGCAGTCAAGAAGACTCACTGGTCGCGAAGCACAAAAAGAAGACGAAAGAACATGCGACAACGGTATACCATTGAAGTTGCAAGACCAGATTATTCGTACTGCTAAGGTCTGAACTGGAGATGCTCTCTATGAAAGAGAGGCTTTTCACGGGTGGTCCGCGGTGACCAAGAGGTTGAGGTCCGTGTTGGAATGAAACGAGGTTGAAGATAGCTCGAAGGCTGTGAATGAGCACGGATTCTCTCACCATCGAGACTATTGTAAGGTGAGTGGAGGGGGAACGGACGAGTAGTGGATGTGATGAAGAAGATTCACTCACCCGCAGGTACCCATCTCAGCGATGGTCAGGAAGTACAGTCTAAAGAATTGTTCTTTGTTTACGCTGGCGTCGGAAGCGATCAGACTGAGCATTTGTTGTCGTCGAAGATACACGTTGACGAGGGCCATGACTGATGGTCAGTGACGGCACTTTTTTCAGAGACACGGTGAGACGCTAAAACCCCGAAAGAAAGAGACATCTCGTCAATAGAGAGTGAAAACTTACTAGTGTACACAGCTGCTGCTCCGGCAATGACGATAGGAATGATAGCCATGAGGATCACTCCCCATGTGTCCCAGTAAGTAGCGGCCATGGGCCCAAACCCCTCAACGACGTAAAACCTGCGGTCCTGAGTGCTGAGATGTAAAAGGATACCAGCGATAGGGCCGATGATGGAGAAGCTCAAGTCGACGAGCTTGTGCCTGCGTCGAGAGGTGGAGTCGTAGAGGGGTGATTTAGAGCGGAGAGTGGTGTAGGCTTCGAGCTGTTTGGCGAGGATCATGTGGGCCAAAGGAAGACCGAAGTTGTAACCGACTATTCGGATCAGATCGGGCTACGCGATAACGACCGATGCATATTGAAAGGAACTCGTCATGGGAACAAGACGGGCTGGAAGAAGTCGGCACTTGAGACTGAAGATTCTCTGGTGAGGCTGACATATATTGGCTCGTGGTTCAAGAGCTAGGAGTAGGAAGACAATACTGGGGCTGTCGAACTGTGGATAAAGGATACTCACCTAGAACCAAAGAGCTGATATCACCCCAAGCCCTGGCCTTGATCTCGGCGCTGTTGTTCCACACGAGACCTAAGTCATCAGCGAGGCCCTTTGCAATCAAGTTCTAGGGGAGCAGCAGGGTGGTGATGTGTGAAGTCAAGACTCACAGTTAACAATGTGGACCAAATTCAGCGCCGTCATCCAGAAGATCATCGACAGCGTCGCAATATTCCTTGTGCGAAGATGCCATGGCGCAGGATACAGCGCAGTCAACAAGGCTATGATGGAGGGAACGAGGAGATTGACGAGGTTTGACATTGTGGTGACTGGTGACTGACCTAGAGTGCGATGACGATAATGATTACCCCACGACGATCAAGGCAAAGGTCAATGTTTGTGGGAGAGACGGGCGACAAATTGGAAAGAAGAAAGGGCGAAGAGAAGGATGGAATCGACAGGGGGGGTGTTTACTTTATATCCCATTCAGCACTTCGGCTAGACGGGCGGTCACCAGAAGCAGGATAAGAATCGAAGGATAGAAGGACAGCTTTGGCCTTTGGGAAAACTCGGTCACTTTGGATGATCCGGAGGATCGACAGATGGGTCCAAGAGCCCGTCCAAACTCTGCTCGTCTGGTTCTTCGCTTCTTCTCCTATTCCAAGGGATGTTGTGGTCGAGGACAGAGAAGATGAATTCGGATGTGTGGGAGAGAGGTGACAGGTGCCGAAGGAACACTCGCAGATCTTGCCTTCCTTGCGTTCAAGGACGTCCTGTGGTAGAGGAAAGTCTCCATGGCGGTACTCTGATCATCAACGATGGATGAGTGATCAGCGATCAAAGGGTGTCCGAACCATACAGCATACGAATTCCGTCATGTTCTCTCCATGTCCTTTTATCTTGGGTCGGTATACCGGAGAGCGGAGAACGGTCAAACGATATGACAAAGGCACTGTGAAAGACGTCAAAGGGTCGTCAATGCATCAGCAACAGCGGGCTTGTCCTTTTCCCCGGTATCATCTTCTATCAGTCATAAAGCATACATGACCCCAATCAGACAGCAAGCTTCCCACCCGAGCTGGAACGTCAACGAGATGTCAGCGTGAAAATGACCGGAAGAATGTCCCACACACAAACACACACACGAACACACAACTTTACCGCACACAGACTCACCTCCTGTCGTGCTGATCCCGACAGAATTGATGGGAGTGACTCGATCTGTGCACTTGATTACATGAACAGTGTTCCAAAGTAGGTGCTTTCGAGGAGGTTGTTTGACAGGAAGGTGATCGCTTCGCAAGCATTTGTCCGTGCAGTCGTTTGGAAGGGACGAGGAATGAGTGAGGAGCGGGAATGGAGAGGAGGTCAGTCACCCCAAAGCTGAGGAGTATCTCGAGCGTTTCCGGGTGATTACCTTAATTACCTTGATCCAAGTGGCATGGGCGGGAGGAGGGAGGAGGGAGGGGGAAGGAAGAGAACAAGAGGGATAAGAGATCAGGAAGGAGATCGGAAAGTTTCCAACGTGGTCCGAGCGTAAAGCAGAAGCACCCTCCCTCCCTCCCTCCCTTGAAAAGAGGCCTTGAGGTGATGATCCTCGAGTGACATGTCACAAGACTGCAAAGTCTCGAAGCCTGTGAGTCACTACAGGCTCGACGCCCCCAGTGTGTGCGCATGGAAGTTGTTTGGGAGCGAGAGATGTGCAAGGATGTGTATGGCCGTTCCAACAGTGGGGCCTCCCATTGTCGGCGATCGCCGCTAGTGGCAGCCAACGCTTGCGTTGCACCATGCATCAAAGTAAGAGCACTCACTCACTTACAGACCGCGTGTCGTTGCATCGTCCATTCCACCCAAGCGCATTCCTCTAATCGCTCTTCTCTCGCCCTCTCACAACCTTTTTGTCATATCTCAACACTCGTAACCGTCCTTCCTCAAGCAAGCTCCATCATGACAGCTCCAGGAGGCTCCAGCGGGGCTTACTCGTCAGTCTGCAGCCTTCATCCCCGTCAGGCTCTCCTTAGCCTTGACGCCGTTCTGCGATCCCCCGCTGACTTGCAGATTCTCCCTCACCACTTTCTCACCTTCCGGAAAGCTCGTACAGATCGAACATGCCCTTGCTGCCGTGGCTGGAGGTACCACCTCTCTCGGTATCAAAGGTGCGTGCTACCCCCCTCCTCTCTCACCTTACCAAACCTTCCAACTCAGTCTATGTCAACGTCATATTGAGTCAGACAGATAGAATGTTGATGTACAGCCACAAACGGTGTCGTTCTAGCTACTGAAAAGAAATCCCCCTCTCTTCTCCTCGACACCTCCGTTCTCGAAAAGGTAGCCCCTATATGCCCCAACATCGGTTTCGTTTATTCTGGCATGGGACCAGACTTCCGCGTTTTGGTAGCCAAAGCGAGAAAGATCGCTCAGGCTTATTGGAAAATGTATGGGGAACATCCACCTACCAAAGTGTTGGTTCAGGAAGTGGCTGCCGTGATGCAACAAGCTACTCAAAGAGGGTGAGTGTATTTCGTCTCTTTACCGTTTATGTTCCGCAGTGGGCAGAAGCTGATGAAGATAGTGGTGTCAGACCCTATGGGATCTCTCTTCTTATCGCCGGATGGGACTCTCATCGAGGTCAAAGTTTGTATCAAGTGGATCCCAGTGGGAGTTACTGGGCTTGGAAGGCAAGTGCTATTGGTAAGAACACGGTGAATGGCAAGACTTTCTTAGAGAAACGGTGAGTTGAGCACTTTCAGCCTTCAACACTTCACGTCTTTGTAGTGTACCTACCATTGGCGATTTGCACTCGGTTGGCTGATTGGTCAGATACAACGACGACCTCTCACTAGAGGACGCCATTCATACCGCTCTCCTCACCCTCAAAGAAGGTTTCGAAGGTCAAATGACCGAGAAAACGATCGAAATCGGTGTCGTCACTGTCCCTACGGCGGAACAGATGCAAGAGAAATCTGGTGAACGTTTACCACCGACATTCCGAAAGTTGACCGAAACAGAGGTCCGAGATTACCTCGCTTTGTGATGGTCAAGATGAGAACAAGATGGTGACGACATATATGTGCATGCAGATTTCATCATCACTACTGACTCGACCCGCTACGTCTCTTCTAAACATACAGGTTTGATGCATGGGATTCGTACAGCTAACTAAGTAGGTTACTTCTTTTTTACTTTGAACAATTGAGAAGGTTCAACTTTCAGGCTTGACCGAGTGGAGATTGACGCGACTTGCGAGGAGGAGCCATCATTTCCGGTGTGATGAAATTGACTTTCATCCTTCTCACCTCTTTTGCATCGGCATTACAACCTTCCCAATCTGCGTTCCTGTCGAAATGAACTCTGACTTTGATTTGCCAAATTGACAATTCCAAATGTTGTTTTACTTCTTCGTCTTTTCCAATTCCCTCTTCTCCCTCATCATTCTCCGTACTTCCATCCACATTTACCTCTTTTTCTTTCTCTTCCATTCCTTCCGGTTGTTCCCCATCCTGAATTACTTCCGAGTCATCATCAAGAACACTTAAAACCGCTCTCACTTCTAGAACAACTTCCAACAAACCTTCCGACATTTTAATCAACATGGCTTTTTGTTGTTTGACAAAAGTCGCCACATGTCTCAAGACCGTCCCTCGTCCTTCTCGAGCAATCAATTTATTTACCCTCGATCTACCTATCCCATTGACTATAGTAGCCACTACGCAAGGGACTACAGATTCGTCCAAAGCAGGAAAATGTGGTCGGATCTTATTGATCGTGTTGGTTAATTCCGGTTCTAATTCTCTTAAACTTTGGATGAAAGTTTTCAACGGATTCGGAACTGAAACTTGTCTGATAATTTCTTTAACAATAACTTTCCCTTGTTTATTCTCTTCAAGATTTTTCCTTTCAAAATCTTCCACCATATTTCCACCCGCTTCTTTTTCCTCCCCTTCATCTTGAGTCCCATCAACCAATTTATCCGTAGAAACATTTGGAGTAGAAGATATAGAGGAATTAGATTGATCAACAGTATCATCAACAAATTGTATGACAGATCTCATCCTGATATAATACCTAATTCTATCCCAATCGATTTTCACCTTTTCCCTAGACATGATCAACCTTACTGCCATACCTTCTCCAGGACGACGTGTCATACCTAATTCGGAAAGATACGATTGGATACGAGATGGATGTGAAAGTATTGAAATGATTGAATCTATAGTAGGTTGTTCAATACCAGGTCCTAAACCCATAAACATTTGATGACGAGGTTGAGCTTTGGAAAGTGCTATATGATATGCGGCGAGGAGACGTGGCCAATCATTTCGAGCGATGAGGTTGGGATTTGGGTCTAAGAATGGTAATGGTGATGGAGATTGTCGGTTTTGTTTTTGGTTTTGGTTTTGATCATTGATCTGCGGGGTTGAAGTGGGATTGATAATCTTAGAGGAATCAGGAAAATCTTTCACTTGAGAGGATTGGGATTGGGAGGGAGAAGAATGAAGTTCAGATGAATAATTGGTAGACATAGAATCAAGGAGGATAGTACGAGCGTTAGAAGAAATATCAGACATCGTTTTGGGGTTTTAGTCTCCAATATCCAATCGTTGATCTTTGAGTGAAAATGAACGAATAGTGTGATGTTATTACTAACGATCAGATTACTTTATGTACTCTACTCAAGTTCGAACGGTAAAGTAGACTTTGAAGAGTAAGAAGATCTCTGTAGGAGGGTGGGACACTGAGGTATTAAGAGGTAGACGTCATCAAGGGATAAAAAATTTCAGACACATAGAGATCCAGAATGGTCTCAGGGATGAAGCGTTAGTAAAAAGGTCAGAACAAGACTAGGGATCAAGGGGAAGATTTCAAGGGTCTGTTGGAGATAACAAAGGAAGTTTAAATTCCCCTTTTGTTATTTTGAGATTGTCTAACCGTGTCACCGAAGGTGATTCCACTATAAAAGGAAGGTTTTGACGGGTCCGACATCATGACGGAAACGTTTTTTTATTCAATCAACGATTCATGTCAGCAGAGTTTGAAATGTGTGAAATAAACATGCATGTTGTAAGTCTGAGTCGGGTGATTATACTAACTTGTCATAATTTCAAAACAATGAATGAGAGAAGAAACAGTCAAAAAGAATCAAGTTCAAGTTACAATATCGACTTCACCCTCGTCTTCCCATATGAGAAGATCTTCCTCGGATATATCCCTCAACGATTTCTTAGAAACATGTTTGACTTTACATCCCCCAACATGCCATCCAAATCCTCGAAGATATTCAACTCGGACATCCACCGTCGCTTGTACCGCATAACGAGATAGAACATATCGAATTCGGTCCGAAGACGCTTTACTCTCGTCTTTCTCATTCTCCTCTTGTTCTTTCTTCTCATCTTCATATTTTTCATTATCGAACTTCTCATCATCCACAACCCGATTGCCTTGTTCATCTTCCTTCGGCAAAGTCACCAACGCCTTGAAACCGAGTTTCAACTTCAAAACCCTAGTATCTCCTTGAACCAACCTGTCTTCAACTTTCCATGGTAGATCATACGATACCAAACCTCTCTTGTGATCTGGTTCAAGATCATAAGCAGGCTGATATCGTCCACCTTCAGGATCATAATCTAACGAATGACTCAGAATGTACGACATTACATGAGATGGAGAAGGTAGATCGTTCATCAACAATAACTCTTCAAGCTTGGATTTTTTACCAAGGCTGTTTATTATTTGTTCCGCGGTAAATTTGACTTCCATATCATCTTCAGCAAGACTATAAGAATTGATGATGAGTTCCAGATGAGTGTTCAGAGAGTCAATGGCGTGTTCGAGACTTTTGATAAAACCCGGTATTATAATTCTTTTATGTATGAGTAGGGGATGAGTCCAAGATTATGGTTTGGACAGAGATGTCGTGTCAGTAGTAGCGTCCCTCTTCGCGGGCCTTTCTAGGCCTGCCACTTTCCCCATAGGGTCCGATTGCTAAAGACAGTTGATGACTGAGAGTTCGTATCCTGTAGGCATTGTCCCATGCAGCTATGCCTCAACAACAAAGCACTTTGAGATGATATGGCACAAGAGACAGAGAAAGCAAGATATTATACAGGTAAATCACGAGCTTCCTACAAGTAAGTTGTGGTTCCTCACGAAACATTCACAGATTTGAAAACAGTCGAAAGCAATCTCACTTCTCCATTTCCATCTCTGGCTCTTCCCAAGCCAAAAGACGGTGATTGGGCACTCCGGCAGTTGGTTTTTGAGAAACCTGTACCACTCTCCACGGTCCAGTAGTCCAACCGTGTCCTTTCAGATATTCTACTTCCAAAGTAACTTTCACCTGGATGGCATGCTTGACCCTCCTACTGCTTCTCTCATCAGGTAGACTCCAAAGTTTCTTGAATTTGTCTTTGTGTTCTTCTGTAAGTGCATCATCTATACCAACCTCACGTAATTCTTCCCACAACTTTTCCCTGTCGAGTGATTCCTCCTCGAGATTCAAAACCGCCTTCTCGTCGACTTTCTTGGTCTCATGTTCTTCCTGCTTGATCATGACCATGTCAGTTTGTAATTCCTTCTCCTGTCCCTTATCTGCTTCGTCGTCTTGCCTGAGAAGGTCTTTCTGTTCTTCCTCTTCTACCTTGTGAATTATCATAGTATCGTTGACGTCCGGTTTCAGGTTTTCTCCAGTAGTGTTCTTCCCATCTTGATCTTCCTTGTTTGTCATATCCGATCCGACTTTCAGCTCTATATTGTCGCTTTCTCTCAATCTCTCCTTTTCTTCCTTTTCCTCCTGTTTCTTCTTCTTCCTCTCCTCCTTCTCCTTTCTGTTTTGTTCCTTCCTCATCTCTTGTTCCCGTTTCCTTTCATCTTCGTATTTTTGATTCTCCAGGACCCATGAATCCCCATCATCATCGAGATACAAAGTGGTAAGATTACTGAGACCCAGCTCCAATATCAAAACTTTCGTATCACCATCCACAAACTTTCCGTCATATCCCAAGGTAAAACAGGCTTCTTCGGTTCTCCGTCAACCTTCCACGTGAGTCTCAGATCCCCTCCTCCAGGATTGTTTACAAGTTTATGTCTCAAAATAGAGCAATAACATGATGGTGTGTGCGATCACTACATCGCAATTTGTCTGCCAGATCCGTCTTCTGTATCCTCTTTATGATTCTCTGCACAAGGTCCTCCACCTCAATATCATCTTCTTCCATTTTACAAGACCTTATGAGGGTTTTTAGTGGAGAGACTAGCGAATCGAGAGCCATGAGTAAATCTTGGTGTGTGTCAGGAACCATGACCTCTCGAAAGATTGTGATTTCCTTCGGACCTCGAACTCGTTCTTGCACTCCCATCTCCCGACTCGATGCCATGTCATTTTGAGTCACGTCCTTATTCAATAAGTCCTGTCCCTCTTGAGTAGGGATGTCTGCCTGCTGTATATCCCGGTCATCATTCTTGGCGACCGACTCTGACGGTGTTGTGTGATCAATGAGCTTGGGGGGTGACCGTTTGTTGGATTTGGATACGAAAGGACTGATGATTAATTCATCTCCCTTATAAGTCACAGTGATCTCCATGACGTGAGAATAGAGTCCCCGTCGACCTGGCCAACCACCCCAACCGGCTGGGGGTCCTTCTTGCATTTTGATAGACCATTCTTGATCAGTATCAAAGACCCCTAAAGCGAAGAGTATTTCTTGAACTCTGGCGGGCTGAGAGAAGGCAGAAAGGACGGCGTCGATCATCTCTCCTACCACTGCCCAACCGAAAGCTGACTTCATTACGCCATTACGAGGCCGGCAGAGAGCCAAAGCCGCGTGATACTTGCCCACAGCGGCTGCCCAGACGTCCCTCGGGAGTCCAGGTAAACCAGGTTGACATAGTTCGACGGGAAAGTATCGATGTTTCCAAGCGCGTTGAGCGGGGGTGAGATCCTCGGAGCGATCGCGCCTTTTGATTGGGGTATCATCAGGGGATGGGGGCCAGGCGGTGCAGATGCGGTGTCATTCGGTTTGGCTTCATTTTCGTTCGAAGAGCAGTCTTTAGCTTGCGAAGGAGATGATAGTCGTTCTGAGGTGTTGTGAGGATGAGAGGCGGAATTGTCGTCAACAAGATTCAAGTCGGACATTTTGAGTGTCAAGTTTGGAAGACGATGTGTGTCAAGATGATCGAAGTTACGAGTTGATTGGTCGATGACAGCAGGGCTTAGAAGCTTGGAAAGTTCTGGTAAGTTATGGAAGAGGAAGGGAGAGTAAGGCAGTGAGATATACACATCGAAAAAGCGGAGTCTGATAGGCTATGAATGAAAGGAAAAGTACATATCAAAGGTCAAATCAGAAGAAAGGATTCAAGTGATAGAAGGCTCAGTATGAATCAGTATGATAATGCGAGGTGATGCATAGTGATGACGTAGACCAGATTACCTACCATGTGATCAGAAGAAGTATCATGAACACCACAAACGTACTTCCCCATCTGCTCCACTGGAAACGAGCCATGGTTTCTCTGAATGCCATCGGATATCAAGCACCCCAAGACCATCTTGTGTACGATGTCCGCGGAGGATTTTGAGAGGTACGATGAGAGGATTTTGGGTCAGATCGGAATAGACTGTGCAATGGAAAATGTGGATGGTGCCGTCATCTGAAGAAGATGCGAAGAGTGGGAGTGTGGGATGGAAAGCGACTGAACGGAGGGCTCGGGTGTGATACCTTGTGCATTAGTGTTCTTGTTCACGTCTGATTATCCTCATCGCCTCCAGATTCGTGTGCAAGCGGTTGTTGGTTGATCCAAGGGTGATGGGGAATGACGAAAAGGGAAAAGCTTCATACCAAGAATGAACTCACCGTAATGTCCTGTAAGGCTTATCACCCAGATCCATATCGAACCAAGCGAGTTTCTTATCGTAACTCCCCAGGATGACGTTGTCTCCACCTGGATGAACGTCCATCGAAGAAATCCATCTCATTCCACTCTGCAACGTCTTGACTAATTTCTGTCCTGCGAGATCGTATAGTCGTACGTAACGCTGTGTAGCGGCGAAGAACCACGGTTTGAGCGGATGGAAAGCCACCGTTTGTACCGTCCCTTGAGTTTTGCGGAAGGGTGATTGAGTGGCGTGCTTAGAGAGCTGATGGATGAGGACTGATTTATTGGAGGCTGCAAGTCAGTAATTACCCTTACTGACTTTGCTCGTCGTCTCTTTCAGTAAAATTAAAATACTCTCAGAGTTAAGTAGAGACATGATGTGAAGGATAGATCCATGAACTTATGATATAGGAAATGATTGATATAGGAAATGACTCACCATCCATAGCGACGGTTGAAAAGTAATCTCCTTTCCTATGCCACGCCACCTTCTTTGGCGTTCCTGGAACTTGAATATACACCAAAACTCCTCGTTCTCGCTCCGTCTCATTCGGTCTTGACCATTTAATAGCCTCAGTCCCTTTGACCTCTTTTCCAGAACCCATATCTGTCGTCGCTGCACTGATCGCAAAAGCCGCGTTGGCATGCTCCACAGTCCTCCCCGCGACTTTCGGATCCACCAAAGCCAGAGGTGCCAGAACCGCCACCTTTCCACTCACTAAGGCCACAAGCATTGCCTCTTCTTTATTCGGTGACCACTCCACACTATGAATAGCTCCAGATTTTAAATCCCATTTCCAAACTTCTCTACCATTCCCCAGATCCCAGATTCTCACCACACCATCTTCAGAGCCGGAAGCTACCCATTCGCCTCCAGGAGAGATGGACACCCCTCTCACGCGTGTATCACCCGGATGACGGTATTGGACTGTGGCAGCCACAGGGAAAGGTCTGAGCTCTCGTGGAGAAGGTAGCTTAGGTACAAGACTTTCAGGGTCGATATTCAGTTTGACCTTCCGAGTACGTGGTGCGAGGTAAAGATCCAAAGCACGCTCGAATTTCTCTTGTACCAAATTCTTATACGCAGGAACGAGTCGGAGAGCGCTGTATTTGGCAGGGAGGAAATCAGTTTTTCGATCTTCTTTGTCTGTAGCTTCCCATTCCGCTCTTTCCTCTTCAGTAGGGACATATTCTTCAGGTGGGTTGTACGATTCGGCAGTTTTGGGAGGGGGTAGTTGTGGAGCTGGCATATACATGGCGTGAGGAGTGTGAACATCGGCATCGGACCAGATAGCATAGACAGAGGGCTTGGTGGCTGAGGGTTTATTGGGGAGAATACGACCTTCTCTGATAGCTTTGACTATCTTCATCACCTGAAGAAATCAGCTGGATCCTGTAGGAGATGACCGTTTTCACCAAACTCGAACTCTTAGGTCTTATGCTCCTCGAGGAAACAACATGAGTCCACGAGATGGAGAATGGAAGGAGGGCTAAGGCTCACCTTCTTATGCTCCCACTTTGAAGGGACAAATCGTCTCTTCGGTTCTGGAATTGCATTCAACGGCATCGTCATTTCCTTCCCTTTCCCAGTAAACCACTCTATCGTATCTTCGTAAGGTTCATAATCAGGATCTGGGTTTTCGGCTCTCTCCAACCGTCTTATAATGTCGAGCTCTTTATCACTCAATTGGACTTGCTGTTGTAAGAGTTTATCTTCCACTGAAGTCCAAGCAGTAGGATCTTCTACATTCGCAAGGAATTTGTCTAAAGCATCCCCTTGAGCCGGTCTGAATATTTTCCGTCCGTTGATGTCGTAGCCGATATGAGGGAGTTCGTCGTACCAGTCCATGGGAATGTTGCCTACGGTATTTGGGTTCTGTCATTAGCGACATAGTCTACCTGAAATGACTCGTTCGTCATCGATCCCCTCCACGCTCTGCCTGGGCTTCGAACTGGGTTGGGACGATCCCTCAGCTGACACACCATGAGTGGAAGTAGGCGAAGATGCGAAGCGGGGAGACCACACTTACATCCTCAGTACTACTGTCACTTCCATACCCAGCTTCATATTCCGGATACTCGCGTATATAACCTCCCTTGACCAATTTACTAGGTTTCAACTTCCCATGACCTTCTTTCGCGTGAGAAATCTTCTCCTCGGCTCCTAAATCTTCATTGGGTTTGACAGTATTCGCCTTGATCAACTTGGCTAATTTTTCCTCTCCATTCAATTGTTTCTTTTCTGATCTTGGAGAACCGCTCAATGACGAAGTAGGAGTTTCGTACATCTCATCGATGTCTGACGAGTTGTATCCTGATTCTGAACCTGAATCTTCGTCGTCCAGTTTTTCGAGGTCGCTTTCTTCAATGTCATTCTCTGAGGCAGAATCAATCTCTGGAAATTCATCCTCTTCCGATTCATCGGAAACGTTATCTTCTTCCTCTCCAGATTCTGGCTGCTCGTCCATACTCATTCCCTCTAAAGAGCCAAGATCATCTTCATCTTCATCGGTTTCCGAGGGAGGATGTTGTGCTTGTCGCTTGCTAGGTCGAAACTTTGAGGGACCAGCATGTCCGTCGACTCCATTGACTCTCTTTGGATCATCTCGAGATGCCGCAAGGTCAGACTTGGAGCTGCTCGCTTTTACAGCTCTAGGTGCCATGATGGTTTGTTGAAATCGTCGTCAAAATTCTTTGAGACGGGTGAAGAGAACCGGTGCCACATTCGGCTTTTCAGACATTGCCGTGGAGCCCCACACCTACTCCCCACCCTACGATCGATGGTGACGACGACGAGTAAGTACGACTTTCCGTTTGTGACCTCTACTGGTCTTTGGGATGGAAAGGTGATGTGACACAGGAGGAGAGCATCAGAGTCATGTCATACATCTTAAACAGACTGACTTATAGCCTCTGATGTCTTTCTCTCTTAACTTCTCTCTGATCACTTACAGCGAAGACCACTTTGAACCCATCTCAATATCTCCACAATGGTCAAGTCACAATCACAGGTAGTGGCCGATTTCAACGGTGTGTCCCTGTCTTCCTCCTCTGATGTCCCCTTCTTCCTTATGATAACCACCATCAGCCGGTAGACGATGATCAAGAAATTCGAATTATGTATATACTGGCTGACTCTCAGAAATCGTCAACATGACAGCCGATGTTCGTCCCTCTCCCGCTGTTCGCCCTGACTTTCACTGATCACTCGCTGAGATTTATAGGAACTTGATGCTTTCTTGAAAACTGAAGGATCCCAAACTACGGGTTTCACCCAAGAAGGTAGTTCGGAAAGCATCGGTCACGAATCTGGTCGAAAGATTGTAGACATACTTCGTCGTAATCCTTCCAAGGTGAGGTTTTTCCCTTCTCTCTTCTCTTCCTCGCCTCATTTCCTCCTCTCCGTAAAGGAACGAGTAACAATGTCAAGTCGCAGATCATAATTCAGTGAAACGAACTCGTGGTTTGCTTGCGATATTAAGGAAGACGCTGGCGTATAGAGATTGATGGGACCCTGAAGTACACCTAGAAAGCTGGGACTGATACATAGTCGGAAGATAAATACACCGAAGAAGATATCGAACATATGAGAAAAGTAGTCAGTTATTGTAAACGTCATTTGGCACAGGAAGGAAAGATGAAAGAGACTAAAAGTCCTGAAGAATTAGAAAAGACGAAAAGTACGAGGAGTTTGAAGAACTGGGTGGGTCATTACCTTACTTTACTTTCTTTCTTTCTTCATGCCCCGCCCCATCATCGTGACTTTTGACGGTATCCCACTTCGAACAAGCAACGACTACATCCAAGTCACGCACTCATCGGTCACTTCAAATCCTATAATTGAGACTGCAAATGTTTGCAAGTAGGAACTGACAAGAATAGGGTCACGATCCTCTCAAAACTACCTCTTCCAAATCGACTAAACCGACTTCCAAGAAAACGGAGCAGTCTACCAAATCGACATCGGAGAAAGATAAACCGACATCAAAGAAAAGTACCAAACCTACTGAAACAGAACCGAAAACCAAGAAAGAGGACAAACCGACATCGAAGAAAGTGGACAAACCAACTTCCAAAAAGGTTGAAAAGACCTCTGAAGGTAAAGAAAATCATTCCAAGGCAAAAGAAACAGCAAATGGGACAAAATCGGATAGAACGGAAGATCCTAAGTCGAAGAAACCGGCCAGTAAGAAGAAGACTGGTGATGCTGAGGTAGGAGACAAACGTCCAGCGGATCAGGAGAAAATTAAGGATAAACCTGCTTCCAAAAAGACCAAGTGAGTTTATCGTTTTCATCCTGGTGAGAGGGATTGATGATTAGGTCGGATAAGGAAAATACGGAAAGTAAGAAACCTTCCACTAGGAGTGCCAAGAAAGCTTAGTCACCCCCCGCCGTACGCCGTATTTCTCCCTGTCATACTGTACTACTTGTATGGGGAAGGTTGTGGTTTGTATTTTTTGACCTATTGAAGGGTGATTAGGATATGATGAGGATAAGTGGGAGGATGTCGAATCTTCGATAATGCATACTGAATGTCCTGATACACAATAGCTACAAAATGGAAGACAATGTATATACAGAGATACGTATTGACAGAAAAACAACCATCGATCAATCTACTTTCTCCTTACCTGCCGCTTTCTCCTTCTCCGCGATCTCAGCATCCATCAAATTGACTTTTTCCAAATCTTTCGTCGCATCTTCCACCGTTGCCGCTTCTTTTGCATCCTCCGCTTCTTTCACCGCACCACCTTCAGAGGCAGGTACGACTTTCACGTTCTCCTCTAAAATCTTCTCCTCCTCTTCTAACATGTCAACTTTGTTATTTGCCCCCTTCGGATCCTCATTCGTCTTCTCATCATGCTCTGATTTCCCTTGTGCACCCTTTCCCTCGTTTGCGTTCTCGCGCGTCTTCTTCTCCATCCCACTAGTCGGTAACACACCAGATGAAATATGCTGCGTATCAAGAGGCTGGTCAGGGGAAAGAGCCGTCGAACTGGATAATAACCCAACTTTCGCATCGCTCTCTACTCCCAATTGTCCAGCTAAAACATCAAGATCGGCGTCGCTCATCTCCCTCATGAGATTTTCCAATTCAGTCTGTGAGACGGAAGTGTTTCCTTCTTGTTCAGAAGTGATATCGAGGTTTTGTTTCAAAAATTCGGGTAAACGTTGTTCTTCCACGGCATATTCGAAATCTTCCATCGTCTGAGCGGAATCAGCACCGTTTCTAACTTTGGGTTATGATCTGTCAGTCCCGCTGGAACATAAAGCTGGCTCGATATGAGTAAACCGACGAGACATTCAATTTGTGGGATGAGACTATAGATGGGGAAGAACTCTTGGTTGATATAGAAAATAATATGGCAACAGATGATTGTGTAATGTCGTGGGGTGTAAATATGATGGGGAATACAGATATGAGATCACTCACACCGACCCATTCACCACCTACCAAATATCCAGGAAGACCTACAACCATTCCAGTAGGTTTGGAACGTTGCCATCGAGTTTTAGCTTCTTGGTCCACGACGAGATCAAATGACTGTATGTCAACAATGAAAACATCTTCTTCACACAGTCAACCTCCATAGTCAATGATTCAACATGATGTGAGGGTGTATATTCGCAAAGTCCCAGCTAGAACCACACCAGAATAGTATTTTGGTGATTTTATGAGTAGATAGAGAGATCATCTGAGAAGATTCAAGGTCTGACATAGATGAGTGTAAAAGACGAACTTCATATGGAATCTCAAGAGCTTTGAGGGATCTGAACGTCAGCTATTATTCAAGTCTCAGGTTTGCCGCCTCGGTCATATGACGTTGAGCGTAGCAGCATTTTTCAACAGGGGGAGATCAATGATATATTCAATCGAGAGGGGCCATTTGATTGTCAAGGCAAGCATTAAGAGGAAAAACGGGTACTTGAAGGAGACTTACCGATGAAGCAAATCGATATGCTGTCTAACTCTCGGTTGAGAGGTGAGAGAAGTGACGTAAATGGTGACTGGCGGAGGTGCCATTTTGATATATGTATCCTACGCTGCTCTCCGTCTTGTATGTGCTCTGTGGTATCTCTCGTTTGACGGTGTTGATGGAGTATCTCTGGGAAAGAGTCTGAAGGGACAAAGCTATGGAAGGAGGGTTGTACGGGTGCACAGACGTGACGTAGTATGCGGGGCACCACATTCTGTGCAGTCTGCTCGAATAGTATACATCCACTACTGTATATGTTCTCTGACAGCTAGGATACGGATGATTTCTAGTGGCCTCGAGAGATCAATAGGCGATTGTATGACTCATGACTCCGTAGAGAAAGTAGGGATCATCGAGGAAGACGATTACATTCCATATGTGTTCGGGAGGGTTCGGCTGGGAGGGCACAATAAAAATCTGGTTATTAACTTCAGCACTTGATCCTCGCTCCTTCTTATCGATCTTCTCACTTCGACAGCATTGGTATGCGATGATCAATGAGAGAATGCCAACCAAAGCCCGGCAGTTGCAGCCTTCGAGTTGTGACGGGTCTGGATTGTGTGATATAGGACAGTCAAGCTCACCTAATTGTTGCATACTCTTAAACAGTGCGGCGGAATGCATCTCAAGCTAGTTTATCAGCTTTGTCAGGAAACTGGATAAATGCTCACTTTTATACAACTTCTTCCTCCGTCAGGAGTGGATCTACATAATTCCGCATCTGGAGAATTATTGTTGGCACGGGAATCGAATGTGTATCTAATTGTCAGGTCTTGATGTCTTACTCCGACAGCCAATCATACAGCAATGATAGTTGAGGATAGTATTTCAAGGCAGGTATGAGGTATATGTGGCGAGACGGAAGGGGAGGAGACTTTAAAGATGGGGATCAGATGGAGATAACTGTAGTACGAACTTTGCATCTGGGAATTCCTTCTCATCAGCTCTGATCGGGTGCTTGGGTTCATCATATACAATAAGTGTTAGGAAGATATGACAGTCATCTCAGATACCTGGAAAAGAGTGAAGTCTCGAGATATGACCAGAAATTGACAAGGGAGCTAGGTACTAGGAAGGAAAGACTAACTCTAACAAAATCCGCAACTCTTCGATGTTGAGTCGGAGGAGGAGCATTGACGGAAGCGTCTGTCCTCGGAGCGGGTATATCGTTGACCTTGACACTTGAACCGCTTTGTCCCATCTTGTCTATGTTCTTTTTACTCTCTCGCTTCGTACTGGTCACAATAGTAATTCCAATCGATTTACATGAGAGTTGCTTTGTCTATGACGCAACTGACGTCCCCACGTGATCTTTCAGATAGGCGTGCCACGTCTTACCTTCCACTTCACATGCCTACTGGTACAGGCGCTCCGGTACCGACGGACCCGCGTACCCGCGGTGAAACGGTGCGGGTGATAGGCACGCTAGTTTGTATAGCCGGATGACCGATGAGAAAGTTGATCAAGACGTGTCTTTGTCTTTGTCTCTAACCCTCTTCTTGCTCTCCTTTCCCCCCCTTCCGAGTACCGTATGCGAGGGAAACCTGGGATCCCTGGGAGAGGCACTACGTGAAATGATATTTTGTCTGACACGGACAAGTACGTCCGCCACTAAAGGCACCCAAAGACGGACTAGATAATCAAATCAAAGTGGGGATCTCGACCAATCAGACGGGAAATGGGAAATTGTTTGTTCAGCAATTCCTTCCATCCTACCCCTCTAAAGTTTCTCTATCACGAAGCCTCTGGGCTATATATACTCCCTTGACTCTTCCGTCTGATCCTCTTGACTTTCCATCTCCCTCTCTCTTTGAGTTTCACTCGTACTGTTTTAAACGAAAAACTCAAGTCTGAACAACTAAAGATGCGAGTCCTCTGTTGTTCCATTCCCTTACCCTCTTCGTTATCTTCAGGTCGGCGTGTAGAACCTGAACATGTTTCTGAGACGAATGATCACGCCGAACCTGTGGAGAAAAGGCGAGGGAGATGATATATCTTACAAAGAAGAGATGTGTTAATGATATTAGGTCTAAAGCAGTCATTGGTATCGTCACTTATTCGACTTATGGTCATATTGCCAAAATGGCCCAATCGGTCATTAAAGGTGCAGAACAAGCAGGTGTGACTGTGAAAGTTTACTCTTTGTGAGTTACTCCATTATATCTCCTCTCTTCTCTTTTCATCTTTCCTTCAGGTTATCTTTTGATAGATTCACCCCTCCTTCCCTTATCATCGAATGTGATCATCTGATTTGTTTACCTCGACGTGGTATGTCTCCCAATGACGAAGTCATGTTATCTCTCATTCTCAAACTTGATTCCATTTACTCCTTATGTAGTGTAGACAAGACTTTGCTGACAATCAGCAAGGAAACTCTCACCGAAGAAATCCTCACCAAAATGCACGCTGGTGGCTCGCTCAACCCACCTTACCCTATCATTACCCCTGAGGAGCTTATTCATCTGGACGGTGTCATCATGGGCTTCCCTACCAGGCGAGTCTTTTCTACATCGTCTGCTTATCCATCATGGTTCGAGCTATCTGGGACGTTTGTTGGGTACAGTTGACTTTTGTGTGAACTCCCATCTGACCATCAGATACGGCCGTGCGCCTGCTCAGGTGTCGAGCTTCTTCGACGCTTGTGGTAAGATCTGGGGAGAAGGGAAAATGGTTGGCAAGATGGTGACCATATTCACTTCGGCTGCCGGACAGCATGGTGGTCATGAGGTCAGTCCAGCGTTCTCTCTAGACTGGTTTCGTATGACGTTCACTTCATCATCTTTACTGCCTTGCTAGTCTGCACAGAGTTGTAATCATCATTCCTTCAATCGTGCGTCCTGCCTGAGTCAAATCTTGTCAACTGACCAATAGGCCACGGCACTCACCACTATGCCGTTCTTCGTACACCGTAAGTCTTCTTCATCTCCTCATAGACTCTTAACTGATGTGACAGATGGAAGTAAGTGACCCGACCTTGACTATTTGATATAAACGCTTACTTATCTCCAGTGTGTTACGTACCCATCGGTCAGTCTTTCACATCGGGACCACATTCAAATAACTGATAATCAGGTTACACCCACCCATTCGTCAACCAGACTGATACTATGGCTGGTAACTCTCCTTATGGAGCATCATGCATTGCTTCCGCCGATGGAAGCAGGCAGCCAAGTGCTGAAGAGCTCGCCGTTGCCGAGCATCAAGGAAAAGTGAGTCGTCATCATTTCCGTCACATGTTTGACAATCTGCTGACTTTGATAGTACTTCGCCGAGTACGTTGCTACTTTTATCCGTGGCAAGCAGGCTTAGGTTTGATGTCTGTTCGTTATCATTCCAGACGAGTGATACAAACGTGATGGGAGTAGAAAAACAAGCATGCATCGTAAGGTGTCCTTAAAGTCAAACGTTTCTCGGAATGATCTGTAGCCTTGGAAAGGGTACAGAGTGTTCGACTGAAAGTTAAGCCCGTGTCGAGGAATTAAGGTCAAATGTCTCTTGATAAATTCTATCGCCTTGTTACAGTGTACCGTACTGGCACAGAGCATTCGTGTCGAGAAAGCATTTCATCAGGCTGTCCCTGCCCAAGTGAGATTCTGCAGGTCAGGTTTCCTCTTCTTAGGAAGCAGAGATACCTTCTGAGTGGTCCGGGGGAGATGATGAAGTAGAGGTGGGATTATGAGTTATCGATGACTCACCTGAGGATATTTCGAGTAAAGCCAAAAACCTGAATATTTCGGACCGAGGATAAACTACCGTTAGTAGTCTCGTCCTAAGATTTTGTGAGGGATACTCACAGGTACCAATACCCTGCGGACTAGGAAAGGCAAAGGGATGATTTCTTTCAGCAAAGTTATATCCACTGTGGCTGAGTCGTCAATATCTTGACCCTTTCTCAAATATCTCTCATATTGATTATCTGTGGAATGATCGTATTTCCTTCACTTGTAGACGCTATCAAACCTAGAGACACATTTCTGCTTCTGATGTGGATATAGTATAAGATGGATTCTTAGGAAAGATATACTGACTAAATGCAGAACATAAAAACCAAGCAGGATCATAAGCTTTAAAATGTTCTTCCATCATCTTCCTCAACTCTTTATCTTTTTCCTGTGGGAAGTGAGTCATTATCTCCGGTGTCAACGTGTCTATCTCGTCCGTCAGATGTTGAGTGAGAATATCCATGAAACTGTCCATATGTCTCCTCATGGCATAAGGGTCGAACGGTTTGTTAAAGTCCAACAGAGGAGCTTGACTCCGGTCGAGGGAAAGGATTTCTTCGGGGGGGGTCGGGACTGGGGAGGTTACTGGTTTAGGTGGAGGAGAGAGAGTTTCACGAGAATGACGAAGGTAAAGCCATAAAAGTTCAAGAGGTGTAGAGAAGGTATGATGCTCTGCTACGTTTTTAGACCAGGGGTCCTGATCTATCAGCTCAAGTCTCTTACAAGTCACAGGTCCCGAAATATGGTAATTTCCTTCCATAACATGGACGACCGATGAGGACAGGTCATCGGACCAGATTGTTAATCGTAGGGAAGATATTTTCCAAGGAGCGGGATGGAAACTATAGGGAATACCAAAACTCACAATACCAGAATGTTTCGCGAAAAAAGGATATATCTTATCTTCTTCAAATTGATGATGTTTGCAAATCTGCACTATGGCAATTTCTGCGAATCCGAGAAAGTTTCCTAGGTCGTTATTCTCAGTGGCCCAAACGGCATACTGACAAGTTAGTCGAGAAGCTGGACTTGACCGATGACTCACAGCATAAGTCCTTTCGATATTCTCTATAAAGCAGATATGTGCGGTAGACATTTCCCATTGCCATACATTCTTGTGAATTCTCTACGGTCGTTAGTGACTCACAGAGTTGAGATGAAACGAACAGAACAACAGGCCTTTGGGCGAGAAAGACACCAAGAGGCCACGAAGTGATGAGAGTAAGATGACAATGAAATCGGGTGGAACACCGTGTGCGGGATGAGGAGAAAACGTCTGGATGGGAATAGAAGTTGACTGACAAGACCTGAGAGAGACGAACTCACAGGCATAGGACCCTCGGCAAATTTATGAAGTATAGCCATGTTCTGTTTGTATCGTTCCCCGGCGAAGACACTATCCGCCGGCATGGGTGGAAGAGGGTGTGACTTTGCAGTGGGTTTGAACATCATTTCGTCACTGATACTTGTTCACAATTATCACGAAGTTGCAAGAAGTTGAGTAAAGTGGGTTATGTTAGTCGATCAGGAGTAGAAGACGTGAGGAACAGTAGGTCAGCCAACACGACGTCTTAAATCCCTCCCTCACACGGAGGTCATGGTATGCGAGAGACCGGACGAATCAAAGCTACTCATTCGGGTGCCCGGAGAGGAACTTGGGTTAGTAATGATTAGCCGCACGACCTGATTGAAAATAAGGAAAGGGTGATAGAAGGAAGAACATACGGGGTGGGTTAGATAACTCCTTGCCCGTACGTCTGGGAGGCAGCCCTGTCGCGTCGAGGGCTGCCTGCCTGTCGGCCTCGGACTAACGGTGAGGAAGGGAATCCCCAATTGTCTGAACGTCCCCATCACCGTAACTCACTAATCAACTAATCTCGGATGCATTCTGCGATCCGGCGTCGGGCCTACCTTCCGGAGTCCCGGTCAAACAATCTCACTATCACACGGCGATCAACAACAATTAACTACCTTACGTTTTGTCATCAAGCACACTGTACCCCGGCCGGTACACCGGAAGTACAGTACCTAGCACCGGATCCGGATGATGAGGAAGGTCTCGTTTTTCAGAAGCCGTTTCGCCCGTCGCAACATTCCTTTCGTCTCAAATGACTAGGCCTACATACCTCGATCCACTCACGTGTTGCACTCGGTTGCATTACTGCCCTTCGGTCTGATAGGTAAGCAAAGGACCTTATGGAGACTTGTTATCCTATAAAAGAGCCTCGCAAGGGCGTAGACCAGGTTCATCAGACGAATTTGAGTGTCTGACCTACTGGCATCTCGACGATCGACGACACATTCAGCGATTTGTTCAAACGACAACACCGACAACATGAAAAGTATTTTCATTTTCACCATCACTGGCGAGCAGGGGCTCCCATCTCGCTCGTCATATGCTCAAAGAGGGATGGACTGTCGGTGGTCTCACTCGTAAGCTCGAGGGCAAGACAGCGATTGGTGAGTAAACCCTTTACTCTCACTGTCCTTCTTTCTTCAGTCACTGACGATCCCTTCCAATGTGCTTCCCCCAGGCTGGTAATTGCAGCATGTAGCTTCCACTTGGTGACCATGACGAAGATATGGCTGAAACGACAGAATTATCTAATCTCGGGGCGAAAATCTTCCAAGGCGATCTTGCGGACCAATCGACATACGAGGATCATCTGAAGGGCTATTATTCAGCCTTCGTCAATGTGGATTGTAGGGCCTCTCCCTATCTTCTAGTCGCATACACGACAGATCCGTCTCTGATCCTGCTTATATATCATACATCAATCATATAGACGATGCTGATAGTCAGTCTGGTCCATCTTCGCCGCTAAAGGTTACGATGAAGATGTGGCCAGCAAAGAAGAGACCCGTCAAGCTAAACAGGCAATCGAGGCATGTCAGAAGATGGGTGTTTCCCATGTTGTCTACTCCGCTTTGGACGACGTGCCCTCTGTACATTGGAAGTCTAAGAGCAAAGGTAGGTTGTCTCTGCTACGAACCCCTCATCAAGGGTGCAATATCGGTAGACTTGGGTGTTGCTCGTGAAAGAACAAAAGGTTCAGGATGTTGCTCCGGACATTGGGCTGATTTGCTCAGTGTGCGATTGGATAAAAGCGACATCCATTCCTGCTACATGTCTCTATACGACATTCTTCAACTCGAACTTGTTCAATTTCAAAGATCTCAAGCATGATGGAGAAGGTGGGATGGTGGTCAACTTAACTACCCCCGACGATGCTCGCATCGCCGTCATGCCCACCGAATTCATAGGAGTATGGGTCAAGGCAGCGCTGGACGATCCTCAACAGTAGTGGGTGTCAATTATACAAAATGGGTGCATGAGGGTAGTTACGTAATCTCCCCAATATTCCCCAATCTGGTAATTTTGGATTGCAACCGATGTAAACATTTCCAAACTCATTTTGAGCATTTCAAGACTTCCAAATTTCATCAGTATGTCTCCTTACAGCCCAAAGCCTTCACTAACAGATTCAGACCATTGTTCGGAGCAGATACATACCTCAATCATGCCACCTCGATCAGCCGTCACCCCGGGCCAAGTACCCCTTCACCCTGTCACGAACTACGTCGTAACATCCCTGACAACCACCATCACCGACCCTCCTTTCACCATCACCGACCTTCCTTTTCACCACTACCAACCTCCACTCGAACCACTGAGACCAACTACGGCTAAGTTACGAGAACCAAGAGGGGATTTGTCACGATAACCCCGCCTAGCGGGGAACTACGGCGAAGTTAGGGGAAGGGAACCGAGGGAGAGCAGAACAGGGGAAGGTACGGCGAAGTTGAACGAAGAGGACTGAGCGTGAGGCAGTGCAGGAGTTGAGGGACATTCTACGAGAAGAGAGGAGTAGTATAGATAGTTTACAGATCGCTGAACTTCTTCAGCGATCCTTGATTGTTGTCAGTAGCGAGAGATATATTCAGTAGCTACAACCTTCGAGTTAAGGAGAGCTACCACCGAGCAGTTCAACGTACTACGGCGAAGTTAGCCGTAGTTCATCGACGATCATCTTATCATTCACCACTCGACGTATTACTACGGCGAAGTTAGCCGTAGTTCCTCGACGAGTACCCTGTCTTAGTGAGACATCGACGCCCCACTACGACGTAGTTAGCCGAGGTTTGTCGACCGTCGGTCAGTTGAGAAGAAGAAACGACGATTGTGACAGTATCAAGGATCGCTCTTACCGACGACCCGTGCAAACCTCGGAGAAGTTCGAGATTGTATGCAGCCAGAGAGGAGAGTTACAAGAAGTATGAGTAGACCAGGAGAAACAGTAGAGGAGACGGAGAGGAGGATGTTGGAGGAATTGAGACAAAGCTTGGGACCATTGCCTGGTGCAATTGATACCCCCGAAGGATCAACTCAAGGCGATGATTTCTATCCACCCCTGCCTTTTGAACCACCTCCCCAACAAACCGGACTACCAGAACCACCAGCGGTGAGGACAGGTTCCGAAGATTCGGGACAGACCCCACGACCAAGGGAAGGGAACACAGGAGGTAGGCTAAGTTCGGCCGGGAGCGAAGTAGTAGGAGGAACTGAGGAGGAGGTCACAACACAGAAGATGATGCTGGCAATAATGAACATGATGATGGAGATGAATAAGGATATGATAGCAGAGAGGAAGCGTCGAGAGGAGCAGGAGAAGAAGAAGGAGCAGGAGACGGTTGGGGGAATAGTCGAGGGGATCTCGGAGGGGGTACGGCTCGCCATTGGAAGGCAAGCTTCGGCGACCCCAGGAGTTGCTGAGATGAGTGGAGGGATAAAGCTTCCCCTCCCAGACCTGTGGAGGGGCGAGAGGTCAAAGCTCACAGCATTCATCTCAGAATGTGAAGTCCATTTTGAAATCAACGCCCGGAAGTTCCCCACCGACCGAGTAAAAATCTTTTTCATGATCTCCCATCTACGTGAAACTCCTCTTCTTGCTGTCCAACCGGACTTACCTAAGGACGATCCCCCCGAACACCTTCTAGACTATAAGAAGTTCATCCAATATCTCAAAACCAATTTTGGAGATCCTGACGAAGAAGGAACCGCCGCAAGAGGAATAAACGAGCTTCGGCAGAATGGGTCGGCTTCGGCGTACTTCGCCGCCTTTCAGCGATATGTAGCGGTGTTAGGATGGAGCGATGATGGAAACCTCGTGGACCGAGCGAAGAACGGACTGAAAAGCCATTTGCTGGATGAAATCGCCCGCCATGGAAAAGTTTTCAAGAGCGTCCGAGAATTAATCGAGTTCGTGGTCCCCATGGACAATCGCTTGCATCAGCGAAAGGTGGAGAAGGAGAATGAGAAGAAGAGGAAGGAAGTGAAGGAACAGGGGGAGAGGAGAGAGGAAGTAAATCGAGGAGGGGAACGGGGGAGCCAGGAGAAATGGCAATCTACGGCGAAGATAGAGGGCGTGCAGCCTAAGGGCACGAACGGGGGAAGGGCGATACCGACGGATGTAGACGAACTAAATCGTCGTTGGCCGAGACCCAGTGCTGATGAGGTTTTAAAGCGTCGAGAGGAAGGGAAGTGTACTGGATGTGGAGAGAGAGGGCATTATAACCGGGATTGTCCTGTAATAGCGGCGAAGGTCAAAGCAGGGATCATCCCCTTGCGATCTTTTGGACAAAATGCTGGAGGAGAAGGGAGATTTAGCACGGGGGGGAACGCCGTCCCTCTTGGGGACAGGAAGAAGATCAATGCTGTCGGAAGGGAGGAAGCATGTGTTGAAGAGCGGGGGATGGACGAGGAGGAAAAAGATGGGGACCCGTCGCGGTAGGCGAGACTCGGCGGGTCCGCACTCATATTCTCTCGGCCACTATCCCTAACCCCAGTAAAAGGAAAGAGCTGATGAGACCAGGTAAATGTGTATATAAATCCGTAAACACCACTCCGAAATGTATAAACGACTGTCATACCCTAATCCCTTCCACCTGTAACAACCAACCCAAATCTAATGTGTATGTCGACGGAGTTGAACTAACGGCCTTGTGGGACACTGGAGCGACCTGTTCGTATATAAGTCCCAAGGCGGCCAGGAAGATTAGGAAGGAGAAGAGGAAATACCCCGTGAGTGTACCAGTTCACATGTTCGATGGCTCGGTTAGTGTGGCTGGACCCATTACGGAGTTTGTCGAGGTGAGTCTGGGTGTCGAGAAGTTAGGCGAGGTTCGGCCAATTAAGCTGGATGTTACCACCCTTTGCGACGCGGATATCGTGATAGGATGGGAATGGATGAAAGAAGAAGGGGTAATCCTGAATGGGGGAGCGAATATGATATCCTTCCCTATTCCCCAGACGAACAATAAGGAAAGCGCAGTGTCCTTTCCCCTACCCTTGCCGAGTGAAAGGGAAGAGTTATCCTCTCCCTTTCCACAGACGAAAGATGTTGCGGTCCTGGCGGCCATAGGGCTCAGGACCCGAACCGACGAGACAGACCTCCGAGGCGAAGATGAGCTTGAAGAGCTGAGCCCGGAGGAACAAGACGAGTTGTTCCAGGTAGTTCCTGAGCAATACCACCAGTACATTGACGTGTTTAATCCGAAGAAGGGAGGAGAGACCCTTCCCCCTTCGAGGTCCTACGATTTGAAGTTTGAGCTTAAGGAGGGGGCGAACCTGAAGGTCGCCTCCCTCTATGCTCAAGGAGAAGATCAGAGACGCGCGCTGAGAGACATACTAGATCGCGAAATCGCCGCTGGCCGAATTCGAGCAAGTAACTCGCCGTACGGCTCACCGATGTTTATGATACCGAAGAAAGCCGAGGGACAATGGCGAATGGTCATCGACTACAGAAAACTGAACGAAGCGACCATACCAGATGCCTACCCTCTCCCATTAATAGGCCAGATTACCGAAGAACTTGGAAAAGCAAGGTACTTCAGCAAACTAGACCTAATTGGGGCGTACCAATTGTTGAGGGTGACAGAAGGACATGAACACCTGACGGCGTTCAGGACACAGTATGGTATGTTCGAATCTCTTGTCGTTCGTGATGGGCTGCGAAACGCCCCTGCTGTCTTCCAACACTTCCTGAACGAGGTATTTAGAGAACTGCTAGGGAATGGAGTCGTGGTCTACATTGACGATATCCTCATTTATGGGAATACATTGGAGGAATTACGAGGAACTACGGCGAAGGTCTTTGAGGTGCTGCGGAAGGCGAACTTGTACGTGAAAGCTAGTAAGTGCGAGTTCGAAAGAGATTCGGTGGTATTCCTGGGTTTTGTGGTTTCCTCTCGAGGTGTATCGGTTAATCCAGAGTACATTGACGCCATCACATCCTTCCCACGTCCAAAGAATCTACGAGAGTCGAGGGGTTTCATTGGAGTCGTGAGCTATTACAGGCGATTTGTTCCCAACTTCTCGAAGATTGCTAGACCTATCAATGATTTGACGAGGAAGGAGGTACCGTTTGTGTGGGGGGGAGAACAGGAGTCAGCCTTTAAAGAATTGAAGGCTAGGATGTGTACTGCGCCGGTGTTAGCTCACTTTGACCCCACATTGAAGACCATATTACAGACAGATGCCTCGTTCTTCGGCTGGGGTTTCATAATTTCGCAGATTAATACAGCTGGGCAAGAGCACCCAGTCGCCATCGAGTCAGGCGCGTTCAATACGGCCCAACTAAATTACACGGTAGGAGAAAAGGAGTTCCTCGCCGTAGTTGAGGGTTTCAGAAGAAGAAGACACTTACTACTGCAGGTAGAAACCACGGTCCTTACCGACCATTTAAATCTCACTTACTGGATGGAACCGAAGCAACTCAGCCCACGTCAAGGTAGGTGGGTAGAAGAGTTAGCTAACTTCAGATTTAAAATGGTTTATCGACCAGGGACTCAAGCAAGCCTTCCAGACGGGTTGTCTAGACGGGCGGATTATCACTCGGGAAAAGGAAGTACCATGATACAGGAGAGTAACCTTATTCAAGGTCTGCCGAAGTTCGACGAAGTTGACGCCACCACGTCGGAGTTGCGCCACCTCCTTCGAGCCTTGCAAGGGACAAGGGAAATGAAGGAAAAGGATCTTGTTGACCCTATGGATCTAATGCTTGGAGTACAGAAGGACGAAGACGTAGAGGAGGTTAGAGAGGAGTTATTAGGAGTTATCTGCGCTGAGTGTTCTCATCCGACGTGTCACGATGATGTACAGGAACCAGGATCAATCACCGAACTACGCCGTAGTTCGCGATCTCCTCTAATACTTCGTGGGGGGTGGACCCAGAGAGGTTTCCTCGCGTTCGACGATCGCACTTATGTGCCGAACTACGCCGACGCTCGACTAAAGATCATGAAGATGCGACATGACTCGGCTTTGGCTGGTCACCCAGGTTCGGCGAAGACCCTTGAACTAATCCTAAGGGATTATGTTTGGGTTGGGGTAAGGAAGGATGTAGAAGACTATGTCGCTGGTTGTGCGGTATGTCAGAGAGCTAAGACTAACAGGCAGAAGCCTCATGGAGAACTTAAACCCCTACAAGTAGCGACAAAACCTTGGTCAAGTATCTCGATGGATTTCATCGAAGAGCTCCCAAATTCCCATGGATATAACTCTATCTTAGTGGTCGTGGATCGACTGACAAAATGGGCCATGTTTATCCCAACCACGACGAAGTTAACCGCAGCTGGACTATCGGAGCTGATAATGGACTATGTGGTGGCCCAGCATGGGTTACCAGGGAGTATAGTATCAGACAGAGGATCGAAGTTTACTTCGAAGTTTTGGAAGAACTTGACCGATAGTCTCGGGATAAGACTACATCTTTCTACCGCGTATCATCCACAGACTGATGGACAGACCGAACGAACGAACCAGTCCCTGGAATTATACCTTCGAATCTTCACTTCCTACCAGCAGAACGACTGGTCGAAGCTACTTGCCCGAGCTAGCTTTGCTTATAACAACACCCATCATTCCGCGATAAACAAGACCCCATTCTATGCGAACTATGGGTACCACCCTCGATGGGCTGAAGAGATTAAGGCTAGTGAAGTCGAGGTACCTGCTGCTACAATAGCAGTAAAAGACCTAACTGAAATACATAAGGAATGTATTGAGGGGATTGAGAGAGCTAATGAGAAGTACGCCGAAGGATACAATAGGAAACACCGAACTACGCCGAACTTCGTGGAAGGTGACCTAGTGATGCTGTCATTAGAAAATATCAAGACTAAGAGACCAATGAAGAAGTTGGACGTTAAGCAAAGTGGGCCGTACAAGGTAGTACGGCAAGTAGGTTCTCATGCTTGTAAACTGGAATTACCAGGAACGATGGCAGGTATCCATGATGTATTCCATGTTTCTTTACTCCGTCCCTATCACCCTCCGGTATTTCCTGGTCAGCAAGCTGAACCACCTGGCCCAGTAGAGGTAGATAACGTAGGAGAATCGTGGGAAGTAAAGGATATTGTGGACTCGAGAGTAAATAAGAGGTCAGGGAAGTTAGAATATCTAGTGGAATGGTTAGGTTACGAAGGCTCGGATGACGCAGTATCATGGGAACCAGTAGAAAATGTGGACGGAGCTAATGACATATTGGCGAAGTTCCACGAACTTCACCCGGATAAGCCGACGAAAGGACGAGTGGTGAGATCACGAACGAGGAAGTAATTCATACAACTGGTACAACATTAGCTAAGTACAACTCACTGCTGCGAACTTCCTCCCTGTTCTTCGTTTCCCGGTGCAGGACCACTCCCAGAACTACTCTCAGTAACCTTCGGTCCCACCGCCCGTCGGAGGGCCCGAGTCTCCTTCCATGCTGTATTAAAGGCGAGAATGTGAGCGGAGTGGAGAGCAGGATCACGAGCGACACTCAGACTAGGTGATTTCCACAACTGACGAAGTGTTCTAAGACAGTCTGCGGGAAGAGTTAGGATATCGAGGAAAGCACCATCCTGAGAACTGAGTCGAGCTGGTTGAGATGGTCTTAACCAGTCCAGTGTAGGGGGGAGCATATACTCAGTGGGGTTCAGGAGGTAAGGAGAGTCGAAGAGATTGCGGTAGAAGTCGCTCATGTCCGTTGTGAGCTCTCGGGAGACTCTAGCTAACTCAGTTTGCCCTAATGGCCCTATGTCGGAGGAGTTCACAAGAGTTGCCATTGTCCGAGAGAGAGTATTCATCGCAGAGACCAGCTTCACACAATATTCGACAAGCTTCGCCGTATCTCGTCTATTGGCTTGTAATTGCGTGGTTAAGCCAATAATGACGGAACGGAAGGTGGCTAATTGTTTGTCCTCCTCTGGTATCCGGGGATCGAGAGCGATAATGGGGTGGTCGAGGGAAGGAAGGATTTCCCCTGGTAGCTGAGTACCTTCGTCTTCCACCACAGCCGATTCGAACTGGACAGCTTTCTTATTCTTGCCTTTCCCTTTCGAAGATTTCGGAGGAGTTTTCACAGGAGGGGCAGGAGTTGAGAGCCCAGAAGCAGGAGGGACAGATGGTTGACGGCTTCGGGTCCCAAGGGCAGGAGGGAGACTTGAAGAGAAGTCCTCTTGAGTTGAGACAGGAGTGGGACGGCTCCTGCTGGGACGAGACGGAACGGCAGAAGGAGTAGCCGGGAGACGAGATGGGCCAGCCACAGGAGTAGAAGGCCGAAGAGCGGCGGAAGAAGCACGACGAGGAGTGCGACGGGACGGACCAGCCGAAGGAGTGGCAGGGAGACGTGACGGTCCGGCCACGGGAGAGTTAGGCAGGCGACGAGCGGCGGGTGACGGCGAGGTGGGGCCAGGAGAGGAGAAGTTCGCCGAAGGAGAGCGCGAAGGATATTCCCCATCTTGGGCTGTGGGGAGACGGCGGCGAACAGCGGCGGACGGAGTGTAGGGGGGACCGAGGGGAGCAGAAGGTCTTGGAGGAATGTCCCGAGCGGTGTTGGGGGGACAGAACGAGCAGGGACCAGAAGTGCAAGAAGCACAACGGGACCCGCGATTATGAGGTTTGACCGGTCGTAGACACGGCCACTTCGCTCTCCCATACGTGATAATTTCACGGCTACTAATCAGCAGACGTATAAACTTCTAGGGAAGGAACTTACCGGCATCTATCACACGACTCTTCGATACTGGCGACCTCCCATCGCTCCCTTTCATCGATGAACAACTTCCATAGCCTATCCTGCTCCCGCAACGACGCCTTGCGGGCACTCCCTGGCTCGTGGGAAGGGGAGGGAAACAATTCAGCCTGTCCTGTAGAGGACCGAGGGGTCTCTTTGACCCGTTTCGCCGAAGGAGGGGTAACTTCGTCGTGGGCGGAAGGGGAGCGGCGACGTTTCTCGGCTTTAATTTCAGCCAGAGCATCCATCTTCTCCTGATACGCAACCCGTTTCTTCCCGAAAGAAGTCTGGAGTCGTACGCGGAATTCGGGAGAACCTTCATTATCGCGAACAGCTACATGTCAGCACTTACGAACAGGGTATATGACAAGAGGACATACGGCTTAACTTTTCCAACTCTGACACCCACGTTTCTCTATCCTCAAACAGCGCTGGATCACCGAGATCAACACTGAGGATTTCCTCATCTTCATCGACCTCACCCATCTCATCATCCTCATCTGCACCACCCTTCTCACCATCATCAACCAACACACCCGTCTCTTCACCACGACGAGCACCATCCATCTCCTCATCGTCATCGTCATCGATTTCTACCACAGTGGCAGTACGGCCTGACGGGTGCGGAAGGCCAACAGGAGCAGGTCTGACCTCCTGTTGGCCAGAGGAGAGAGGGGTCGTAACCGCAACAGGGGACGCGGTGGCAGAAGGAACTGCAGCGGAGGCTGCAGCAGCAGAAGGCGAGCCATCGGTGATGGCTAGGGCTCCAAAGCCCATGGACGACACATGGCGGGGAGAGTTCCCCTGCTGAGCGACTAGAACAATCAGCGACAGAGTAGCTTATAGACAGTACGAAGAGACGTACGAACAGCGGCAAAGCGATCTGCGAAAAATTTATGGGCGTTGAGCTCCGGACGAGAAGACATTTTGTTGAGATATATCAAATTGATATGTTTGGTATGGTAAAGGCTGAGAATCGATAGACGATGATAGTATGATTTAGGATTGGTACTGGGAAAGAAGAAGAAGTGGGCCGAAGTACTGAGTATTTAGTATGACTGATACGACTACTCGTCGTCAGGGCGCTGGTAACTTCGCATAACAAGTTGTCTCAGCGACAACAAACACCATGGCGACGATCAGAATTCCCACGCTACGTGTCTCACATTCATATAAGTTAGGGATACGCTGACGAACTTCGACGAGGTTTGTTGTACCCCAAATCCTCTGTCTCACTTACAATGTAACTACCACAGGGTAACGACAAGCAACCACGATGAACTTCGACGAAGTTTACTGTCCGATTAACAACAAACCATGGTATCATCTACCAACAACCGTTATATGACAAATTGTGTTTCCTGCAACCTGCTGAGTGTCTTTTTCTTCACATACGAAGCTCACGAGGACGTTCGCGCCTAAGGAGGGGGCGACTGTCACGAACTACGTCGTAACATCCCTGACAACCACCATCACCGACCCTCCTTTCACCATCACCGACCTTCCTTTTCACCACTACCAACCTCCACTCGAACCACTGAGACCAACTACGGCTAAGTTACGAGAACCAAGAGGGGATTTGTCACGATAACCCCGCCTAGCGGGGAACTACGGCGAAGTTAGGGGAAGGGAACCGAGGGAGAGCAGAACAGGGGAAGGTACGGCGAAGTTGAACGAAGAGGACTGAGCGTGAGGCAGTGCAGGAGTTGAGGGACATTCTACGAGAAGAGAGGAGTAGTATAGATAGTTTACAGATCGCTGAACTTCTTCAGCGATCCTTGATTGTTGTCAGTAGCGAGAGATATATTCAGTAGCTACAACCTTCGAGTTAAGGAGAGCTACCACCGAGCAGTTCAACGTACTACGGCGAAGTTAGCCGTAGTTCATCGACGATCATCTTATCATTCACCACTCGACGTATTACTACGGCGAAGTTAGCCGTAGTTCCTCGACGAGTACCCTGTCTTAGTGAGACATCGACGCCCCACTACGACGTAGTTAGCCGAGGTTTGTCGACCGTCGGTCAGTTGAGAAGAAGAAACGACGATTGTGACACACCCCCCTCCCCTGCCCAAACCTCGTCTTACTTTAAAGCTCTCTCAAGCTGTTCCATTATCGCCCCCATGGCCTGAACAATCAGAGGATGACAGTGATGTTGTAGAGACACGTCCTACACAAGTGAAACAGACTAAATCGTCGAAAAAAGCCCGTCCTCTTGATTGGTCAAGAGACGGGGTTGATGGGGGGCCAACTTCTCTTGATATACTGTTGCGTTGGCTGGAAATTCCGGGGAATGTGGATCGCTGGCGTAATGGCTTTGAAGGACAAACCCAGAAGAACACCATGGAAGCATGTGCAGCCTGGCTGAGTGACAATGGAAGCCCTACGGCCCGAGATGCGTCAGCCTGTAATAGCAAGGTGGGTTTGTCCTTCTTCCTTCTCTGTTATTGTAAAGCTAATGACACAGATTCATGGTCTTTTTGCTACTTGGAAAGAAGCGAACACCTACCGTCATAGTACTGGTGCAGGGGAGGGTGGCTATATCATTGCTCGGGCTGAAGAACAAGGCGTTGAGGAGGATATTGTGGCTGCAGTTTCTCGAGTAGATCGTATGTCCCCATCTCCTTATGTCATCATTAAATCTTCCTTTCTTGGGCTGACAGGAAGGTAATACCCGCTACAAGTGCCCTCTTTGGGACACTCTCAATCCCATTTTCAAGGACAGAGACAGTGGGGACCCCTCCTTACGGTCCGATTCAACTCAGCCGTATAATCCTGCTTTGGACTCGCTATCTTCATCTCTTGGTGTAAACCTCAGAGCTAAGAACAAATATCCCATGCGTAACCAGGACTCAGACAGTGATGATGAGGATGGCTCTATGAACGATTTCCAACCACCTGGTACGCCTGCAACTCTGGCCGAAGCAGCAAGTTATTCGTCAAAGAATACAAAGAATGACAAATCAAACTTGCTGAAAGGGACACCTCCTACTAGTCTTTCTCGTTCATCTTCTAGTCTGTCAGGAACTCAGGGAGGCAAGGAGTTACCTTCAATTAGTGGAAAGCGTATGCGTATGTGGTCTTGAGCTTCCTCTGTGTCCCACTTGCTGATGCACGTCAGGTAAAAGAAGTTCTACGACAAAACAAGAAGGTGATGAGATCCTTGACGCTTTCAAAGAACAGGACGACCAATATCATGCTGCAAAGCTGGCTAAGATGGATGAAATGTATCGTTTGAAGGCTAAGAGGATGGCTGGAGACTACACCAAGGCTATATTTGAAGCAGCTGCCATTCTCATGAAGGTAGATTCGACCAGAAGTTGGGGAGACTGTCTTGCAGAAGCCCGGGCTGAAGCTGAGCGTCACCAGTAGAGCTTGTAACATACTTAGCTATGAAATTCATGCAGGAGATACCCTGGGCACTAAAGTTCAGGCTGCTCCGGGTCATATTCCAACATTTCATCCACCAACCTCTCCCTTCGGACATGACCTGACTTAAGATCTGGATACTCTCTCCGACCATCAATCGATCTAACCTGGACTGGTTCTTCAATACCAAGCCCACTTCTGATTTCTTCTGCACTCAGGACATCATTCCAGGTTGTGATCATGAGATTATGTAGCATAAAAGCAGCTTGAATCATGAGATGAGCCCGAGCTTCGTCACTTTTGTTACCAACCCGAAGTTTTGCATTTCGTAGAAACTGCCATCGTCCCTTGAGGATACCAAATGCGTGTTCGACAGCAACTCGGGCCTTAGCAGCCTTTTTATTGAAATATTCCTGGTCTCAGCATCACTCATATATTCAGAGGGTCTGTCATAGGACAAGGGTCTTGTTCTGAGGCCCCGGGAACACTTCAGCTGGAATCAGAGTGGTTTTCGCTATCTGATAATTCAACAATACTATGGTCTTTGTTGTAGCTCGAATGGTTCTGTTGTTAGAGTGCTGTAAGTAAGTCTCCTCTTGCCCAAAGTTCCTGCAGGTCCTGAGTTCAATGCTGGGTGTTTGTCACGAAGTGACAAGACAGTTTGATAGTGATAGTGTTAGGATGGGTTGGGTATTTAACCAGCGACCGGCGGTATGCAGTAACCGCCGGTTAATAGGCCTTTTAGCGCAGTGGTTTAGACCACTGTCTCTGAAGGGCACTGTTATATCGTCCCAATGCTGGTTAGTTGGTCTCGTGACAGTGTTGTCATATATTGTTTTATTTTCAGTGGATGATGTTGAGGATCGCTGCTCTTAGCTGTTCACCGGAGCCTCCTATTGAAGCTGACCTTTTTTGTGTTGCTTGGCGTGGGATGAAATCCTGGATCAAGGCTGAAGTGTTCCCACGTCCTCAGAGACACACCTTCTTCCAAACACAGTGGCTTGACACAACTTGCCAGGTCTGCAGATACCCAACGGGGTTGGCGGCGAGGAAGGGGAAGGGGAAGGGGAAGGGGAAGGGAAATACCAAAAACTCACCTTGCAAGGTTGTAGTATGTCACGAACTACGTCGTGACACCTCGATTACTCCACCAACAATGACCCTCCTTTGGCCATCAAAACCCCATCACGCCTTAACCTCTTTACTCTACACGTAACTCAGGACTTCTGACACCAAGTACGGCGAAGTTAGACGGAGTTAGGCTAAGTAGGGACAATGGGAGCAGAAGTACGGCGAAGTTAGACGGGGTTAGGCTAAGTAGGGACAATGGGAGCAGAAGTGCGGCGATGTTAGGCGGGGTTAGGCTAAGTAGGGACAATGGGAGCAGAAGTGCGGCGATGTTAGGCGGAGTTAGGCTAAGTAGGGACAATGGGAGCAGAAGTGCGGCGATGTTAGGCGGAGTTAGTCGAAGGAGGAAGAGGATGGCCGAGGGCTCGGGGAAGTTGGACGAAGTGCGTTGAAGTACGTCAAAGCGCGAGAGGGTTGGATGAACGTCTAGGAGGAGTAGATAATATTAGCTGAGAAGATCGCTGAAGTTCTTCAGCGATCCTTGATTGTTGTCAGTAGTGAAAGACAGATAGAGATAGCTATAAATCAAGATACATCGCCATCAGTAGAACAAAACCCTAGTTAGAGTAACTACGCCGAAGTACGCCGTAGTTACACCCCTGTCGACGTCTGCGCCCTCCTGGTTGGGTGAGACATCGACTCAGAGCGTGAAGTTAGCCGAGGTTCGTCGACCGTCGGTCTATTAAGAAATAGTTGTTCGACGCCCGTGACATAGTAGGAGCTCCCCTTGGTTCCTCTTGTACATTGGCACTATAGTGGTTGTACAAGTGAACCCTGAATCTGCCAAAAGAAACTCTCCTGGGTCAAAGTACTCCCGGGGACGAAGGTGTGGACCCATGGATTGTTGAAGTCGCATGTCAGATGATCGAGCTGAAAATCCCCAATGTAGAAAGGTGAAACGCTTCCTGTGGTCCACTGCTGCAAGTACATTGAAGCCATATCGTTCTTTTCTTGAATGAAATGAGCCAGAGGCAGGACCGATAGCAGGGGCACGATCAAGGTTGATATGAATACCGTCTATAAAACCAAGACAATGAGGGATGGTGTGAACATCGAGTATGTGTTGCTTGATTCTTGGTCTTTCTTCTGGCTCGGGCCACCTGATAACTTCTTTCAAGCGTTTACACATTGCATAAAGGCTACGGGACGTCCATTGGTTGACAGTTCCACCTGATGGTCAACAAAAGAACAATGATATTGTTCTGCAAAGATAACAAAATGGCGTGTTGATTTTACTCACGGGAGATACCAAATGTCCTTGCTATTGTGGCTGTATCATGTCCATGAGCCAAGCGGAATACTAAGAGTCCCAGCTGATATAGAGAGGGTGCTTGTGGCTTGGTCCCTACGCTTCTAAACACCTCATCCCCCCCAAACATCTCATCCAACCTAGACATTTCGGCTGTTGTGATTCGGAAGGCGTGGGAGTGCTGGGCTTCATTGATAAGGTAGAACTCGGCACAGGTAGAGTATATGGAGGAGGGAGGGAGGTCTTTTCGATAAGCAGGACGTTTGTAGTATCTTTGTTCTTCGATTGTTTGTTGATACACACGGAGAGTAGTACAGAGACGCAGGAGACGTTGAGATGGTTGATTTTTGAGGATTCTAGCGATCAGGTGGTCAATCTTTCGCAACATACGTTGCTTGTGATTACTTCTGGGCATATTGTAAAAGAGCTTGAGACAGAAAGTGGTTGGTGGAAGAAGATATGGCAAAATATAGAACAATCAACAGTACTAAAGTGGTAAAAGAGTTGGAAAACAGTCACGTCAGGGAGGGTAGAAAGGACATTACGTAATATTTCATGCATGTTTACACTTGGGGTGTCATTTCCTGCCGCCGAGCCAAATTACTGCTAATTCTAGAATTGACACCCACTAGTGGAAAGGTAGATCTTCCCCCGTTTGCCACGAATCACAATTCCAGCTCACTCCTTTTCTCAATCACAAGTAACTGAGAGCAAGAGACGACGGAAATCACGCTAATCGTTCTAGGCAAAGACATGTACTGCTGTACCGACGTCATCACACCCAAGGAGATTGCTACCATCGTGGAGCAAGTGAGCGGTAAAAAGGTAAAGACTCTTGGAATCACTCGCGAGGTATTAGAGTCCGAGGAAATGAAGACAAAACTTGGCCAGGCAATGTGGGACCAAAGCAGATTATGGCTGTTGGAGTGAGTGACAATCTCTTCCTCTTCCACGCCTACTTTCTCAACATGGCCATCCTGAGATTGGCCCTTCCGACCTCACACCCGGTTTTACCGATCGACTAATCCACAGTGTTGTCAAACGTGACGTCGCCGCCAGTAGGGCCATTGCTCCTGAGGCGTGGACCTTTAAGGAGTGGTGTGAGAAATCAGAGAGGTTGCAGAAATACATGAACCAGGACGAGTAGAATCCAAATCGAAGGCTGGATTGTGAATCAATGATGTTCTATAAATCTGCCATGTCACTATCTGTCACATTCAAAAACAAAGACACGTCAAAAGTTTCATGCTACGTGCACTGAGCTTACAGATTTCGCATGTCACTCCTTCGATCCCTTCGAGATCCTTGCCAACACTATTGGTAGGTGACGTGACGAACGGACCTAAGGCAACGGTTGAGCGACGGATCATTCCTCCATCTTTGTTACGACCTGGCTAACCAGCACCAGGCCATACACTGGCCATGCATGTGACATCTTATGCCACTAGCCACTGCGCTAAAAGGCACAATATCGCAATCAGCCCTATGATTGCGATCCGGTTAAAACCTGATGTCACGACTGAGGTTGCAGGGTCGTGACAATCTTCCTCTCATCTCTCATCTCATCCAGATCCTCTGATCCTTGACTCATTCAGTTTTCCCTGCCCACCCACCCTGTGGATAGCTCCTTTGTACGTTGTAGGATGATAGGGTTCTCCACCGGGGGATTTGTCCAATAGGGTTTCGTGTTGTGCGCGAAGTTTGGTTCTGCCCGGAGTGGACGTCGATCCACATCACGCATGACCAGAGCGATACGGTGCCTTCGTCGTTCACTTCGACGATTCGACGACGGTCTTTCGGCAATTGAAATAATGATTATACCTCCTCCACACTCCCCGATCCGGTAAAAATCAATGGAATGGCTGAACAAGCTTTCTCAGCCGTCGCCGTGACGCCAGTGTCAGTTACCCAACTAGTTACGATCACTGGACCATTTGCAATTGAACGGTGAACGGAGGCGACTCGTTTGAAAGGCATTGAGGGGAATGCTCAACTCCGGACGGTACACAAGGGAGTTTGATACCCCTCGTATCCCCTTATGAAAGCAAGATCTCTCAACATGATCCTCAGGATCAAACAGATCTTATCGATTACCACAGCAAGTCAGGTGCCCAAGATATGTCAAAATCAATCTTCGTGTTCACCGTCACTGGGGAGCAAGGATCTTCAGTGGCAAAGTACATGTTGGAAGCGGAATGGCAAGTGAGTGGATTGACCAGGAACTTGGAGAGTGAATCAGCCAAGAGTGAGTTTTGTTACATCTACTTGTTCCCACTTAAGTATTTCTTATTTCTACCTTACTCGATGCTTGTTACCAGAAGATGCTGATCAATTAGAGTTAGCTGAGAGTGGAGTAAAACTGCTCAAAGGTGATTTGGCAGATAGAGCCTCGTATGAGCATCTGCTCAAAGGTCACGACGCAGTGTTTGTCAATGCCGATTGTCAGTTCAACTTCCGTTGCTTCTTTGTTTGATCGTTCCAAATCCTCAATCTCATGAAAATCCATGTCACGTTCTCACTGTACGACTACTTTACAATGAAGAATTGACATAGCTAACTCATATCAGTCTGGACCGTTTACACTCACAACGGATATAACGGCGATGAAGCTGGTAAAGAAGAGACTCGTCAGGCTATGGCAGCAATTGACGCTTGTAATCAAGCTGGTATTCCTCATATCGTTTATTCAACGTTGGAAGGTGAAGATATCCCTCATTGGCAATCAAAGCATCTTGGTTAGTTGAGCTTTCTCGTGTCTCTTCATCTTGACCTCATCTCCACTTAACATCGATCCCTGAAGAAAGTTTGTTGACTATTCAGTGAACGAATGGATTAGAGAACATAATATTCCCGTCACTCAACTCTATACATCTTCTTTCAATTCCAACATGTATCGATTCGACTATCTTAAATCTGATGGACAAGGCGGATTGCTGCTCAATATTCAAACATTGGATGACGCTCGTGTACCCACTGTATCCAGTGAACAAATGGGAGCTTGGGTGAAGACTGCCGTTGAGAATCCCGAGGAATGGAAGGGTCAGTCTTGGTTTCAATTCTCCCTTCTTCCACACCCTCTTATGCGTATTTCATCATTCTCTTCTTTCGACTATACTTCGGGTGGTTCTCCTTTTCGCTTATCTGCTCGGAGATCTTATCTATCTAGAATGCTCATCCTTTAGTCGAGTGGACATGCCACGAAGATCCGCAACGAAAATACTGATGGACAGGTAAAAACATGTACGCATGTACAGATTACCTAACTGTCAAAGAAATGGCCCACATTCTCTCTGAATACATGGGTAAAAAAGTCGATACCCCTCATTTAACTCCTGAGGCACTTGAATCCGATGTGACTGTATCTATCGTAGGATTTGAAATATGGTGTCAGAATAAAGTCTGGGCTTCTGGGTGAGTTTTACTTACTCCTCTTCTCCACCTTCTCCACCTTCTCCACCTTCCTCACCTCTCATTTTACAGACACATGCGACAAAATCAACATGATGACATAGTAATGATGCTGATCCTTGTAGAACCGTGATTCGCGATGTAGAAGAAAGTAAAAGGATCGCTCCTGGAGTTTGGACTTTCAAAGAGTGGTGTGAGAAATCCGAAAAATTCCATGAGTATCTGGCTCAACTGAAATAAGAAGTGATCTAGGGATTCCGACAAGCGAGAATGTCATGAAAGGATATCACAGGACGTATACATCCATTGATATTGTATAAGCGGATGCTCAATGTCATACATATTTCTTCAATCTCCGAGTTGATTATGGTCCACTTGTGCCAATCTCTTTCGTTGGATATAACAACATCGCTCTTATCCCAGTCAAATTGTGATCTACATAAACTTCATCCAATTTACTTACTTCATCTTGTTCTATCAAAATGCGTAGTACGAGTACTCCAGACATGACAAGTCATTTCACTGATCCAGAATATGTTTTCCATAACATATTGGATAAAGCTACTATTTCTTATCTATCTCGTGCTAGTTTACTTGATCGATTTAAGAATTCAAATAAATTGAAAGAATTTCAATTACTTATCCGTGAGACCCTTCACTCTTGTTGTTCTACCTTTTTATCATCTCCCGTCACTGAATCTGATGAGAATTCTCTGATATCTTATAAGAGTCATATGAATGACACGGAGTTCATAAAACTCATGGAACTAAACAAACCCATGGACCCAATGTCCATTCGGATAGATAATATGGATAAACCTTTTCGTGACGAACAAGACAACATAGAATTTTCTCTAAGAACGACAATGACACTTAGAACTTTCAAATCTCATATGCCTGACTATACGATCGAACCAATTACATTTTACTTCTCTATCACTTTTCCTGATTTGATTAATGATTACCACACAGCCACTCAAGAAGCTTTATCAAATTTTACCAACAAACTTCGTAAAGATCATCCGGCAGAAGAATCCTTGGAAATTATACGTGATACTGTTGATCAGGATTTAGGTGGGAAAGCAGGTGAGGATATGTTCCGAGATCAGAATGGTTTAGATGATTATACTTTACTCGATCTGAAAGCTGAAATTACACATGATTGGAAAGAAGTAGATGGGTATTGGTGGTTAGCACTCACGCTCAAACATGATGGGTTCGTATCGGATGATGGGATAAAATGGAGGGCTTTGAAATCGCCCAAGAGGGACAAAACGAGAGATAAAGGTATTGTCACTTGGATATCTTGGCCGGGAAGCTTAGATGGGTCCCCAGGGTATTCGGACGTTTACGATTCGGAAGAGAATTGATAGTTCACATGACACATTGATTTTGTTTGAGGTTGAGGATATGAAAGAAAAGTTGCATTGATGCATGACTATAACAACTTTTTGCTTGTTTATGTGTTGGATACCACTATATTCCCTTTCGACAATTTAACCGTTTTAGATACTTTGACTCTGCTCACGTTCCATCCACTGTACCCCTTGCAGAACTCAGTGAAGGATATCAAGTATTCACCGAATCATCTGTTTCTTTTGTTGTTTTCTCTGCTCACGTTTCTTCTCCAATTCTTCCACCCTCTTCAACTCTTTTTCCGTCATTGACGCCCTTTCAGCTTTCTTCTTAGCGGCCCGTTTCTCATCTACGGTCTCTTGGGGTACGGTATTTTCAGACAAGGCTCTTTTATATTCCGCCGTGAGCTCGGAATCGACTTGTTGACGAGTCCGAAGGAGTTTTCTTGTTACCTAGGTGTCAGGATGTTTACCTTGTTGCTTGGTTTTACCGGAAACGACTCGAGTCTATTCAAGGGGATGGAGATGGGAAGTCAAGGATTGAGAAGGTATCACTAACCTCAGCCTTGACGAGATTTGGTTTCGATAACAAATCAGCAATGTTAAGAGCTACCTGAACCCATCCGGCCACTGCGGCGTATTGAGCCTTTGAGCTAGGCTTATAAACCGACAAAACCACCTGCCGGGATTTCACCTTGGTGGGCAGTGCACCACGTTGAGGTTTCAAAGCGGAAACGTCGGTAATCTATGGATCAGTCGAGTTCACGTTCACTGAACATCATGCTAGCAGATGGCAAGTCGGGCGTGAACGAAGTAAATTGTAGGAAAGGGTGATTACATGAGGAAAATGAGAAAAAACTGACCAGGAGATATTTCAGCACCTTGGCGGAGACTGGATCGTTGATCAACTCAGTAATCCCCACATTGGGAGTTTTGAGCAAGATATCGGAACAATCTGAATGCTCGTTGAAAAGGACATGGGTGATCGGGATGTTGGGAGCGGATTCTACCAATCGAGGGAAGGTCTGGGGTAAGTTACTCTCATCGTCAAGTACATGTAATAGAATTGGAATCATAACTCACCAAGTCATACCTCGCCTGTCGCAAAGTCCTCAAAATCGATTTATTAACCAAAGCCCATACTCCCACACCTTGTCCATCTTGAAGTCCATCTTCACCTCTTCCAAGTGTAACTTCAAACGTAATAGTCTCGCTCCCGTCGTAAGCCGGAGCGAAAATGATCATACCCAGATGTTGTATGAATCCCGCAACGTCGTGCCATGGCCAAAAGAGGATAGTAGCGTGTAGAAAGAGAACGTTACGACGACCCGTAGCGTAGAGAAGACGTTTTGCTGGGGAAGCGGAGACTAGAGGTCTTATACGTTCGAATTGAGTTTCGAGGAGGGATCGGAACGGTGATATACTGAGAAGGTTAGTCCATTCCCCTCATCCACGCCCATCATCCATCCCTCATAAGTTTCTTATATCCCTTTGAACACCGGTGGGAATACTTATCAAACCATTTGTACCAGTCTAGAAAACATAAGGGGCCAATAGGACAGCTCGATCTTGACACACATTCAGGGCTGTAAAGTTTACACAATGGAAAGAAGGGAGAAGAAAAGCCAAACGAAGACTCACGTCGATTGTGCACGTCTATCATTGATCACCTTACCCAAATAATAAATCAACAGATATAAACCACCGATCCCAAATAACAAACCCTCCATTTTAAACTCAGCAGGACGTATAACGAACATCTTCCATCTATACTCCCATCCATCGTATTGACTGGTGACGGGACCAGGAGGAGTCGCAAAGAGTGAGAGGAGGGACATGATCGGATGAGCCGCCCAATCTTTTTCTTCAGAAGCCATGTTGTCGAATTCCCTTTTTTTTAACAGTCTCTCTATAGAAACAGGGTAAGGTGGCAGAGGGAATATGAGTAAGTTAGTAGTAATTCAGGTGGATAAGGGTGAAGAGGTGGCTTGGAAAAAGAGTCGTGGCAGTGTGGCACTTTCCCCCCCATGCCCGTCGGCCGTCTGTCGGATCCGAGAAAAGAGAGCGGTCATGGGATGATATCTATGATCTATGGCAAGAGAAGAGAAGTGAACATGGAATGTTTTGAAGGGAGAAAACGGGAAGATGGATATGAGACTAAGGAAGTATAGGTATGAGACGAAGGAGAAAAATTCTCAGGAGGATCAAGTTTCATCTTGAAAGGTCCTTTGTAGACTCTGTTGCATGTCATCTTTCCCAAATTTGTCAAATAGCTCAATGTTGACAGAGGTCTTACACGTCTTTCAATATCTTGTCGCGTTTTGCAGTGTATCCATAAGACTTACAAAATCTCTCGATGAGTTTTACGAAAAGGGAAATCGTCCTGGCGACGACACAACATATTCGTGAGTTACTTCACTTTACTGATACATCATAAACCACCAATTTGTCCTCTTTTTTTCTAAGGGAGGGAACAGAGTATTCTACCAAATGGCTAAGTTATTTGTTAGGGGCAGAGGTCTATGAGTTCACAGTTGGGTCGAATATTGACGGGCTAGTGGAGATAGTCATCGTCGTATTCGCTATCGCTGTCATCATCTTCCTAGCTAGACTCTACCTTCAACGTTCACTCGCTCGTCGATACGCTCCTCGTGCCGAAGAGATGTTACAAGCTGTCAAAAATCATCAAATCCAAGACGCTTCATTCTCCGACAGTGCAGGGGCGGCACGTGCAGTCATAGAAGAAGAAAGACCGAAATTAGGATGGTTGAAGAGGACGTTATTGTGGAAATCGGAGAATGCTTTGGTAAGGAAGGTGTCGAAGAATATGAAGTCTGGAGGTGTGTGACCGATCTTCTGACGGGAGATCCGTCTATCGCCTATGGGCTCAACATATTCTTGAAGGGCCAAATGATTGTGATATCCCTCCACGACGTTTGTCATGCATTATCCTCTGATGCACATTAAGCATTACGTATAGTCAGATATTGGTACTGTCATAGAATCGTTAACCTATTACTCAGCTTGGATTGACGTTTCCTGTCCTTTTCCTCCCTCATCTCCGTCTTTCTCTGACCCAGATAACCCCTCCACGGCTCCTCCAGCCGCGTGCTTCGGTAACGGTACAACCTTCCTTGGTTCACTAACCACCGTAGTTGTACTCGTAATTGGCACCGGCTTGTCACTCATTCCATGTGGGGTCATATTTCCCCCTTCTCCCGTCCCTTGTTCCTCTACTATATGACGCCCACTTCTTCTCAGCTCGGGAGTCGGAGGTAAAGGTCCAGTATCCAGCTCATCCACTCTTCCTAGATATGGTTGATGTCCCGGATCATGTTCCCCAGCCCCTCCTGTCCTATCCGACCCAGTGACTATCGCCGCTGCGGCCGTCGTACTCAACTCCATATCCTCCGGCTCAGGTGTTGGACTTCTCGGTCCTATACTCGATCCTTCACCAAATCTGAAATTGCCATTACCATTCTTATGACTTTCACCCAATATCAACGGAGACATCAATCCCCCTAATTTGTTATCTCCTCCATTTTCATGTTGTTCGGACCAGGGTTCGTCATGATCCATGGCGAGGAAAGGTATAGGTGAAAACATGGGGGTTCCACTTCCAGGAGGCATAGTAGATTCTTCTGATCCGGAATCGGAAGCTGAATCAGAGTCGACACCGAAATAAGACCGAGCTGCACCTTGTGTACCGTTGGGAATGTAAGTATAGGACGGAGGTTCCCATGGTGTAGTGACAAGGAGGGATTTCTCCACCGCTCGTAAATATTTCCCGAGTGTGTTATGATGTCCAGTAGGAAAAATGAGAAGCTCAGCCAGCCGCTGGATAGTGAATGGGGGACTGAATATCAATTCTCACGTATCACGAGGAATGAAAAGAGGAGGCTCACTAGTCCAAATCATCCAAAATCTGCAGTAAACGATCCACTTCCTTTTTGGCATCTTCTTCTTCCAACCAACCCGGTAATTTCTTACCGCCAATCACGACATTTTCATCCCATTCATCATCATAAACGTACAGAACCATCGGTCTTGATGGACCTGCCCCATTCGGTCGTGAAGGTAATTCAGGGTAGGAAGATTGTATTCTACCACCACGACGCCGATTAGGATCTAAAGGAGGAAAAGGAGGTAAGACTAATCCGCCCCTGGTGGATGGTCTGAGAGAAGGGTGTACCGGAGCATCTTCCGGTGGAGAAGGAGTCATACTACCAGGTGAATGGGATAACGACCCCTGTGTTTGAAGGAGACCGGTGGTGGGACGAGATGGAGAAAGCAGTAAAGATTCCTCAGGAGGCGCATCACCTTTGGCGTCGGATGACGTGATGGGTGTGTCGGTGATCGCATGTCCGGGTTGAGGATGTGAAGAAGGACTACGAGGCTGACCTAAAGAGGTGAACACGGGAAGGGTAGCTTGTAGTGCAAGGCGGAAATGGTGTTGTAAAGTTGGCCAATCGGAACTGTAAGACTATCAGTCAGTCTTTCACAAAGAGAGATAATGTAGCTCACTCGAACGTGTTGGTGGAGGCCAACTTGTGTAGTATAGGATCAAAGTCGGTTTCAGGAGCGTTCTGACGATGAATAACAGGCGAGCTGTCCATCTTGCACTCGATGGACTATATCTGTATGTCTGTAGGGTACCGAGCAGATAGCCATACAGGGGTTGCAGGAAGGGGAGTGTAAAGTGGGGAGCATATACAAAGAGAACAAAAACGGAATCAAATTGAGAATTCTTTGGAGGAATATGCGAGAACGACGAATGGCCGAGCGTGAACAAAAGCTGAATCACTTCCATCCTATAACAAATCTCTCCATCCTGATCAGCACGTCAGCGTCTCATAGCAGACACACCTCAGTCCAGTCATAAGTACATAGTATCTCATCTTTCCTGATTCTCCACTCACAAAAATCCCGACCAGCTAGAAATATCTGCCATCGATCAACGCCACAAAGTTGTAGACTAGTAGCGACCAAAATTCTCTTCTTCCTTCACTCTATCACTCAAATCTAATTTCTGAATCTCCCCAAAGCTAAGATGGCGGTGAGAGAAACGTAAGTCTCAATATTCTTCGTGATGTCGGGCTTTCATAGAATGGGCTGCTACTTGTCAGCTGCTCCGAGCACACGAGTGACCGCACTTGCTGGGACAACACGCTGACATAGGTCCTTCAACTCTCGCCTCTCACTTCACATCGCTTACTTCTCCCTCGTCTATCTGGTCATCTCAACTCAATCATAACAATACATTCCCCCTTGTTGGTACAACAGCGAATACTAGTGAGTGTTTTCCATGGTTTGCATCCATCCGCCGCTGACAAATTCAGTGACAAGCTCGGTGTTGCTCACGATGCCACTGATGATGAAATCAAAAAGGCGTATAGAAAAAAGTAAGCTTATACCGTCAGTCATGTTCGGCGTAGCCTGACAATCCAGTGCTCTCAAACATCATCCCGACAAAGGTGGTGACCCCGAGCTTTTCAAAGATCTCACCCTAGCGTAAGCGCACACGTGTTGCTGTGTTTCTGGCTATTTTGGCTGATGGACGATCAGCTATGAAGTTTTGTCAGACTCAAACAAGCGAGCAATCTATGATCAAGGCGGAAAAGCTGCTTTAGAAGGTGGCGGTGGTATGGGTGGCGGTATGGATCCTCAAGATCTGTTTAGTCAATTGTTCGGTGGCGGCGGAGGCTTCTTCGGCGGTGGCGGTGGTGAGTCCATTGAATTCCAATGTCCGTATTCACAGTTGACATGAGCAGCCAGCAGAAACACTGGACCTCGTCGTGGGAAAGATCTTGTACATCGAATCGGCGTTTCACTCGAAGATCTTTACAAGGGGAAGGTTCAAAAGCTCGCGCTTTCCAAATCTGTCATCTGCAAGACTTGTGAGGGTCGTGGCGGTAAGAAGGGCGCTGTCAAGCAATGCACGGCATGTCGAGGACAGGGTGTCAGGGTCATTCTCCGTCAATTGGGTCCGATGATGCAACAAATCCAACAGCCATGTAATGAGTGCGAGGGAACAGGAGAAGTCATGGATCCTAAAGACCGATGCAAGTCGTGTAACGGCAAGAAGACTATCTCTGAACGCAAAGTACTCGAAGTTCACATCGACAAGGGTATGAAGAGTGGACAGCAAATCAAGTTTCCTGGTGAGAGTGATCAAAGTCCCGGTGTCATCCCCGGCGATGTGGTGATTGTTTTGGAGGAAAAACCTCACACTCGTTTCCAGAGGAAAGGAGATGACTTATTCTGTGAGACAGAAGTAGACCTTTTGACAGCCCTGGCTGGAGGAGAGTTCTCTATCGAGCATCTTGACGATCGTGCTTTACACGTCACCATCGTGCCAGGTGAAGTCATCAAACCGGGTGAGTCTTACGAGTTTCACCAGTAGTCAGAGCTAAGTGACCAGGCGCACTCAAAGTCATCTCTGGTCAGGGTATGCCATCTTATCGTCACCATGAACCCGGTGATCTTTACGTCCGTATCGGTGTCAACTTCCCTCCAACCATCGAACCTACCGCTATCCCTTTGCTGGAGTCCGCTCTGCCGCCACGACAAGTGGTGCAGAAGTTCGGCAAGAAGGTACATGTTGAGGAAGTCCTTCTGGAAGAGCCAAACGATCGTCAGAGGAAGAATGCGCACAACGGAGATGAGATGGATGAGGATGAAGAAGAACACCGAGGTGTACAGTGTGCTCAACGTGAGTGACGATGACCTCGAAACAAGAACCATGTCAGCTGACTGTAAAATAGAATGATCTTTGAAACCATCTTCATTTCGTATCATCTCTTCACCCCTTTGAGCCTACGACACCTGGCAGTCTGAGCGTCGTCGAGAGTGGATGACACTAGTATACCCCTGCGCGATGCGTATAGACATGTTATTAGCATAGTTGGTCACGATGCACGGTTTCTGCTTTTTCAAAGTGCAAACTGGCTTATCGTCGTTATCACTCTTATGTCCATGAAAAAGCCAGGTGGCACGCCAATGTTCATCTACAGACACGCGACGCGTTTTGACGCGTTTCCTCACTTGACTCTTCCCATCCCTTCTACTCTACTTGACTGATCCACTGATTACTGGACAACTCTTCGTACACTGCCCATCATCTGCATTAACAATGTCTTCCCCATTCCCCGGTGGCTATCCGTCATCTTCAGCTCCCACTCCGCAGTCGTCATCACTACCCACTTCCAGACCCGTCGTCGACCCTTTGGCATTTGACAACGTCCGCGGACTTCGTGGTTCTCCCGCTGGGGTCGAAGAGGCCGAAGAGGAGGGTACTGGTGGTCGTAGAGGTCCAGGAAGGCGAGCGAGATTTGATGATGTCGCAGATGTCCCTCGAGTGAAGGACGCTACAGGGGAGAAGGTTATGGAGAGTTTTGCTCTTTTCCTCGAAAGGTGGGTATAGCGGATTTTGTGATCATGTCTATCTCTCACCTACAATCTCCACGATCTCTTCCCTTCCATGCTGCTGTGAACGTTGATACCTCACATTTCATCGATACTCTGGATGTACATTGTGAACTTAGGTAGGTTTGAGAGAAATGATACAATTAACTTTTCAGTTTCACAGAACATATCGCTTTGCCAGACACTCCAGGATCTATGAACGCTCCCACCCCTCGACCAACAGCAGCAGAAGAGAATAAATTTTACGTCGAGCAAATCAAAGCTATGAAAGAATTCGAACTAACGACTCTTTATGTCGATTTTGGTCATTTACTCGAACGTGAAGAAGTTTTAGCTAGAGCTATCCAATCACAATATTATCGTTTCCTTCCATATCTTCGTAGAGCTTTACAATCTTTGATACGTCGATACGAACCGACTTATCTTTATACTTCCACTTCTTTCTCTACTACTCAAAGTACTTCTTCATCAAGTCTTCAAACAAGGGAATTCAATATCGCTTTTTATAACCTTCCGTTGACCAATGGAATTAGAGATTTGATGATGGATAAAATAGGACAATTGATTTCAATCTCTGGAACTGTCACACGTACTAGTGAAGTAAGACCTGAATTGATTTCTGGAACTTTTGTTTGTGAAGGTTGTGGAAGTACTATACGTGATATTGAACAACAATTCAAATACACAGAAGTGAGCTTTTGTCTCGCTTGTCCCCCACAGATCTCAGGCTGTCAGAAAGATGATTAACAGCTGACGAATAGCCCATTATGTGTCAAAATTCAACTTGTAACAATAGAACAGGTTGGCAATTGAATATTGAACGATCTAAGTTTTCCGATTGGCAAAAAGTTCGTATTCAAGAAAACGCCAATGAGATACCAACAGGTAGTATGCCAAGGTCGTGAGTTTCTTTCTCAGCTATTTTACTCCGTTCCTCCGAGCTGATGTTATAAGACTTGATGTCATCCTTCGTGCGGAAATTGTCGAAAGAGCAAAAGCAGGTGATAAATGTACTTTTACAGGTACATTCATCGTCGTTCCTGATGTATCTCAATTAGGATTACCAGGTGTAAACGCAGAGATGATGCGTGAGAATAAAGGTGGGAGAGGTGATGGTGGTGTAGCTAGTCAAGGTGTCACTGGTTTGAAAAGTTTAGGAGTAAGGGATCTACAATATAAAACCGCTTTTTTAGCTTGTATGGTACAAGCTGCAGATGCTAGGGTGAGTGATGGTAATCTTTCTTCCTTCTCCATCCCATGCTCCTTCTCGTCTGTCAAATGCGATTGCCATCCCAAAGGTGCCAATGCCAGACTTCACGTCGAAGTCGTTCGGAGGAGAAGAAATAAAGATATTACTTTCCGCTTCAAATCTGGTCATATGGTTGGATGAACTCTTGCTGATGATATAGGCCGGAGCGACGGACGTCAGAGGTGATCTTGAAGATGGTATGGAAGATCAAGAAGCTTTCCTCAATACTCTCACTCAACAAGAAATTGACGAATTGAAAAATATGGTCAATTCCGATAACATTTATCAAAGATTGGTACAATCCATCGCACCTACCGTCTATGGACATGAAATCGTCAAGAAAGGTATTTTGTTGCAACTCATGGGAGGTGTACATAAACAAACTCAGGAAGGAATACATTTGAGAGGTGATATAAATGTTTGTATTGTTGGTGATCCGTCAACAAGCAAGTCACAATTTTTAAAGTGAGCATTTCTTCCTCTTCCTCTTCTTCTGCCCCTACGCCTCCCGTCCCTTTTCCCTTACGAACTTCCTTATCACAGAAGCACATGATCCTCAAATGATCATGCTGGGTATATGTGTGAGAGCAAGATCAAATTACACATGCGATCTTCAACGTTGTCAGTTGACACAACAGATACGTCTGTGGATTCCTTCCTCGTGCTGTATACACATCCGGAAAAGCTTCAACAGCTGCCGGTCTAACAGCCGCCGTTGTCAAAGACGAAGAATCTGGAGAATTCACAATCGAAGCTGGTGCTCTCATGTTAGCCGATAATGGTATTTGTGCCATTGACGAATTTGATAAAATGGATGTTGCCGATCAAGTCGCTATTCATGAAGCTATGGAACAACAAACGATATCAATCGCAAAAGCAGGTATTCAAGCTACTTTGAACGCTAGAACTTCGATTTTAGCAGCTGCCAATCCCGTAGGAGGTCGATATAATCGTAAAATATCTTTTCGACAAAACGTAGCAATGAGCGCTCCTATAATGTCACGATTCGATCTCTTTTTCGTTGTTTTAGATGAATGTAACGAAGAAGTAGACTTACATATCGCTCAACATATAGTAAATGTTCATAGGTATAGAGATGCTGCTATTTCACCTGAATTTAGTACAGAAGCTCTACAGAGGTATATTAGGTATGCTAGGACTTTTAGTCCAAAGGTATGTCCACCGTTTTCGTTTGGAAAAAGATGTGTAGAAGGAAGAAAAATGCTGATATGTAGCTTACACCGGAAGCTTCGGCAGTTTTGGTTGATAAATATAGAAGTTTGAGACAAGATGAAGGAGGACCTGGGAAAAGTAATTTCAGGATCACGGTGAGACAGTTGGAATCGATGATTAGACTTTCGGAAGGTATAGCTCGTGCGAATTGTCAGAATGAGGTGAGTCGATTTCTGTTTCTTTTCTGCTTTCCACATCGATTTTCTCAGCTCTGAAATTACCTTCAGAGTTGATTTAGTACACAAAACTTTCTTTTCAGATGATCCTGGCCCAATGGCGGGACAGCCAGAAGTCACAAATGCTCGTATATGTTTCATAAGTCGTCAGTGGTAGGAAAGGGGAAGAGACTATGGACAGAGGGGGGTGGGATTTGAGAGATATGGAATTAACATCAAGATTACACCTGCCATCGTACGAGAAGCATACTCCCTCTTACGTCAATCTATCATTCACGTCGAACAAGATGATATCAATTTCGACGAGGAAGAAGATATCGGTAATCATGGTACCGTACCTGGGCCAGATAACACTCATTCGACTGATGAAGAAACGATGGACGCTGCGGATATAGCAGCTTTGAACGCTGTTGAATCTAGTTTCCAACAGAGGGGAACATCATCTGGTCAAGCTCAACCTAGAAAGATGAGGATCACCTGTGAGTTATACCCATTTCTACTCATCCTACAGACTTTGATTCATTCCCTTTATACAGTACAACTTTGTGCAGATCTTGTTGTCATAGGAGTAAACTTTCATCCTCTTCGTCTTTTGTCGCACTAATTGCTATTTCACCTCGTCATCTGTGAATTATCCAAGTGCGAATCGATTGGAAGTGCGGACGGAGAGAAGTGTGATGATGGATCCAAGTTGAATGAACATGGACTAATCTTAGATAATCGTTATATGGAAATCATGAACCTATGTGTACTTCATCTTTCCGATGTGGAACGTGAGACGGGGATGGGTATAGATAGAGAAGAACTCATACAGTGGTATCTCGAACAAAGAGAGATGGACTTTGAAACTGAGGAGGATTTGGAATATGAGAGGGAATTGATAGCTAAGGCTTTGGTGAAGTTGGCCAAGGTGAGTGAAGAATCTGCAATCCTAAACTTTGACTCTTTCGACCATCATCCAGACACCTCTATCTTGTGGGATTCTTGCACCTTATCGCTGCGACCCGACGTTTGGACACATCTTAGTCCTTGGCGCGGTTTCGAACGTTGTGAACGCACGATTATTCCAATTTTGAGTGATGAGCAAAACTGATGACAGGATAATTACCTACTTGAAATCCGTGGAGATGTTCGTGAAGGTCTGGCACCTTCGACAGAGGGAGAAGAATCTATGCAATCTGCCGCTGATTCAACTGACAAAATTTATTATGTCGTCCGTGAGTCATCATAAAACACCACAACGAATCTCAGACTGATATATCAGATCCTCAAGTTGATTTATCGGATTTATCTAGTTCAGTGCCAATGTGAATGTTTTCTCGTTATGCATTTTTGCTCTTTTGCCCCCACTTTACTTCCTTGGCTTATATTCCATTCCGTCTATATTATCAGTATATTGAACGCCAGTCAGAACGAAGTCACACTCACAAACATTACGATGACATGCATTGTGAAGTCAAATTGCATCTCACACTTTCATCTCCCCCTGTTTCTCTTTCAGACTTAATTCCAACCCTTGTAAAGTCCTCACCAACCCACCTCCTCCAGCCTGTCCTAAAACACCTACCAATTGCCTCCCTGGCATCTGTAACAACCCTACCAATTCCGCCCTCAATTGATCCATCTCTCCCAATTTGCTCACTCCTTCTACCCTGGAAACCTCCATCAATCTCCCTTCCAAAACACCAGCAACGAGTCGTAATGTCGGCTGTTTCTTCTCTTCCACACCGTCTCTATTCCGACTTTTGATCGTCCGTTGGATTGTTAATAGAAGTCTGGACAAGTAACGAGGAGATAAATCTGGACATGTGATGAGAGCCGTTGGACCTTCAAGAAGAGATGTGAGTGAAGAAGAATGAGATCGAGTCGAAGTAAGGGATAAAGAACGTGTGACGGCGGACAAAACACCAGTACGGGAGATGGTGAGAGTGGCTTTTTCATTTGATATTCCTCCACTCGTTATTTCTTCAGATAGATGTGGTTGTGGTTGGTTGTTAGGGAGCAAGACTGGAGAGGTTGAGTTGGTTAGAGGGATAGAACGTATATTCTTACGTATAGCTTGTAAATCTTTCACGGAAAGATTGTCATGAGCGAACAGTAGAACGAGATTAGATCGATGGAAGAGATAAGAATAATAAGCGTAAAGAAATGTCTTACGATTTGTATATTGACGCGAGTCGGATAGAGTTGGAATTGAGGAAATGATGGGAGGATGAGGTTGTGAGTTGGTAGTGAAGTTTCGGACTTGTCGGATAGGTCTTCTGAGGGATACGAAGGGAAGGTCAAGTCTCATACTTGGGTTGGATAAGGGTATTCGAAGTGTCATTGTTATGAGTTGACTTTTCATACGGTTCAACTTTATTCCGTTCGACTTTTGAGAAAGGTGGGCAAGTGTTATGACGTGGGATTTTGAGGTAAGAGAGTGATAAGCTCTCCAGGCGATCACGCGTGCGTTGAAATCGACAGTAAAGCTTGTTCGTCACCACATTCCTCTTCACTCTTACACATCGAAAGATCGGACACTAGAGAGGGAAGGATAAAGTCAAAGAGTGAGACAATATGGACATTGATACTGCCCCAGGACCATCGACTTGGTTGGAACAACAGGAAATAGCTGCACCTTCCGAATTGAAGGATTGGTGGACGAGAATACGATCGGCCTATGAGAGAAAGTGAGTGGGTGTTATTTGGTGTAAGCTGGTTTGAGGGTGAAGATGTTGATGTGGTAACACCCTATGGTAGACAGATGGGTGACGTGCTTGGTTCAAAGATCATGTAAAGGAGTTGGCACCCACATATGACACTCAAGTTGACTAGTATTGTGGAGAAACATGGTTTCGCCATGAGCAACGACATTTGAAGGAGGCAGAGGTGGGAAGACTTGAGCTGAGGCTGACTTTTAGATTATGGCATAACCTCACCGTCGCTCTGACAGAATTCGTCTTCCTCCCAAATACAGGACCGTATCAGATAGAACTGTTTGAGAAGTGAGTCGTCCCAGTCATCTTCCCTTCTTGATCCACCAAGACAACAAACGACCGTCAGGCAGGTATTCTTCCTACGACTTCATTTTCACAGTAATTTCAGAGAGAAGAACTGGAAGAAAATGGGGAGACACTTGCCATATATCAATCTCTGCGATTTGAACCTCGTTGACACTCAGATTCATCGTCGCCATCTCTTCTAAACTCAACGAACTTCGACTCGTGGAAATAGCTCGTCGTGTGGGTCGAGAATATTCAGGTCAGTCCCCCTCTTCTTCCACCTCTATAGTCCGTCGACTAACACTGACATTTACAGATCCCGCTCTCACTCTCCAGTTCCTTCAATCCGTTCACGCTCGACTTCCTTCCCCTTATCCCGTCCCAGCGACTGAAGATACTCTCGGTCAACCCGCCCCACCTCATCCAATCCCAGAAGCTTACGCTCTATCCCTCTCTTCCATCGCCTACGCCCAGCTCCTCCTTGGCGATCTGACAGCATGTAAAAAGTCTCTCGACGAATGTGAAACTCTACTTGATGAACAAGATTCGGTCGAACCCGTGGTTTATGCTGGATACTATGGAGCAGCGGGAGATTATTATAAGGTCAAGGCGGATTATGGTCCTTATTACAAGAATGCGTTGTTGTATCTTGCTTGTGTGGATGTGGAGAGGGAATTGAACCAGGAAGAGAGGAAAGCTAGGGCACATGATTTGTGTATCGCTGCTTTGTTGGGAGATACGATTTACAATTTTGGAGAGCTGGTGAGTCAATTGTTTACTCAGACGGTTCCATCATGTTCCTATATCTCTCCCTGTGTGCCTGTGCACTTGGCAAATTCTACCCTTGTCCTCAGTTGGCGTAACATGCCCGCTGTTCAAGATCGTGTACATCTAGGGTGTAGTACATTTGTAGCGAGCTGATACAAAGATGCAACACCCCATCCTACAAACACTCACCGGGACGGAATACGAATGGATCAAAGATTTAATCGGAGCTTTCAACTCTGGTGCCATTGGTAAATTTGAGGTTTTGGCCGTCCAGTTTCCTCGCGAGGTGAGTCAATACAACATCTCATTCCGCTCTTTCATCAATTCGAATATTCTCATTTCAAGAAGAAAATCAAGTAGAGTGGTGCTGACAAAAGCCTATTCTCGAAGCATCCCTTTCTTTCCTACGGCAGAAGATATGTTTGATGGCTCTCATACAAACAGCCTTTGAAAGACCTCGTGATGGATCATCGAGATTGATGACTTTTCAATCGGTCGCTGCTGCTACCAGATTACCTGTTCATGAGGTGGAACATCTAATCATGAAGGCTTTATCGTGAGTCTCCTTCTGCGCCAACCTCATCTTATCTCCATCTGCAAACCTTGATCCATTCTTTTCTTCTGATTCTCACTGTCAATATACTACTCGTTCAATATGGAACGACGACCGGTGAAGTAGCACACAGCGGGAGAGCAATATTTGATCCTCCCGAATGCTTTCTGTGCGTATACAGGACCGTCTCGCTGACATCAGCCTCGGCCTCATCCGCGGTACTCTCGACCAAGTCGACGCTACAGTCGACATAAGTTGGGTACAACCTCGTGTCTTGGAAAGTGCTCAGCTCGAGACTCTCGCTCAACAAATAGACGCATGGTGTCAATCTGTAGGTCGTGTGGAGAAACAGGTCGAACAAGAACGTATCGTGGCTAAAGAGGCTGTATTGGTGGAATGATCAACTACGTCCTACAATCCTGTCATCTCAGCCAAATGACTCTTCGAACTTGCGTTTAGCATATTGACGAGTGCAAAAATGACGTTATGCATTGTGCATTGTGCATCGAGTTTTGATTGTCCAAAAACGTAGTAGTGGATATACAAAAAAGTATTAATCTACCTGATCTGTTCATTTCGTTCCGAATTTGTGGTAGACTACAAGTCGAACATTACCATCCTCTTCCTCGTCCCCTACAAATCAGCAATCAGAACGTGAATGAAAGTAAAGGAGAGACTGACCGGCCACGAGAACGGAATGGTCTAAAACCTCTGAACCCTCGACCTCGACCACGTCCACGGTTCATCCCTGGGATATTTGTTCGTTTCTCTCTCACCTTGTTGTCAGCTTTAGTTGCCTTGCGCTGGATCACCTGCATCGGTGACGACCGCAATAATCTCCCGGCATATCATGAGCGAGCAAAAATTGCTGTATATATCGTTGAGACAGGATGGGAGAAGGATAGACTTACAGATAAAAGCCGTCCGCGGAACATAGAGTCATTCAATACAAGAGCGTTCTGTACGATTGAAGGTTCGGCAAATTCCACGTATGCGTAACTATAGTTTCAGTTATTCTTCCCATTTACTTTATTATCTTGTCCCTCTCTGAAGCCCTGCCAACCCAAAGCAAATTCGAATGGTGTTTCGTTCACCATGAATCTGTATCTACGGGGCAGCCATGAATGACAGTTCATCGTCCGAGCCTTCTTCCATACTGTGCGTGATCTATCGAAGGAATAGTGGCTAGACTTTGTGAGGATGAGTGGAACATTGTCAAGGGGGGGAAATAAAGGGGAGATAGGGAGATTAGAAGTCAATTCACCCTTTTGGATGTCCGGTGAATTTATCACATAAGATAGTCACCCTGTTGATCGTTCCACAAGCTTGAAAGTGGGCTTGTATTTCTTCAGGTGTTGCTCCGTAGTCGACCTCGGTGTCAGTTCCACCTTTTATTTTTCATTTCGATCGTTTGGTTGTGATTCAAAAGTGTAGCCATAGCTGATATCCCCTCCCCACACGGATGGCTCCTCCGGCTGTCTTCGCTTGCATTGACGCTGTGATACGAGTCTCCTTACCACCGCTTGATGCAAAAGTACAGTCATGAGAGAATAGAGATCAAACAAAGTTCGAGACCTTGCCAAATACCGATGGGAGGGAAACATATAGAGATAGTACAGAGGAGGACTGATAGTAGATCACAAAACAACTTACATTCCCAATATACACACTTCTCGCGTCCACAGCAGCAGGAGCATCCTCATCTTCCATACTAGCATCCCCTTCACCTTCTTCCCCTTGTATCTTTGGAGCTGGTGAAGGTTTCGACCCCCCAGCTGCTATCTGACACATCAGTTTTTTCAAAATTCTCATCGCTCCAATCAAACTGACAGCATTCTTCTCCGCTTCCATCTGTGCCAGACGAGCTTGCATGAGACTCAATTCCTTTTCACCGTCAGCTAACCCAACGTTCAGGTAAACTGATGTAGCTGACCTCGTCCACGTTGACTTCATCATCACCGTCTGATATTCTTGGAGAGCTCGGTCTAGGTTCTACCATTTTGGATGGAGATGAATAAGAAACGAAAGGCGATAACAGGATACGAGACAGATATATATATGTAGCGATGAAAGCAATAGGTGTGAGTGTGTGACAAACTTTTGTTTCTCTATGAGGTGTCAAGTTGTCACTGTGCCACATTCCCGCTTCCTCGGCGTTTGTCGGTGATTCCTCTTCCTCCCACCCGGCTGGTCTCGGAATGTGACTGTTCCATGTTATCAGCAGTGTACATCTAGGTGAGCATCATCGTAAGTATAAAAACCCAGCTGACGGTCAATAGCAATCATGGCAGCTCGTAGTGCCGCCTCGGCAGTCGTGAGTCCCTCTCTCAAAATGTGATATCCATGACGACTTTACGTCGGTTTAGAGGGTCCTCCTTCCGTATCGGTTCACCCCGCATTGTCGGTCATGTACAAAGCGCCGCTCTCGAGTCAACCTGAGACGTAATCATGCTGACAACCAGGACTGGACGAAAATCTACACTTCTCTCGGGTTGGGTAAAGAGACCCTTGCTTCCGTCCAAGCCTTCCGCGCACGTCATTCTTTAGCTTCCAACCGAAATGCCACTTTGAAAAACACCATCCCTCAAGTGGACGTTGCGCATTACAAAAGTGTGTTGAGGAATCAACAGGCTGTTCAATTGGCGGAGAAAGTGTTGAAAGAGTACAAAGCGGTGGACTATGATGTTACAAAATGGAATGGTGTCGTTGATGCTTTCGAGGGCAAGGCCGTAAGTCCTGTCGTCGGATCTCTCAGATTCTCTTGTCCTCCATCACCCTATAACATCGGAAAAGTGGACCTTACATGCTGACGTTTTAGGTCGAAGCTGCCAAGCAGACTGTCCAGAAAATTACCGCTGAAGAGTCATCCTTGAAAGCGACTCTATCCAACATTCAAGACGCCAGACCATTCGAAGATCTAACTGTGAGCGTACCAGTCCGATTTGTGACGGAGCTCACGCATAGGTTGACGAAGTGGCCAAAGCCCGTCCAGAAATCTCCAAAGCCGTGGAGACCATGGTCAAAAAAGGCAAGTGGACCGTACCGGGCTACAGGGTGAGCTTCAGATCTGCTATGTGGTGTGTTATCGATGACGCTGATGAGTGTAGGAGAAGTTTGGCGAGTTCTCTCTTCTCTAGACGTCATATGCATGAACATAGGCCAAAACCAGTAAAGGCAGACACCTTGGCTGCTGTCCATCTGGACATATATGACGTAGACTAAACTACTGCAACCCTTAGAGCATTCCTCCTACCAGACCGCGATCGCGTAGCAAAACTCCGTCACATCACGCTCGGTCGAAATCTTCTCGTCATAGCGGTTGCTGGGCCCTCCTCTACCTGACTCCCCAACACTGACAAATCTTGTCTCGAAATGGAGACATACACATTGACACTGGGGAGTTCGTGTAGAAACACATTGCCCCAATAATAACCCCCATACGTCACTTGGATGTCCAAGGCATTCACTGACTCTTTCATCTCGACACCTGCTGACGCCCAGATCCTCCTATCGTCTTCCTCCATTTCCGTCCCCAACAATCTACCCCACTCACTTCTGATCTCCGAAAAATGACTAGGCAACTCACTCTCTGTGCCAGCCACCACTTCAGCGGCTCTGCTACCCATTGGTCCGGCTTTCTGAGGATATAACGAGGACCAGAGTTGTTGCATGGCTAACTTCGTGGCTTGGGCACAAGTTTGAAACGGTGGAAAGAAGCTCACAGGTATATCCAATTCTTCGGTGACTTCTCCTCCACTGGCACTCTGGTGCGCGAATTCAAGTTCGATAATCCCTCTGAACATGGGATCAGGAGGTAAGTTCGGATTCTGGTTCAAAGTGTAACATCCGGAATTGTCTCTCCAAGACATGCTGAATTCTGCATCCTGTAAGTCATTCAAGTCTATGCTACGACACATAATATCGAAGGTACTGCGTTCATATCGATGAAGGAGTTCAGAACGGAGTTCGTCTTGGAGTTTTCCCTCAAAGAAAGGGCCCAATCCGCTGACAACATGACAGTTATTATGCTCTGCGAACACGGCTTCCTCCCATGGTCCCTGAAGAGAGGATGAGGCGTCATGGAGTGACATGCTACCACTGATATTGGATGGAACGTTCGATGCTGATATGTCGATATCTTGTGACGAGCTTGGAGTATTCATTGCGAGTAAGTAAATTGGTTAGATGACGAGAGAGATACGAAGAGGAAGAGAAGGACATAGGTGATAGACTCTAGCATGTCATCTATGACATGGCGTGCTTCCGTTTGGTCAGAGAGGATAAGGGATCTTCGTCTTATCAAATGTAGGTCATGCTCCTTGAAACATTCAAACAACACACCTTACTCCTCCTGTCGAAAGGAGTGTTCACACATGGCATGGCGTGCGGCAGATGGATTCGAATGAGGTGATTGCCTAGCTAAACGCCAGATGATCATTCAACCAACAGAAGATTTCATTCCATCAAAGAGTAGACGATTTCAAGATTCGTCTATATAACCGTAGGGATGGTACACTTTCCTCCATCTTTGGTGACACCATCAACCTTACTATAACGTACATTCCAATTCTTATCCTTCGAACAACCCACACGTGACGACATCTCGGGCAATTCGATAAGACTCGTATCGCCCCAAAACCACCCCTTGAAACTCGCTGCCATCCACACGGTATTCTCTCCACCCCTGAGCAACGTCAACTCCATCACTGGCCAAACCCTATGTTCATTATTTTCGATTCTGGCTTTCACCGTCAAACTGCATGCGGCCTTGAACGCCCCCGTTTGTTTCTCCAAATCACGTCTAGTATTCCTCAAAATACTTCTCAGTGTATCTTCTTTCAAACCCCACTTTTCACCTTCACTTCGAAGAGTGTCACGGAAATCCCTTATTCCTGTTTGTATTGCCTCTGAAAAAGTCCGACTAGGGGGAAAGAATTTGACAGACAAATGAACATCATCTAAAAGCCACTCTTGTTGATCTTCAACAAACACACCACTTACAGTCATCGTCCCTGTGAAACATGGACCGGAGGGTAAGGAAGGATTGGTATTGACTTCATATCTTCCAGTATTCTCTTGCCAATCTAGAGTAAGATGGTCTATTTTTGGTAACAACGATACCAGATCTATGTCAAGGATCCGGTATAGATCAACGACTGATTGAAGTTTGTTAGAGAGTTCGGATTGAAGACTAACACTGAGCTCACGCATCAAAGTCCGGTCTAGACCACGGACAACATGACAACCGTTTGACTCATTTCGAATGACATCCAACCATTTCTGTTGGAGTGTCGTGTAACTACTTAGAGGGATGGCGTTGTTTATTGCTAATGGATTCTCCCAGTCTGACATGTCGGATATTGAGTTGTTGATAGTCTATAAGTGTGTTCAGCTATCGAGATCAAGTGACTGAGTTACTTATGTGGTTAGTCGAGATGTGGATTGAGAGTGATTTAGGGTGATTTGGAGGAGAGAGAATTGAGCATGAAGAGATCTTTAGGGATGTATGTTACGGGATAGACCTCAAGATCGGGATTCTAAATCCTTCATATACATAGCTTATGGCGTGATTTCTGTACATACGTCGGAAAGGAAGTATACAAAGGTTGTCTCTTGGATATCCACTCGATTCAAACAGACACGTTTGACGTCTCATCCGGATCAATGGTGGTAAAGGGGGATATTGTAGAGAAGGTGTCAGAGACAACAGTAGTAGTAGTAGTAGTTAGTACAAGGAGTAATTATGACCCTCATGAAATGCCGCTACGTATGTTCTCAGGTTTGTCCTCGTGCTAGACGGATACAGGTGAAAGTGAATATCGAACACTTGCATAGATTGACCGGTTGATCCATGACCCTTCCCAAATCCAACGGTTCAATCAGAAGATTAACCTCATCAACCACTCTCCTCAATTCGAAAGGGAAACAGTACCTATTGTATTCCCCTCCATCTCCACCACATCCTCCACTACCCTCCACCCCTGTCCCCTATCACAACTTACCCTCAAAGTCATACTGGGTAACTCTAACACGTTGGTGTCACCCCAGCAATGTCCCTCATACGTCGCTCTCACATTGATCGTCTCATCGTTCCCTTCTATGACCGTGTATTCCACAACAGCCCAAACTCTTTCTTCAAGTCCCTTTTTTGATAATCCCGTACTTCTGCTCCATCTGTCATTAACCACACTCACATGATCCTCAAATCTCGTATTCATATTCTCCAAAATGGTTTTCCTATCCGTCTCTCTCAATCCCCGTGTTGAGGTATTCGAACGAAGATTTTCCGATAAATTCGTGAAAGCGACAAAAGAAGCTTCATCACACCATCTCAATGCACCTGGAAACTCGACAGATAAATCTATAGTTGGTAGATTCCTAATCTGACCATTTTCTTCATAATACCCTGATACGTCCACTATACCTGAGAACAGAGGTTGTTTAAATGGAGGATGATCAGATTGAAATCTATAAGATTCTGAACCGTTTCTCCAATTGAAATGTAAAGTCGGATTACTGAATGATTCCATATTACCAAGAGAAGAATATTCATCTTGACGTGTAGGGTCATGTTCTCGAAGCTCGTATTCTAAACTTGACCATAAATCTTGTTTGAGAGTAGGATGTAAGCTTTGGGTCATGAATGGACATTCATCAGGTTCTTTTTCCAAGGTGGAAGTCCAAATGTCCCATACTGAGGGTTGGCTTTGAAAAATCACGTTGGAGTCCATGAGTTATTGTTTGTGGTACGTAGGATCGATTTTTTCGGTTATAACAATTGGTTTGATTGACTATGATTGGGAAGAAGATTTCGAATTGATAGATGTATGTTGGTCGAAGGATGGATTATGTATATGGGCGGACTTTTAAATGGGACGATCACGAGTATTTATAAGGGGCAAGGGATGAAAGGACAATGATAAAGACAGAGTAAAACAAGTGTGAAATTTTCTCATAAACAATGTGAACTTGCGGGCTTTGTACGTGAGTACAATGGTGAGTGATTTGTGAGCTCTCACCTTTTCGATTCAAGGAGCTCCACCGGACAAGGAAGAACAAGTAATAATAAAGCTGAGTAAGCATGTCAATTTCATCACGAGATTGATAAAACTTCGACAGACCCCATAGTAGTAAAAGTAACATCTTCAGCCCTGACCAACCATCCTATCTGTCTATCACAAGTCATTTCAAATTCTAGATGAGGTAATTTGTAAGCATTCTCATCATCCCAATAAGTCCCATCGAAACCGACGGTGATTTGTACACTTGAAATGTTGGGGGTTGTAGGTTCCGTCATTGTCGTTACTTCTGACCATAACCTATCTGCTTCAATCATAGATAAAGCCATAGATTGTCTCCATTGTTCTTTAACCCTTTCCAAAGAATTAAGAACAGTCGTACCAGCTTGAAGTACCAATTCATCCACATCTGCCTTCCTTAATTTCCATGACCGTCGCTTTTCACGTAATTGTACATTAAGTCCGTTAAACTCAGTATGAGTAGCGTTTACGAGATTTTGACGTGGTGCTTCTATCCTGACTGGAAGTTCAACATCAAAACTGGTCTCATCATAAGTCGCTGTTACGTCAACTATACCGCTGAACATGGGTTGTGAAGGGAAACCAGGTAAAGAAGGATGTGAAAAGGTATAACTTCCAGAACCTCGTTTCCAAGAAAAAGAAAATCGTAATTCGGACGCTTTCCAAAGATGAACATTTTGAGATTTATATGTTTCCAATACGGATTGAAAGTTCTTGAAAAGCTCTGAACGGAGATTTGTTCGGAATTTAGCATTGAGATGACTATTGGGGTTTGAAATTATGTGACTATCATCGAAACGCTGTTGAATACCTTCGGACCATTGTAATTCCAAAGCTCGAAGCCGACTTGGAGGAATGACAGTTATCATATTGGATGGATCAGACCAGCTAGACATTATGAAATACGTCAGAAATGATCCCAGTATAAAGCAAACTCCAGGTGTTGAGTGGATGAACGATACAGTTGGGGTAGAAGGAATAGAATTATTTGACGTATGATCGATCAGTGTCGAGTTGACACATGTAATTGGACGATACAACACTTATGTATGTCGACATAACCGAATTGCACGAGGTCGGTCAAAGGATTAAATACATGAGAAGCGAACGAGGTCGCCCAAACACTTAGGGACCTCGTGTGGTCAAAGGAACTATACAAAGATATAAGCGAGGTCGGTTCTCGATAAAAGGGGGTTATCCTGGTCGGAGCAATGTGTTGAAACGAGGAGCGAATTGAAAGGAAAGCGTTCAGATGAGATGGTCTCGAAGATCGCTGAGTAGAACTGGCCAGAAACATCCCCCTAGTGAACATTCAGTATCTTTTATGATCTGCATAGTGTGGAAAAGCCCGATCAGCAACAAATCATTTACGAATGTGAGTCTTTGTCAAAGAAATGTCAAAACTGTCGCTTCTCCCCTGCGCCTGATACTCATTCCATCGATTTGATTCCCACCACTTTCCCTCTCGAGCGTCATCTTCATGCTCACTCTCGGTAGGTCAACAGCACATTCGTTAGCCCAACAAACCCCATCGAAATGACTCTTGATTATTATTCTTTCCACTTCCTCCCCTATCGTCTTCAACTCGATCTTCACCTCTGACCATAGAGTATCTTCCGTGCCGTCCAAAGTTTGTTTGATTGATCTACCCCATTCCGTATCCACGTCAGTCAGATGCGTCATCACGATGGTTTGAGCATTGGAGACCAACTTGTTTACGTCTCTGGTGGTCATTCGCCAAGCCTGTCGATTAGGAATCCACAGTTCTTGAAGTTGTTGAAATTTCGCATTCGTCGCTTGAGAAAGACTTTGATATGGCGCGGAAATTTGAATAGGAAGATCAATACTATTCAGGACCATTCCATCATATGTCGCCCCTACAGATACGATACCACTGATGATGGGTCCTTGAAGTTGGTCTGCCGTCGATTGAGCAATGTAAGTATAATTTCCTGACCCCGGTTTCCAATACATGAAAAAGTGGAGATTTGATAATTGCCATTATTTGACATCTTGAGAATTGTATGATTCTACAACCGATTGGAGTGCTGCGGATAGCTGGGATTGAAGAATTTGACTCAATGTAAGTTCAAGATCAGAATCGTATTTTGTGATTATGTGAAAGTGTTCAGACTCGCGGGAGAGAGCGGAATTCCATTCCTCAGTCAGAACGGATAGTCTACTCGGAGGAATCGCGAAAGAGATATCTGTTGGACCGGCCCGATGAGACATGTGAATTATGCTTGCAGATAAGATTTGATGCGTGAAGGTGATGAAGGAAAACGAGGGTTATGATATGATGATGATCCTGTTAACACTTGCGAGGAGGAGATGAACGGAGTTTGATCATTCAAAGGAAAGGATGCCTCATATCAGAACACGACGAGAAAACACATGTCGCAATGTCTCGTCAGAGCAGATCGGACTTTATTAAATATGATGGAAGCCCAACGAGACCGGTCTCATCTCGGATGAGGGGACAGATGTCGTGAGGTGTCAGTCCAAGTTTCCCATCCCAGGATAATTTGCAAGAGTCGAACCTATGTCCCTTTGTTGACATTTCGACAACGGGGTCACAATATGATATCGAAGATCCGAACCGATCGATCGTCCGAACAACTCGCCAGGATCAATCCCCCCTGTTCGCCTTTTTGCGGTCGGAAAGCCAGTCTGTTGACGGGGAGCCACATGACAAATACTATCCCATCAGCCATCTCCCACATTTGTCAATCACTCACTTCTTGTCGAGTTTCAAGATCAGTGTGATCTCGGTGAATGTATTACACAGAGAATAGATTTCTATAGTACCGTTCTCTGTCCCAACGGCCAAGATTGAACCTGATGGTGAATCCGTAAAGTCAATGGCGGTGGCAGCTTCGGTGAGTTTGATACTGGCTACTTGTATCCATTGATCTTCCCCTGCGGAAGATGTCCATATTTTGACCTGGAAGAATCAGTGTTATTCCACGAACAAAGTATATTGCCGCCATGAAGAAGTGCAGGCAGCAGCGAAAAAGTAGTTTCTCAACTAACTCAAATAACTTCACACATGTATAGTAATGAGACCACGGATAAGTAGAGGTAGGAGGGCAGGGGTAATCCAGACTGACCGTCTTATCCCGCGAAGCAGTAGCAAACCCTTTCCCATCAGAAGTCCAAGCACAATCCAAAACCATCCTCCCATGAGCCTTATCCTGAGCCGCACAAGGGTCGTATGTCTGTCCATTGGACCGTTTGAACATCCTCCATCCTCTATCTCTTGAACAAGTGAGGATCCTCGAGTCATCAGGACTGAACGCGATACGGGTGATGGTGAGTGTATGACCAGTGAGCGGAGGACAGACAAGCTCGGAAGTGGTACTGGATACAAGACGGACGACTGCGTGTTCGGCAGAGGAAGCACGGCAAGCTGTGGCTATGATTTCACCAGAGTGGGAAGCGGCGCAGGTGACCAGCTGTCGGTGAGCGTTCCATCTGAGCAAGGGAACTTTGGACTTGTTGAACGTAGAGCTATCGACATCCTGCAGGGAAGCGGAGAGCCTACAGTCAAGACAGGAGTGACGGGGAGGGGGGGGGGGGCAGCGTGTGGGAAGGGGGAAGAACTATGAGAGCTACACCTACTTCATACCCATGTCCATAAACCTTTTCCACCTCCGGCCATAAAGTAGAAGAAGCCAACTCGTCTTCAGTGGGAATCTGAATGAAAGCTTTCGAAACGGAATGTATCGGTTCATTAGCAGTCGGAGCATCTAATGACTCTAGCTCTACTTATCAGCTGACTATTTTTATGTTTCTGGTCGTCCAACTGACCTTTCCCGAAAGCTCTGTTGGAGAGACCCAAGGGAGGAACCGTAGCCCCTTTAGGTCTGGCGGTCTAAGATTAGCTCAACACAGTGATCGTCATATTAGTGACACAGAAGTTGCAATACTGATTATGGTGGGATTGAAAATGAGCAGTATTTACCGGATCAGATTGAATGGTCGAGCTAACTCCTAGAGTATGGAGAGATTCCACAAAACCTGACGGGGCTTCGAAAATTCTCGTGACTTTCTCATCGGCGGTACTTGCGAATTTAAGTGGATTGAGGAATACACAATCAGTCATGTCGTACCCGTGTATCTGAGGACGAGCTATTTCGGCCCATCTTTTGGCTCCTGCTATTGATGTTTCCGCGTGAATACGTGAAGTCTGGTCAGATCTGAAATGTCAATATCTGACCCGTCCGTCAAACAATATGACGAAGAAATGTACCAGGTTTCGGCTTGGAGGTGAGAGGGGTGGAAGGGGAAGACAGGAAATGAGATTTTTACCTATCTCTTCCGTCGTGGTACGGGAAAATATATAAAATGAGTGAAACATATTGGAAGGGAAGCGTACGAGGATATGTTGTGAACATTTTTACTTACCCGACGGACAAAAGATAATCCCCATCCACATCCCAAGCAACAGACTTAACATCCCCGAAATGTCCAGTCAACCCTACATCCGGCTGCCAAGTTTCCGGTTCAGACGAAATCTTCTTCCATCTCTCAACCCCTCCATTCCATCCGGCCGACATGACACCATTTCCATCTTTTCCCCATACAGCTCCAAAGACTGCCAACCCTTTCCCACCTAAAGCACCGAATCGATGGGCTGGGATCCATATTCCGTCGTCTCCTTCAGAAGGTTGCCAGATGATCATAGAGTTGTCGCTTGCCGTTGAGAGTAATCGGGGTGGTCTCAAGGGTGATTCAGAAGAGTCCAAAGAAGAAGGTATGGGGGACCAATTGAGATCGGTCACTCCACCTTCATGTCCTACCAAAAGAGCTTCTAGGGTGATATCCCATTTCCCTTCCTCCAAACTGAGTACATGGGCTTTGGTAGATATTTGTGTTGATCCACCTTCTCCGGCAAGACGTCTCTCGAAGTCGTCTAACATTTCGAGACTATTGATATTCCCATTGAGATCTGAGAATTTCTTCGTTGGAGAGATACGCCATAGTCGTATGAATCCGTCTTGAGAACCTGAGGCAAGAAGAAGGTCGGAATTTGTTGTGGATGATGATGCTGTACTTGATGAAGAGGATGGGTAAGACGTAAGAGAAAGAGAACGGACCCAGTCTTCGTGTCCTTCCAATGATAGGGAGTGGATAAAGGCATTGTTTTGATAAGTGTACACTTGAACTCGACGATCCGTACAGCCAACAATTAGAATAAGAGCTGAAGAGTAAGCAGTCGTCTTCTCACATAGTTCCGAGAAGTCACTTACCTTTAGTCCCAGGAAGATGCCCAATAACCAAATCTAGTGGTAATTTACCTTTAGGATTGATAGTTTGCTTCAAGATAGCTTCTCCTTCTGAAATATCCCACAACTTGACAGTCCCATCTGAACCCCCAGTGAGAATATGTCCTTCAAGATTTCCTTCGCTAGGTGGGATTCCCAAAGAGGATATAGAAGAAAACTCATGTGCCATAAATGTGAGATCACATTCGTATGTCTTGTCATGAGCTCACATCCCTCACGAGCAGCTCACCTGGTCTTGTCTCAATCGCCAAGTTTTGACTTGCCCGGCAGTATCTCCACTAACGAAATCAGGTCGATCATTCAATTTATCCAAAAACTTCAGAGTGGTTATATCGGCTGTATGACCGGAGAGGGTTGAGATGACGCCAACACTTGGTTCAGCCTATGATGTCAGTCGTGAGAGAAGTGATGTATGAGTAGTTACTGACTTGAGTATCCCATAACGCTATGACTTTACCGGTCCCTAGGATGTAAAGACCGGAAGAAGAACATGCTGAACATGAGGAAGATCGATTGGCTCCTGTTGATATGTATGAAGTAGAAGCTTTCATACTTGACTCGAGGGGTACATACAAGTAGGTTGTTCAATCGCAGACATTGCAGATGGTTCGAAATTCGTTGCCCAGATAGACGGAGTTCAATTGCATCCCCGTTTGCCACATTTCTCAAAAGGTGCCATCGCCTAAAGCTGTTCGAGACGTCGGATACAAATCAATTTTACGAATAGTTTTGTAATCGAATCGCATGTTTGTATCCGACCTCCCTACCGCCGAATCCAGACTTAGCTGTGACACTTTGTGCATGTTCAGTTGGCCAGTTGCAGTTGCCAGTTGGGGGTGACCAAGAGACGTGATCACCAAGGCGATGAATGCCGTTGTCTTGACGATCGATCGCTTTCCTTTAAATGAAAATGCCACGTCATTGAGTATTCTCCCGTTTCTCATTGGTCAATTTCGTCTGATCGTCGTTTCGCCTCCAAATTCACTTTTCATCTTCCAATCGTTCGATCTCTACTTAACCTCGTCCATCTCTTTCTCTTGCCTCCCATTCTTTTCCCTCTCACTTTGTTTTCTTACTCTTTACCACTCATCGATCCATCGCATTCAACTCATATCCATCATGCAAGTCACCTCGCTGCTTCGTTATTCCCACGTCTGTCCCTTCCTCGGTCACTCCAATCCCAACCAGCTTCGCGCTCTGGCCAACGGCGTTCATGGCAATGTCTCTTCTCTCACAGCCACAGCATTCAGGTGTCCCATGATGGGCCCCAAGCTCGCCTCCATGGTAGCTACTCGATCTTACGCCTCTGTTGCCGGTAACAAAGAGGTGGAAGAGATGCACAAGGTGAGTTTCATTTCCGTGACCGGTCGCCCGATGTGGTAACAAAGGTGGTGATGCTGATTGTCAGTCCAAGGATATTCCTTTCGACCCTTCCTCGGCAACTTCTGAAAAATGTCCACATGCCAAAGCTGCAAGTGATGCTGCCGCTATGGCGCAGAAGGAGGCGGATGCAAAGGCCAATCCTGCCACCGAGCATGCGCCGACGCACGAGAAAGACACTTTCAAGTACACAGAGTTTTATCAAGGAGAGTTGCATAAGAAGATCGCGGACAAGTGAGTTCAGTCATCAGACTGTTCACTTCTTCGGCTGACACACAGATCGTATCGTTACTTCAACAACATCAATCGTATAGCCGCCAAATTTCCAGTGGCGCATACTGCCAATCCCCAAGACGAGGTCGACGTCTGGTGTTCCAACGATTACTTGGGTATGAGTAAGAATCCTGTGGTGCTTGAGACGATGAAGTGAGTTGACATCATGGTGACTATCTGGCAGAACTGACGGGCAGACGCACTCTCGATCGATACGGTGCAGGTGCGGGAGGAACCCGTAACATTGCCGGCAATGGCGCACTTCACATGTCACTCGAAAATGAACTTGCATCCATCCATCGGAAGGAAGCTGCTTTGGTCTTCTCCTCCTGTTACGTCGCCAACGATGCTTGTCTGGCTACCATCGGATCCAAGCTTCCTGATTGCGTCATCTTTTCCGATGCCTCGAATCACGCATCCATGATTCAAGGCATTCGTCATTCAGGCGCTAAAAAAGTGATTTGGAAACATAACGACATGGCCGATCTCGAAGTCAAGTTGAAGTCTGTACCGAAAGAAACACCGAAGATTATCGCATTCGAATCCGTTTACTCGATGTGTGGTAGTGTCGCACCTATCAAAGCTATTTGTGATCTCGCAGACAAATACGGTGCCATCACTTTCCTCGATGAAGTACACGCAGTTGGCATGTACGGTCCAAGTGGCGCTGGTGTCGCTGAACATCTCGATTTCGAAGCTCATCACAGCACTCGTCGGTCTGGAGCGTCGGTCAAGGGTAGTATCATGGATAGGATTGACATTATCAGTGGTACTCTTGGGAAAGCTTGGGGTGTTGTTGGTGGTTATACCGCGGGATCTGCCGATTTGGTCGATGTCGTACGGTCTTACGCTCCTGGGTTTATTTTCACCACGTCACTTCCACCCGCTGTTGTTGCCGGCGCTCAAACCTCCATCGCTTACCAAAGGGAATTCATGGGCGATCGTCGATTGCAGCAACTGAACACTCGTGAAGTCAAACGACGACTGGCCGAAATGAGTATACCTGTGGTACCAAACCCGAGTCATATCATTCCTGTCCTTGTCGGTGATGCTCAATTGGCAAAAGAAGCTTCGGATATGTTACTCGCCAAACATCAAATCTACGTTCAGTCCATCAACTATCCTACGGTCGCTAGAGGGGAAGAACGTCTCAGAATCACGCCCACTCCTGGTCATACGACTGAACAGATCACTCATTTAGTTTCTTCCCTCGACACGGTGTTCAATGAGCTCGAGTTGAAGAGAACCGGGGATTGGGCGGCAATCGGAGGAAGGGCAGGTGTGGGTATGGTGGCATCAAACCCGGTCTTGCCGATCTGGAACGATAAACAGCTGGGATTGGAGGATGGTACTGCACCAGAGAGATTGGAAGGTGGGAAGAAGAGCGTGGTGCGGGTGGAAGCTGTACGGATCGCGGAGAAACGTCTGCATCATTTGCTCGAACCGAGTTTGGTGGGTACGGTGACTGCGGCTGCTTGAGCTGTCGTAATCGGCTTGTCACACTTATGTAGTGTATGAGGGTTTATGCAATTATTTGTGCATGGTTTCAAGCACCCATGTGTGTGAATTGTTACCTGCCGTAAGAATGAAGCGATTATCTATGTCTGGAATGCTGTCACCGAGAAAATAGGATTCTTTTCCATTCAGGGTCATACACGTGCTTTCCAAACTTGGCAACTCGCCGTTTTCATACTACTCAACCACACCCTTATCTACTTCTTCTTATATGAAGTATTACTGATGACTCTATGACTTGTTTGGCTGTCATATTCCTATTTAACTCTCACACTCTGTCTTTCCCTTTCTTTCTGACACGACAGATACGAACAACCCTTTTGGAGATAAGATAGAAAGGAGGTTAAAAACCCCCTTGGGTTCTCCTGAACGCCTGAAAGATCTTCGATATCATTCGGGTGACCTTTGTTCGGGTAGACGCGAATCTGTAGAGATATACGATTGGCTGGCTTCTTCTTCTCCCTTCTCTTGTCTCTTCTCTCTTCCTATAGCCCTATTCCTCTCTTACTATCCCTCTCTTCCTGTCCTACTCTGAACTCTTCACATCGACTATCGCCTCTGCGTGTCTTCAAGGGAATACCACCAGTCAACTCTCCAACCCATTACAACTCTCCCACGACAATCCATCTCGCCACCTCATTCAATCACACCGTTTTTCTCGACTTAATGAACCTACAAGCCTACGAATAACCCTCAAACCGTCAAGAATCAAATTCAAAATGCCCCACTTCTCTTCACTTCTCAACCTCCCAATCCCATTAACTCTCCCCATCCCTCTATTCATCATCTTCACAATCACATACCTATCTTTCGCCCCTATGTTCAAGACTGAAAAACAAAAAGCTTATATACTTTCCACTCTAAGTTCAGGTAGTATGACATTGATTTCTTTACCTTTTCTTTATACGTATTTGACAAAAGGTTTCGGGGTGGTTATGGAACAAGGAGAGATGGGTTGGATGTTGGTTTTAGGAAGATTTGGAGTAACTTTTTTCGCTACTTATTTAATTGGTGAGTTATTTCTCCTTTCAACTTCAACTTCTTCCCTTTACCAGCTATCATGATAATCTTTTCACCATATGGATCGTCCACGATAAATTTTTATCTCTTATGAGCGTCCATTATGATTTCCTTTCTTACGTCCACAATAACTCTTCGCCCCCTCATGAAACCCCACTATAATCCTTCTGCTATGTGGGACTGTCAGAATGATGATGCTTGTGAGAGAATGAGAGCTGACTCATAGCTGATGTGAGTTCCAACATTCTTTTCAGTGACTTGGTGGAAGAATGATGAGTGAAAATATTGATGATTAGCTCGTCCTTGGTTGGATATATTATAGAAATCAGGTCGGACTTCTTACTGGTTGGATACATCATCTGTCAGTTTACCTCAAACAACTTTATGAGAAGGAACTGACAGAGAAAGATGTTATATAGCTTTGATGGGTTACATCTTAACAACTCGACTGAGTCCTATTTTCCTCATTGCCGCATCTATGGAGGTGAGCTTCCTCTCTCCATTCCCCATACTCACACCCCTTACTTGACTGATTATGATGATACACTAACCAACTACAGTTACCAACTTTCGATCTAGCCATATCGAATCTGTTCCCTTCAGTCCGAAACGATCTTCGATTCCTTTCCACATTTTTCATCCTTCGCATTACCTTTCATCTCATCTTCCTACTCGACTGTCTTCGTCCTTCTTCCCGAACAATAACTCATTCTTTTTCGCCGGGTATATTCCTCACTTTAGCTTTAATCCTTCATATATCTTGGTTCCGAGGTGGTCTTTCCGGTTATCTCAAACGTCGTTCAAAATCTTCATCTAAACCTCTTGCTTCAATCACCGAACCGATCATATCCACCGCAACCATTTTGGAACCAAAGATTGAAGATTCAATTTTACCTTCTTCTTCTTCCTCTTCTCCTCCAACACCGGAAGATAGTCCATTGATAACTCCTCGTACACCTAGTCTCACACCTTTCACTTTACGAGATAGTTATCTTTTACCGAATTTACCTAATTTACCTCAAATCACAATGCCAAATCTACCTACTGTATCTATCCCGAGTCTGTCAGAATTGACAGCTTCAATTCCTAGACCAAAGGGTATCAGTAAGGAATTAGGCTTGGGGTTCAAAGATGCCGTCAGGAGTAGATGGGAAGAACAGAGAGAAAGGTTTGTGGCTGTTAAAGAAATGGGAATGGGGATGGATCTATCAAGTTTTAGCGCGATGGGTATTAGGAGGAGAAGAAAGGCGGAAGAGGTGGAAGTTCAGGTCGTGATGGATGAAGAGGATTGAGGTTTGTTCTGACTTGTCAGCTTGTCGGTGTGTTATCGGGAAAACGACGGTAGAAGATTACGAATTTGGGATTCTTTGAGTGTCAACGTTTGTATGCTGAGACTAGTAGTAGTCTATAAATGCTATATGTCTTACTATCCCATGCTGCGAGCTGCAGACTGGTCCTATGCTATCAACATAATGTACAAGGCCGATGCACGCACGCTTCACGCAACTTTCCGTCGGAGTTTGACCAAAACTATGGAACGCGGAAAGGGCCATTCGTTTTTTTTTTTTTTCCGGAGAATTTTTTTTTTTTTGGAGACTACCTCTACATCTCGATGATCTCGATGAGGTTCATCGAGATTGATGGTTGACTTCATGTCTAATCACTGACCTCGTCATCTTTGCTTCTTAGATGATCCTCATCGAGTCTCTCATATCTGTGATTTAGTACTGCATGCATGATCGTGATCTATCGACTGTCAGGAATCTTAGCGTATACTTTCTTCCCTCTTTTATCTAGTACTCCACCTGACCGAACAGCTACTCTTGCCACTAACTCCATCGCTTCTTTTACCCTCTCTGCTGCAGCCTTCCTAGTCGCTTTATCCGTCTTATCAGATTCCACGACGCTCATCACAGCCCGAATTGTCGAAGCAGCTGACTGAAGACAGAGCATCTCCGCCATAGTCTCTGCCGAAGGAGCAAAAGAACATTCGCCAGCACAACATACACATTTGTTATATGTTGGCAACACCACACATTCTATGTCCGCCTTCTGGCATCCGAAACATCGGTGTACACCCTCGAACAGCTTATGAGCAGGGTCACGCTTTGCCTCCTAACCGTCAGACAGATTATTACCAAGGCCTAAAGTACGCTGTCATGGCTCACTCACATTGATCTTCTTCTCGCGTTTAGCATTGCGAGGCAACCGGGGACTAGAATTCGTCTCAGTCTGTTTTCGCTTTGCTATGGTCTGGTCAGTGAGGTTCTTTGTCGATCTTCCTCAGCTTATTGGCTCACAGGGAGTCACGGGAGGCATGGCCACCCTTCACACACAGTGATCCACACAAATACTGATAACATCAACATCGATTACCTCCATATAGACCGAACCTGACTATGCTGTACTCACAATTTCTACTGACTTGAGGTTTGTTCGTGGTGACCACTTAGATTTGTATTGTGAAACCTTAATACAATTGAACCAATCTAAAGCAAACAGGATTTTCAACGACAATGTCAACAGTATGATCAGCCTCTCAATGAACTTCATCGAGATTGTCTCATGTTGCTTCCGTCCTTTACCGCGTGACGGCCTCCTTTGGTAATTTTACGTTGAGGACCTTTGACAGTCGATGATCCTCATCGAGATGGTTAGATCTATCAATTTTCTTGCAGGGATCAGGCTAAAAGAGTCACTTTGCTTTCACTTCCCAATTCTTGGTTCTTTAGCTGAGTACTAAGGTCTTCGCTAACCTAAGCTGTGACCTGCTTGAGTCTGGTACTCTATCGTAGCTAATACCAGTATCTAGTAGCAGCATGCAGCGCTAGCAGTATAACAAGAAGCTCACGTCACAATCTCAATGGTGGGTCATTCATCCTGCTTCGATCACATAGGTTACTCTGGTCCAATCCACTCATTCCTCTTCCATGGAGACAGTAGGGGTATTCTCAGGCGTAATCTCCTTCACAGGCGTAATTCTCTCTACTTCTAACATCTCCAACTCATCTTGTTCCTCTGCAGCTTTCTTTTCTGCCTCCTCCCGCTGGCGTAATCGAGGCCACATGTCGGCTACCTTTGTCTCCAGCAGGCGACTTTCTTCACGCACAAATCTCAACTCTTCCTCAGCGTTCTTGACGAGCACAGCTTGGGCAGTTGAAATATCTGAAAATGCACATGAGCTACTGACCCCTCAAACATCAACTCTGAGCATTGGCTTACGTCGGGTGGAGATATGATATAAGAGGTCGGTTAGACTCCTCTCATGGTTTCCGTTCTCCCTCTTTCTCATTCCTAATTCTTCCATTGCAAACATACGGGGATAATGCGGGAGACTTTCCCAGTCGTAGTCTTTCTCAGCGGGCTGGCTTAGTCGTAGCGACTGGGATTCGTTTATCATTACTGAAATCCATTCGATGAGCTCATCTGTGCTCCAGGTCGATTTGTCAAATTGGCTCATTGTATACTGACATCAGTGACTCTCACCATCACTGGAAGCAACTGGTCACCTTGGAATCTCTTATTTGATGTTATATCAATATTTGCAATGCGAGAAAGAACAGGTTAGAATGCATCATGATAGACAGGACCTGCATTGAGACCTGTTCTCGAGGGCGCAACATTGCAAGTCCCTGATGAGTTGGCTGATACCATTGTTGAAGCCAAAGATCCAAGTCTCAATGAACTCGATGAGCCTCATCGACAATACTTTATTCACACTGACCTTCATTCAAGTTACGACCTTCTCTGCAGTCGTGATTCTTTCAAGTCTCGGCCGGGTCGGCCGGAGGTGGAGATGTCAATTGACAATCGAGTATCTCGATGAAGATCATCGAGATTATGTAGAAGTGACCGAGAATTTCGCCAAACAGTGCGTTGTTAGGACTTATAGTTGTCAAACTCTCCCTACCGAAACAGCTTGCCTTGATGTATGTATTGCTCATCCCGATGAGGATCATCGAGATCAAATACTCTTTGACAGTTTTCTTCACTGAGTCCAGTTTTTATTATATTATTGAAGTGCCTAGTATAACAACATTCATTCCGGAATTACTGACATATGTATCTTATTACCTACCTCATCCACAAGACATCCACCTCGAACCCCGACAGTTGCCAAATGTTCTAACGATTGGGTTAAAGACTCCGTGGCTTGAACTCTTGCAGATTTCTCCACCTTGTCAGTCTCAATTAGCCCTAAGCTACCTTCTAACCCGCTGTATACCTGCTGCAAGAGTGTCCGCTCAAAATTCGACTGTGTGGTCGGTGCTAACGAACATTCTTGAGAGCAGTGGATACACTTTTTCTTCCCGGGCACCACCATACAGTTGAGATCAAGAGATTGACATCTCCAACACCGTTTGGTGCCCTCATGTATCGTGACATTGTCTGATTCGGCAACAGCCTGTGATCGATGTTAGCTCAAAAGACAACAGACACACGCACGCACTTGTTCTCGTTCTCTTTGAGCGTCACCCCTCTTTCTCCTTTTCCTTTCAGGCTCGAAATCTTCGTCTCTTTGTTCCGTATCGTCTAACCCTGCTGATGACGGCCCATGCTCCTCAAACTCCACTTTTCGAAGGGGGCTCGAAGCCTCACGCTCTCGTCTAATGGTCTCCGTGTCTTCCATGACATCCTCACTTACTAACAAGACCTGTCCCCTGCCAGGCTCATCACTGCCGGACTGAGCTTCGAACCCATCTTGCTGCTGATTCTCTGGCTCTTTCAATGAATTTTCGGAGGCTTGTGGAGGTACCACCAGACGTACAACCAACGAAGAAGACTGATTATTTCCCTGTTGTGGCGGAAGTGAGTCATTTGCCGCAGAGGATGCAATCACAGGCCGAGACAAGGAAGCCATGTTGTCGGTTGTTGGCGTTGTCGCAGCTACATCTTCCACCATAGAGGCCGTAGAATCTGACACGAGGGGGGTCGGTTCGGCAAGCATGGGTCCTACATTCTCGTTCACCACAGCTGGCTCGGCAGGTTGCGAAGGAATTTCTGTCGGCGTGGTAGGGTGAGGGGTGTCTTGATGCTCGATTTCCCCCTTCTCGGACTCGCTGTCGTAATGATTCATCGACAGGTGTAACCGTTCAAGACCTCCTGATGGGACAGACTTAGCAGCTGCATCATCAATTCAGTTCGGGCCTCCCCGGCCGTTGATCTAACTCACACTCAAAAGACTCAGGTGTATCATCAAGTTCACGGGCTAACTCTTCAGGCGATTTTGATACCATCAGTGTCTGCTGAGTGGAGCTAGGACTATTCTGTTCGTCTTTTCGTTTCCAGAATTGTGTGATCCCACCGAGTCTGCGCGCAGAGATCTGACATCTCGTGAGCACACCCCTTGACCTATCTGATATCTGACAGTAATTACCTTGTTTACCTCCTCTTCGAGATCTTCCTGAGCAGTGGGAGTACCGTCTTTCATGGATGATTGCATTCTGTGTTAAGAATCTTATGTGAATTTGCAGCAATCAAGGTCAACGGTAAAAGTTATCAACAGCAATAAAACAAATATGTCACATTTAGATGATCTCGTTACCAAGCAACACAGCACGCCCCTTTTTGGAAAGGTACGAACAATCTCGATGAACCTCATCGAGATTGTGCAATTTGAGTTAAGTGTTTCATATTTTCTCCGGATCCGTAAGCTGTCCAAAGCCCCTTCAAAGGACCTTTCAAATGTGATGGGCGGTTGAGGGCCCAGTGTATTCAATAAAGTCGATGAGTATCATCGACTTTATTAATTATCCGGTGAGTTTCAGTCAGTATTGTCACAATTGTTCCATTGTCAGTGCAGCCCGCAGATGTCAGGTTGAAACCGAACCCAAAGGGGGTCAAGCAGTGCTACCGGAAGCGCAACAAACAGCTTGATGTCGATGAGGGTCATCGAACTTACGCAATAATCACTGATTTTGAGATAGGTAAGTTGACATACAGAGATTTTTCCGGTCTGCTATCAGAAGCCAGAATGGCCTTCCGCAACTGTCTGTATTAATGTCGATGAACGTCATCGACTTTTCTGCAATAGAGCTTAGTAGTGGTTAATCTGAACGAAATACTTTCCTGTGCATCCTTAAAACAATCATCTACGTTACTTTGGTCAATCTATCCTAATTTTGATATGTAACATCTTTACTTCAATCACAAGTCGGAAGGCAAAACCGGGGCCTTGCTGGTCGAACGTGTCGCCCGACCTGAGAGTGAGTATTGAACAATTCATGCAAGCGCTCACTCACGGTTGGACTGCGAGGAAGATCCTGTGACAGGTGCAGCCACTGAGCTACTTGCCAATAGCTGTTCATCGTCTCTCGAAGGCAAATGAGTGGGAATAAAGTCAAGCTCATTCTCTCCGAACATGGAGAGAATGAGCTTCTGAGCAGCATGACTCCCGTCGTACTCGCCGTTGTCAGAATCCTGTTCGGTGCCAGACAGGGCGGCTTCACCCTCGAAGATGTCAGAGAGAGGGTCTTGGGTTCTGCCAATCAGTGAGTTCTTGGTTGCACGAGGTCGCTTCTCGATGGAAATAGGAAATGGAGAGAGACTGATCCTTGCAGCTGAGCGACGGGTACGATGACGTTTCTTGACCACAGGAGGAGATGTCACGACTGACTTGGGAGCAGCTCGCCTTTTGTCCTTTCCGGAACCCTCTGTCCTGGATCTCTTTGCGAGGGGTGTACCATCATTGGAGCCTGGGATCTCGATAGGACGATCGGGGTTCATGCCATCGTAGGCGAACGGCGTTGGGGTTTTTGGTTCTGCTTTGACCGCAATAGTAGCATTCCCAAAAGGTTCCCTTTTGTTTTTGCGTTTCTGTTAATCAGCTTGCTAGATTGCCAGTTTGTACAAAGCTTACCTTGGAGCAGGCACGCTCATGGTCATTGACAACATCAGAGTCAAAGAGATTTCCACACTTCGAGCATGCCACCATCAGTCCATCCGATTCCACCAAGGCATCGTCCTGGGGGCTAGGGGCCACAATCTCTCGCACTCGGCGCGAGAAGTCCATACCGGGATGATTCGAGTTCGAATAGATTATGGCGCAAGGCTGTTTAACGTATATTTCCGAGAGATGTTGACCACTGATACCCCCAGAGTCACCATGCGAGATGAAGTAAGTCTGAGTACGAGACAAGGCGGCCCATCTGACGACGGTCAGTGTCAATATAACATAGAGATCAAGTTGAGACTCACGAAAACCCATGGTTCACAAGCAAGGATGTATAATCGGAGAAAGCTGCTCGAACAGCTTTCTGCACCTCGGCAGGTCCGTCTTCGCGAGCAATAGGAGAACATGCTACGACAGCACCCATGCTTTCACAGAGGTCCCAGATTAGGTCGAACTCATGTTTGCCTCCAAACTGGAATTGCTGGAAGCCGATGAGACTTTTATCAAGAATCAACATAATCTGGGCCCTGTCAGCTTACTTAGCAAGGATAGACACTCACCCGACGACTGTCGCCCAGCCTTACCATACCTTTCAGACCCTTTTGGCTACCAGAGACTGACCTAGCAATGACGGACGACCCACTACGGGAAAGGCCTTTGGGAGCACCGATCCCGTTGCCGCGATTGACGCTCTGCAGCCGTTTGATGTATGAGGGAGGGTGAATCATCTCAGATGCTTCGGGGTTCTGGGTCGAGTAACGATTAGGAGTCTGGACAGCATCTAAGCCCTCACCAAAGCCCTGAACTGGCCAGGTGCTATTCCCCGGAGGGATATTGACACCTTGCAGGACTCCATGGGTAGGATAATTCGCAATCGACCCCAAGGGGGCCGATCCACCTGAGAAGCTGGTGGTATGAGGCAGTGACAATGTGCTTGCCGATGACGGAGTTGCCGGAATTGGGCCTGATGACGATTGTGCAGAGCCTTTATTTGCTACTGCAGCTAGATCTCGGATTGCCTTAGTCAGCACTTCAGAGAGAGTCGCCAGCTTCTTCAGCAGATTGGACGCTATCGAAAGAATTCAAGCACTCACCGCGGCTTCAGATGCTGAAGGATCCATATTACTTATTCTGTTATAGTCTCGCTGAGGTTATGTAAGTCTCAAGATGATTTAATCAATCTCGATGAGGATCATCGAGATATGTTTATTTTCATCTCATCGAGCGGATGTCAACATCCGCTTCCGGCGTTTTGCGGTGTTGACGGTTGGTGGCATCTCTCAGTCTCGATGAGGATCATTGAGATTGACAGATTCTCAGGAAATTCACGGAATTGATGCATAAAAGTTACAAAATGGTCTCCATATCACAGTTCCTCTAATTCAGCTCGGGAGACAGAGGGAAATCTCTCACAGATTGTATCCAGCACGGCTTCGTAGGTGTTTATGTAGCGTTGTACGCCAAAGTCATCGGCAACGGGCCAGGGGCTGCCTGCCACAGCTTGTATGTGATGAATAAATAGATCGGAAGTCATGAACTCGGCGATATCTGCATTTCGATCCACAACATAGTCGATGACTGGGTCGAGAAGAACGTAGGGATCTCTCTCATGCTGTTGATGAGTTGCACGTGTATCAAAATGGTCGATTCCATAGTCGGCAAAGTTCCGCTCTCTGTGTGCCCGAAATTCGTCATCATCATCCTCGTCTCCCAACAGGCGGACAGGTTCTTTGAGAGGATCAAATTGCAGCTGCAGACAATCTATCATCAGCAGGACACTGTGTATAGAAGCCAGCAAAGAAACTCACTTCTCAGCCAGATCTTCCTAGGCGAATTATGCCGAACTGTTCTTATTCCGTGACGATTCCACCGATTTGCAAAAAAATCCAGATGCTCATTGATCATGGGTAGAAAGCAGAAGTGAAGACACCACAGTTGGATCGCCTTGTCAGGATTGAGAAGTGAGTTGTCTTGCATGCTTATGAAAAGCCTGCGATAGCGGTTGGTACACCATCGCTGTAGATCCACCCAGAGTCGTTCAATTCGCTGATTATGAACCGAGGGACCTTGGATAAATGAACCGCGATTGAGACCTACGACGTTAGCCTGTTTCTCGATGAGGATCATCGACATCCGACGAACCTCGCACAGATTCCATGGCCTTCTTCACATCCCAGTTCTCTCTCCCGTGATCAGCCCGAATTCTGTTAGGCCAACCGTAGTCACGCGTGGCTTGGCTGAAAGACTCATATACGGTATTTGCTCGATTGTTGTCACTGGCTTTGAGGAAGGTGATCATGCGAGAGAAGCCATCAATGCCTCCGTGGATAACGATCTTCCAGGGAATGAGCTTATGATGACCATCGATATGCCACATAGCGTTGACACAAGGAACAGAGTACACTCTTCGTATCATAGGATAAGGTGCGATACCGGTGTTGCCTCGATCCATATGCCTAAGGACTCGCCGCAGGTGATCCCGACGAACGCGAACACCAACTGCTTCGAGGCCAGCGTGGACCCCCTTTTCCCCTTCGTCACCGCTGCCGTACTTCAACACATACAACACCCACTGCTGATCAGCAAGCTGCTACGAGATGACATACGGGTTGACATACACCGGCTACATCTTCATCGGAAAGTTCAGGAAAGTCCCTCTTCGCAATGGCCATCTCCTTTCTCCTACGTTTGACTGTTCGTTCGCTACATCCAAGGAACTCCTTGATTTCGCCATCGGTAAAGCCTTCCCTGCACAGTTCCAATAGGATAGCCGTATCGATGACCAATCTACGCACGCCAGTGCTACTAATCTCCCAAGATCTTCCCGGAGGAGCAACGGGGTTCCCAATGGACCTCAAGTGACGATCTTCGACGATTTCAAGGCGGTTCAGTATGTCCTGCAGATATGCGCAGATCCTCAGATACAAAGGGGGCGGTAGATGGATTTCTAGGTCACGGATGTCTAGAAGGAGGCGAGAAATGTTATCGATATGAGTGGGGAGTTGATCAACATCAAAATTTACAACACCGTTGTCATTGAGGAAATTGACCACGGGGATTGTGTAGTTGTTGACATTAGACAGGACTACCTGATAATCCGCAGGAGTCATTAGCTGATCCTAAAAGTCAATTAGAGGCGTTGAGATTTGGTGAGAACCAAAGGAAGTTCAGCTCACCATGATGGAAGGCAAGCAGACAATGATCGAGAGATGAAACGATATACAAGTAAAGTCAAGAATTGATAGTGAGACATGTAGCTGTTGACGTTATCTCAAACGTAATGACAGAATCTCGATGAGCTTCATCGAGATTGTTGTTTGATGATGATTACATGGATGGTTGTCTGAACATGGAATCGACCACAATCTCGATGAACCTCATCGAGATCATCGAGATGTAGAGGTAGTCTCCAAAAAAAAAAAAATTCTCCGGAAAAAAAAAAAAAAAACGAATGGCCCTTCGCGCGGGCCATACAAAACCTCGGCCTCGACCAGAGCCGACGTAACCACCACTCTCACTCTTTTCTCCCTTTTTCTTCTTCACACCACATATACTCCTACAAGATATCACCTTTGCATAGTACAAGTACTACAAGTCATCATCACGATGAGACGATTAGGTGTTTTATTATTACTTCTGACTTTGTCGGAATACGGTCAGTGACGATCTCTTCCCCAACCCTTTACCCCCTTCTCTATCCTTCTTTGTCACATCTGTTATTTCCACTCACGATGTGAGAAGGAGAGTGAAGTGAGCTTGGAGATATGAAACGTTGTAGCTGATATCACCAGTCTTAGCTCATAATCATCATAATATCACAGAGATCGATACTTCAGTACCATTCGATGCGATCATTTATACGCATGTAAGTGAAAGTGATATTTTCTTTCTCTTTAATTCCTTTCCGTGAGAACGAACAGGATGCGCCCAGTGTTGTATATATGGATCATCAGGATATTGCTGAAGAGATACTTGATCGTACCCTTCAAGTCACTGAGAATCAGGGGGAGTCATGTGTAGGGTGGTAGTCATGAGCGAAGAGAACTCATTTCTCTGTGGAATATGATTTGATCGTGGAAGAGTATCTTGGAGAAAGTGTCATCCACTTAATGAGTCGACATGGTGTTTGGAAAGACGAAGAATGGTGATGTTCAACATGAAACTGATAAGTTTTAGATGTCATTACAAACTTTTCTCTGGGGAATTTCTTTCCCTATAGGTATGGTATTAGGATTATCAAAGTGAGTTTTCACTCCCTTTTCAACCTCCTCCAACTGGTCGTTTGGTCATACATCCTCCTATCGAATCTGGTTATCTCAACTCAGCTTAAATCATGCAGCTTTGTTCATTATGATCAAATCTTGGGGGAAGAGGGAATAGTGAGGTAGGTGGTATTTTGTTGACGGATGATTTGTGAGATTATCAACTAATCGTTAGATCTAAATATCATGTTCCTTTACAAAGCGTTAATGTCGTCTTAAATTACGCGGGTCAGTGGATGGGACATCATCATGGTGGAAGACAATTTCCAGCTACCGTGAGTGATCCTTCGCTATTGTCCCCTTCCCTCTCTTCTCCGCTCTCCCTCTCTTCTACCCTCTCTCCTCCAATCTCCTCCCCCCTCCCCCCTACCCTCTCTCCTCCAATCTCCTCCCTCCCTCCCACCTACCCTCTCCCTCCTACCCTCTCCACACCTCTCCATGAAATTCCAATTTTGAGCTATCAAGGGCACGACACATATGTGTACGCTTGGTCTGACATTTAGGTTCATGGTATCATGGCTCGTATCCTATTCTGGACAGTTCTCGTGGTGAGTACACAAATTCCATACAATATTCAATTTGCTGAGAAAGCAGCAAGCAGGTTTGGGAATATTCTTAAAGCTTCATGTGTTGGAGAAAAACGTGAGAAAATGGGTGGTACCTGTTCATTCGGTCATTGGAAAGGCTTTCCCTATACTAGGTTGGACACGTAAGTTTTTCGTCCTCATAAACTCATTCCCGCTTCTTTCTTGTTCACTTTTACTCCTCCCTCACTGCCATCATCTGGAACATGGGCTACGGCGCCAGTCTTAGTGTAATCTCCCTTCCGCTGTCGCGCGAGCGTCACGTCGAATAACTTTTATTGGCCACCAGAGGAGATAGATCTTGAACTGACCGCTAGAAATGCTCTTTGGCGTCGCCACAGCTTTAGGTTACTGTCGTGGTGGTGATCTCGGTCAATGTCTCGCACACTACATAATGGGCTCTGCATTCATCGCCTACGCTGTCATATTGGTCATCATGCTTAACCTTGGTGGACATTGGTTGGAGAGGATAGGTTGTAGTCAAGAAATGTTAGACAGTAGTACTATAATGGTCTGGGTGAGTGTTTTCTCTTTTCACCCCTCCCCCCGCTCGTTCGGAACCATCTCATGTTACTCCATGCACCGATGTCATAGCGAACCGTCATAAAATGTCAAAATAAGAGCGCTGACCCGCATAGGGCATCGTCAATACCTTCACGGAACATCATGGTGGAGCATGGAGTCATAAAGATATGCAACATACCATGCTGGTATGTCTCATCTTGTACCTCTTTCTTCCAGTCACTGATATACAGGGCGTATTATGGTGGACAGGCGGAATGTTAGGAGTGTTTCTCTCACGCAAAGGTAAACGATCTTTCGTACCTGCAGTCATGTACGTTCAATTTTTTCTGATCTGTTCCTCAACTCGCCGATCACTCTTCGTCACTAGTTGAAGGGATCTGTTCAGTGCAACTTAGACTAAAGCTGATTGGACAGAATCATCATGACTGGTTGGGGTATGTCAGCACATGAACAAGCTTTGATGATTTCTTCCAAAGTGAGTCATACTGTTCAAAAGCATGTCACAATGGACTAATTGAATGAAGATCCACGCTTTGTTTGGTTATGCTCTTATCGCTGCGGGAGTATTGAGATTGGTAGAGATTTGTTTCGTTTTGAATGATCAAGCTACACCTCATGGTGTTATCAGGGTTTTCCAACATTTACCTCCGTATGTGAGTGGTGATATCTATATCAAACACCACTGTAATCCAATATTTCTCCACATACATCATCGTCGATCTACATGCTTGCTTCAAAAGTCTCTGTGAAACATTGCTGTATTTTATCCACTTTCGTACTACGCGTATAATTAAAGCGGATTTTTGGGTAGAGAGATATTGTGACCAAGAATGAAGATCAACTAACGCACAGCTATTGGTACTTGGTGGAACTCTGTTCATGTCAGCTACAGACGAAGAACTTCGTAATGTTGATAATCTCGGTATTGACCATGTTTCCTATGCTCTCTTTGTGAGTCGTCGTCGTCGTCGAATCATCAACACCTCATTCTCTTTTCATATATTATTCTAGTCCCGACCATTTTCACCCAAGACCCATTCTCGCCCATACGATATCCCATCAAAGTACAACAAAATCTCCATGTCTTGTCCAAATCCCCTGATCTCCCGGAGACTGACTTAATCCCTCATAATTTCCTCGCACAATCAACTACGATCCCCATGCTGACTCACAGGACTTCTCCCTATCTTTCCTAGTCTATCTCATCATCACCTTCCTCGTCCATCTCTATCTCTCCACAGGGGTCAACTCTACCTCCGCCGTCCCTCCTAACGCTGTGGAAGAAGGATACTCGAAGATACCTTCAAGGTCAAGAAGACGAACGTCAAGGACAGAATCGGAAGAAGGTGCAGAGGTTTATGAACTTACTGAACAAGATGATGATGAGGATGCTACCAAGATAGGACATGAAGATGAAGTTGATTGGATTGGGAGACAAGGTCCAAGTAGACTGAATGGTGTACGAATTTGAACCAGTTTTGCTTATATTCCTTTCCGTTTATGACTCATCTCGCTTCAATCTCTCATGATCGCCCCCCGTGTCTATCTTTCTCGTCACTTCATTGTTGTCTTTACGGTTTTAGCTCATATCGTTTCATCTCTCCATCTCTCCACAGCTGTAAGTGTGATAGGTTCAAAAGATACCAAAATATGTTCATCTGTTGTCATGCATCGTTTTCTCATTGGTTCAATGTACATAATTTATTTGTGACATGTCAATAAACTCTACCAAAGCTCACATCGATCTTCTTTCTTCGGTCGCATACCCGAACCTACTTTACAATTCCAAGCTTTAGCAAACTCTCCATTGTTACGCAAAGTCCCAATGGTTCTCCATTGATTAGGAGAATGAGGATCGGTTCTTATTCTCTGTACGGCAGCTTGAGGTCTTATAAGTTGAGCCCAGATCCTCGCAAATGCTATAAAGAATAATTGTTCGTCTGAGAATTGTTCAAGACCCGGAAGAGCTATTGATTCTCCTGATTCCTTGATCTTATTTTGCCAAGCCGTATAAGCTTGTGCAAGACCTGAATCGGCTATATCTATTTATCAGCTAAAGCCCTGGCTTGTCACATCAAAATAAGAGCTGACCTTCACCATTTGTCAACTGTCATCGTCAGCTATAACGAAAAGACACAAGGGAAAAGACGGACATTACCATTCACATAAACTTTATTACCGGATTGATCAAGAACCCAATAATGACTGTATTGTTTCGAAACGCATTGTGCGCGTTCTTCGAAAGCTTCCACTGTAGCGTTTGACCACCACTCTCTTAAACGACCTGGGGATCAGTGGGGTTGGCCTGATTTGATTGGTTTGAAAGAGGGTGGACCACTCACCATGTTCATCATATTGACTACCGGAATTATCAAAAGCATGTGTCAACTCATGAGCCGCAACAGAACCAAAAGCGCCATATTTCAAGTGATCAGGCCATGCGTGCGAATAAAAAGGTGGATTGAGAATAGCAGCAGGGAAAACAATCTCATTATCACTCGGAGCTGTCGTCAGCGTATCTCCACTATACCCCTCCGTTCTCAGATATCTCGGTGGAAGATTACACGTGTTGAGGCTCGACTAGGGGACGGTCGCTTTGTTGATAGTCAAGAACAACTCACAGAAATAAGCGTTGACAGTCTGTGGGTACATATCCCAACCACCCCTATCTCTTTGTCTACCAAGAGTCAACCAAGTCCTGCTCCCCTCTACCAACGTCGAACTGATCACAGCACCGAAAAAGTCTCCCTTTTCAACAATCGTCCTCCCGTACCAACGCTCCAACGACGCAGGGTCGGTGGTATTGGGAAACGAGGGGTAGCCAACTTTGGGAATGATAGCTTCAGCTTTGAGTTGAGCAGCTTTTGCCGACTCGGCATCCATCCACTTGACATCGGGTAACTTGTCATGGAACGCGTGGATAATTGCTAACAGTCAGCTAGCCGCCAAGACTAAGGGGTCAGATACCAGCTGAAGTTATACCAGAAGTCAAAGACGAAAGGGCAGATATGAAGTAGAGCGACGGTCAGAAAGTCATACTCACAATTGATGATATCCTCAGCATCGGCCTTCGCCTCTGGGGAAAAGGTTTCCTTGACGAATTCTCTACCTACAATGAAACCCACAATGTCGTCCACACTGGCCAGACACACATCTTCCCTGTTTTCCGGAGTTCCCTTCTTGATACCTCTCAAAACCTCGTTCAACCTCGTCTTTTCCTTTCGCACCTCTACGTTTGGCCCCAATGCCCCAGCATAAGTCATGCCTAGCTTCATCGCGAAGTAGCCACCGAGGACATAGTCCGGAGTCTCATGTACCAGCTTGGTCACCGCCTGAAGATAAGGAGGATGGGTTACTGTGATATTTTCTGGGAATGTGCGGGGGGACATGGAAGCGAGGTAGGTAGGGAGATCAAAGAAAGGTAAAGCCTTCTCAACCTTTCTCGTTTCGTAAGGATTGTAGGCGAAATGAGGGTTGAAAAGGTATTCTAGATCGGCGCCAGCTCGGACCAACTCTCGTTCAAATTGTGCGACCTTGAAAGCCAGCCTCCTGAAACGTTCTTCCCGTGAGTCCCCATGCTTGGGAGGTGTGGGCTTGCGAGGAGGGGAAGTCTCGCCATCCTTGTCAGGCCATGGCCAAGGCCACTGCGATTCTTCTTCATCGGCGAGTCCCACGAACTCGTCAACCTCAGTGAGGATGTCATCGAGTAAATCGCGTTGTTCGAAGTCTGAGTTTTCGATGGTCGACGTTGCGGTGACATGAATAAGGAGTTTGCTTAGTACATCGACATACAGATCGAAGATGGGCTTTTCTTCGTAGTATTCTTTGGCTGGTAGTCCACCGAAGGCTTGGTACAACCACAAGCTCTGCACTTGAGGATCAGCACCCCCGACATCTCCTTCTATGTTGAAATTGAGTAGAGCTTCAACCCCATGCGAGTGAAGGAAGGCGAGTGCGCTGGTGATACGATCGCGTCGTTCAGGATCGAACGAGAAATTATCCTCATCATTTAGACTAACAGCGAGTGGCATCGGACGTTTTGACCAAGTGATGGGACCGGTCTTCCTGGCGTCACGATAAAAGTTCATCTTTTCCGCAGCTACGAGTAAATCTGGAGGTAGTGTGTAGTTTTCGTTCCAGTCTTCTGACCAATCGGAAGATGAAGTCAAAGCATCGGTATCGACTGATACGTTGACGTCAAGAGGTCCAAAGATATCCAGAAGTTCCTCGAGTAGGTTTGATAAAGGTTTGATGCCGATGTCATTGAGCGTGTCCTGTGAAGTCAGTCCGGTTTCAGGACATCTCCGACTCTCCCCGGAGGGGAAAGAGGACTTCTCCTGTTCCCCCACCCCCTCCCTCAGTTTACCCTGTTGTTGATCGAGTCCGGTGAAAACGATGTGAGGGTGTCAAAACAAGCGGGCAAGAGACAGAAGTATTACTGACCGTGTCCATACAACTGGAGAAGGCAGCCTTCACTTTGTGAAGATTTCTTTCCTCTGGACCAGCATCTTTAGGTAGTTCGTCAGGAATGGCATTGATGACTTTCAGCAATACCACCTTACTGTCATCTGCGACTGCGTTGAATGATCCGTACGATGCTCTATCCGGAGGAATGCTATGAGAAGATGACCATCCGCCGGCTAAATAGTCAGTCTCTTGATCGGGAATACCAGAAACATTCGAGAAAACACCCGTTTCAAAGATGGGAGAAAATGCGTTCATGCTCAGGTAGATTCTATAACGGAAAACGGTGACGGACTTACATCTGACGAGGGTGAAGCGATGAGACGAGGAATTGAAACTACTCACTAGCATATTCATAGAAATCCTCACAAGGATCTTGGGTAGTATTCATACTTTGTAAAATACCCGCACTCAACAATACACATTGTGGAGTGATACAAACATTCCGATCAGGTTTCCCAGTCGGAATAGGTACAGAAGAAGTAGGATTAGTTGAAACTGTAGTAGTGATGGGGTTTTTGGTCGTAGTGATAGTTCCTTGTGGAACGGTGATAGTCGTGACTGTTGGTCGAGGATCAATTGTGGTAGTTATGATAGTATCTTTATTACCACCTTTTGACCTATTCAAAGCTGATTGTGATCCTGCGAATAAACCGATAAATGTCGAAGTGAGAATCAATAGGATGATACTGATTAGACCGAGGAGTTTCTCAAGTTTGGATATTGGTCTTGAGGGACGATAAATGGAATCGAGGAAGGAAACATGATTATCGTGGTTGAGCAAAGGTGCGGACTCTTTGGAATCAGCGTTCAGTGTTTGTAGCATTCTTGAATGGAATGGCTACTGTCAAGCCTTACAGCATGTAGCATGTAGCAGATAGCATCTGGCTCAACAGATGAGAAGGTTGAATGTATAGAGTACTGCTTCTAGATACGACGAACTGGACGGGAATATGAAGTCGGTTGGGGCATGTGTGTAGAACAAAGGATACAAACGAAGGAATGTAAGATATTTTGACTGGAAGAGTGGGGAGTGGGGATATGCCTCCAACTTTTGACAAGACGAATGAGTTAGGAGAGGAACCTCGACAGAACTCACCTTCATCCGTCGACGGACGTGGATCTGCCATGATAGTCGACGAAGTGATAGCAAGAGTGAAGAGTGAAGAGTGAAGAAGAAGAGGATGAGTGAGCGTTAAAGGCGTGTTGTAAAGTTAGGGTACTTTTCGGTCTTTCGGCCTAACCGGTCGTCCACCTCACAACTCTTTCAGAATCACTTACTTCCAACTCTAGAGCTACCTTTCCATCCGAGTGTCATCCGGACCCGTCCAGGACTGGCTCAAAAGTGACTGGCTCAACAACATGTAGTGCATTCCACCTCTCCCTAACATAAGACCATGACCATGACCATAAACCAGCTATCATGACTCTCAATCCCAATCTTCAATCTCATCATCTTTCAACCAACTCGTTTCTTCTTCTTCCTCATCTTCTTCCCAATTTCTCATCACTTCTTCTTTAAAAGAAGGCTCTTCTTCTTCTTCATTTGTATCTCTCTCGTCCAATGATTGAGTACGTATAAACGTTGCGTATGGTGGTAAGGACAGATTTTGTGCATTTGGGGGTAAAAGAGGACCTGATGGATAAGCAAGAAATCATAACATTCAAGATAACTCACGATTATGAAGTTTCTCAAGTTTGAGCATCATGGGAATTGTCTCTGTTGCCAGGATGGACCGACTTTGTATACCTCCCCAACCTGTCGACTCTGACAGGGTCTCATGCAGTGAAACGTCAGAAGCGATGGAAGATGATTTGATAGCTTGTTTTGCCAAAGATGCCCAGGTCATATTGATCCGACTACTGTTCTCCCTTTCGGAACGATAGGCATCGAACCATTGAGGTTTAATAACTTTCTGGTTATTCCTTCTCCTCAGCATGTTTATCAGTACATAATTCCGAAGACTGACCTAGGTACCGGGGATGGGAGGGCTAAGAGACAACCGCGGACGACAATGTGTAACGCATATGCGATGGCTTGAGGACTGGATTGCCACTGACACGTCAGCTCTCAAAGTGAAAATAACATGATGAGCTAACAATGTCATCATCCGTACGCATCATGTCTGCTCGACAAAGATCGTCGTATGCTTCGGCAACTTGATCGATATCCGTGCAAAAAGAGGGCAACGATTGATGAAGCCATAAAGAAAATGTGGATGCGTCGACAGAGATCGTAGGGAGGAAATTCTACTCATCAGTGAAAGCTTGACCAGTCAGATTGTGGCTCACCTCCGCTTGAACCAGAGATTTGGATCTTTGATATTGCTCTAAGTGAGACGGTAGTGGATCGTCCACGGCAAGAGCCCGGACGGTAGCAACGACCTCTTGATCTTCTTCGTCTATTCGCGGATCACTGAAACCTGATCATCAGCTGACCGCTAAACACAAGTCCATCTGCTGACGTTTGTTGTAAAAGACCTTGCCGAGGGAATGAAACAGGTTCAGACTATTCTCTCGTTTCGCCACGATATCGAGTCTACCCATCAGCACCGACATGACCTTGATGGATGTGATGATACGTACACAGCTCTCAAGTCGTCAGAGACATCGATTCGAGCTCCTTTACCACCCCTACTACCTCGACCCGTTTTTGACGAGCCAGAGCCGATATCGCGATTCTTCCGCTTTCGCTTGTTACCCGTCAGACGGGTGTTTTGACCACATAGCATCTGCAAAGAGTTTATCGCAGATCGCAAGTCACCATTGGCAGAAAGGGCGATGAGCTGGACGGCCGAGTGAGGAGGTCGTTGCTTGACGTCTGGAATAGCTTGGTCGAGCACACGTGAGAGAGCTTTCGTGATGAATGTAGGGGCGAGCGGTATGAAGCTATGAGTGAGCCTAGTAGCCAAATATTTCCGGTAACACTAGCAAAAAACTAGAAGCGACCACTGGACTTCTTGACAAAGATGGGTGTTTTCGAGTCTGAGAAACTGAACTCACTCTATTTCCTGGCAGTAGGGAGAACCTAAGACTTCTTTCCCAACTACACTAACAGCCCCTTCTCTTCCACCTCCCTCTCTATCCATCCAACTCTCCTCCGCCCTCCCACCCGACCCAGCCTCACTATGGACAATCACCAAAGGACAGCTGTCCAGAGTAAAGGTTTTGCAGAATGTCACTAGTGCCGAGTGAAAAGCTTCTCTCGTAGGTAAATGTGTGAGATTAGGTAAAGAGCTCATGAATAGTATTCTAGGTCTGGAAGTGGTTTGGTCGAGAGGGGCGAAACAGTCTCTTAGAATAAAATTGGTGATCCTCGTAGCGTTTGATTCTCGGTCTGGCGAATCAGCACTGGTTCTCTCCTTGTCGTATTCACCTCACGCTCTCATTGAACATGCGTTCGATGTCCGCTCACCTAAAAGCATTGAAGGGAGACCTTGAGCCGGGGTCAGGACGTGAGGACAGGGAAGAAGACGGAGGACAGAGACGAAGCAGGGAAGAAGGGGGAAGATGAGAACGGTGATACGTACCCAAACCGACCGAATACTCATCCATACTATCTCCCCATTCTACCAATTCCACACCCATCTCTTTAGCCAACACCCTAATCGTCGTAGTCTTTCCAGCTCCTGCCGGTCCAGTCAATAACAAAATCCTCTTCTCCATCAGCTTCATTAGTTACCTTCCATCCGACTGACCTTGTACTTCCTTATTCTCTCTTTACTTTGATTGCTCATTCCAGCAGGAGGTAAAACAACGTCGGCAGGATATCCGTAAAGAGCTTCCGAGAGCCAATTCTTCACTTTGGCTATTCGGGCTTTACCAGGTGCCAATTCTATCTTTTCGTCAACTCTCCTTCTCCTGTTTTCAACTACTCACCGCAGTGGAAGGTACGAAACGATCTGCCCAGATGGCATGAATTAAGGATATTTTACCTATTGATGAGCTGTGACAAGCCGAATATGATGACCAGAACTCACTAGGACCTGCTTTAGGTATTTGTCCATTTATTTCGTCCTCGTCATCATCCAGAATCTCAATTACTTTTTTGCTCTTGATTGAGTGAAAATCAGAAATGGTCTTGGCGGAGTGAAAGACGGTCGAAGAAGGTCCACCACTATCTGAAGAGGAAGCTTTTACTTGTCTAGTAGAAGCTGACAGAGATGACCGAGATTTAGGGAAGAAACCAGGTAAAGGAGGAGGCATAGCTTTCCTATCTACTTCATCTTTGGTACTCGACTTGGAGGAAAAGTCGAGTCGAGCGGGACCCGAGGTGGAAGCAACGATTGGTTTTGCGAAATTGAGCATAGGTTGGAACTATTATATCAATCCTTGAGTCTTTCTCCTCATCTCACACTAGTCAGAAGGTTCGTAAGGGAAGTGAATGAAGAAGGGAGACTTACAGAACTGAGAGAACTCATCTTTTTGTTACTTCCGTTGATTCCATTTTTGCCAGATCGACGAGAGGGAGATTTCTTTGAGGTTTTGGTAGATTGAGCAGTATCTTTAGAAGTCATCTTGTCCTCCACCCAAATACCCCACCGTACCACCGTCCCAGATCGAAACTATATACAATGAGATGTTTTGAAATGGGACATGATAGGGAGACGTCAGAGAGAATATAGTGGCAAATGCGGGAAAGAAAGTCGCGCTGTTTGAGTACTTTGGATTTTCCACGTTACATCATCCACTTCTCACTTCTCACCAAGTACTTACTATACCTGGTACTTCTTTAGAAGATTTCTAACTCCTGTTGAAAACCATCAAATCAGCATATGGAGACAAACAATACATAGAAAGGATCGAATCAAGAAAGCGACAAAATGGTGATTCCTCAGTTTCCCCATCTACCGAATGTTTGAGAGAGGAACTGACGAAACAAGTCCGCCCTATTCAACTTCCAATCACTCTTACTCGTTTTCTTATTACTCATTTGTACTTCCACCTATGTCAGAGGAGCTGCACCTGGTTTGATAGATCGTAAAAAATCTGGGTGAGTCAAAAGTTTCACTGATTCTACACGTCCCTACTGTCTGTATCACCCACTGCCTTGTTCTTCACCACGGCCCACATTGTCCCATGGTCCCGGTTTGTCATTCATCGGTTGGAGATGGACTTGATGGATGATCTTATCGTGTATTGTGAATCAGGGTAGGTCATGAGTGTAATGGAAGTCGAGGCTAGGATCATGGATGTTGAGAACTGTCATTTCTGGAAAAATCAAGTTTGGACATTTAGGGAACATTCGAATGGGACATCTTGCTGATATACAGATTCCTAGGTGTCTTTTTTAAATGCGCAAGAATAGGTGAACGTTTATCACCTTATGTCTCTTTGGCTTGTATAGCAATGGCCGTGACTATAATGGTAGGAACTTAAGAAACAAATAAACATGTATCTCATCTTTCTTATTTTAACACTTCATTCAATAACTTTCAAAGTACAACCTCCTCTTCTATTTCTTATGAATATGAATCCTACTCGACATTGAAAATTTAATCCACCTTTTGAGTCCAAGCTAAAACAGCTTTCAACTTCCCATGCATCTCCTCTGACAAACCTCCTTCACCCGCAGCATCCATAATCATCCTAACGACAGTTCCTAATTGACCATGATTCTCAATTCCTAATTCCGCCATGAGACCTTTTGCTTCTTCAGGTGGTACAGGTACATCTTCAATTGGTAAGAATAAATCTTCATCTTCGACATCAGGATCTATCCAATCATCTTCTTCCTCTTCCTCTTCATCATCTTCTTGAACTTTTCTCTTTCCTTTTTTCTTCTTTCTAGATGTTTTTTGTGTGTAAGGTGTTTCTGCGTCCGAATCTGAATCTGACAATTTCGGTGATGATTCAGGTAAGAAGTCACCGTCATCTTCACCATCAGGATCGAGTGGGTCGATATTGAATAGAGAGTCGAAAGAGGGGATCGGGACTGAATCTTGAACGGAAAGAGCTGAGTCGTGTGTTGAGAATGTAGGTACGGAAGATGGACCTAGGGTTTGAGAAAGACCAGAGGGAGGAGGATGTTGTGGGATATGATTCAGAGTTGGGTTTGGTTTTGACATAGGCATCATTAGACCAGCACCAAGGATAAGTCCTCTAAGCATTTGAACTCTATTCATTAGTCAACAGTTTAACCATACGACACACTTAAGTCTTGCCCCTCTCACAAAAACTATGCACATAGTAGTGAACTCTAAAGACTAGGAATGGAGAAAGGCAACGGTGTTCGAGGAAAGATAGTATTGAGACCGAAATGAGTGTAAAGTAGATGAGAAGAGCGAAGAAAATCGACACTCACTCCTGTTCCAACTGATTAACCCTAGTTCTCAAAACTTCACATTCATCCTCTTTATCCCTTAAACCATCTTCTAAATCTTCAACATGTTCTTTCCTCCTCTTCCTAGATTCTAAAGCTGACATTTTATTTCTCGCCCTTCGTCTATCCACTTTCTCTTCTTCTGAAAGAGGTTTTCTACCTCTCTTCCTTTTCCCTTCTATCTGAGTTTCATATCTAGTGTTCTGTCTCTCTACTTGATTGGGATTCTGTTGATAATGTTCATTAAACGCTTTGAATAGATTCTCCATATCACCATGTACCATCTCACCATTATTATGATTCTCTCCTTTCCCATTCGGATTCCCGGTCCCATTCGCGGTGGTGGATGATGAAAAACCAGTATTGAGTTGAGATAATAATTCAGGAATTGGTGGAAGTATAGGAGGTCTAGATATTCTTCCACTTCGAGTTTGTTGATATGGTGTGGATTGACCGATAGGTATGAAAGGTTGTGTTTGTGACGACTGCGAAGGAATGTTGGATTGTGTAGGATGAGTAGAGTTGAATTGTGATTGAGAGGAATGTTGGAGCACTTGAGGTTGAGGTTGTGAAGTAGATTGAGGATTGGTATAATTTGGTATTTGAGAAGAAAATATTAAGTTTAGTAATTGAGCGTTGGTCATTTCACCAGGAATATCATGTTCATCATTCGGTCGATCGTTTGATTTGACTAGTTCTTGAACTTGAGTTTGTCCTTGATCACCCTGTGTTCTGGAATGTGTATTATGCCAAGTGTGCGAATTTTGAGGTGGATGTCGATATTGTGTTTGAGGACGTGAATGTGAATGTGAGTGGGAATGAGGGTACTCCACTGGTGGTAATTGAGCAGCAGCTACGAGAGCTTCTAATCCACCGATTGTCTCTACAGACGACCGATCCATCTTGTTGGCTTTCGTCCCGTCACGGTTCTTCCAACGAAGGTATACGACCCAGTTTGTCGAAAGATGGTGTCACTTATCCTTCTAAGTCCCCTCTGGTATTGGTACTGGAGAGCAGGTGCAAGTGTAGGTGATGTGATACCCGATTTCAGAATCTAGCGCTCGAGAGGTTCGAACTCGAAGGAAGACCAGATGAAGGTGTTCCGGATTGTCGCCCCTCGCTTATTGTCCATCGAACTGGATCATGAGATCTATTCGCTCTCGGCGAGGATGTTGACAATAGTGCACAGAGTGCTAAGCGCTGGGACCTGCGAGATATAAGTATTCCAATTGAACGTCGAGTATGCAGAGTAAAGAGAAGTGTGTCAAGTAAAGGTGACGTGTATGTAAATTCCAAACATGCTTTCACCCGGACATTGACGCGTTCTCCGTACTCTCTACTAGACTATAGTCAGCCAAGATGCATATTCTACTCTGTCTACTCTATCTATATCATCTCAAGTTTGTCAAGATGAAAATCTCCCTCTGATCCATGTATCACAACTTCCCCTTTCTTTCGTTGTCCATGTATCCGTCGTAGGGGATGAATGGATAGAGAGAGAAATGGGAAAAAAGAGAAGTATATGTGGAAAGAGGAGGGTTAAAGAGGGTATGTATCGATTTCAACCCCACCACATAGCCTTTGCAGCCGCCCCTACCCTACTCAACTGATTAACTTTTACACCTCTCTCATCCACCTCTCCATTCTTATCACGTACCCCTTGAGAAATCTTGAAATAACTGGCGATCATAGCTCTCAATCCACCTCTAGCTCCCCTTGGCATCTTTCCTATAGCATCTTCTGACCCAACTCTTAATTTCTCGGCGATGTCTAAAAGTGGTAGACTGTACGTGGCGTAAGATTGTATTCTCGTTGATGGTAAAAGAAGATCCACGATAGATTGTTTAGATGTGAAATAAGTGAGAGGAACGTATATCCTACCGATCAATGCGTCTTTAACAACATCACGAGAAATGTTGACTAGTTGTAATGCCCTTCCCATTTCTGTAGCAGCTTGAAGGATCTTTTTTCTTTCTTCCACTTGTTCATCTTTCTTTTCACATCCTTCTGAAATTGACGTATCTCTCACTTCCTTTACCAAAACTTTCGATCTCTTATCTCCCTTCACATTTGGCTTCACTTCCGATATATTTCGCTTATCATTTGTCGATTCGTACTCGTCGGAAATGAAATTCAGTTTGGCACGAGGAGGACTTCTCTCACTCCATTTGAAATTGTCCACAGGTCTTGAACTATCAATTTCCGATCCTTCATTAGAATCCATCGGAGGGGTCAAAACGGACCAAGAGAGATAACAAACAGCTGCAGCTATAGATCCCCCCGCCACATGATCGGCATATTGCATGAGATCGGAAATGTTTTTGATCGGTAAATATTTCTCCAGTGAAAAATTGGGATTTTCCAGTTTCGCCCGTAACATCGTCTGGAAATTGATCGTCGAATTGGTTGATGATTTCGTCGAAGGAGAAGACGACGTGATAGTGGTACGAGGAGGAGATAAGAATCGTAAATCCGTTTCGTACCCTTTACACAATTCTAAAAACGGATGAATAGGTATTAATCTCGGAACAATCTTCGAAAACAACCTAAAAGCCGATTTTCCTTCTTCTGTCAAATGAGGGATTTTGTCCATGATTCCTTCGAGATCAACACAATCTGAACCATCATAAGCCGCATGAAGATGTTGTCGGATTCTATCGATGATCTTCATTTTATACTGAACTAAATCACCATTGGTTAGATCGCAAGGAGGTAAATCGTCGATTAAATCATCCTACACATCAGATATTGTGCAGGGGATATGGAGTGGGAAGAACTTACGGTAACTCTTGCCCATGCATATATAGCGACCAAAGGAATTCTCATTTCTCGTCCAAAAGCCATCTTCGCAACTTCGAAACTTTTACTACCCCGTTTCAAAATTTGTTCTGCCAAGGCTAGATCGCTCAACATATGTATATCGATTTTCGGCCGACTGAGAGCGACTCGATTGAGTATTTTGATATGTTCGATAATTCTGGCAGGTGGGCAAGGGGGAAGAGTGGGACAGAGAACAAGTAAAGTATGTAAATGAGATACTATCGAGGAAGTCATCATGATAAGATGAGTAGTGAGGAAGAAGAATATACACTCTCTGTTTCAAATCAGCCCCTCCAAGTCAATTGGTCCTAGGACTAATTGGGAACACTCACTCTAATGGCATACCACGCCACAATTCTACACCTATAGAGGTATCCGTATTGATGGTCCATGATCCTGAACGAATAGCAATTCTGAAGTAAGTATGGGCGGGCCATGGAATATGGATGCTTACGTGTCAACCATCAAGAGCCATCCTGTTCCTAAGGCGAACGTCCATTTATCACCGGGACTATCGAAATTCCTCGCTCCGATGAAAGTGACAAATGATAGGACGGGGGCGATCCAGACCAAGATCCAGCCGAGATACAACACTTTTCTGCCCATTTGAAATACTTGTGGCAAGGGAAGATGTAAGTTGTCATGTGCTTCGTTGACCAGTGCAAGTCCAAACAAGAAGACCAATCCCCAAACGAAAGCAGCGAAAGGTCGGTAAGGTAAAGTTTGGATCGTGTCTCGGCCTTTCATATCCTGCTGACTTGTCTTGACACGAGACTTTGGTTTTTGCCCATTTGATAATTCTTTATAAGATTGGCTCAGAGATACAGTTTCACCGTCCACATCCGAATGAAGGTTGGCGGATGATGAAGAGGCTAGTAGACGCTGCACGTTGAATGGGAGTAACGAAGGATGGGTCGAAGCCGTGTGTAGTAGAATTAGCAAGATCGGTTGTAGGATAAAGAAGAGGTGTTCTTCAATTGGTATATATCCGATGGTCAATAATACGGAACCTTCAGGATAAGCCCAGCCCGACTGGGCGATGAGCCACTGGGAGTCAGCGTACCCTTCATTTTTCCCTTTCCCAGGTATCACAACTGGAAGGCGGAGAACACGACTGCAGAGCAGAGCTGAGGGAGTGATAACGAGGGAGAAGAGTCATTCTCCGTAAAGAATTAACGTCTGATCAACTGGAAATGTCACTGACATTATCCCAAGGGGTGGTATACACAGTGGCCTGGCGATCAGCTCGTCAGTCGAATCGATCGGAGATAACTCACAATAACAGTCAGAAATATAATCTTTATAACATCCCTTCTACCCAACACAGGGCGTAGTATAGCAAACAGGAAGAAGATTGGAGGAAATATGAAGCATAAGTGTCTGTAAAGGTCAACAATATACCTCGTGGGCACTTAAATTCTGTGAGGAGGTAACACAACTGCGTGGGATATGTTCAGGCAAGGATAATTGAGTGAAATCATATAAACCAGCAGAACAACTCTTGCGGAATGTTGGGGAGTTGGGGAGGGTGGTTGTTATGCATATATACCAGTGGGAGATAAGTAGTGGAAGACGTACACTTGAAGATAGGTAAGCATATTGGGAGACAATGTTTGTAGGAAAAAGATTCGGGGGAGAGGAGATTGTACAGAGATTTTGGAAGCGAGGCGAGGATGTACTTGTTTATATATGTGAACGTCGATGAACGATGGCGATGTGGACGACCTCGATGGTTGGAGGAAACCTCTTCATCGCAGATCCCAAACAAGTTTTGATGGAAGATACGAAGGAGGGCGCTTTATTGATGGTAGCTCAACATGACGTCGTCACCATCATTACTGTTTCCCTCCCGATGTTACATTTGCCGCAATTGCCTTATGACCGATAGCCCGTAGTCTAGTGCTCCACCGGTGGTCGAGTTGAGAAGGTTCATCGAGTCGATGTGCGCGTGAAAGAGAAAAGTCAGGTTTGATGTAGCCATTCGAACAAGACCATAGAAACATCTTTGTATTCGTCCGTGGGAGTCGTAGGACCTCTTGATCGAACGTCAGGAAGCGATTTGTATCCGTTGCTTGCCTGTCTGTCAGGGTGGTTCCAACACAACCCGCCTGTTCATAATTGGTACATGACAGTGGATATAGCGGAGCGATGGAGGAAGGAGTGATGGATGGACATAACAAAGATCCACATACAAGGATTGCCGCACTGGGCGAGGCCCAATCTTGTGGGACTGAAATCGTCGATGTCATTGGGGTACCATCGGGTCTTTGATCTGAGACGATGGAATGATTTCGAGTTATCTCCGATCCCGTCCGTGAACACTCCATTTGTGAACCATTGATCGATGTCATCGACGAACGTTTCGAAGATACTTCGGTATAGATATTTTCGATCTCGATACTAAAGTCCCACATCTGAGGATAGGCGATTGAGTATTGTTTCATTCCTGCTATACAAGCCAAACACTCCATTCGACCCATGTTGGCCAAGAAACAACCGGCTTCGTAGATCGGATGATAGAGGATCAGTGGGTCTAAACGAAGATAACCGTTTTCGGTCAAAACGGCGATCTACACCAAGTAAGTGGCTATTTCTCGACGTTGCAACGATGCGGCAGAAAAGCAATGGAGAAAAGGAAGGGAGAGAAGAAAAAGCTCACAAGAGCTGCTATGCGCATAGCACCATGTTCCGACTCTCCCTTGATCCTACTTTGCAGGTTGACGAGTTCTTCGCTGGCAGGTCGACCAGTCCGAGTTTCTTCAAGACCAAATTCCTCCATTGCTCGCCATACCACCAACCAAAGACAGTGATAGTACACATCGGTAGAACATGCCGTGATGGCTGCCAGAAAGTCCCACGAGTCAGGCCATTTGGATGGTACACCAAGTTTCGTGAGGTATTGATCCCTCCATTTGAGGTTGAGGCGTACGAAGGAAGCCAATACTGGTGTGGTGATGCCATATTCTTTTGAACGGGGAATCCAGAGACCTTCGCAGAGACGACGACACATGAACGCTCCGGCGTTGGCGGCACCGAACCAGGCCTGAATGTGTCAACACGGATCTTTTTCTGGTCAAGGGAGGTCCGAGGAGCTGAAGATAGGACCACAACCCAGCCAGATAGAGGATTCAAGGCACGAAAGAAGGGCGGAGCTGAGACTTACAACAGCCTCCGTAGGAGTATCTTGGACAACCGAAGTGTCTTTCCCCTCCGTCTCATTCCCTCTGAAAGACAACGGGGCGTCTTCGGGTGGAGCGAGATCATAGTCCGCGTCGCTCCTGTCCGTAAGTTGTCTATACGACGCTCGAATCCAAGAAAGCTCACAGAGTGGGCTTGAGTCTGTGGAAAGCAGCTCTGAATCCATCCGAGAGACTGATCGTCCACCAGACGAACGCGGCTGCCGTCTTGTCGCTCTCATCTTTCAAGCTGAAGACACCTGCAGGGGAATTCAAACCTAACTGAAGCATATGCTTGATCGCTGCAGAGACCGCGACAGGCTGATATTCTGTCCATGTCAACTCTTCCACACGACTCTCAAAATTTCCTTTTGACTCACTATCTTTTAGGAAAGGGGCCTCTGTCACATTAGCTTACTAGCTTGAAGCTGTGGATGACTCACGAGCGACAAGAGGCTCAAGCAACATTAGAGTTTGAGCAGCTTCAACACTAGGTATCCGTAACATCTTGCTAGCCTCCACTACCTCTCTCGCACGGATCACCAAAAGTTGACATATCCTACTTCTGCTCCTTCCAGATCCCTTCTGATCTCGTGCGGAAACCTCTTGTCGATCTGCGATAATCGTCGGATGATCGGAGAAGCGGGAGCCCCAAGCAATGGCCACAGCCACCAGGCCATGCGAGACTGGACCTTTTGGATGGGTGTCAGGCTCGGTCAGACGGGCGCGCAGGAGGAGACCGTCGAGCATGGGAAAACGTATGTGGACGATGGAGAAGAACGTTTCTATCAGATCGTCCGCAAAACTATGAGGATGTAAGCCGAGGTAAATACAAAATACAACGTAGAATAAGAAGTGAGCTTAGGGGCGTGTGGACCAAGCTGAGTGTGCCGAACTCACTCTTTATATCCTTCGTCTGTCAATTTCAAATGCGCCTGACTGGGCTGTTCTACCCAGACATGACCACCCATCTCTTCCCACAAATCTGATTCTCTTTGATCACAGACTCGAAGACTGTCCAAATCGGTGTACTGCCAATCATGATGATGCACCGCCGTTGGCGAGAAGAGATACTTGAGAAGGTCGGATTGTTGCACAGACGGAGGACGTTGGTGAGGGAGAGTAGTAGCTAGAGTTGGCGGTTTTGAAGGAGCGAGGTTCGCCAACAGATGTAAAGATCTGCATGATTACTCGTCGACAGGAATCAGTTTACCACAAAGCGTACTCACCTGTCAGCATCCAAAGGTTCCACACTCCAACTATCTCCTCCCACTTGACTGCCACTTGCCTCGGTACCCCAGGTCACCGGAATAGAACTTGACTGACTACTTGGACGAGAATCTTGCCATACGTCCCGAGCTTGTTGGGCCAGTGTGACCAGATTACCACTTGCTGCCTGAAGGTCATCCCCTTGGACGCTGAGACTCTTCCGACGACGTTTTCGTCCCATATTCTTTCCATCATCGTCTGGTCGCGGACGAGATTTTTTGATCTTGGCTTGAAGTTGCTCGATGTAGAAACTGGTGCAATCACATCCTTTGGTCACGCATTGTTCGCACTGCACATCAGAACAGGCTGATCTCAACTCTGGTCGGTGTACATGAGGGAGCAAGGATGAGACGCGATACATGAGGAAAGAGAGGGAAAGAGAGGGGATTCAAGATATAAACCCACGGTTTCGGTCGTGACCGTGCGTTGACATTTGATCTTTTTGGCCCTGCAAGAATCACATGCCACGTTTTGTTTCCTCGAGGCCCCCGCGACGTTGAATGAGGGTGGGGGCATCCCGGAAGCTACGGTAGCGGAGATAAGGGAGGGATATGCGATGCCCTCGGGAGTACCAGTTGACGAGGGGTGTGAGTCCGTCATTGCTTGCAAGATGAAAAGCTCCGCTTGCTTTTCGGATCCGAGAACTCGGTGTCGAAATTCTTGGAATGAAGGGCGGCTTCCAGGAGTTTACAGACAAGCTTGTGTGGTGAACATAGACGTGGGGAGGACCTGAGAAGTCCGGTAGAGAGCGATGAGCAAGGCCAGAGGATAGGACGTTATCAATAATCTCACTGATCACTGAGCCGGGTTGAGGGAAGAGAAGACGGTGTCAACTTGTGATTGAACGGTCGAGAAGGCTAACTTCGGCTCCGGGAGACTGGGGGTTTCCGACGGAAGTCCATCTCATCTTCTCTTGCCACGTGGGGTTCCAGATTTACTTCCTCCCCTCGACGGCAAACCTTGCTCTTTGCGTCACCAAAACAACACACCATGGCTCTAGGATGATCAAGGACCGATCCCCTACTGATCAAGATCAGGAGATAGACAAGGATAACCAGCCGACTAGTAAAGGACAAGTGGAACAACCTCAAACTTGGCATTCGTACATCATCCGTCCCTACCATGTCCGGTCTTTGGCCAAATATTGTCCATTGGCAGCTGCCGTTTTGGCTCCTCTTTCCACTTTACTAGACATACCCGCTCTCACCGTGAGTGCGAGAACATTCCTTACTCGTTACTTCACGAGTAGTGCTGACACACAGCAACATTGGTACACCCTGAATGGTGTTGCTCAACCCGATCCAACAGCCTCTCTTGCTCTTTCAGCTGTCGGACTCGCTCTAAATGTCTTCGCAAACGCTTTCCTCATCTTACGTTTCTCTTCCTCCCGTACTTGGTGGTGGCATCACGCTACACAATGGTCTCTCATGAACTGGATCCTCAAGGTCATTGTGGCTGCAATCAATCTCATCCTCTTCGGTATAGTCACTAGAAACTCGGCCGGATATCAATTCGCCGAAGGTTTCTGGTGTGCTGTTGTATCTATCATCGATGCTGGTATTATTTCCATCGCCCTTATAGTCCACTACTTCTTTGCGTTTGGTAAATCCTCCGAGGATACATCGGAAGTGCGATCAGAAGGAAAGAGGTTCATGATTTCCGTCACTATTTTCTTGGGAATCCTGGCGCTCCAATCACTCGTCTTTTGCAAAATCGAACATTGGGCCTACTCCGATTCGATATACTTTTCTGTTCAGGTGAGTACAACATCGTCCTCTCGATGATTCATCTGTTTTTGAGTGATTCAAATGCTGACCATGTAGACCGCGCTGACCATTGGATTCGGCGATTTCTCACCCACCACCACTGCAGGCAAAGTACTGGTGTTCCCCTTTAGCGTCCTCACGATCAGTCAACTAGGAAACGAAATCGCGCTCATCATCGGGTTTATCTCACAGAGGGCCAACGAGAGACGAGATAGATGGAAAAAGAGGTATGAAACAGCTATGCATCAGGAAGCAAATTCGAAAAGACCACATGCAGGGTTGTTGGAGGAGATGGCGTTGATACATCGAATCAATTCGAGGGAGGAAATGTGGGTTCTTCCTCATCATTTCAGTCTCTCATATCTAGGTTTATCATGTTGTCACGCCACCAAGGAGATCCGAAAAGGGGAGGACGTGCAGGGGAGAATGTAGGGGCCAGCGACAGAGTATTGCTCACATCAAGGATGAGTCAAGTCTACGATCTCTTTTGGTCAGCTGTCAGTTTGGTAGTTTTCTGGGTATCAGGAGCTGCTATATTCTCTTCCATCGAAGGCTGGCCATACGGGTAAGTATTCTCTGTTCATTCCTCAAAGCTGCTAATGCACAGGGACGCGATCTATGCAGGTGTGTTTTGTGAGCCAAATTGAAGTATACTGATCACAGTCATGATTCTGTCTCTGACGATCGGATTCGGGGATTATACTCCAGTCCAACCGGCAGGAAAAGTTGTGTTTATCGTTTATGCTCTCATGGCCGTCCCTATAGTCACTTCTTTCGCTGTGCAGACTATCACCGGATTGGTGAGTTTTCACTTTCACCTATCCTCTCCTCCCGCGTCCCTTGTTAAGACTTACTCTCTCCCCGACTGACCGACAATTCTCTTGATCAGACGTTTTTGACCACCTCAGGAAAATGACTGTTGAAAGATGCAGTAATATGATGTAACTGACTATTCAGTTGAGCACAGTGTCAAATCGTAATGCCGAACATGAAGCTTTCGAAAGACAAAAGACCGAACAACCTGAATCTTTCAACCCACATTCAGACTTTGTACTACGATACCATGACCTCTATGCCGATATGCGTAAACGTTTCACTGGGTCTGGTACTTCTGTCAAGTCTGATTCTGATATTCCATCTACTGAAGTATCGGACAAGACAGCCGTCGGATCCAACACTCGTCCCTGTACGTCGAACGATACGACAGTCGACGAAGACATTTCCAACTCGAAATTCCCCAATAACGGTGATAACAGTACTACCCCCTCTGAATCTCACACGGCCGATGTGAAGATATCAAAGGATAATGAGAAACCGTCTGAGTCAGGACATCCAGACCCTGACCCAGAAGATGGAGAGGGTCTCAATGCCGGTGTGGTCAAGAAGAACGTAGAGGAAGATGTCCGTCGTGCGGAGGCAGCGGTCGATCAGAAAGATGAACAATCGAATAAACAGGAGGATGACGATGCGGATGAGGATGAGCCATCCCATAAGGAGAAGAAAGGAGGAAAGTTAGTGGAGAAAGAAGAGAAACAATTGGAGAAAGAATTGTTCAGACAATTGATGGATAGGATCATCCAACTGGAAGCAGAAGCTAGACAGATGTTGTTGGATAGTATGTCTCAAGGTGTTCCAAGAACATTGTTATTGGCTGATCGGAATGGTAAGTCTCCTCACATCTCTTAAATCTTCCCTCTTACTGTGTTAGTGATCCGTTGTGATGATTTGACGGTCTTGGGAAATATATGATGATGTGATGAGGGAAAAAGCTGACTGATAGTTCAAATCCGTGATGTTCGAGCACTTCGAGGAGATGATGCCAATTTACTAGCCATCTGGCGAGGAGAAGAACAAAAAACTGAAAATGATATCGCCCAGAGGAAAAAGGACCAACCTGATCAAGCTCCCAATATGGCAGGTGAAGATAAAAAAGGTCATGAAGTCGACATGCTTCTTAGAGTTCGAAGATATCGTGATACCTTTGCTGAGGTTTTAGTACTCGGTTCAATCTTGCAAAAGTTGGAAGGGGACGATTTGAACCAATTCGAGAGATGGAGAGAACAGAATGATGATATCAACAGAGAACCAGAAGAGAGATGGGAAGCTATAGCAGGGAGTGGAATGGGGACACATAATTTAGGAAGTGCGGTTGAAGGTTTGGTTGGTGTTCCAGGTAGGATGTTGAGAAGACGATCTAGAAAGAATTTAAGGAGGATGAAAACTACTCCAGGGAAATTCGAAGGTGTTGAACAATCATCTGCATAATCATTTCAATGGAAATCGGGCATATCACACGAGCATTTTGTTTGGAGAGGAATATTTGTCATGTTGTATGTAGTCAATAAAACACGCATGAATGGATATCTGTACATGCTGCATGTTGTCGATACTAGTTCTGTCATACGTGATCAAGCATCTCCAACTTCACCAACTTCACGAAGACGACGAATGGTGGAACGGACAGTGTTGGCAGCAGGTGTAGAGAAAGTGTAAGCGCCTCCAGCGAATCCTTTTCTGCAAGCTCTACATTCCCAAATCCCAACGGCGGTACGTTTGACAGAGTTCTGATTGTCAGTGTTGAGTTCGATCATGCTACACAGTCTGCATTGTGTCTTTCAATCACCTCCTCGGTAAGCCCAACGAGACGAGAGGTGTTCAATGATGCCAGCCGCAGTCTTCGCATAGAGACTTCATTTCTAAGGAGATCCCGTCCAAGTATCCTCGGTGTTTTAAACCACTTCTGGAATCACCAGCGGCTGTCCTCTGTCATGACCAAGTACTTGAGCCAATGGGACAACCATTGATAAAGATATTTGAGTAGAGATAAGGAGATGCCCCAAGAGCCAAAGAGACGAATCGGGATACCATTGGGGAAACAGATCGAAATCTCACCTTTCCACAACTGGGACACTGATATTTCGCATGTTGAGTAATTTCCATTTTCTTCACCCTACACGATCAGCGATCTTCATAAAAAGGAATTTTATATGACAACTTACGTCTTTCGGAGAGAAGCACCATAACGAGTACCGTACTTTCCTGTGATACCGACTTTCTTAGTACGTTTCGTCTATATATCAGTGTCATCTTAACGCATACCCTCATATCGTTGTGGATTCTCCGACTGTGTCTTGTGCCATGTCATATCCTTCCTTTCCCGCAACTCCGGTTGATGAGCTATTATACTACATGATGATTCCAGGTGCCGCACTGGCTTGAGATAGCTACTGGCGGCTTCCTGCTTTTCTTTACAGACCGATAGGGAGAGGTTTGGGTGCACTTACCATTTTGTCGATGAAATGCTTGACGGTTAAACAACACTTAGTTCAATTCGAGAGAAGGGAGGGAAGGGGAAAACGCCGACACCGGCTAGTGTGGCGATTAATCCCACTGGGAGTGTTCGGCCATAAGAAGTTCGAGTGGATTTATCTCCGATTTGCCAGGGATTTGGTGAAGTCGGCTTAACCCGCTCGGGAGATTTCCACTTTTGCTCTGTCATACAAATCATATTCGACCTACTCGAACGGGTCTCATTCTTATATATATGACCATGTTTTCTCATATCGACTCTCGATCTGGAGCGTGACATTGAGTGACTCGATCACCCTCTCTAATCTTGTGAAAAGCATATAATCAACCATCCGAAGAACCCCTACCACTCGCTCAATCATCCGATCCATCTTTTCACATCATCGTCCCATCCTGATCATCCAGCCAGTATACGATTTCATCTCGACTTCACTGTCCTATCGTATTAATCATGTCTCGTCCCAACTCTGCTTCTAGACTTCCTCGACCCATCTCAACACCTCCCAAACCTACACGACAAACTCCCGACTATCCTTCCCTTTCCCTTCTATCTGAATCATCCACCGGTCCATGGGAAAGAGGTCGAATGCATTCCAACGCCCGTTCGCCGCCTACGCATCTTCAATTAGCTGAACAACTTCGACGACATGCCGAACCAATATCACCTCGATCGAAATTAAACACCACTACTTCATCTGGTGCGATTCATGTTTCATCGACTAAATCCCCTTGGCCGGCTTCCAAACCTGCTTTGGACCGTTCTCCTGCCCTTCCAAAAGCCCAAGGGAGGGCGAAACAGATGCTTCCTACTTCGTCCAGTATGAGTTCTAAGAGTTCCAAGAGCTCCACAAGTCCTCCGACTTCCAACATAAAGTCGCCACTCCAGAACCGCCAAGCTAGAGAAGGGTTTGGATTCCGTCCAAGATCTGGTCAATCCACTCCTACTGGATCTGCCAATGGTGCATTCTTTTCCCCTTATGTTTCCGTTGAGTCAGGTCGAAGTGATGATGAAATGGATCACCGACCGGACGGGAAGAGTACGAAAGAGTTAAGAGGTGATGTGAGGCAGGAGTTAGATCTGGACGAAATGGAAGAAGTTGAGAGACGATTCGAGGAATTGTCACCTAATGGTGGGATTGCTGATGAGGAGGGGCTTGGGTGGCCTGGTAAGTTCTCTGCTGAATGCGTATCCTCTCACCTCATCTATTCCCTGAAGATGCCCAATGGCTGTTGGTCACCTAATGGCATTATGGAGTTGTCGTGGAAGGTGATGCGGAAACCTATGTAAACACCTGTATAAGATGATGAAGACTGACTTACAGCCAAATCAACAAAGATCCGCCTTCATCGCACACCCGAAGAAAAAGCCAAAAATCTTGCTGTTCTCTCCGGGGCCATCCGGACCGTACTCGAATGTATTGGTGAAGACCCCGACCGTGAAGGGCTCCAACGTACTCCCGAACGTTACGCCAAAGCTCTTATTTGGATGACTAAAGGATACGAGGAACGTTTGGTGGATGTCATCAATGATGCCGTTTTTGCCGAGGATCATGAAGAGATGGTTATTGTGAGAGATATCAATGTGTTTAGTCTTTGTGAACACCACTTGGTCCCTTTTGCAGGAAAGGTGAGTAATTTACTCTGCTTTCTCTTCCTTCCCCTGCGTGTACGTGACCTCCTCTTCACTCATGAGACAAGTGTGAGAGGTAGAGTGAAATGAGACTTACTCTAGATCTCAATAGGGTACATTCCCAACAAGCTCGTGCTCGGCTTATCTAAACTGGCTCGTATTGCCGAGACATTCTCCCGAAGACTTCAAGTTCAAGAACGTCTTACTAAACAAGTCGCTTTGGCCGTGGAAGAGGCTATTCGTCCTCGAGGCGTTGCGGTCGTCATGGAAGCTCAGTACGTCGTTTGTTTTCCTGTTTCTTCCTTGCTCTGGTTCTCTACTCTTCCCCCCTCCTTATTTACTCTTATGCAACGTGAATGATATTGAAGATTGAAGCGAGCTGACTCACAGTCACATGTGCATGTCCATGCGTGGAGTTCAGAAACCTGGCGCGACCACAGTGACCAGTACCATGCTCGGTTGTTTCCGAACGCAACAGAAGACTCGAGAGGAGGCGAGTTTCTTCTTGTTAGTCATTGTTGGTTAATACTGACGGGATAGTTCTTGACCCTGATTCGTAGTCCAAGCGTGGCCAACCATTTCTGATCAGTTCAGTCAGGTAACCGTCAAGACTCCCGGTATTATGAGAGGGATACATTCAACATGTCTTGTAATCAATTGTCTCTGCCCATAGTTTATATACCCTGTGTAAGCATAAGATGCATGGATATCCAGCAACCAGTATTCCGCTCGTTAAACCTCCCGACGGCCAACGAAGTTAGGCGGAACTGATTCCCTGGCTCCCTTGCCGGTTGGCTGGGAACGAGGCTCACGAAAGATGCGGTTAGCGGTTCATGATGTTCAATCTTTGTGCTTTACGTTCCCCGGTGGCCGCTTCACCTCAGATCACCGGCCCGTGGTGTAGTCGGTTGCGCGTCGCCCATCCCCACCCACCCCCAACCAACTCCACCACACCTACCTGCACATATATATATGATCTCTTCCCTATTGACAAGAAAGACACTTCGTCTATCTTCTCTTAGATCTTACACTCTTACAAAGACTCCAATCGCCTCATCGATCGCCCATCCAGCATTCCAAGTGAGTCATCTCTCGTCATTCCGAGTGAGATCCATGGACCATGATTGTAACGCTGACGTCGTGAAGCGTCCTCCGCGACCACTCCAACTTCAGAATCAGAGAAGAAGATTCTGTCTCTGTGCACATTCCGCGACTGCTGAACCGTATATTGCCATACCGGGCGGAGTAGAGAGATACAAGATGACAGGAGAAGATACGGAACATAGACTTCCTACTGATGTCTATCCCACCGTAAGTGACTCGACTCATTTCTCCATATCGCATTCATCCCTTTATTCTTCTGCTTATCAACGGCCGGAACATAATCAGACATGCACTGATGACATAGCACTATGACCTCGTTTTCAAGACTGATCTTCGTTCCAGCTCTCCGTACTTCTCCGGTGAAGCTATCATTCACCTTGACATCCTCTCCGATGTCACTTCCATCACTTTCAACCTCCACCGAGACCTCACCATCACTCATTTGGCGATATCTTCTTCCGACTTGAAATCTACCACCTCTCTCGTCCTTCCCATCTCCGCATTCACATTCGACAAAGAGAAAGAACGTGGACATGTCTCGCTTTCTTCTCTTCCTTCTGGCGGTCTCAAGGAAGGAGCGAAAAACACCAGACTTTGGTGTAGGTTTGAGAGTCTTCTCAGTGACAACATGGCTGGATATTATCTATCTAAAGGTGATGTGAATGAGAAAACAGGGAAGAGGGATATTTATGCTTTGACCCAGTTCGAACCGACAGCAGCGAGAAAAGGATTTCCATGTTGGGATGAACCTCTTATTAAATCTACTTATGCTGTGTCGATGATAGCGAAAGAAGGGGAGACGGTTCTCAACAATATGCCGGAGGTAGGACATGGACCTTGGAAAGCTTCATCGAACGTCACCCCTGAAGGGGCGTTGAAGGAAGGGTATGAGTTGGGCTCAATGTTAGGTTCACTCGTATCGTTGGGGAAGACTGAAGGTAAAACCGAAGGAAAGACAGAGGAGGGATCTTCCGATGCCGGATGGGTCATCACTCAGTTCGCTCCCACCCCTAAAATGTCAACATATCTGGTCGCTTTTGCTTGTGGTCAATTCGCACATTTGACAAGCTCTTACAAATCCCCATTGACAGGTAAAACAGTACCCTTGCGTATCTTCGCTACTCCGAACCTCATCCATCAAGCTCAGTTCGCATTGGACATCAAGTCATGGGCGACTCCGGTCCTGGAAGAGATCTTTGATATTCCTTTCATGCTGCCCAAGCTCGACACCTTGGTGGCTCACGATTTCGACGCTGGTGCGATGGAGAACTGGGGTTTGTTCGTGGGACGTACCACTGCCTACCTCTTTGATGAGAAGAAAGGTTCGCTGGCGGCGCGGAAAAGGGTTGCTGATGTTCAATGCCACGAGAGTTCTCACTCCTGGTTTGGTGATGCCGTTACGTGAGTTTCCTCTATCCTGAGCTGTGGAACCCCATCCTTCCTCATTGAGAAGTGAAGCCCCTGAACGTCGAGGGAGGAAAGTTGACTGACAACTAGGATGAAATGGTGGGACAATCTCTGGCTCAACGAATCATTCGCCACGTTCATGGGTGAAGTCATCATTGAAGATCGAATCTGGCCCGAATGGAAAGTCCGCGCTCAATTCATCAAAGGTCATCTTGAATCTGCTCTGTCTCTCGACGCTCAACGTTCCTCTCATCCTATTGAAGTGGAATGCAGAGATGCAGGTGATATCAACCAAATCTTCGACTCGATCTCGTACGCCAAAGGTGCTTCGGTCTTACGTATGCTCTGCGCCGTCGTCGGGGAAGAAAAGTTCCTCAAGGGAGTCTCAAATTACCTCAAGAAACACATGTACTCCAACGCGGTCACCAAAGACCTATGGGATGGTATCACCGAAGTATCCGGCCTGGATGTCGCCAATATCATGAAGAACTGGGTACTCAAGGTCGGTTTCCCCGTCATTACTGTCGATGAAGTCGGAGAAGGTAAGATCAAAGTCACACAAAATCGTTTCCTTTCCACTGGAGATGTCAAACCGGAAGAAGACGAGACTTTGTGGTGGGTTCCCTTGGAAGTCAAGACTATAAGCGGGTCAGAAAACAAAGTATACCACGATCATAACCTCGCTTCTCGTGAACAAACGTTCGACATCGGGACTACCGAATGTTACAAGCTCAATGCGGAGACTATCGGTGTTTATCGTGTCAAATATTCTCCAGAACGTTTAGCCAAGCTGGGTGAACAAGCATCCTCATTTTCTATCGAAGATAGAGTTGGACTGGTTTCTGATGCTACTACGCTTGCTCGTGCCGGCTATGCCAAGACTTCCGGTTCTCTCAACCTCATTCATGCTCTGGGAAAGACAGAAACGGAGTTTTTACCTTGGTCTTTGATCGGTACTTCTTTGAGCAGGATCGGGGACACTTGGTGGGAACAACCGGATACCGTCAAGAATGCAATTAAGAACCTTCGTGTCAAGTTATTCAAACCTCTGGTGGACAAACTCTCATTTGATTCAAGTGATAATGACGCGCCGGATATCAAGGAACTGCGAGAATTGTCAGTTTCACAAGTTGCGCTTGGTGAGGATGAGGAGGTTTTGGGAGAAATCAAAAAACGTTTCAAGCCATTTTTGGAGAACGGCGATGATTCCCAAATTCCGCCAGATTTGCAGAGGACCATCTATGTCAATAGCGTTAGACATGGAGGGGAGAAAGAATTTGAGAAGATCGTAGAGGTGTATAACAAACCTCCCAACCCGAGTACGAAAGTGGATGCGATGTATGCCATGTGTGCGACTGGAAAGGAAGAATTGTTGCAGAGGGTGTTTGGGATGATGAAGGATGGGAGTATCAAGGATCAGGATATATATATTTACTTCGTGGGTCCATTTTATTTGCTCATGTCCTCGCATCTGCTGTTCACAATCATCCCTTGCTTTTCTTGTCTCATCACCTCGCGAGCGATCCGCCAAGGGAAAGTCAGAAACTCAAGCCGACGCCACTATCATGTCGGGGCACAGTTCTACTGGGTCCTGGAAGAAGGTCAAGGTATAACGAATGAGGAGCTGATGATCAGTTCGGACTCAGTGGCAATCCAAAAGCCCGTAGAGCTATTCGTCAATTTTTCATTGACAACTACGACGATCTGGTCAAGAAATTCGAAGAAGGTTACGGTCTCACTTACCTCGTCAAAGGTTCTTTCGCCTCGTTCACATCGTACGAAGATCTGGAACAAGCACGCAAGTTCTTTGCGTCGAAAGATACACGAAAGTACAAATTATCAGCATCTCAGGCTTGTGATAGTATTCAAGCTGCGGCGGATTGGTTGAAGAGAGACAGCAAGGATGTGGAAGAGGTGAGTTGGTGGTCTACTCGAGTGTGAGGGTTGCTGATATCGCAGTGGTTCAAAGCGAATGGTTATCTTTGATGGTAACGTTGAATTGATTGATAACATGACATGCATAATTGGAAGCGTCCTGGTTTGTTCATTTACCTCCTCTACTCAAGATGGTTGTGGTCAATGCTCGCTTGGAGGGGATGTAGTTACTCGTACGTACTACTCTCAGCGAGCGTCATGTGCCACACGCCACAAGTTGTCTCCTCAATGCCGCACCACGTGGGGTCAAGCGGACACGTCGAAACTTTACTTCAACCTCGCTCTCTCCCTCTCTCTTTACTTTACCTCTCTACACTCCTCTCACAACCTCACTCATCTTGGATCCCCATATCATCGCCGATGTAGCCTGGTAAGTTTTTTTACTTCTCGTTTCCCTCCCACCCCTTACAGGCTATGACGACTCTATTGTCGCCCCAGTCCTAGGCCTCTATCCTTCGGGGGACGCTATGCGGATCGACAGCACATGCCAAACGTTGCTTTTTCTGAGCCTTCCATCTTGTTTTTTTACTTTGTTACACCTTTGAGGTGTGACTTCCAACTCCTTTTATCAAATTTCTCCACCTGTCTCGGCGCCTTCTTGTATAGCGCCTCAGCAGACGAAATACGTGTGTTGATCGTAGTGGGGCAAGCGAGTTGATCAATAGACCATGATTCAGAAGACCCATTGTCGATAGAATGAATAAAGTAGATAGTGAGTCATTTTCATCCGTCTCCATTCTGGACTATCACAACTTCACAACTGCACAACTTCGCAACGTTCATTCCGAGTGACCAAGAATCCTGCACACCACAATCATCTCTACTTCACCATACATAAACATTCCTTTTGAACGAGAAGAGGTTCGAATGAGAAAACGAAAGATCGCCCGATGATGATGAAATACTATTCCATGCTAAGTCTGATCCTACGGGGTAAGAAGTCAGTCATGTAATCTAAGAACGGCTAGCTGAGGGCGATCATCTGTCCAACTTACACATGTGTCCTGCATATCGATCGCTCATTCATCCTACCGCCTGGGCATCGCCTCATGCTTGGGGGTGTACGCTGACACGTGTAGATTATGGAGTACACAGCAAAATCGTCATCATCAACTGTCTGATCCGTCTGTGATTGTTGTACATATTCCTCTATGTATCCATGTAAGAGAGAAAGAGATGAACGATATGGTCAAGAGTGGGTTGGTACCGAGACAATTGTCAAAGGGGGTACCGATGCTCAAGATTTCGAGCAAAAAGTTGAAACAAGTCGTCATAAGGATAGAAGATGATGAGATTAAATGGGCGGGAAAGGGGAGTAACAGTGAGTTCTTGTGTTCAACGACACACACGTTTGTCACTTCATCTCTTTACACTCACGTTGAATTGCCTAGCCGGTATATGTATCATAGCATCAATGATACTCGCACAATCCTTTGGGTATAAGGGACGAACACTGACGCTCAGTCGCTGTCAACTCCATCCGCGAACTACGCCTGGGACAACCACCCACAGAAGCCTACAATGGCAAACGTTGGATCACCGTAGTTTACGTTCGGTCTGGACAATGGAAAGTTCTTCATATGATCGCTCTCACCGACGACGTCTATGATCTTTGGGTGAACACTTTGCAAACACTTGTCTCGCAAACATCCGACAGATTGGTCGCGCAAGTCACACCCACTGATCCCGACTTGCTCTGGATTCGCCAGCTTTGGCCAGCCGGAGCCAAGACGATAGATCTCGAGAGTGCCTTGGGATTGTGCGGTCAGATGGGACTCACCGTTCCTGCTAGGCTACTTCATGATCATGTTGTGCGTAGATCAGTCAGTACCTGGTGGAATGTCGCTCACTGTCAGGCATCGTTAGATATCGACGCTTTCCGGTCTCTCGTAAAGGCTGCACAGACCCGACCAGAGGTTCTTTCTCTTCATGCATCACTCACTAGTAGTGGAAAGCTGGATCGAAACGCTGTCGATAGATTCCTCGCGGATATACAACACGTCAAGGGCGATGAACTGTTTGACAAGTATGCACATGGTGAAGAATGGACGGTCGAGTCGTTGGCTGAATTTTTGCCTTCTGCCGATAACAACCCTCGTCTGGAGGATGACATGACGTTTCCTCTGCAGCACTACTTCATTTCCAGCTCGCACAATACCTACCTCGTGGGAGAGCAATGGCGAGGAGAAAGTACCGTCGAGGGTTACATTCGAGTCTTGCTAGGGGGCTGCCGGTGTGTCGAAAGTGAGCTACTGGGTCCATCAGTATGCGGGTCTAAGCTGACAAATAGTTGATTGTCATGATGGAGACAACGAACCTGTTGCGCATCACCGAGTCACTCTCACATCAAGTGTACCCGTACGCGACATCTGTCAAGCTATCAGTAAATACGCCTTTGTCATCTCGCCATATCCGGTCATCATCTCTGCCGAAGTTCACTGCTCTTTTGAGCAGCAGGGCAAGTTGGCTATGATTCTTCGTGAAGAATTCGGCGATAATCTGATCACAAGCCCGATCGATGATCGCGAAGGACTGCCTAGTCCGGAAGAGCTCAAGTATCGGATTTTGTTCAAGACCAAAGCTCGCAAGTTGGATTCGACACCCACCAGTGCGACTTTTTCGTCTTCTTCACTCTCTCCTTCGCCACGTGAGGCTACTTTTTCTCCTTCGATAACCGCAACATCTGTCGCTACGGCTTCCTCTTCGACTGTCACCGCTAGCTCTGTAGCTACAGTAGCAGCTATCCCCGCCTCCGACTCCACCACCGAATCTGATTCTGGGTTGGCCCGTCTCAAACGACGTTTGTCCAATACTTCCACACCCGATCGACCTGCCTTTTCTCCTTCTCTAGCAGAATTACTAGTTTACACCGCCGGTATCAAATACCAGGGTTTCTCCAAACTTGTGACTTACGAACCTCGACATCAATTTTCCGTTTCTGATAAAACTGGAGGTAGAATACTTCGTGAAGCCAAAAACGATTGGATCAAACATAATTACACTCATATATCCCGTGTATATCCGAAAGCACTACGTATAACCAGTAGCAATTACGATCCGATCCCCTTTTGGTCAGCAGGATGTCAATTGGTAGCTATCAACTGGCAAACTGTAGATCATGGTGCTATCCTAAATCACGCCATGTTTTCCGATACTCCTGGTTATGTGTTGAAACCCATTTCACTCCGACAAAAGATACATGAGATACAACAGATTTATCATGTCCGAATTCAAATAATATCCGCACAAAGACTCCCGGCTCAGGATCTTTATGTCGAAGCGACATTAGGAAACGATACTCGCAAGACGAGTAAAATGGACGGGATGTCGTTAAACACCACATGGAACGAAACTCTTTCTTTCGAATTCATTTCCACTCCTTCAATATTACATTTGACATTTTTATTATTGGAAATCAAGAATAAATCTTTGATAGCCAGATGGACGAAACCTTTGTCAAAAACACCTAGGGGTTATCATTATTTATCTTTGTATGATAATTTATTTAGCAAGTATATATTTGCTACGTTGTTCGTTAGGATTGACATGTCTACTACTCCGGTTGAAACGAATCGTTCGCATCGTGGGGATCATCATACACATAGTTCTATCCCTCATCATTTGACTCATCAGTTGTATTCGTTATCGTTGTAATGCTGTTGTGTTATCCGTCTCTCGAAGCTTTTGTCACTGTTATGCACGGTGTCATTTGTGACCTTAGATAAGATTGTCATGGTAGATGTGAAAAGATGCATCATTTTTACGAAATCATGAATACCAAACACCATGCTTCTCTTCATAAGCGTATATCAAGAAGGAGTAGGAATTTCCAAGTTTGTTGAGTTTGTTGACAAGATTTAGATCTCAAACGTTTATAGAAGAAGGGTTCTTAGATACTTTATTAACAAACGTTGAAAGAACGGAAAGAGATCATTTATCTCCAACGGCCTTCATGGCATCTGCCAATAACCTATTCCCACCTTCTCTACCTCTACGTGCTTTATCACGATCAATCTTGATTCGTTTTGAAGTACCTGGTGAACCTTCTCTCGTATGTTGTTCTTCTGTCATGTCAGTGAGATTGTTGACTGATTCTCAGCGGGATTTTCTATCTCTGACTCGTCCTGATCGGTTTTCGATTCCGGTGTCATACTGAGGGAAAATCCAATCACAGCAGGGGTGAAGGTGAATGAGACGAAATGTAGATTTTGCTCTCATGATTCGTCTAGGTGTAAGGGAAGAGGGTGGAAAGGGGAGGGGGGGAGGGGCAAGAAGAAGTGAAAATGAGTTAAATGTGAACTAACCCTCTAAAGGTCTCTTCCTCATATCACCCGATTTATCCTCTTCAACTCCCGTTCGTGGGTTTTCAGATGGTTTGTTAGGTGACGAATCTCTATCCCCAGATCCCATCCGAGTGGCCAGATCGGTCCTACCTGTAGGTCGAGGTGGTAAAGAAGGATGAGGTCGATTGTTATCCACTTTAGGTGGGATTGATCTTGTAGTCTATCCGTCAGTCCGGTTGAGGTTCTCACTCCTTTCATTCAATACTTCACATCTTTCCGCCGTTCGAGGAGACACTCAATAGAATATCAATTAGTTGAGAGTGACGCGCGAAGAGAGGGATCAGAGTGTACTGAACCTAAGAAAACCGACAGGGTGTGAGGGTAAAGTAGATGATGGAGGGAGGAGAAGGAGGGGAAGGGAGAGGAGGGACGAGAGGGAAGAAAGAAAAAAAGATGTCAAACAAACTCACATCTGTCGAACGTGTCCTTGGAGCTTCCACGATCCTATCTCCCATTTCTGGATCAGGTCTAGGTGGTAATACCTCTTTGTTTGTCATATCCCTCTTTGGAGTTTTATCACCATTACCAACATTCCCCACTCCATTTCCAACTCCATTCCCATTAGATATTCCACCTGTTCTCGACCTCATTTCTCTAGGCGGAGAAGTTTTATATCGAGAATCACGTGTGTTTTCCCTTTCATCCCTTTTGCGAAAATCTCTTTCTTCATAATCCCTATCGCGTCGATGATTATCATCCCTTGGTCTTCTTTCTCTTTCTCTTTCTTTATCTCTATAATCATCTCTCCTATCTCTTTCATCCCTTCTATCTTTATCCCTTTCTCTTTCTCTTTCCCTTTCCCGTTCACGACGTCCTGAATCAACTCGTCTGGTTTCTTCATCCCTTTTACGTTTATGTCCTTCGTCCGTTCTTTTATCCCTATCTCTATCCCTATCACCATGACGATCATGTCCCCTATCTCGTTCTTTCTCACGAAGTTTACGTTCTTCCCTTTCTTTCTCCGTCTCACGACTTGTCCTACGCGTTTCTCGAGTTTCAGCAACCCCAGCCAATTTATCCGCTCGAGCTTGTAACAATTCTTCTTGTTTACGACGTTCTTTAACATCATCTGTCATTCTTTCCGCCGGAGTTCTCGAACGAGTAGTTCTATCAACGTCTTTCGTCTTTGAACGTTCTCTCTCTTTCTCACGTTCTTTCAACCTATCCCGATCATCCCTTTCACGTCTGGACCGACGAGATTTCTCGCTGATTCGGGAATCGACCGAGGCACTGCGTCTAGATCGTAAGCTAGGTGGAGGAGTGATTTTCGTCTTTGGCGGTTCTTTCTCTACTTTCTTATCCACCGTCGGGACCGGCGAAGGGGCGTGGGAGGCTGGACCGGTAGGCGGAAGCTTGGGTAATGGTTGGGAGATCATACCGAATTTTCTAGCCCGAGCAGCGGCACGTTCTTCATCCACTGATAGAGAGGCCGGTGGAAGCATTGACGCGTGCGATGAGGTAGGGATCCCAGGTCTGACCGGTAAAGCATGTTTGGATGGTCCAGTGGGTAGAGAAGGATTCGTAGATTGTGTGTCAGGCCTTACGGAGCTCGAGATCGGTGCCGTGAGTATACCAACCGTTGACGACGACGTAGGCACAATAGTCGTAGATCGAGTAGCTCTAGGACCGGCAGGAGGCGTAGGCATCGTTGTAGCGGCTAACTTTGAAGATGCGTTGGTGGCGGGTGGTGTGCCAGATTTGACTTCCGTAACAGATCCAGATTGTTCTTCTTTCGCCTGGATCGAAGTCGCAGTCGGACCTTTAGCTCTAGCTTCCTCCAACTTCCTACGCAGCTCTTTCGGATCCGACATCGTAGGCGTGGCGTTGATCTCCGTCGTTCGAGTGGAAGAGACAGCGATCCCATTGACCTTTTCTTCCGTCGTCAGACGAGAAGGAGAGGCAACAGTAGAAGGGGCCTGGGCAGATTTCGGACCTTGTGGTATGGCCTTGTTGGTAGATGTACCAACCCCATTGGTCACGACGGATCTAGAAGAGCCGCTCGAGTGAAAGCTAGAGGGAGGAACGTAAGGTTTGGTGTTGATTCGGACTTTGAGACTTCGTAAGTACCTACAAACGTCAATGAAATCCGCAAAAGATGGAGCTTGAGACACGTACGAGCCACAAGAAAGTTTCATATCTGGGGTGATTGGACCTTGTTTCTCAGAAATCAAATCGCCGACGGCTGCTTCTATAGCTTTGCCGTGAGTGTCCATTATGGGGAAGAACGGTAGGATCTGTAAGGCGACAGTAGTGGCGTTGTGCATATGCATATAATCGTTCTCCGCCCAGCAAGATGTTAAAGCCTTTTGATCAGCTTGGACCTTTCAATTCTTTCAGCGCATCATGTGGAGGAACTGAGCCACAGTACTAGTCGACGCAGAGACGGAAAGAGTGCCAAAGCGAAGCGAGTCAAAAAGTGAATTGACGTATTGAAGTTGGAGAGAATAGTCACGGTGAAGAGAGAATAGATTTATTGGAAAGAGGATAGACTCACTGTGCAGACATTCGCATGGAATTTGGCAAACAAATTTCTGTATTCGTTCCACGACATGACCTTTAGGTTTTCCCCCACTCTGGCCCTATATAACATCCCTGGTAACGTCTCCCCTGTCCCCGTGTCTGATATCCCCATCGCTTCTTTTTTATACCGCGCCTCATCAGAGTGCCAAGCGTCTAAATCGGCCAAGATGGCTTTTAGGCATCTCCCAAGATTCCTAGCTTCGCTCTCGGTACAAGAAAATATACAAGCTGCCAGTTGGTCGTTGAAGAACTGCTCATCAGTTCCATCCTATTTGTGATGGCTGTACCGTACATAATCAAATTTTCACTGTTTCCGTCTCTAGAGCTCAAGGAGGAGATGAAATACACTATGGCGGAATAAGGGGACAGGTAAGAAAGAGGTAGAACTTCACTCACGTTGTTATACGCATACACTGTTGAGAAACCGACAGTACCCAGATCATGTGCTAATCGTATAAACTTCGCCACGAACATGGCGTCGGACGGAGTGAGCAAAGCACGAGGGTAAAAACAATATTGATGGAGTTGTATACCCAAAGCACGTTGAGATTGTCTTTCTACAATCGCTATTCATGTCAGATGTGCCTCACGTATTTGTAAACGAAAAGACTCACTTTTGCCAAACCATTTCGATGATTCAGATCGTAATCTACGTCTGATAGGTCCATTAACCAAACCTTGCTGAATATCCCTTTCCGCAGTTAATCTTTCGACTTGCATCTTCAATCTTTGACGTTCGGCCTTGACTTCATTGGTGTTGGCAGTACGCCAAGTCGACATATCTTTTTCGAAAGCAGATATGCTTTCGATGGCTTTTTGATAAGTCTCTGATGAAAAGCTGATATCTGAAATGGACAAATGCCAGAAGATGACGAAAAATGGAGCACTCATGATTTCGTTTACGTTCGGTGGTAACATTCCTTTAGCTTGTTGTGCTGTTGTAGTTAAAGCGACGGGAAACCATCCTCTTGATTTTTGCTTCAATTTGGGTGGAGGAAGGGAGATCGATGTACCATTTAGACTTTCAGTCATGGACACATCACCGATTGGTGATTGAGCGGGAGAAAGCTCCCCTTCGATTTCCATACTAGGGCTTTTAGGTGTGACGGGTAATGGGATTTGCATTGATTCTTTATTCGGACTAAGAGCTTTGAGTCTTTCGAGTTGTAATTTTCTCTGAACGGCTTCTTTATCCTGTTCTTTTGCCTTTGCCAATTGAGCGTTCAACTTTGGTCGAAGGATTTGGAATGCCATACTATACTCTAAGCCAAAATCGTTGACTAGCGATGTTAAATCCGGAGTAAGCATGACATGCTCTTCTGGTAAGAGATGTTCTGAGAGTAGATCACTATATTGAATGAAAGCTTCATGACAAGTGTCTTGGATCTTGGACATAGCTTTGAGTGGAGCATCGACCAGTCGATCAGCCGCACCTTGACGGGTCTGAGCGAGCGCGATCCACAGTGGTATGGCTAATTTGGCCTCTCGCAAAGCACTGATGAGACGGGGTAAAGATCGTTTGGTACTCTTGATCTTATCCACCGGTCCTTGTTTCGGTTGTTGAGTCGGATCATCAGATGGTCTAGCAATGGTGGGTGTCGTAGCGAAAAAAGCTTCGCGTATCATTTCTCTTCCCGTGGCGTAAGCTTGTAGTTGGCCTTCCGATATGGCGTGGTTCTCTACCAGGGTGATACCTTGCATTTTGGAGACAAGTTGTGTGAGAACGATAAGATCTGCAGACTCGCCACGCATTTGTCGATTGATGATGAATTGTAAAATCGGCTCAAGATCCATTTGCTGATACCGACGATTGAAGTCACCTACGAATGTTGATAAACCTAAGTCACGTCAGCTCAGATGCAGGCAACCGAGCTAAGCTCACTCTCTAACCACTGGGCGACGTTTGTTCCTGTAGCATCTAACCGAGGAATCATGTCGTCTGACAAAGTGTCGACAAGGGTGAAAGTTGCCACATCCATCGATAATTGAGTCATGTATCTTCCTGCTTCCACGATGAATTGACCAATGTTTGAATAAGCTTTCACTTGTGTGACCGCCGTCGTCCATAACGCACAAGGATTGGTGTGACTCAACTTAGCCAACACCCTCGCCGGACCCCGATCTTGAGCAGCAGCACCTGAGGCACCGGCGGTAGGTGCAGATTGAGCGGCTGTCACTCTCGAAAGGGCTTTCTTGATTTCTCTCGTGCATTCGGCAGCAGCGTGTGAAGCGACAGGACAGGAGTTACGTCCGGAGAAGGAACATGTCGAATCTCTCCACTCGCCATATAGACGATATCGCACAGGATATGGAAAGTGTTGTATCAAATGCCAGAGTTCAATGTCGAAAGCAGCTGTGGCATTACCAACAGACAATGCGGGAAGAAGGGAGATTCGTAAGATTTGAAGCCAAGGTTCCATTTCTGTAAGAGTGGGCTATGAACCGTAAGCTTGTTGTTATTCTTCGGAATGATTTGGCTCACTTCCACAAGTCGCAATTCATCTTTGATTTTGAGAGGATGATCAAGACCTTGTTCCACCTCTTTGGCCTTGCGTAAGACGGCATAATGAGCCGCGCCTAGTCTGCACAACTTCACCATCACCTCCACCGCTCTCGCCCCTAGACCACGAATGAGCCCAAGCCATCGAAGGGCTTTTTGATGTACATCATCGATCGTCAACCACACTTCGGCGTCTTCACTCCAGTCCGGATAGAAAAATTCGAATGTTCTGGTGGAAGTCTCCGGCGGTGTGGGTACCAACAGGGTATTCACAATCTCTTTCCGCTGTGAAGACATATATGTAGGTGCAGGTATATCCCCTTCAGATTCTGTGACTTCTTCATCAGCGATACCAAACCTTCGATGGGCGTAAGATCGATATAGTCCTTCTAGGGCATGAGCCACTAGTCTTAAAATGAGATCAGCAACTGCTGGATGACTCTGCGCAACCCATGGAAATTTGCCGAGGATAAACAGAGACGCGGACGATTCCCCCACGGAGAGAAGAGCTTGGAGAAGCTGTATACGTTGCTCCGGTGAAGGTTTGGGGGGAGGGCCTGTCGTTTCCGCATTCTGAGAATCGGAGGAAGAGGGAGCATCATCATCAAGGAGGACAGAGTTCGAAAGGGCGTTTGAGGGTCCTGAACGGGAAGAGATGGAGGCGAGCCACTTTTGTCGAATCCCTTCCATCTGAATATCATCGGGGGACAGCTACACCCTCAGCTACAATACTTATCATACGAATGAGATGAGCTCACGAAAGGGAAAAGATCGGCAAGTGATATGAAGCGATGTTTGATGAGTAACGCCGCAACCATGGCTAATTCTAGAGGTGTATCTCCGCCATCCTGGCGCTATCTCGTCAGTCACGCTGTTGCCGTTCATCAAAGTCAAGGGCATCTCCTCAACGATAACTTACTTGGTAGAAACCAAATTTGACTCCCAATACCTGACTCAGCACTCTATCTCCTTCATCATCCATGCAACTTGCCACACCACTAATCTCATCTTCTGGCCATCCGTGCACTGCCTTCTCTTTACCTTTACCATTGACAACGGCCACTGCTGAAGATCCCCAAGGTGAACACCTCAAGAGCTCGAGGAAGATTCTCCAGTGATCTGCCACGTGACAAGCCATGATTTCCAATATTATATCTAATACCCTAGGTGGTGAGAGGTTGAAGTATCCAATAAGACTCATCACCTTTCCCCAAAGTCTCTTAGCTCGAGCGATCCTAGCTGTATGTGTGAAATCTGATGTCAGAGCATCAGGACCAGTGAGAAGGACAATGAGACCAGAGAATCCTTCGGAAGATTCTCGAAGAAGGTTGTATTTTGACTGTTTGAAAAAGAGGGTGGTATTACGTTTGACTAGAGATCGCTGTAATGCTTGAGGGTTGTGAGGTATTGGGTGAAGTCCGAGCTGAAGCAGGGTATGAGGGCTGATCAAGAGATTGGGTATATGGGAAGGTAAGTGATCTGATTGCTATATCATTCAGCTCAGAAACTTTTGTTGTGATGACCACATATGACCAGAACAGGAAGAATATTGCAGGTCCGAATATGATTGTGCTCACCATGAGTAACTTGATCAACTCCAACCCCTTTTCTCCTTGATTGAGCGACTTGAACTCTCCATCCACGTCCATATCCTTGCCTTTCGTTTTCAGATCTTGCACGTCTTCCCTTTCTTCCTCGAGTAATTCTACAACATCCACCAGTGCTTCCCCTAGAAGCTCTACTTGCTCTTCTTTGTCTTCATTCTCGAACGAGTCGATCAGCCCGACCATCAGTTGCTGCAAGGATGAAACATCAAGGGATGAAGATAGAACGTCCCTGATCACTACAGAGAGCCCTATAGGACCGAGTGGAGATGTCGAAGACTTGAGTTGAGATCGAAGGAGCTGCGACAAAATATCTTGTCCGCCAGCTTGGAAATTTTCAACAGCAGCTTGAACCTGCCGAGTGAGGTCATCGACCCCTGTCAGACTAGAAGAGGCCTGGGGGACCTCGGTTGGAGGCTGAGAGCGCCGAGGAGGCATCTTGACCGACCAACGGTGGTTTGTAGTGAGAGAGGAGGTGGATGGCGAGCCAAAGTGCTCCAGTGCCAGGTCGCACCAAGCACCCAGACTGCCCGGGAGAAATGATGTAAAACTGCCAGGAAAATAATACACCTTAATGGTGAATTGTGAGAGATGCATGCGATATAATCCTTACAAGCCAAAGTTTGGCCGCAGGCCGCAGAGATGGGTTAGCTGCCAGGTGATGGTATATTGTCCACCATGAGAGCAGTCCTCTACTTCCGCTAGGCTCCAATACATTCCTCCAGATATTCGACCACCCCGCTATTGTATCATCCCAGCCGCCATCATCTCCTCCTGTGTCCTGCGTTGTCAGCTGAGTCACGATCGCGTCGCTACATATCATCAACTCACATGGTTGTAGACTCGATTTGGATACCAACACCGAATCGAGATGTGTTCTGAGTCTGTCAGCGACTTTCCTCAGTGGCTTGTCTCATCACCTACCCTGGCGTGATCAATCTCCCCTCCTACAAGGAACGCAAAAGCAGGCGTGAACCGTTGCTCTAGCAGCATGCCAACTTTCATATTACTATCCACCTGTGCTCTGAAAGTCGCCGGTCGGAAGTCATATTTTGCTCCTAATGTGGCCGTGGCTCCACGCTGACTGGGTCCCAACGGGCTGGCAGGTTGGAAGTTGGTCTGAAGATCCAGAGCCACGTCAACTTTGTCGCTCATTTTCTGATAGTATGTCGCCTGAACGTTTCCTGATGGTTGCAATTGTGCAGTGGCGATCCAAGATGGTGAGAATGGTTGAGCGATGGGTGGACCCCCAAGAGGTGATAGAGCAGCTGAAGCGGCGGCTGAACGATCAGGGAGAGAAGTGAGTTTGGCGAGGTAAGAAGTCGATGTTTCTAGCTTTGACACCGATGTGTTTTGGATGATAGTCTCGAAACCGAGAGAGAGACGGGGACCTATGGAGTGTAAAAGAGAGACGAAGTGTATACCAGTACCATCTAGAAGTCCTGGGTTCATAGATTTTAGTGAAAAGGTGTAATGAGGAGCGAGATGATCATGTTCGATTTGGACCATGGTTTGAGCAGGTTTGTTGGTGAGCTACAACTTGTTAGTTGACCTGTCTTTAGTCAATCGAGAAGGAATCACTTGTGCTTGTAGTTTTGAAATGTCATGAGGAGACCATGTCTGATTGGCTCTGGCCGTTACTTGTCCCTGTCCGTCCACACTTCCATGCAGAAAGGTCTTCTCATCAGCTGCTGCCTATGGGGGAAACAATTGCAGCTCACGTTGGCATTGGCAAAGATTGCACCAAAATTGTATGCAGGCGGTCTGCTACTAGATCCAAGGGAGAAAGTGTGAGTGAGCTGGAAAGCCGGACTGGCAGAGACGACTTTGGATATATCTGCTCGTGCTCCGTCGAAAAACCAGTTGGCGAGGTGAACCTCTGTATGATCAGCCTGGGAATACGGCGATGCGACCGTCGGATCGGATACAGTCCAATCATCCATCGATATGAGTGAACGGAACAGTGTGACTCACGTTGGACCTCCTTGGTCAAGTTCTCTGCAGTTCCAGGTTGTACCAAACCCATGCTCTCTTTCCAGCCGTGAAAAAGATTGTACGAGTTGAGGACTGGGCTCGCCACGGGGTGGAATATGTTGGCCACAGCATCGAGATAGGGACTTAGAGAGCTAGGAGCTGGGGAAGGAGCGGATGATTCCTTGTTGGACATGATGTTGGGCTGAATGCAGCTTGCAGCTGTATCCCTAATGCACTCACTCGTATTACTTACGTTCTTCTTATACCACTTTTAACCTCAAGAGGACATGTGACAGAGAAAGTTGCTCGGCTTTATCGGCGTTTGATCAGTGTGGCGGAATTGTTCTTACCGCTACTGGCTTGTCACGCCAGACAAGAAAGAAGTCCAAGTAATACTTAGGTCTACCCCCATCTTTTCTTTTTCCTTTTCTTTTCCTCTCTCCTATTCAACTGTTCATTGCCATTCATCTCACTGCTAACACCTCGCCATCGCCTCCATTCAACCACCCGCCATGTCACATAGATCTGAATCTCCCTCTGATGAGGGGCAAGGGGATGATATTCGTCCTCATGGTGACATTCACGATTCATCCGAAGAATCAGAGGACGACCTCGCCGAGCTCGCAGCCGTCAAACATGGGTTCATCGTAGACGACGAAGAGGCTGAAGTTGCATCTGAGGACGATGAAGAAGCTCGAGCTGCGCGTAAAGCAGAACGTAGGAAACGGAAGCGACGCGAAAGACAACGGCGGCAACGGGATGAAGTTCGACTGTCAGATGATGAACTTGATCTCATCAATGAGAATATGGGTCTTGCAGGACCGTCTCGTCCTGTCAAGAGAGCTCGCGGGAGGAGTGGATCGGTAGCTAGTAATGATCGTTTTGTTTCCCTGCAGGATATGTTCCGGGAGGACGAGAGGGGGGATGATGATGATGATGATATGGGAGATTTCATCGAGGAGGATTATGATGATGAGGCAGTTCAGGGAGAAACAGAGGAAGAGCGGAGGGAGAGAAGGAGAGAGGAAAAGAGAAAGAGAAAAGAGGCGGCTAAGATACGGCCAGAGATGCTTGGAGTAGACAGCGTGTGAGTCAAAGTTTTCCCATTCACGTATTCAGATCACTGATCGTTTAGATCTTGGGATGAAGAATACGCGGTTTTTGGAGATGGTCATGATTACGACTGGGCCCTTGAGGGAGACGAGGCCATGGATGAGGATGAGTACGAGGAGACTAAGAAGGATCTCCGGTTGGAGGACGTGAGTTGGGAAATTGTTTGCTGATGTATCGAGCTGACTCGAAAGGTATTCGACCCAGCCGAGATCAAAGAACGTCTGTTACTTGATGAAGACAAAGCCATCGCTCAAAACGATAAACCTGAACGTCATCAACTACTCAACTCCACACTATCCGATAACCCCGTCCTGGCTCCAGAGAGTCTCTACCCACCCCCAGGTCTCGCCGCTGGTTGGGCGTACAATAAGATCTCTTATCGCACTCAATATTTATTCTGCGGGATGCACGAAGAAGGCGCTTATCCCTTACCCTCCATCGAAGACCCGACACCATATCCCAGACCTCGACGTTCGGAGCTGGCAGCTGAATTTACCGCTGCGGTGTCAAAAGCCCTCGACATGATGTTCGTACAGAATTATGAGGTACCCTATCTGTGGCATTACAAGAGAGACGTTTTGGGCAAATTGGAAGATCAAGGACGGTCCTTCACTCAATTCCTGGAGCGTGATGAACTGTGGCAATTGCACACTCTCGGCATTCGATTTCGAGCTATTTATGAGCGCACAGAACAGGCTAAAGCCGCATGGGAGAAGATCAAAGTACGGAGACCGGATGTTGAAGATTCTTATCTCACTAAGACTCTCTTGCCCAGTGTCTGTATGCTCAGTATCGAAAGTGCGGCGGAAGCAATGGAGTGGTTGGCTTATCATTATTCCCAAGATTTACGAGCTATCAAAGAGGAGGAGAGTATCGAAGAAGGTGGGAAGAGGCCACCTGAAAGGTCAGGATTTGATGACCTGAGACACGGTCCAGTCATGCAGCTAGTCAAAGTATGTCCTACTGTCTGTCTCATGATGTCGGACTGACAACCAGGCATTCGGTGTTTCGGTCAATCAAGTGGCAACAACTTTCAACGAGGCGGAAGGTTCACCTGTACCACCAACAAATCCGGACAAGATGCCACTCGATTTAGCTGCCGAGTATGCAGGAGAAGGGACACCCTTTCTCACAGGAGAATCGGCTCTCAAAGGTGAGCAACCAAACCCAGTCTGAGATGTGCTGATCGTCGTCAGCTGCCAGTCAGATTTTGACCACTGAATTCTCGAAAGATCCTTCCATCAGACAGCAAGCACGGGAGTTTATGGAGTACTTTGGCGTAGTCACTGTGAATCCTACAGAGCGAGGAATCAGTGTCATTGATCAATATCATCTCTACTATGTAAGTGTGGTCTTTCGCAACCGGCATCGCTTCATCCGGATTTTCGAACTCTCCTCGCTTCACTTCCACCCCTCACTTAACAAGACATCTTTGAAAATGGCTGTCGCTGATCTGCAGACGTTCAAATTCTTGACACGCAAACCTATTGCCATGTTTAAAGACTCGCCCCAATTCCTCCACATGCTCAAGGCAGAAGAAGAGGGTCTGATCAATATTGTCATTGAAATTCCCGAGGCCGATATTCAAACCTTCGCCGATCCGCTTGTGCGGTGTTGTCGATCGATGGAGTACGGAGAGGTGGCCACCGCTTGGAACGAAATGAGGGAAGAAATATGTCAAGACGTCGTGAGTAAACTGATTATGCCCGCCGCAGCGCGGTGGGTGAAAGAGCATATGCGTCTGGCGGCGGAAGAATATGTGGCAGAGCGATGTCGAATGGAGCTTGAATTTGTCAGTTCCTCTTCCTCTTCCTCTCTTCCCCCCCGCAGACCCCGTTCCCTGACTCCCAAATACTTCCCATCCATGGCTCGTCGCAGTAGCTTATAAGCAGAGAGTCAATGTTCGACCGTTCGCCACCCCCGACATGGAGCAAGGCGAAACTCCCACCGTTTTAGCCATCAGTAACGGTCGAGGAGACATCAAAGACGCTGTCATCGCCGTCATGTTAGACGATGGAGGCAACATTCGGTCCCAGAGCAAATTCGACAATCTCAAAGACGAAGCGGAAAAGAGTTCATTCATCGACATGGTCGAACGTCGAAAACCTTCCGTGGTGGTCATCGGAGGGCTTTCTGCTCAGACTGGTCGAGTACGGGACGATGCTATGGTGGCATTGAGAGAGTTGGCGGCCAAGACGGCCGAAGCACGTGCCCCACTTGCGGAAGCCTATTCGTCTCACGAAGAATACGCCGTTGCGGCTGCAGAATACGAAGCTAGGATCGCTCCACACCTCACGCCTTTGGTATTCGTCAATGACGCCACAGCGAGGTTGTATATGAGGAGCGAAGAGGCTGAGAAGGAATATCCTACGATGCCCGTCAATGGAAGATATGCGTTGGCGTTGGCACGATATGCTCAGAACCCGCTGAACGCACATTGCAAGTTGGGCAAACGGATCACTTCGATCACATTCCAGGAACATCATCAGAAACTGGTATGTGGTTGTCTTACTCAATTGAATTGCCAATCGGCCTTTGTAAACTAAGGATACACTCGCTCTCTGTAAAATTTTGATTGGCGTGTTTATGGGGGTCGAATAATGGAGATTGTGTCTGACAACCAGATCCCTGAAGAGAAGCTTCTCATCCACCTGGAGAGAGGATTGGTCAACTCGGTCTGCTTCATGGGTATTGAAGTCAATTCATGCGTCGCCGACCCATATCAACGATCCATGTTACCTTTCATCGCAGGTCTAGGTCCTCGAAAAGCCGACGCTTTGATCAATGGTATACAACGACACGGAGCGTTAGTCAATCGAGATGCGTTCGCGGCATTGGGACTTTTAGGACCTACGAATCTTGTCAACGCCCCTGGATTCCTATCCATCGAAACGGATCTGAAAGATATTGTACTGGACGAAAAGAACGCAACGGATGCTGCCGAACCCCTCGATATGACTCGTATACATCCAGACGATTATGACTTTGCTCGAAAAATGTGTCAAGACGCTCTTGATCTCGATGCCGAAGATGTGGAAGACGAACATAAATCCGCCGTCGTTCTCAAACTCATGTTAGATGAAGATCGTGCTGCCAAAATGGCCGAATTGAATTTGGACGATTTTGCTTGGAATCTTCAACGACAAGGCGAAGGTGTTGGACGTCATACATTAGGAATGATCGTCGCCGAATTGATTTCTTATCGAGCGGATAGAAGACCTCCCTTTTACATTCCTACAGAATGGGAAGTTATTCAAATGCTCACTGGTGAAACAGAAAGAACCATCGGAAGAGGATTATTAGTTACCGCCACTGTCAGAAAAGCATTAACTTCTCGTGTATTTTGTGCTTTGGAATGTGGTATGGACGCAATATTAGAAAGAGATTACGTGGCGGATGAAGATCAACCTATATCTTCATGTGAAGATCTTTTTACTTCAAGACAAGCTATCAGAGCAGTCGTAATTTCAACAGAACCATCAAGATTACAAGTCCGTATTTCAACTCGTCCTTCAGATGTTCGACAAGCAGTTCCATTCTTACAACCTTTCAGGGATGATCCGTATAACGATTTAGCTAGGAAACACGCTGCGGAAGAAGCTGCTCAACATAAAAAACGAAGAGAAGCAGGAAGTGTTAAAAGAGTCGTCAATCATCCGAATTGGCATGTAATGAATTCAGGTCAAGCAGAACAATTTTTAGCTTCACAACAAAGAGGTGATGTTGTTATCAGACCAAGTAGTAAAGGTTCAGATCATTTAGCTGTGACTTGGAAAGTTGATGAAGACGTATATCAACATATAGACGTTCAAGAAATCGATAAACCTAATGAATATAGTTTAGGTAGGATATTAAGAGTTGCTGGGAAATACAGTTATAGTGATTTGGACGAATTGATCATCAATCATGTTAAAGCGATAGCTAGGAAGATTGATGAGATGCAAATGCACGAAAAGTATCGACCGGAGGATGAGTTAGGTGAGTCAATCTCGATTTCCTTTTATGATCACATATGCCCTTGAACATAATCATTTATTTCGTTTCTTCCCTCCTCTCCCCTTCCTTGTAGATAATTTCTTCTTTTGATTGGTCGACTTCATGGGAGTTTTGGAATCGAATGAACTGATGATATAGAGGCGTATTTGAAAAATTACGTTCAAGCTCATCCAGGTCGAAGTATGTACGGTTTTTCATTAGATTCTGATCGTCCGGGATATCTCAAATTATGTTTCTTGAACAAGTCTACGAAAGATGGTGGAGTGATACAAACTTGGGTCAGTCCTCTCTTTCGATATCATTTCATCAGCCCACATTCCCAACCCCCATCATTCCCATCGTTTTCTCTTTCTGCGGTCACCAAGACATCAGCTTCCCCATTTTTGTCACCTCTTCTCATTGTCATCCATCAAGTAAACTACATTCCAAGGATGAACATCCGACTGACTCTTCAGCCGGTCAAAGTTCTTCCAGGAGCATATCAACTCAACAACGCTGAAGTACCCGGTGTTACCGAATTATGTAATGCTTTCAAAGCTCAGTACTCTTCCCGTCTCTCGGAACAAGGACAAGGAGGGAAAACACCAGGTATTCGATCTGCTCGTACCCCTATGATAGGTGGACGAACTCCAGGTGGAAGGACACCCGCTTTGGGTATGACAGGTGGAAGAACACCAGCTTTAGGTGGAGGGATGAGAGGTACTCCTTTGCAACCTCCTATAGGAATTGGAATGGGAATGGGAGGAAGGACTCCTATGGTTGGAATGATGGGTATGACACCTAATCCTTGTGAGTTTATTTTACCTCTTCCTCGACCCTCTTCCTACCTCCTACACACATTTCTTCTGTTCGTCCATACAAACGTTCATATCGAATTTGACTTCACACCTCGTGATATCATACGGATTCTAATCTTACAATTATACGCTGTAGTCAATGGAGTGGAATCACTAAAGATGTGGAAAAGGAATACTTGTGATAATGACTAACGAACAGATTCAATGCCTCCAGCCGGTTATCCAGGCTATCCTAATGTTCCAAATTACCCAACATATCCACCTCAACCATCTCATTTCCAACCACCTCCACCAAATTACAACCAACCCCCTCCTCCGATGACTCAGATGGGTCCACCAGGTATGAACCCCGAACGAGCGTGAGTTTGATTTTTCTTATCATCAAGTTTTATCCACATCATCAAGCAATTCTTATTTTCCTTGAATCATATCGAATACCTCTATTATTTCAGAGATAGACATGGAAACAGTCTCAGCGCTAATGATCAGAGCTATGTTAGCTCGGCAAGGGAGATATTGATATTGCTCATGAAACTTGATTCACGCATCTTATATACCATCTCTCTCCCCTTCATGTTAACATCTCACTGTAATCCTCAAACTTCCTTGACAGTAAATATTTCCGTTTGGCAGGTGAAGAAATATCAATGTCGGCGGGGAAGTTTATAGACACTCGGGGAGTGATTGATGTGAAGTGAGGTTTTGTAGAATGCTTAGTTAGTGATGAGGAAAGTATGAATGAAGCTTTTGAAATTTGAAATTTTGAAATTGAAACGAATATATGCGATGCAAAAAACAACGACAGCAATATGTGTACATCTAAATGGTCCTTCTGAAAAAGGATTAGGTTAAGCAGCAACATAAGTTGGGAAACATTCTCCAAAAGAAGCTTTGGAATGTTTACTATCGATATGAAGTTGGAGTCTGGTCATTAGCTACTAAAATCATTTTTGATCTTCTCACAGCTTTCAATGTCCCCGTCAATTTCGTTCTCCCCGTTGAACAAGCAATCTTCCATCATTTCCGATATCCCCATAATGCCATTCAACCAATCTCCATCACCCATTCCACTCGGTTCTTGAATTCTAAATTTTGAACCCACAACTGTGCCTTGTGAGATTCAAGGACACAGTCAGACACCGGAACAAAAATTTCCCCAGTCTTATCCAATAATTCTGTGAAAGGGGAAAAGGATATATATCTTGAATCCACTAGGGCTCAAATGGGTTAAAAAGACACATTATAGGGGAAAGACAATTGCTGACAGGGGAAAGTATGAGTTGAAAAGGAGATGAAACTTACGAAGGTTGTTTGGCCGTACCCTGAAAAGTAGCTTTACAAATTACGCATTGTATTGATTGAGCTGCCTAAAACAAATCAGTCTTGTTCCTTTCTTATATCCTCATTGAAAACCGGATCCCTGTAACTAGACGAGCGTTGAAAAAAAGATATTCTTAATTGATATTCCGCGTGATGACTCCTGTAAACTTTGTAGGACACCGCAGAGAGATTACTTTTCGTTCGTCTTTGTTTCCTCAGACCCTCATCCACGTTTGTAACCTCACCAGATTCATGAGTATCTTTGCATCTTCATAACATCCTCATCTTGAGCAACCTCTGTGAGCCTCAGAGTCGTATTCACGTCGATGAGAACGGAATGAGATACCATAGAAAAGATTCGATACTGAGCACGAAGGGAAAGAGTGAGAATACTCACGGCGTTGGTCTTCAACTGCGAAGAATTCTCTTTGTTGGCTTGTTTCGTTTTGGCTGCTTTTCTCTCACGATCTTTCGCTGATTTTGCTCCCTTTTCATCAGCTTTATACTCTCCACTCTTCGTTTCTAACTGGATTCTGTCTTTTGATCTATTCTTATCCTTCACTTAAATGTTAATTGGTTCACAATCACTCTTTTCCTTCACACCATTAAAAAAACAGAAGAAAAACATCGAGGGGAAGCTGAGTGGCAAATACCTCCTAACACCTGAAACGTAATCTCTTACGAAGCGAGGGTTTGATGTATAAAGTGTGAAGGATAGAAACTCACATTTCCACCACCCATGCTTGCTTGATTCTCTCTTGGATCTCTTGGATTATGATATGGACTACCGTGAAGAGTAAATTCAATTTCGAAAGAAAGGTTTGGAAACTTAGACTTTTCTGAAACATCCCTCCCTGACATTTGTCTGTCACGTGACTTGTTCGCTACCACATGTCAGGCACAGTCATCCAGAAACCAGAAGAGGTCCATGGGTGGTGGTATTTTCTTCAAATCTGGTACTTAGATCATACAATGCAGGCAGATAGGTGATACGGTATGGTTACTATGAATCAAGTGGTAGAGTTGATTCATCTAGCTCCTCCCGGACAACTCAAGTGAGTGGTTCGTTCATCTTCTGAGAAAGAGAGCTGATTGACAAGGGAGGTGTTTGATGGTATGTCAACTTACATTCCATCTTTCTCCCCGGCCCCTTTTTGAAGCAGATTTATCAGTCTTAATGCCTTTCCTTGAAAGGCCCAGAATGACCAAGGTTTTTATCTTTGGCTAGAGGAAGACAGTAGAAAATACGAGAAGCGTCTGTTGGATAAAGTTGATTATTGATGTCACTATCCAAAGTAAGGTCGAGAGGAGGAGTGACTGATTGGTAGATCTGAGTATCATAGTAGACGACAAAGAACATTTCCCGGACCTTCTCAAAGATGAGTTACAAAGATTTAATCGTCAACAATTCGCAGTGGTCCAACATGAACCATTTCAAGATGTACCGGTCCATACTGTAAGTTCCTACCTGATCCGTTTCTCCTTTTTGCCTTTATATCTCCCTCTTTCCTACTCATATATAACATTCTCTATGGCGTATCTCGAGCTCTCTGTCAATTCAGAATACCATGAGTTATCATCATCAGACTGTAAGCTGAACAATAGTCGATCATCTCCGAGGGCTCAGAAGACCGGGAACATCGATACGTCGATTATGAAACGGAGAGAAGTTTCATCCTGGATGATACCACACTGGTGAGTGCTTCACACGGGATGGCATCATGAGTCCCCCAATTTTATCAATTGGATTGCTGAGCAAAATCCATTGTGGGTAAGATCATACCTCCTTGCAATTCATTTGCCGGAGTCGGTCTGAGTGCTGGATGTATGAGTGCCGAGTCCTCGAAAAATGCTGACTTCAGAACCCTGTGGAGTATGCTCCATATAACATTGCTGAGGGATCTAGGTCACTTCGGTAAGCACGTCATCAAACATATCAAGCTGAACTGACACTTTTAGGAAAGAACTGGAGAAATCGCTCAAAGCCTATGTAAAAGACTCTTATCCTACTGGCCACTGTCAGGTCTCTGTCAGCGCAATCAATCCACAGGCATTGGTCCTCGAGGCGAAGGATTCCCTGGATCAAGTCCGGACAAATTCGGAGGGACTTGATGAGGGGTTGAACAAAGAGGGAATCGAACAGACTATCCCTCCTCCAGTTCAGACTGCTGCTCCCCAAGGACAAGTAGGATCCTTCTTCACCCTCGAAATCGTCGCCGAGTTGAATAACAAAGCGAACTTTTGGTGAGTCTTCGGCTTTCAACACTCTCAGAGAACTCCATTCCAAGGATAACCTAGCGGATGGTCTCTTCTGCTTATTCTCAATGGTCTCGCTGAGCTACAGGACGGGCAAATGGCAGAGCGAATGGAAAGTCGACCCCACAATACGATCCGTGACTGGTCGAATGAACGTCGATGTGCATTATTTTGAACAAACCAATGTTCGTCTACAATCGAGACATTCCATCCAATTTGAATTCCCTCTTCGACTGAAAGACGACCGATCAATAGCTTCTTACATCGTGACGCGTGTTGCCAATATAGAACAGAACTACCACCAACAACTCTTCAAAACCATATGTACCCTTGATCAGGATTCTCTGAAGAGGTAGGCTTTTTGTCCCCGAGGGGAATGGGAGAGACTGACAAGGTAGACTGAGAAGAGTTCTGCCTGCTTCAGGCAGTAAGATCGATTGGGATCAAGTACAATCGGACATATATAACGATACGACTTTAGAAAAGAACGTGTCGCAAATTGACATTTCTCCTGCTTACGTGTATGAACCCATAATGACTCAAAAGATTCACGTCCAGTAGGAGTAATATCTGTTAGATCCTATGTATCGCTACTATCTACTGTGTTCTTCTTTGTGAACATGTCTCCGTTGTAGTAAGGACCTGCTATCTGCTAGCCGCTGTTGTGCTAGTCGATGCCGGGTGCGAAGTTTTATAAAAAATAAGCATCGGGTGACAATCTTTTCCCACTTTTTTGATAAACAAAATCAGTCGCGTAAGGTCACTAAAACGACTCGTTTCCCTTTGTACTTAGACATCTTTCCATACTTAGCTATTTCATCTTACGGTACGACTGAGAAACGTCTGAACGACCACGACCAGTGAATACATACCAACTGGACACGAATTACATTGCTCGCAAGATACCGAGGGTGAAACGAATAACCCGTCAAGTTACCGGACGACACGACAAACACGATCCCTCGTCCACGACCTCCACTCACCTCTGTAATCTCGCCACCGACATATACTCCACATACCCGACCCATCACATAAGATACGAATGACATACAGGTCGACAAGGATATCTCCGGAGTGATCTCTCTATTTGACATCCACCAATCACCTCCTAATGACCTCTACCAACATGGATGACCCACCTCTGTCCGCCTCTACCCTTTCTCTCTCCGATCCTAATTCACTCAGTCAAAGTCAAAGTCACAGTCGTAGCATAACCAGTCCACCCGAACCTGCTTCTCCCACTTCTCCAACAGCTAGTACTTTCTTACGAACCGCCCAAACACTCGAAGGATTGGCGGCACAATTGGGTGAGCTGGATGAGGGACGGGAAGAAGGGGAAGAGAAATGTTGTTGTGGTTTGAATGGATGCAAGGCCGCACAAGAGAGAGAGAGGATAGAGGAGAGGTTAAAATTGTCCGGAGGTGGGTGTTTCTTTCATTTTTCATATCAACCTCGTTCACCTACTTACCTGATCTTGTCTTGTCAATAACTTAGTCATAAATTTGTTTCACACCTAGTCGTACTTTGAAATTCTTTGATCTCCAATTCACATGTCTCACAAATATGACACATATTGATACTCATAGAAATCGGGCACGCCCTATTACAACGATACGAAGCTCTGGAACGTAAAGCTCAACGTGATGTGGAAAGGTTAGAACGACAGGTATGTTTTCACTCATTTCATTGATTCGATCTATCGTATCAATGACGTAGGTTACATGATCGATTTCGATTGAGGCAATCTCTTTGGGTTGATGTAGAATAACACAAAGACTGACATAAACAGGTCGAAGCGAAACGGATTGCATTGTTAGAAAGTGTAAGAAGGGTCAAAAGTTTGGATAGGGCGAGTCAGACGCAATTACAGAAGTATTCTGATTTGTTGAGGAAAATGGAAGGTTTGGAGAAGGTGAGATTGGTGTTCTTTCCTTTCTGATCATCTGGTCTCACATCCATTATTATTATAGTGTTTGCCGGATCTCCCATCAAATACAGCAAGATCTCCCATCTGGCAGTCGTGATTCGTTCTTCCCCCTGCTGGTCTTCGCATGTACACGCCGGTGACGCGAGGTATCGAGGCGCGTAGGTCAAGTCGCGGCGATGCTGACCTATAGCGATACACGCAATCTCTCCATACCCAAGCTCTCACACAACAATCTCTCACACACGTTCGCAAAGAGCTCACTGCTTTGAGAGATAGAAACAACAGACAGAGTATGGCGTTGGCTTCTGGACATGGGTGGGAGGAAAGGTTAGCCGAAGCGGAAAAACGATACGAGGATGCTAGGGATGCGACCGAGGTAGAAGAGCAGAAAGTTAGAGATGAGGTCAAGAAGAGAAAGAGGGCCGAGGCTCGAATAGGTGAGTGGAACGATACTCTTTGATTCCCTTCCAAGAGCATTATCACAGTACCATGTGGGATTCGCTACCCGTTCGACTAAGTTACAGGTGGTTGGAATTGACAGATTTGCTGACACTCAGCCGAGCTTGAAGGTCAATTGGAAGTCGCCAGTCGCGAGATAGACGAGGTCAAAGAAGCTCGCGCCAATGATGCTCAAGACTTACTGGCCAATGCGAAAGAACGTCTCGCCGTCCTTCACGCCGAATTATCCGAGACGTTCCACGCTTCTGATCCTACCGAGACGCCAGAATATCAGAAAACTCTCGAGGATCTCGTTGCTACCAACGCCCTTCTCAAACATGACCTGGCCGAAGTATCGGCTATGCTCTCATCATCAAGGGAAGAATCAATCGTACTCAAAACTGAAATAGACGATCTACGCTCAGTGGTCGGCGTCGCGAGACGGTCATCTCCTGACCATTTACAAACTCGCGATGGGGACTCTATCGCGTCTGGACGTCTCGATCTGGCTACTGAATTGGCAAGAAAGGGACATGGTAGGACAGAGTCCAGTCCATCGTTTGCTACCTTCTCCGATAGACTAGGCTGGGCTCGTATGTCCATCGGACCTGGATCAGGATCTCAGGCATTAAATGGATGGGAGAACAGACGTAATTCCATGGCACACTCATCGTATAGTGTCTCGACGGATTTAGCTTCACCTGGTTTAGGATATGGTTCTGTAGGAGAGTATGCGGGTAGTGTGACTGGAGGTGATGGAATATCAGGAGTAACCAGTCCACAGAGTGGGAGAAGTAGTCCGAAACAAATGTTTCGTAGTAGTCCCAGTGGCGGTATCGGATATGTTTTAAATGGTGTCCCTGTCAAAACGAGTCGATCTGTCAAAAGAATGAGTATTGGTAGACCAGGGGTTAAAAATTACACAGTGAGTCATGGATTATCATACACTTGATTAAACTTACTCACATAACAGACCACAGGAGTAGATCCTATCGCTGAACATTCGTCTACAGATGTGGACGGTTCGACAACTCTGGTTGAAACGGATCCTCCTTATTCACCAAGTGCATCAGAATATTTCAGACAAGCGGAAATCGGTCGAAAACGTCGTTCACTCCTCCTTCAAATTCATCGCTCTGCTTCTCCTGGCACATATCGGAGCTCTGTCGATTTTTCAATCCCCCCTTCAGAACCATCAATCGATCATGAACCAAATTCTTCTCTCATTGATCCACACATGACAGATTTGCCTTCCCCCACATTAGAGTTAGAAATCAGTGGCCTACCCAACGAGAACAGGGTACATCGTCGAACTCTGCTTCTACTCACGCGATCCAGAGGTGTACAGACGGACATCTCCAATATGGGCATTAGAGCGGTGTCGGGATCTGGCCTCGATGCTTCTACGGCATCTCCTCTAACGGTGGAACAACGATCGGAAACTTCTTCCTTGCACGATGGAAAGAATACCTTAGCATCTCTTATCGAATGGCTCGCCAAATTACTCGTCCGTCTACATGCCGCAGATATACCCTCACTCAACAAACGTCTCAAGGCTCAACGACTACCAGGTGATGTTGGCCATCTCTCCCAGTCGACTCTGAAGACTCTTTCCGGTGAAGTTTCTAATTTACGTCATCACTTCCGCGGTCTATTGGATGTCTCAACGGCATCGAGAAAAGAGATGATCTTACTTTTCAAATTACTCAAGGACGTCTTCACCGACTTGATCGAATTACAAAGTGTTCTGAATGATGTGACTATCGACCCCTCTCTTGCCAAACGTCTTCATAGGAAAGCATTACAAGATGAGGAAGAAGTGACAGCCAAAGCGGCTGGTGGAGGTTTAGGATGGATTGCAGCTCCCATCACCAAGTTATTCACCAATCCAACACCAGAGACAACATCTATTCAACCTAGCAAGACCGACGGTGGGATATCAGCTCCTATGGCTGTTCGTGCAGTTCCGAAACAAATAGCTTCCATTTCAGCCACTACGACACACGTATCCGTTGAAGCTGGGGCGGCCATAGCTCGACCTATCACTACTCGACCGCCCCTCCCCACCATCTCAAACAAAGTGGTTGATGTTCTTCCTCCTTCCCCAAGTCCTCAAGACTTAGTGTCTGACGACTCTACCTCTCTCGCCCCTAATCCCGCACTTCTTCAAGTGAGAACGCTTCGTTCCAGTCCAAGTCGAGTGAACAGGTCGGACCTATTGGGTATCTTTGCCGGTGCTCAACCTCGTCCCTCAACACCGACTTCTGGTTCTTGGCAAGTACTCGCTCACCCATCCATACCTTCTAGTTCTACTTCTGGACGTGCCGGTCTTCGGATCGCAAGTTCTCAATACTTTGGTGATCGTTCCAATAAACATCCTCGTGACTCTCCTACACAACGAAAGAGGTTATCAGCTATGGTAGATGCTGTTATCGATCCCACCGCCGATCAACTTGACGAATCAGGGACCGATCCTTTGGAAGATCGTCCCCCTTCCCCATTATTGCAAAGAACATTACGACCGAGAGGATTATCAGACTCCAGTATCCGTTCCACTTTTGTCAGTCAAGCGGCTATACAAGTTGATCTCACTGCTCCAGCACCACGAATGGGACGGTCTGTGGAGAAACGCGGAATGTTAGAAACTTTTTCTAGATTTTGGATGACAAGACCTACTACACCTCCTCCACCTTCAACAACTACCTCAGCTCCTCAAAGAGAAGAAATAGGGGGAACACCACCGATCCCAACTGTATCACTTAATCCTCCAACACCGGCAAGACCAATACCGGTATTGAAACGACCGAAAGAGATAACGAGCAAGCCAATGGCGTTGTCTCCGACTTTGGCAGCATCGCCAGGAGCGGCAGTAGGTGGAGGATTCTTGGGTATGCTGGCTAGTAGTTTTGTAGGGACGGGAACCGAGGGTGGAAATAGGATGGAAGAAGGGGAAGATATGGGTGCTACTTTGAGACGGCCAGTCGTCGGTCCGAGGAATTTACAGAGGAGTAGGGTATGAGTTTTATTGTAGGTAGTGTAACATTCATCTGCATCTTCTTCCTGAAATCTTCATTGAACATTTTGAGTGTATGTAATGTAACTCAATATGCTTCCAACATCAAATGCATTCCTGATCTTTATCATCATGATTCACGAGACTCATAAGTAACCGTTCTAAAGGTGCAAGCTGGCTTTTTGCATTTGAGATCAGGGAGCCATGGCAGTGTCTCTGACAAATCGACCCTGTCTGACGGCTTGAAAGGAAATATGGTCCCATGCTCATCTCTCAGGACAATTGAGACTAATCTGCTTGTCCCCAAGTTATCCTTATATTTCACTTTGCATTGGAGGTCACTACCGTTGTATCGAACTACAAAAACCTGTTCATTGCTGCGGTCTCCTAAACTGCTAGCTGCTGACAATTCTTTGGTACGGGTACAAGTCAGTTGAATCTTTTCTTTGCTTAGAACACCATTGATTACAACTTCACTCCCGTCGTTGACATAAAACAAGGCATTCCGACCTGTTTGTTCCATGGCAGGAGTAAGGGAGATTGCTCTCCATTTCCTGCCTGCAGCATCATCCCAAAAATCCGTTTTATTGCTGCAGTTGTAACAATCAAAGAAGGGCTCCAGAAGTTCTTGCATGTCATCTGTGAGATACGGTTTAATGACCTGTGCAATTAGGGTGTAGTGGCGTTTTTCAATGGTGTCAGCCAATTGGAGGAGGTTTTTTGCTGATTCATCTGTCCTTGTTCGGAACTCTTTCATATCACCCACTGGTTCATGGAAGGAAACAGTGCTGTCCCCATTGGAAGACCGGTCCCTGTTTGAAAAGAAGGGATTGTCCAAGCTGTCTAACAAGTGTCCAGGGCGGTCTGAGTCATTGGAAGAGGCTGCATGGTAAGGCCGTTCATTAGCCTGAGAGCTCATAGGGGTAGTAGCATTTGAAGATGGTGCACAATTGGAAGGTGGTACAGGAGCAGAAGAGAGGAACTTCCCTCTGAAAATGGACTTTGATTTGGTTTGATCTCGAGGACCGACGGGTGTTGGTGTTTTTGATCGTGATGGTGGTAACATTGTAAGTAGAAGACGCTTCCTTCTTGATAGTCAATCTATAAACTGGGAAGATGGGAGGGAAAGGGAGAAGATGAGTTTCAGGTTATATAGTAAGTAGGTCATAGGAGAAGGCAGTGTGGTTTCTAGAAGTTCAACATCCGCTAAAAAAGAAGCCCTCCTGTCCACGGACCCGAACCCGATTTCCGCGCGCGTCTCGGCCGGACGGGCGGATCGAGAACGCCGTCTCGCCATGTCCTCACCGCTTGCATCCTTACGGTTCTCTGATTTCTATTCCCGCAAGATTAGACATGGACGTACCCACGTATATAATTCTAGCGGACAGGATCGAACGCGGAAGGTAAGGCCGATCGTGTTCAAGAAAGTTGCCTTTCCGTCAACGAGATTGACGCGGTCTCATCTTGCTTGTACTTCCACCCCCACTTGTGCTTTTTGTGACAAACAAGCAGGATTGGACGGATTTCAAACACAGGTAAAGTTATGCATATTCATTCCCCATCACGGCCGTCGAATGACTTCTCTATAACAGACAGACAGTTGACAAACCTCAGCTAACTTGACGCTTCAAAGTTGATGTCTCACCCAACCAGGAGGGTGCAGACGTCAAAAGGAGTGTGACTACGGCATACTTTGACATAATTACTCTAACTAGGGTTTTGTTTTACTGATGGCAATGTATCTCAATTTGAATGTAGCTATCTCTATCAATCTTTACTACTGACAACAATCAAGGATCGCTGAAGAACTTTCTCGATCTTCCCAGCTAATATTGTCACGACCCGGCTAACACAGTGTCGTGACCCATGACCCTGAGGCGAGAAGAGACGAGGAGACACGAGGAGAACGAGGAGACACGAGGAGACACGAGGAGACACGAGGAGACACGAGGAGACACGAGGAGACACGAGAGGAGACGAGGAGACACGAGGGGAGACGACATTGGATGTGCATGAGATCCCCTTCGAAAAGTACAAATACTGGACCTATCTACTTTGTAGTTTCTTTTCTCCAAGGATCAAAATATTATTTGCCACTCACAAAAGACCTCTTCTTGACATATTACTTACATCCCAACACATCCCTCATCATCATTACTCCTGTCCACACCATCACACACACCCTTATTGTCATCTCGACCTGCCCGGTGTCACGGCCGTCGAGCAACTACTTCCTAATAGACCGACGGTCGACGAACCTCGGCTAACTTCACGCTCTGAGTCGATGTCTCACCCAACCAGGAGGGCGCAAACGTCGAAAGGAGTGTAACTACGGCGTACTTCGGCGTAGTTACTCTAACTAGGGTTTTGTTCTACTGATGGCGATGTATCTCGATTTATAGCTATCTCTATCTGTCTTTTACTACTGACAACAATCAAGGATCGCTGAAGAACTTCAGCGATCTTCTCAGCTAATATAACCTATCCCTCCTAGACGTTCATCCAACCCTCCCGCGCTTTGACGTACTTCAACGCACTTCGTCCAACTTCTCCGAACCCCGGCCACCCTCCTCCTCCTTCGACTAACTCCGTCTAATATCGCCGCACTTCTGCTCCCATTGTCCCTACCTAGCCTAACTCCGCCTAACTTCGCCGCACTTCTGCTCCCATTGTCCCTATCTACCCTAACTTCATCTAACTTCGCCGTACTTGGTCTCAGAGGTCCTGAGTTACGTGTAGAGTAAAAAGGTTTGAGTCGTGATGGGGTTTTGATGGTCAAAGGAGGGTCGTTGTTGGTGGAATAATCGAGGTGTCACGACGTAGTTCGTGACACCCGGATCCTTCGCAAGTCACTTTAGTCGTCTGACCACATCACAAGTTTGCGGACAACGTACTAATCGTCGTTGTCCAAGCTAACTAAACAGTTGCAGTCCACCTGTCTTTGATCCATTGAGGTCTGTCAAGGACAGGACCGTGACAAATATTATCTACTTGTCACGACTCGGACGAGTCGCGCCACCATGACTCATCGAAACTCATTGAGTTACCCTGAAAACTCATTGATACTCATTGAGACTCATTGATACTCATTGAGACTCATTGATACTCATTGAGACTCATTGATACTCATTGAGACTCATTCAGACTCATCAATACTCATTGATACTCATTGAGACTCATGTAATGCATACGCCTAAAGGGTGATGTGCACTAAGCTCTTGTGCTAAAAGATCCAATGCTCAGCTCATACTATGAGCTGAGACCCTTTATAAACTGCTTGTGCTGCGACTGAGATTCTAGATTTATGACAGGAGCCCCCCCTCAAGGGCTGATGTCCCAGCAGCCAGCAATTTCTGAACCGAAAATCCTCCCACGGATTTTCCCATGACAAATTAGATCCCAGAATGTGGCACTGCCACAAGCCTCTGTGTGCCACAAAGAAGTGGGTTCGAGAATGTGCACACACAGGGAGTTGAACCCTGGTCATGGTGGAGCTGAGCATTCTGTAATGCATATGCCTAAAGGGTGACGTGCACTAAGCTCTTGTGCTAAAAGATCCAATGCTCAGCTCATAGTATGAGCTGAGACCCTTTATAAACTGCTTGTGCTGCGACTGAGATTCTAGATTTATGACAACTCATCAATACTCATTGAGAACTCATTGAGACGCAATGAGATAATGAGGTTGTAGGGGAAAAGGAGAGACAAGACAAGAATGAGTCAATGAGTCGACTCATTGAAAAGCTCATTCTGAATCCCTCTGAAAGGTATAAAAGGAGCACATATCTACTTTGTAGTTTTCTTTTTCACAAGGATCAAAAAATAATTATTTGCCACTTCACAAAGATCTCTCTTCTTGACATATACTCATATTTGACACGCCTTACATCGACAAAACCCCTGTCCACGTCATATCACACACCCTTGTCGTCATCTCGACTTGCTTGGATCCTTCGCAAGTCACTTTAGCCGTCCGACCACATCACAAGTTCACAAACAACATACTAACCGTTGTTGTTCAAGCTAACTAAATAGTTGCAGTCCACCTGTCTTTGATCTTTAGAGATCTGTCAAGGACAGGACCGTGACACTACTCCTCCTAGACGATCACCCAACCCTCTTGCCCTTTGATGTACTTCAACGCACCTTGTCCAACTTCCCCACGTGCCCGGCCATCCTTCTCCTCCTTTGACTAACTCCGCCTAACATTGCCGCACTTCTGCTCCCATTGTCCCTACTCAGCCTAACTCCATCTAACTTCACCGTACTTGGTCTCAGATGTCCTGAGTTACGTATAGAGTAAAGAGGTTAAGGCGTGATGGGGGTTTTGATGGTCAAAGGAGGGTCATTGTTGGTGGAATGATCGAGGTGTCACGACGTAGTTCGTGACAGAGACACACCATTGCGGCTTCATTGTCATCAGTCGTATATTCGTGACAAAGTCTCTTTGATTCAGGGGTAACTCAATGACTTTTAATGAGTCATGGTGGCGCCACTCGTCTGAGTCATGACAGGTACAGGCGGCATAGGATAGAGCCATGACACTTCACCAGTGAACTCCCTCCCATTCACATATCTCCTGTCATCCTTGTACCCCCAGTATTTAGTGTAATAAGAAAGGATGGAAGGTGGGTACTTAGGGGGCTTCCAACTCTGAACCTGACCAGTAGCCCAATCAGTGACCTGACCAGTGATTGGAACTGGATGACTGGGATTTGAGGCAGGGTCTATAGTAGTGGTGATATGAGTTACCGGGTCATATTCTGCTATGACAGAGCTGGTTTTGAAAAAGTATGGCCCTTGATGCACATTCAACACATGAAAGTCCGGACCTTTGAGACTGAATAGCCAGTCCGTGTTCAAATGGGAGGTGCCCAACACTCTCATCTGAACATGCTGGACAGTAATATTCTCGGGAACCAGTGTTTTACGCCCAGAATGATCTGAGAAACTTGCAGGCATACCCCAATTACCGTAATCAATTGTGAGCTGCTGCATTCAAATGTGAGGATCTTGCTTCGTTTCTCATACCCCCTGCCGTAGTCTGTGAAGGTAGCTGTATAAGTCCTCAGCCCATAAGTAACAGTGATGGAAGTTCTTTTGGGATACTGTGCATGACTTATGGACCCTTCCACATGCTTCCGGAAGCGTTGGTAGAGCCGAAAGCCAATGGATCCATCAGAGGGATTCACAAAGATCTGATGGGAATACCCCGCTTGAGATTTTTCCTCCCATTTCCATCTTTTCAAGATATTATCGATAGTGTGCTGACTACCGTCGCACTCCAGGAACTCCTCCGCAATTCCAGTCAGCGTAGCGAAGGATGAGTCACCAAGCAACTGGCGTCTGATAGGCGGCTTGTGTCCTCCCTGGTACTGCATAATGTCAAGACGGCTCTAGGTTCTCGAGAGACAAGGCCTTGCTACTGACTAGTGCTTAGACAATACTTGTAGTTCAGACAGAGGAAGATACATTCTTCGAAGAGATAACAGATAGCTTCGAATAATGTATCTGCTGACTACGCTCAGGGACTCCTCAACCATAACCCCGTGGACCCTAATGTCCTAATACCGACGTGGCAGTCATGTTCATGACACATAAGAAGGCCAAGATCAAAGAGAGTATCAGGAGTATTGGGATCATTCTGCCGCGCCAAGTTCTGCACTCGTCGATACTGATTATCGAGCCAATCGACGAAAGGATCAGAGTTTGTGACGTGATTGCTCGTACCTGCGACTTGATTTGCAATCAGATTCATGTTGTTTGATGGGAAAAGGTAATAATTCCTCAACATATATGTACACGTCCTGCTTGCGGCGGGGGAGGATTTAGCTTGAAACACCCCGTGAAAGGATCCCTGCGGGTCAGGATTGCGATGACGATGACGAGGCGGTGTTAGAGGGTCTAATCGAAGGACACATTTGGGGTCCGATCGAAACCGAGTAGTCGGTACCATAGCAAACTTATATACGTCCCCGTCATAATCTATGAGTGGCAGACGGGGGTGTGGTAGTCCATAACATACAGGTTGAAGGGTGGGACGCTTGGAAGGCAGGAGTCCGGGTCTCGGTTTGTGGAAAAGTGAGTTACTAACGACCGTGCGTCGGCAATCCTTTCATCATGATGCCATCAAAAGCACAGACCGTATGCATTGTCCGGTGACTTATCAGGTACATACATAGGAACGCGACGAAGCCGGAGGGATCAACTCGGGGCCTGCATTTGATCCATAAACAGAAGGGGAATATGTCAAGCACATTTTGGTACTCTACTGTACATGTACCATCAATGAGCTTGTGAGTAAGTCCATGTCATACCTGCTTCATGAACAGTGGTCACAGCCGGCTGAGAGTCTGACCACGTATGTTGAAGATATTCGTTTGTATCAACGTTATTTGTGACTAAAAGCTGCAACCTACTTGCATGTTCTTCGTAGAGCAAAAGGACAAGACCATTGTTGCCGAGTCTGGCATGGCCCCCACATTTGAATGGTGGAGGGCACATTCCTTGCGATCCGCCAGGCGTTAGTTCTGGAAGTCCGGCCTTCCTGTATGCCTCAGCAATTGGTTCATGCATACTCTTTCCGGCCAAAGATGATCCTAATGACATCAAGCTGGTGCGTGAAGCTGCATTGAGCGTAGGATGTTTTGATGATGAGATCCCTTCATTTGAAACATGCCCTGTCATTGGAGTCTCCCCCGTTAGAAGGGGGAATGATTTGTCTCCCGTAAGCAAGGGCGTTCCTGCTTCTTGGGAAGCGCGAAGCCCGCACGTAACTATAAATTCTTCCAGAGTTTGGAGACCTGTTCTGGGTGATTTAGGAGATGAAGTAGCCTCATCACGCACAGGAGCTGGGGCCGATAACTTGACAACTTTAGTAAGCCGACTCGTCAGGGAAATGAAGGTGTGACTGAGTTCAAAGAAGTCGGGCTGGGTGTTTGTGACCACCGATGTATTTACCGATCCAAGTGTATAAGTAGCAGACCCGGGTTTGGAATACATCCTTCAAATGTCAGAAGTTTGATGGAGATTATATGATCAGTTATTGTTAGGGTGTGTGGTATCAGGTTTGAAGGTATCAGTGAACAAGAGGAGCCTTATATACCCTTTCCTGGCAATATAGATCGGCCGAAAATCGGCTTCGATCTAAGAGGTCCGTAACGCCTCAATCATAGTCCGCATGGCTGGCATGTCCGGCATTCGTGGACTGATTGGAAGCGTTGGTAAAGGAAAGGGCACTGCTTCGATTATCTTGACTGGAGACGAAGACCCAACGTCATATCTGAGACCAAGATCAGTGACGTGTTCACTTCTTCCTCAAAGGAGGATGTAACCCGCTAGCCCGTGTCCCCGTCTCACCGAGGTGGCGTTACGGCGACGGAGAGTCAAAGTGACGAGCTCGACACCCAATCGGGTAAGATAGGTTAGGCTTCGGGTGGAAGAAGATCTGTCCTCATAGCAAATCTTGGTCATAAAGTCACACAAACCCTTCATTGCCTAAATCGGACTGCCAATCCTCATTTGATTCTCCGGCATGTGAAATTCACTTCTAGTCGATCTTCCCGTCTTCCCCCTTATCTATGACGTAGGTCGATCATCATTTGCGATGATTGTAAGTTGAGACGGTGTATGCTTGAAGCGGAGTTCAAGGCGACTTTCGATTTTCCATGGTCAGCGTGAGAAGGTTGACGATAAACACAGCATTTCCGATCCTTGTTAAGTGCGGAGAACCCCGTATGAGAAGCTGCCAAAGTGGTGGCCATCGGATCATGTAGTAAATGAAAATAAGCGCTCAGAAGTGATGCATATCTCGTGGATCTATCTTTTGGGGAAGACCGGGGTTTCCTGCTCCAATCAGCTCAAAGCCAACCGTATGCAAATCATCCTGCGTCCTAAATCACTCTACCCGCCGCGTGAGAGAAACAAGAGGATGTCGGCGTTTACGTTATGGATGAGCAGACGAATAATCCCAGGTAAAGTAATGAATTTGGAAGATGTGCCAAGATGGTGATTGGCATGAGAAATTGGAGTTGGCATATCGGTGAAGGTCGCGGAGGAGGAGAGGAACAGAAAGGCTACACTGGCAGGGGATGACGGGTGTACACCAAATGAGATAACGTGACAGGATGTAAGGGGACCTACCTCTTCAATTATAGATGTTTACTTGTCAAGAGCGAAACTCTTTGACATTCTCCGCCAGATGTCCCTTCACATAACCTTCATTTCCCAAGTCGAGATGCCGCCTCCAATCGCGCCCTTTCCGCCAACTTCGCCGCCTTTCGTTTTTGTCTCCGAAGTTGTGTTCTTGTTTTACCCCCAGAAGCGGTGAATGCTACATCCGTCAGAACGCCCTGCGCCCCACCTTCTCTGTCCTCATCTTCGTCGTTGACAATCATGTGGTCTATCCTCGAGTGTTCGTGAAGTTGGACAGCATCGGGTTCAAGGTGGGAGGAATCTGGAGTGACTTCGGGTATGGTAGAGACATGTGATTGAATGTGATCTACTTTCGCAAAAATAGGTATTGATGGTAGAGGGGATATGGAAAGATCCGGCAAGGATGTTGACATGATTTGATTGATAGAGGGTGGAACGGTAGATTTGCTGACAGAAGAATGAGTTATAGATATCGAATTTTTCAACTTCTTCTTCCTCTTTTTCAATACTTCGACCACTTTAGATCTCGGTCTTCTTTCCACCATCTTTGTCCTTGATTCTTCTTCATCTTCACTCTCGTTCTCCCCTTTCCCCATGATCTCATCCTTGGTCTTCGAGACATGAGGGACCGGCCTCTTGCCAAATTTCTTGTTTAAAGCTCCTAATCCAGCACTTATTCTTGGTTTAGGTTGGTTGATTGATGGATGACCCAAGCCATGTCTATCGTCATCGCCTCCTGACCCCAAACGCAGTTCAGGAAGAGAAGACGAAGGGAGGGTGGAGGAGGTGCCAAAGGAAGATGGGATCCAATTGTCGATCGATGAAGTGAAGAGAGATGCGGAGAGAGCCAAAGATTCGGGAGTTGGAAGATCCATCCTTTTGTCAGTCCTGGTCGTTGTCGTCGTTGTCATTATTCTAATTCAGTAAGTTACAGTATGCTCCATTGTATAAAAGTGAAGAATGAAGTTTGATGCTCCTGTTGTTCAAAAGTTTCCGTCGGAAATAAAGTCGAGAATTTCCTTCCTTTCTCGACAATCGATAAGTGTAGCTCTTTCCCTATATCTCCATAGCACATCGTCATCTACTGATCACTATCATCTCCATTATCCTCCCATCCCGGCAGATTGATCTGTGTGCTCTTACATATATTCTTCGTTTCCCAAACAGTCTAAAGCGCATTCCCTCTCAAAATGTCCCCTCCAAGGATTTCCACACCGGAAGAATACCGTAAACTAGTCGATTCGGTAGATACATTCCTCCTAGACTGTGATGGTGTAATCTACCATGGTCCCGTAGTTGTCCCAGGCGTCAAAAAGGTTCTGGAAATGTTGAGAAAGGAGAACAAACGTTTGATATTCGTCACGAATAACGCCAGTAAATCCAGGAGACAATACAAGGCTACTTTTGATAAATTGGGTATACCAGTCAGTGAGAATGAGATATTCGGATCGGCATATGCTTCTGCTGTTTTCTTAAGGAAAGTGTTGAATTTTGCAGAGGATAAAAAGGTTTATGTGATTGGGCAGGACGGGTTGGAACAGGAATTAGAAAGTGTAGGTATAAAACATGTTGGTGGGACGGTAAGTGTCCATTTATATTCTTCTTCCTAGCTCTCTACATAGTTTCTTCGTCTCAATGCTTCAGCTCATAGTACATAGTTCAAAGACTGACAAATAGGACCCCGAAGATAGAGTTTTCATGGACCCATTCGACTTTGCTTCCATCCAACCTGATCCTAGTGTAGGTGCTGTCTTATGCGGATTTGATGGCTGGTTGAGTAAGTATTTCCATTCATCCCAATCCTCCCCTCTATCCTCTTTCTTCGTTCAGGACTTGATCCCTCGACTCACAACGAATGAACATATAGTGTATCAGTCACTGAAGAAGACAGATTATAAAAAGCTATGTAAAGCTTATACATACCTCAACTCCGACCCTAACTGTCATTTCCTCCTGACCAACCAAGATAAGACTTTCCCCACCAACGGGACCACTTTTCCTGGTCAGTGTCACTTGAATTTTCACTAAAAGCTCCAGCTTGTCCTCTTCATGTTGAATCGTGACCACCTGGCGTTGGACACTTGACTCAATATCTCATCCTCTCTTCCGGCCCCCTTTCATGACATTGGCGGTCATGCTATGATATACCTGATCGAATGAAGAATGAGAATGAAAACCCAGACATGGGGATGTCGAGACAGTCTTTGTGCGACCAAAGTGTTATGGCAGAGTAGAAATTGATGTATCAGGTTCCGGGTCAATGTCATATCCTCTCGTCTTCGCCTTATCCGGGAGAAGAGAACCTACAATCATCGGTAAACCTAACAAACACATGATGGACGCTATCATCGCTGAGTATGTCTCCCTCGTTCACTCCTGTCTCACCTCTTTATTACCCAATCCATGCGCAAAGACGAAATGAGTCCGTGTTCAGCTGCTTAGGAGAAGGCTTGAATAAGCTCATGTTCAGACATCAATTCGATCCCAAACGCGCTCTTATGGTGGGCGATAATCTCCTCACCGACATTGAGTTCGGGATAAACTCCGGTATACGTACTTTACTCGTCATGGGTGGTGTATCCCTTCCCGAGCAGGTGTTTGGGGATAATCCCAGTCATGTGGTTCCTACTTATGTAATGGAGAGTTTAGGTGATTTAGCTGTGTTGGCGGAATAACATGTGTTTTCTTCTACCTGTCCACATTTCTCTCTCATACATGGTACATAACTGGACCTAATCATCGTTGATGCCTCATCGTCACGTACATAAGCTATCAGATAGAAAATATAGACGAACGACATCAATGAATCCATCGGTTGAGGTAATCGATAAGATGCAAATTTACATGGTCATGTCGAAATCTTCTAACATGCCCATCCTGCTCGTCAGCTCGGTGCAGTCCACGTTTCACCTGAGATCTCACATGGAAGCTTTGTAAACGCTGAAAAGTTAGCAAGTATGAAGACAAAAGGAGAACTCTCACCTCATTACTTTTGCGACAAATGCCTCTAGGTGATAAATCTTCTTTGATCCCATACGCATTCTTAGTTCCTAAGCGTCAACTACCAGCGGGACCGACAGCTCGTGCACGAGTAAAACGGAGAAGAGGTGAGGGTTATGATGACATACATAGTACGCTGCCCAATGTATGATCTGTGGTTTCAGAGTATCGTCCACTTTGTCCACTATCCTTTCCGAAATAGTCTGATCGTCAGTCCATATGTCATCCTCATTCTGATCCGCTGGGTACGTAGAACATGTCTCGGCTCTCATGAGCTAGATATGGGTGATTCGTTTCAAGACGTAACTCTGAGAGGCTGCACGGGATTTTGCACGATGTGAGGCCGGTGGAGGTCGACGTTTCTCAGTGCGAAGCGGCAGAAGCAGACTCACCTTCAACACCACCGTAGGAGGTATACAATGACTCAATAACTCATACAATTTCCCCCTCACATCCAACAATCTTTGTGCGGTTTGCTCTTGTAATATACTATCCGCTACTTTTGCGCAATACGTTTCCCAATCCGGTTTAGCGACTTCTATATCACCTTGTAAATCGGGCCTTTGCATTCTCATAGCTTCGAAGACAAGTAAAGCTTTGCGCAAATTACCACCAGAGGCAGATGTGATAGATTGACATGCGGGGTCGGGTAGATGAAACCTTTCTTTCTTTGCGACATGTTGGAGCACTTTTGTCATCTAATGTCAGCACCTCTTTCCTTCGTTTATGTAACATTTCTCAAACAGTGTGTAGTTAAGATGGGTAGGCATGGGAAGTAGGGTGAGTGGACTCACTTCTCCATTGTCTGGGGCGGCAACTCGGACCAATAAACATCGACTTCGGATAGGAGCAATTATCTTGCTGGTACTTGTGGCGCAAAGTATGAGACGCATGTTGGTCATGTATTTTTCCATGGTACGTCTCAAAGCTGCTTGAGCATCACGAGTGAGAGCGTCGGCTTCGTTCACAATAACCACTGCATGTCAGATCTCCTCCTTTCACTTTCCAGTCCTGCCTTGGTCAGGTCAAGAACACGAAGATTACGATGTGAATTACATGATCAACGAACTGCGGAGGGAATGAACTCACCCTTGAACCTCTGTTTAGCATTCAAGTCTACCTGTTGTGTTTGGGCAATTTCTTTCAAGATATCCTGAATTACCACTCTATCGTACATCCCCACATCTCTGATGATCAGTATAGCTTATCCACTTGATGGGATGTAGACAGGGGTACTGACGAAGGAGTGAGTTCGATATGATAATTACTTTGAACAACGTTGACATCTAGTTTACGTCCAGAAGGAGTGACGAATACTCTTTGATCAATCCTCAACTTGATCGTCAGCCCCACATTCTCGCTCGTATCCTTTCAACTCACCTTTTCGACTCCGGGTCCGTACAGTTCTCGGAGTGTGCACATGATGCGGGTCTGAGACTTAGCTGACCGTACATCATTATTCAGTTACAGAAGATGAGAGATATTGTTTTGCAATCTAAGCGTATGTGGAAGGTTGTTTTACGGACTTACCTTTTTTCCTGCCCCGGATGGACCATAGAAGAGGATATGAGGGAAGTCACCAGATGCGGAGAGGGATCGTAATCTGGATGAGAGTTCCGTATGATAGTGTAGATCGTCGAGTGTACGTGGACGATACTGACGTCTTTCAGTGTGGATCATCTTACGAAGGATTAATGAACTCACCTTGTCTACCCATAGGGACATGACGAGTTTTGGCAGAGAATGTGGAGGAGGAACAGATTAGGGAGTTACTCGCGTCGACTGCAGCTCACTCGATCACTCAGTATCGACCGGAAAGACGCTCAGAAGATGTATATCTGTATCAAGCTCAGTAGCAGTAACTCTTCAGGGGCTTGATTCTTTATTGTGAGAGGGAGGTGTAGGTTACGTGTGAAGACGAGGTGAAGATTGCCCGAGAAGGCAGTTGACGCGTCTTGGTGGAGAAAGTGAAAGTCAATCACGTGACCCTACACTTTTGTATGACGCTCACTGCTCTCTATCTCGACGACCATACTCGGCCATCAATCTATATCTACATCTTTTACATAGCCCCTTACCTCTTACACGGCTCAGTGATCAGCCAAGTATGCTCTCAAGAAGTAGATGATAGAGTAGTCTTCGCTCCTCGTCCTCCATGACGTCCCCACATTCCGCTCTCCCCCCTCCCCCTTCTCCACCACATTCCCCCATCAGCTCCAGCCATTCCTCCCATGAAAGTCTCCGAGCGTTAGAGCTGTCAGAATCTTTTCCTGAAAACTCAATTCGACCAGGATTAGGACGACACAATCGGTCTTCTACCATTACGAGCTTAGGAGGATTCGACTTTCAACATACACTCCTTCCTCTAACCCCTAGCGGAGAGGTCATCCCCGTTCAAGCGCAGGATGAGAAACATGTGGGACTGCTACATGGTATATACTCTCATTTTTTGACGAAAGTGAAGCTGACATAAAAGGCCTAGCTCTGGTGGTAGGAGCTCAAGTGGGATCGGGGATCTTCTCAAGCCCCGGAGTGGTCGTAGCCGAGGTAGGAAGTGTAGGTGCCAGTCTGTTGGTTTGGATCATATCTGGTCTTTTGGCATGGACAGGTGCCAGGTGAGTCTACCGAATCTTCCTCACATTCCTCACTTTTCATCATTCCATATCGAGCTGCTAGCAGGCTGACGGTCAGTTCATTTGCCGAGTTAGGTTGCGCTATACCTCTTTCAGGAGGTGCTCAAGCCTATTTGGCTTATTCTGTCAGTATCTTCCCGACTAGAAGACGTTTGGGCGCTGACGACAGTTTGGACCTATGTTATCTTATCTTTACACTTTTACGGCAGTATCGACTCTGAAACCTGGAAGCAGTGCCATCGTTTCCCTTATTTTTGGGTCAGTCAGAATGTGATCGAATTCACCGACGACCGTGCTGAGATATAAGAGAGTATGTCAATAGGGCTGCATTCCATGCTATTTCTCGAGATCCTGAGGCTGTCGTTCCCGAGTGGACTTTCAAAGTGAGCCTCCTCATTGTTCTCCCACGGCAATGCCTCCCCCAAGCATCCACCCTCCCGCCAATGACACTTAAGTGGTCCGAATAGATGTATTCTCTTCAGACGTTAAAGATTGATGTATAGATCACAGCCACAATCGCTATCATCAGTGTCTCCGTCCTCAATCTCATCTCGAGAAGTATGGGTACCAACTTTTCCGTGGTCATCACCTCTATCAAAGTCGGTGCGTTACTCGCTGTCGCCATTCTTGGACTAGTGTATTTCCTGGATCACGGAGCTCCTGAATCCTTCCAACCGCAGAACTTCTTCTCTGGGACTTCTTCTCGACCAAGCAGTTACGCCATCGCGCTATACTCTGGTTTATGGGCTTTCGACGGATGGGATCAATGCAATGTATGTCTCTTCTCATTTGTCTCATGGTAGCCCCGGACCTGAATACTCCGTGTCACACCACCTCAGCTGACATCGTGATGAGAAAAAGCGCTAACGTTCAGCTGGTGGCAGGAGAGATGCGAAATCCCGAACGTGACCTCCCCCGGACGCTCCATGGAAGTATGACAATCGTCCTCGTGCTCTTCGTCACTGCCAACTTGAGCTATTTCGTGGTTTTGGATCCCGAGACGGTGGCTTCGAGCAATACTGTAGCCTTGGATTTCGGTAAAGCTGTTATTGGGACGTTTGGAGCGGCGGTGTTCAGCACCTTGGTAGCTATCAGCTGTTTTGGGGCATTAAACAATGGCTTCTTCACCAGTATGTCCTCTATTCTCCACTCGCTTGAATGGATCATTACCAGTTAGCAAGATGAGCTGGAGTAGCGCTGATTGTCAGCCGCTCGATTAATCTACGCCGCTTCAAGAGAGAACTTCCTCCCTTCCATGTTTTCCGAATTACACCATCGTCGAAGGACTCCTGATAACGCAATGGCATTACAAGCGGGACTGGCGTTATTTTACGTGATCTTTGGGGGAGGTTTCAGACGTATGTTCATCATTCGGCCTTTCCTCCCCTAGCTCTTCTAATATGCTCATCTGCTATCATTTTCCAACTCCCTCGTCTTCTGTTGTATCATGTGGACACAATAGTGGTTTCTGTGACGTTCCTGATGTACAGGTTTACTCAACTTCTTTTCAGTGGTCAGCTGGACATTCTATCTCCTCACCGTACTAGGCCTATTGGTATTAAGGGTGAAAGAACCGCATCTGGAAAGACCGTACAAGACCATGCTCATCACTCCTATTATCTTCTGTGCTGTAAGTTTCTCACCGCGAAGTGAGGTTCGAGTCTGAATGTCAGGTGGCTCTGTTCTTATTGCTCATGCCGATATTCGCTGCCCCTTGGGAAGCTCTTGCTGCTTTCAGTGAGTGTATCTTTCGTCTCCTCTCCCCTTGACGTCTTCCGTCATCATGCCAAATCGACACCGCGACTCGGCGACAAAGTAGACTGATCGCCAGTGTTCATTTTTGCCGGAGTGCCAATGTATTACATTACGGCAAGGGGTCGTGTGGGTTCAGCTACATATGCGTACGATGTGGAGACTACATGGCGTGGGACTTTTGATTGTGAGTGTTGGTTCCACACTTGGACTACCTCCCTGATCCGATTAACCTTTGTGACTGAACGTCTTGCTTTTGTCCATTCACGCTAAGGACTGCATGTCGCTGACAATCAGACGCATGGAAAACGTTCCGAGACGATGTAGTCGGCTTGCTGCCAGGTCACAAGCCACAATCACGGCCAAGTCGAATAGACGAAGGTTCCGTACCCATCCTCCGTTCCGAACATATGGAAATGTCAGAAAGAGGGTGAACATATCATCTTGCATAGCATATTTTGTCCAATAATCATCCAAATATTGCAGATACAAGACGTGGTCGTCAAGTGATTACTATGAGTGAACCAAAAGTGTATCAACTCCATGATCACAATTCGACCTCATCGTCGTTTCCCCTTTCCTCTACTCTTACCCTTGAACCCACCCCTTTTCTTACCATCCCTCTCCAAAGCCAACCCAGCTTTCTTCGCCCTATTCCGAACTTCCATAAATTTACCCTTTCTTCGCTCAGCTTTAGTTTCCATACTTCTACTGGCTTCTTTCTCCTTTTTCTTCTTGAGAGCCTTCTGGACCTTTCTGCTAGAGGGTGGCAATAAGCCGACTTTCCCGCTACCATCCACTTTTTCCTTCCCTTTGGCCCCATCCTTTATCTGTGCTTTGACCCCTGTGCTGTCCTCTTCACTTTTTCTGACTCTATGATTATCGGTATTGGATGAGACTGTATTAAGAGAAGAAGGATCGAAATCTTCGACGATGGATACCATAGCTATTTGATCGGCATCTTCGAATTTCTCTTCGGTTTCTGCTTCCTCTTCTTCGTCATCCTCTTCATCTGCTCATTAGTCGAGCTCAAGTAAATGGAAGATACCTACCATTCGAATTTAGGTCGGTGGAAGTGAGACCGAGAGCCATCCGGACGTCGATGACATTTTGAGCTGCACGTTTACGTAGTTCTTCCCTTGCCTGATGGTCAGTTATTCGCTCCTTATACTACCTCCTATGATGAATGAAGCTCGAGTGTACAGAGAGGAGATGAACAAGTGTCGTCTATACTGGAGAGCAGTCAAGAGTGACGAGAAACACACGTCGAACGCAACATGTCATAGGTGAACAAATGGGAAGACAGATGATCATAGTGAGAAGAAAAAAAAAACGAACCTTTCGTCGTTCTTCGAGATGTTCTTTATGATCCCTTTCTTTAGCTCTTGATCTACGTTCTTCTAACTTTGCCTTTTTCCGTTTAGAAAACCCCGTTAACCAATCTCTGAGAATTAGCGTCTTCCTCTTTGTTCATCCTAATACACGCCATGATGTTTTGTACAACGCCCTTATCAGTGCTTGCTTTTTCTCCATGAACATCTATGGGAGAGTAGTACGAGATTTGATGTTTTACAATGATAGTGTGACCGTAGACAGTAGAGGTCGTCTGAGGTTATGGACATATGAGAAAGAGGAAGGAAAGCGACTGGAACCCACCGTCTGGCCCCATCATCAAATTTGATTTCTTCCACTTGTTCTCTTCTTTCTTTCTTCGCTCGCTGAATGTACTTTGCACCTTCTGTCAAAAGTGCTACGTTCGTCTTTCTTGACTTTGACCCTGAGGGTTTTGAACTCATTTTTGAGATAGTGATGCACAAGTAGTACTTGAGTACTTGACCAGTGAGTAAGTGTAGCTTTGGGGAAAGATGGAAGTTTGATCGGGAAGGAAAGTCACGTGATGTACACGTGAGTATAGAATTCAGCGGAAAAGTTCGAATTTGATAAGAAGTGATGTTCAGGTAGCGACGAAAGTACATATTCTGTATAGGTATATGTCACTCGGACGAACATCAACATCGTTAAGTATTCTTCAGAAAGTCACAAGCTATCAGTGAGAAAATTTCACTTTCCAAGCCCGGAGAAGGAAAAGCTCATTCGTAGCTTTGCCACTCAAGGTTTCACCATGTCCACTCCTCACCTAACACCCATACTGTCCTGCCTTGACCATGGCTCTATCACCGCCACTCTCTCGTCTCCCCCGCTTCATCCATATCAGTCTCCAAATTTCTCCATCCCTGCGCCTATTCTCCGCCACCTTCGTATGGCTTCGGACCATCTTCATGCGGGACGTACCGTGGCTTTCCCTACCGAGACTGTGTACGGACTGGGAGCGTCGACACTATCCTCTTCTGCCGTCTCATTGATTTATAAAATCAAGAACCGACCTTCTGATAACCCTCTCATTGTTCATGTATCCTCACTTGACATGCTCCAAAGACTCCTACCCCCTTCATACACTCTTTCTCCTCTTTATAAAGCCCTAATCTCTTCCTTTTGGCCAGGACCTCTCACACTCCTCTTCCCATCACCTAATCCTCCACCATTACCAGCACCACAAACACTAGCTACCCGTATGCCCGCTCATCCCCTCGCTCTGGCTCTCATCTCCGTGTCAGACTTACCTCTGTCAGCCCCTTCTGCCAATTCTTCTGGTCGACCAAGTCCAACAACGGCAGAACACGTACGGAATGATTTGGCCGGATCAGAGGGCTTAGGTTGTATACTGGACGGGGGATCATGTGATGTGGGAGTGGAATCGACCGTTGTCAATGGTCTCGATTGGCGGGAAGGGGGAGGGGGAAGTGTGGATGTGCTTCGACCCGGTGGACTTGGGGTGGAAGAGATTGCCAGAATAGTCCAAGAAGTAGATGGAAAAGCAGGAAGGACACAGGTTCTGGTTCTTGGTAAGCCATGGAACGGAGGAAAAATCATCGAGCTGTCAGGAGAAACCAAGAAAAAGAATGAAGAAGTGAAATTAGCCCCAGTCACACCTGGACAGAAATATCGACATTATTCCCCTCGAGTTCCAGTCTATCTACTTCTACCAAGTAACACTTTCCCCTCTCCTCCATCTTCCTCCACCAAGCGATTCGTTCCAACAGAGGTCATCCAGCATATCGTCTCTCATCATAAAGTGAAGCGATTAGGACTTCTTCATTACGACGAGTCTCCCCTATCTCATCAACTGCTTGCCGCCAAGTCAGAAGGATTAGAAATCATTCCCTCCTCTCTCGGAAGAGACGCCACTTCCGGAGCGCAGCGACTCTTCTCAGGTCTACTCAGCTTAGAATCACAACATCGACGTACCGTCGACGACAACGAAGATCAAATAGGAGTCGATGCCATACTAGTGGAAGGGTGTAGCGAAGAAGGGATAGGACTCGCAGTGATGGAACGCCTAGGGAAGGCTGTAGGAGGTGGTGGGAAAACCGGTGATGTGGGGAACGATGATCATCAAGGGGAAGTAGGTAGATATTGGGTACAAGTTTGATGTGAGTGCTGAGAAGATTCGTGCGAAAGTACTAATCCATCCAATGATCTCGGCCTTGCGGTTAGAAGAATCCAGCGTTTTCTGATTTACCAAGATACTCCCATGACGTGATCGGCGGTGAAGCGTGATTATGAGAAGTAGAGTTACAGGAAGGCAAAACAGATTTCGGCCGATCGTTTACTGGACTGGAAGGTCTACAATCTTGTCGGATCATGTCCAAATACGTCGATGCTGTGCGTTTTCATCAATCCTTTGAGCTGATCATGAGAAGAGAGTTGTGGTCACTGATCTCACTGATGAACCTCTACAACTGGAACCCCTGTACCATTTTCTATTGATATCTTACGCTCGAAACACCGTCAATGAGTCAAATACAATGACCTGCAATATCGAAGGGATGGGACTGGAGAAGATCCACCAAGATCAAATGGTCGACACTCACTTTTAGCTCGAATAGTCCGTTTCAAAAACCCAACCAAACTCCTTTATTCCCCGTCATCCCACGAAGATCCTCTAACATGGCGGTGTAACGAACGGAGCAAGCCTTCCACTTGATCATCCCCATCTTCAAAAAACTATGGATACGTTGGAAATCTGACAATCGGGAAATACATGGCGCTTGAGTGCAGGACGAAAGGGTAGGGCAAAGACAAAGGGGGTGGGACGTCTCATGGTACGTATCTCTAAATCTTAAGACACCCTCTTGATATCGATCCTGTGAAATTGTCTTCTGGACGGCCTGCTGCAGAGGTGGAGAACGCAACTGTCCCAATAAACGCTACATACAATAGATCCACTCAGCTGACTGCGTTTCCTCATGGGGTGAATGTACTGTAGTCACACGTCTCACATTTTCTAAAACCCGCATGGTCGGAAAACGAGGTATCACCGTTTGTGCGGCTTCTTCCCTAGGCCGCCCTCGTGTGGCCGTCATATCTTCCTCATTGCAGAACCTGCATATCCCATCAGGTGTAGAATATCTCCGAGATGTATCTCGACATGACATTCCCTTACAGTTGGTGAGAAGATACTTTACTGATGTTCAAATCGGCAATGAGATTAAACTAGAATACCGTCCGTATCGATACATGCATGACCTGCGGGATGCTTTACTCATTCATACTGATCTTTCCTGACTATCCTCGAGCACCTACAGTCTTGCGAAGATATCCCCCCGCATCGGACGACTTGTTTCGGCCGGAACACCACAATGAGAAGGCCGATCCCGAAAAGCAGTCCATTTTCTGTCCTGGGGAAATGTTTTTTCCTACGTTCACACGCATGGATTTGATGCGCGTCATGTATGACGTATAGCGAGAATGTCTGCATCGCCTACTTCCTCGTCTGGACCATCGCCAATCCCTTGTTGTGGAAGCTGACCAAACCCGCACGGATCATCCTGACCCGGACGGACCAAATGATTTCCCACGGACAAAGCACTGTTGCCACTGGACCTTCCATCCTCCTCCCCCACCCCCACCCCCACCCCTCCTGGGCAGAAATTATATCACCCTCAATGAGTTCACCAAGTTGGGGAAACACCCCAACCTGGCAATCTCCTCCCACTCCCCAGACTGATATCACCAACAATGAACACTCATCTGCGTGCAGCTTGCAAAGTTGGCTACCCCCTCAATGGCAATGTGAGGTGGTGGTCAGAGGCATTTGGAGCCCTGCAAGGGGATAGCACACAAAACATCCTCTTGGCCACCAGCCATGGGCCGCAGTATGTGTATGCTGAAGAACTGGCAGCAACCTCCCATACAGGAATGTACCACCGTATACTCACAAAGGCTTTATTCAGAAACCCCCGTGATCCAGAAGACTTCAAATTAATTGAAGACAAGGGTGATGCCCATGTACAAGCAGAACAGAAGTTTTACATAGAAAGCTTGGAGTTCAAAGTCTCCTCCATTCACACCCCAGCGGGGTCCACGACTGTGTATGTGGACCGGAGGAAAGACGGACAGAAATCAGCCACTACATACTACTTTCATGTGGATGAATATGGCCACCTAGAGAAGTATGTAAACACTCCATCTCCCAAATTGAGTACAGGACAGACCCTGAGCATACCAGTCTCCAGATAGATACACCTGCTACTGAATTTGTGTACACAAATTGGATGAGCTCATATAGCTTCACTGGCAAAAGAACACAGAAGGTGTTACGACCCGGTTAACCAGCACCAGGCCATACACTGGCCATGCATGTGACATCTTATGCCACTGCGCTAAAAGGCACAATATCGCAATCAGCCCTATGATTGCGATCCGGTTATAACCTGATGTCACGACTGAGGTTGCAGGGTCGTGACAGAAGGACATAAATGCTGAGTACTTTGATCCAGAGACAGCAAAGCTGTATGTATACAAAGAGACTCCGGATCAGAAGTCCATCCAGTTCAGCCCAATAAAGTCTCCTGATTTGCAGAGATGGCTCTCAATTGATGTCACGACCCGGCTAACACAGTGTCGTGACCCATGACCCTGAGGCGAGAAGAGACGAGGAGACACGAGGAGACACGAGGAGACACGAGGAGACACGAGGAGACACGAGGAGACACAAGAGGAGACAAGGAGACACGAGGGGAGACGACATTGGATACGAGGAGACACGAGGAGACACGAGGAGACACGAGAGGAGACAAGGAGACACGAGGGGAGACAACATTGGATGTGCATGAGATCCCCTTTGAAAAGTATAAATACTGGACCTATCTACTTTGTAGTTTCTTTTCTCCAAGGATCAAAATATTATTTGCCACTCACAAAAGACCTCTTCTTGACATATTACTTACATCCCAACACATCCCTCATTATCATTACCCCTGTCCACACCATCACACACACCCTTATTGTCATCTCGACCTGCCCGGATCCTTCGCAAGTCACTTTAGTCTTCCGACCACATCACAAGTCTGCGGACAACATACTAATCGTCGTTGTCCAAGCTAACTAAACAGTTGCAGTCCACCTGTCTTTGGTCCATTGAGGTCTGTCAAGGACAGGACCGTGACAGTATATTTTGATCCTTCACACTTGTGATTGGTCACATACTTGTTTAGTATATCGTATCATCAAGACATTACTATGGCACCAACTCGTGCTGAACTCGAAGCTAGACTTGAAGAAGTCTTAGCTCATCAGGAAACTATCCAACAAGAAAATAATACTTTGCGTGACAGAGTAGCCGCTCTCACAATCCTTCCTCAAGGAGAAGTCCAAGAAAACAATAATACACATGATGTAAGTACTGAACGTGAGCTGACACCTGCAGACCAACGTCATCCCTCTGCAGCACCAACTACTACAACAATCAGTACTCGTCCTCAAGAACCTAAGGTCGCTTCACCTGAATACTTTAGTGGACAACGTAACAAGCTTACAACTTTCATCACCCAAGTTACAATGGTTATCACACTTCAGTCAACCCGATTTCAATCTGAAGCAGCAAAGGTATTGTATGCTGGATCCTTCTTACGTGATACTGCTTTTCTCTGGTTTCAACCCTTTGTTGTTGCTACGCCTCAACCTACTTTCATGACCGACTTCAAACTCTTCTGTGATGAACTGAAGAAGACATTTGGTGATCCAGATGAGGTTGCCACTGCTGAGAGACAATTATATGCTCTCAAGCAAAGAGGTTCTGTCACATCTTACCTTGCAGATTTCATGCGCTTTGCTACTCTTGTCAAATGGAATGATGAAGCAAAGGCTGCTCAATTCTACCGTGGTCTCAAAGATGCTATTAAAGACGAGCTTTCTCATGTTGGGAAGCCCAAGTCTTTCAAAGATCTTCAAGACACTGCGATACGTATTGACACACGCTTGTTTGAGAGACAAGTTGAGAAAGGTGAGCGTACAAGTACTACTAACTCACAGGTACGATACACACCCCGCTTAACAACTTATGAGCGTTCTCAGACTACCTTCCGTCCATCTGAGAACATGCGTGCCATGGCAACCTCCAACTATACAACCAAGAGAGGTAAACTCACACCAGCTGAATATCAAAGACGTAAAGACAATAATCTTTGTCTCTATTGTGGTGACAAAGGACATGTGGTTCTCAAGTGTCCTGTTGCACCACCTCACCGTCAACCTACTAGATATCAAGCTAGTATGGTAAGTACAAATAAGAATAAGGCTATTCCCTCGGGAAAAGCCTAGACCCCCAGTCTACTAATCACGGTAACCTGGGATTGGAGGGTAACCCTAAACAGGTCTCCGTTTCACTTGGCTCCACATTTCCTTCCATTGAAAATTTTGATATAACCCAAAAACAGTTGACTCTTCCATTTCATCTTAAAAATCACAATAATATCTTTCAGGCTCTCATTGACAGCGGTGCTAGTAATAATTTCATTGATAAAAGATTTGCTGAAGAAAATAAATTAACATTAGTAAAAAGGGAACCAACTCCGTTATACCTTTTTGACGGAGCAGGTAAACCATCTACAGTAAAATTTGAGACAGTTGCTTGTCTCAACTTCCTCCCACCCTTTGGACCTTGTTGGACTAGGTTACTAGTCACCAAGTGTCATCTTTGTCCAGTCGTGCTTGGTATTCCATGGTTACGCCAACATGACCCGTTTATCTCTTGGTCAAGATTTTCTATACAACCAAGTTCTATTTGGCCTACCAATTGTACAGTAGGGCCACTATCATCAACAGCATCAACATCCAACACATCTGCGCGCATAGGGGAGGTGACTGGAATAGTACCTCTGCCCTCTTCAGATGAGGCAACAACACCTTCTACGCCTCACGAGTTCAACCTAGCGGTGTCGACTACCACTAGGCCGCCCACCTTGACAGAAGTCGACTCTGACAAGGCCGATTCAGATCAGGCTGTAGTGCCCCCTGAATACCATTCTTACCTGGATGTCTTTAGTAAACAGAGCGCTGACAAGCTCCCAGATCACCGACCTTTTGATCATCATATCCCTTTAGAAGATGGGAAAGTTCCACCATGGGGACCCATCTACTCTCTGTCTGATACAGAGTTGAAAGCACTTCGAGAATATCTGGATGAGAACTTGAAGAAAGGTTTTATTGTACCTTCTGAATCACCAGCAGGAGCACCTATCCTTTTTGTAAAGAAAAAAGATGGTTCACTCCGACTCTGTGTGGATTATCGTGGGCTCAACAAAATCACAATCAAGAACCGCTACCCTCTCCCTCTCATTTCAGAACTTTTGGACCGCCTGCGCACAGCCAAGATCTTTACCAAGATAGATCTGCGAGGCGCGTATAATCTGTTGCGCATAGCAAAAGGCGAGGAATGGAAAACCGCCTTTAGGACACACTACGGCCTTTTTGAATACAAGGTGATGCCTTTTGGGTTAACAAATGCCCCAGCATCTTTTCAACACCTCATGAACCACAATTTCCGAGACATGCTTGATCACCATGTCATCATTTACCTTGACGATATATTAGTATATTCACCAGACATTGAATCCCATATCAGACACGTCTCTCAAGTGCTGGACCGCTTGCGTGAGACAGGCCTTTACGCCAAGGCTGAAAAGTGTGAGTTCCACACTACTTCTGTAGAGTTCTTAGGTTTCTTCATTAGCCCTGATGGGGTTTCTATGGACAAGAAGAAGGTACAGTCAATTATGGACTGGCCACCACCAACAACACTTACAGAACTTCGATCTTTCCTTGGGTTTTGCAATTTCTATCGAAGATTTATCAAAGATTACTCCAAGATCACAACACCCCTTACAACTCTGACCAAGAAAGATCTTCCATTCACATGGGGTCCATCTCAACAAGAAGCTTTTAGTACTCTCAAGAATGCTTTTACCTCCGCAGACTTACTGCGTCATTACAACCCTAATCGACAATTAATTCTTGAAACAGATGCCTCTGATTATGCCATTGCTGGAATTCTTTCACATGAAGAAGAGGGAAGACTTCACCCTATAGCCTTTATGTCAAGAAAGATGCTGCCAGCAGAGCTTAATTATGAGATTCATGACAAGGAAATGTTAGCAATAGTAGCATCATTCAAGGAATGGAGACATTACCTTGAAGGAGCTTCACTGCCAATCAAGATCTTTACTGATCATCGTTCATTAGAATATTTTACTACATCCAAGCAGCTCAATCGACGCCAAGCAAGATGGTCTGAGTTCCTTGCAGATTTCAATTTCAACATCATCTATAGACCCGGAGTACAAGGGACTAAGCCAGATGCTCTCACTCGCAGAAGGGATTATCACCCAAGGGAGCGTGGCTCTAGCCTTACAACAGAAGCAAATCCTCAGAACTTCCAACAGCTTCTCAAACCTGGTCAGTACTTAGGAGCAGCAATCGCTAAACATGGTCTTCCACAAAGTATTGTCTCTGATAGAGGATCCGAATTTACTTCTAGGTTTTGGAGGGCGTTCACTGAATCATTGGGTATTGAGCTTGCTCTTAGCACGGCTTTTCATCCAGAAACAGATGGTCAAACAGAACGTGTCAATCAAGTCCTAGAACAGTATCTTAGGGTCTTTACATCCTATCAGCAAGGCAACTGGGAAGAACTACTTCCTCTTGCAGAATTTGCTTACAATAATACACCACATTCATCAACTGGTGTGTCACCATTCTTTGCAAACAAAGGGTATAATCCAAGATCCACCTTCTTACCTTCTGACACTCAAGTCAATGCACCAATAGCAACTGCCTATGTTGCAGACCTATCAGCTCTACATGATTATCTCAAAGATGAGATCAAGAAAGCAAATGAAGCTTCAGCAAAAGCATTTGATAAAGGACGTTTACCACTACCTGACTTCAAAGTTGGAGATAAGGTATGGCTCTCTGCCAAGAACATTCGTACAACTCGACCCACCAAGAAACTTGATCATAGATACCTTGGACCTTACACCATAACAGCAAAGATATCATCCCATGCTTATCAATTGAATTTACCACCATCCATGCATATTCACAATGTCTTTCATGCTCAGCTTTTGGAACCTTATCAAGAAAACAACATCTCTAACCGTAATCAACCTCCACCACCACCAATTGAGGTTGAAGGACAAGAAGAATATGAAGTTGAAGCCATTTTGGATAGCAAATATGATAGACGTCTCAAAGAACCTCGACGTTATCTAGTGAAATGGCTAGGCTACAACGAGACCACATGGGAACCACTCTCAAATCTTCAGAACTCATTGGATCTTGTTGAAGAGTATGACAATATGACAAAGAGGACAAAAGCAAAATAACACTAAGAAGAAAAGAAACTTTGAAGCGCACAAAGCATGATTTTCAACCACCACATGTCACGGCCGTCGAACAACTATTTCTTAATAGACCGACGGTCGACGAACCTCGGCTAACTTCACGCTCTGAGTCGATGTCTCACCCAACCAGGAGGGCGCAGACGTCGAAAGGGGTGTAACTACGGCGTACTTCGGCGTAGTTACTCTAACTAGGGTTTTGTTCTACTGATGGCGATGTATCTTGATTTATAGCTATCTCTATCTGTCTTTCACTACTGACAACAATCAAGGATCGCTGAAGAACTTCAGCGATCTTCTCAGCTAATATTATCTACTCCTCCTAGACGTTCATCCAACCCTCTCGCGCTTTGACGTACTTCAACGCACTTCGTCCAACTTCCCCGAGCCCTCGGCCATCCTCTTCCTCCTTCGACTAACTCCGCCTAACATCGCCGCACTTCTGCTCCCATTGTCCCTACTTAGCCTAACTCCGTCTAACTTCGCCGTACTTCTGCTCCCATTGTCCCTACTTAGCCTAACTCCGTCTAACTTCGCCGTACTTCTGCTCCCATTGTCCCTACTTAGACTAACTCCGCCTAACATCGCCGCACTTCTGCTCCCATTGTCCCTACTTAGCCTAACTCCGTCTAACTTCGCCGTACTTGGTGTCAGAAGTCCTGAGTTACGTGTAGAGTAAAGAGGTTAAGGCGTGATGGGGTTTTGATGGCCAAAGGAGGGTCATTGTTGGTGGAGTAATCGAGGTGTCGCGACGTAGTTCGTGACAGTCGCCCCCTTCTTTAGCCGCGAACGTCCTCGTGAGCGATTACACCTCTGTCGTGTCAAGAGAACTTAGCAGCGTAGTACCCCCATTCTCTCCCTCCCCATGACCATCCTTCACCCTTCTGCTCTTTGCGCCGCACTTCGTAGTTGGGCCTCCTTTCACTCCAAAACCCGACAATGAGACTCCCCTAACTTCGTCGAGGTTTGCCGTAAGAAGCCCTGTGTCTTTTGTAGGTGAGACACGCTTCCTGAATGGCAGCCGAACAACACCGTTGTTTGTCGAAGTAACCCTCGCTTATATTGAGATGAGACACTATAGCGTGGGAATTTTGATCGTCCCTGCGATGCCTTTTGTTGATGAAACGCGAAGTTTGCTGCATGTTGACGACGAGGGTTTAGGTTTGATTATACTAAATACTGAGCAGTTCGTCGAGCTTCTCTCTTTTTCCCATCTGCTTTCAAAACTTTCTATCTCTCTTACCTAGAAAACAGATTTGTTACCTTGAATCATCTTTTATTTCTTTAAGTATTTTTAACGTCATGGCCCCTCCTACTCCCACCTCTAACCCTCTCGCCGCCATGAGGAACTTTGGTGGTATGGTGTCGTCTGCTCGTGAGTTATTCCTCGACACTTACCTTACTTCGCCGGACTTGGCTGATGTTCAGTTTCCTTCGGCGACAGATCTCGTCAAGTCTCCTCCCTCGGCCTCGGCACCCTCTCTTTGGGGGAGCCGTCTGGCGATGTCCCGCCTCCTCGCTCCGCTTCTCCTCCCGCCGGTCCTCCCGCTGGTTCTCCCTCTGCTTCTCCTCCTCCTGGTCCTCGCTCTGCTTCCCCTCCTGCCGCCAGTCCTCGCCGCAGGACGCCCGCCTTTCGTCCTGGTGAGTCTCCGTCCTCCTCCGACCAGGAGTCGCTCAGTGGTTCGGAGTCGGACGATCAGTCAGACTTCGAAGGAAAAGGGGGTGATTATAGTGATGAGGATGATAGAATCGTGTCGGAGGGTGAAACCGAGTTAGAGGAACACTCGGATGATGATATGGTGGCGGTTAGTGTAGAGGACAACAACGTAGATAGTCCTGAGCGTGAGTTCTTCGTCCAACCTCTCACACCTTCGCCGAACTTGGCCTTGTTTATCTGTTCTTTAGCTCTCCAAGACATTGCTAACTCGCAGCCGGTCCTGCCCCTCCCCCTGCTCAAATTGTGGGCCAGAAACGACGCCGTTCCCTCTCTTCTTCTTCTTCTTCCTCTTCTTCTTCTTCCTCTTCTTCTTCCTCTTCCGGGGTTCTCCCCCCCCCCAACGCCATCGCCGCTGCCGCCGCTGCTGCCGCCGTCCCCGTCGCTGCTCCCCCCCCTTCTCCCAGAGGGGAGCCTTCGCCCAAACGGGTGAAGAGATCACTGCGGGAAGAAGAGTACTTGTGGGAGAAGATGAAGTCCGAGCCTGGTCGTTGGATCGCGGTTGGTGTTGACGAAGCGTGTGATCGTTGCCGGTGAGTCCACCTATTCGTACTACGCCGAAGTTACTCCTGCTAATTAGTAGACGTGAGATTATCACGTATAATCGTCCAAACTGGCCCTGCCTCAAGGCAGTCAGGCCACACAACAAGGCCCTCCGTTGTGCTTCATGCACGTCTGGCCCCTGCTCCTTCTGTCCCGTTTCCTCTGCCCGGGACATCCCGCCCCGTCCCTCCGACTCTTCGCCCTTTCCCCCCTCCTCAGACTCCAGCGTCTGTCCCCCGTTCGCGGGTACCTCCTTCG